CGCTTATGTACGTCGATAAGAGGGGGGCAAAAGGGTGCTGTCCGCGGGTTTGTCGAGTTTCAACCCGGTGATCCAACGGCACCTTGACAGGAACACGCCCACTTGCACAATGAAGCCAGGGATTTTAAGACGTACTTGAGGAAGTATGCAAGTCCTTCCCTCCGCCTTTCCAAGAAGCGGGGGCGGAAGCGGGCTGGGATCGTCAGCGGCTGCTTTCCTAACTGGGAAAGGAATTGATTTACAGATTACGCTCTTCGGAGGGAGTTGAGGCATTGACGATTCGGCATGTGGGAATGTTTGGGCGAGGCGGCGTCGCAGGTCGTCAAACTCGGAGTACCTGGAGCTGTATCAGCCAGTGGCCAGGCTTGCGGACGTCATCCATCACGCTTCGACCCATACCGCTTCCTGATCTTCATGGGCCCGCCCTGTCGCAGGATCAGCACGACTGCACAGCTGCACGAGAGATGAAACACACATCGAGGGTCTGCACGGTGCAGTTCCAGACGACGTAGTCGCCCATGCCGGGGACGTTGCCGGAGACGATGACATGGTCGTCGATGGTGACGTTCTTGGCCCAGAGGGCTCTGTTCTGGTCGGAGCCCTCGACGGTGTGGTCCTCGAGGCGGATGGGAGCGGGCCTGTCGGAGGCGAGCGAGGCGTCGCTACCGCCAGAATCACGCCGCTTGAGCCCCGACCAGTACGGTGGAACTATCTGGTGATCACGGGCGGTGGAAGCCTCGCGGGCAGCGACATGGCCGTTTTGCGTCGGGTGGCTGGGAGTGTCAGAGCCCGTTGACTCCATCCATCCAGCTAGCGCAAGCCGTGAACCAGGGGTGGAGCGACGATGCTGATGACGCCAGGCAGGCAGCGAGCAGGGGCGATGTTGAAAGGCGGGGCGGGAATAGGCTCAATCGTTCAGCAAAGGCGATCAACAACGGCGAAGCGGGAATATGGGGTTGTCTGGGGAGCGGCAAAAGTAGGCACGGTGGCACGTGAACTCGGAAAGTGGCCAGCTCCTGGGCTCAGGCCGTGCATCCGCGAGCCACCCACGCGCACCAGCATTGGCCGCCGGGCTGTCTCCAAGGTGCTGCGCTGAGGAGCTGCGAGACGTGCGAGGCGTGCGTGACGTGCGTGACACAGCTCGTACGGCCATATGCCGGCCGGTGTACGCGGAGAACGGGAGGGCTCACGCCAAGCGGGCAGCTGCTCTCAACTCCGGGCCCGCGGACGCTGGCCGCTGGCCGCTAGCAGCTACGAGGAGGCGGGACAGGCCCGGGCGCAGCCAAGGACGGGCGTCGCCGTGGGAGCCTTCAGGCGCGCAGCGTCAGCGCCGTGCCAAGGGCAGCGTCGTCGCTCTGCATGATCGAGGGCGGCCAGATGCGTGCTGCTGCATGCATCGCCGTGGCGGTAGTGTTGTTGGGCGTGGAGGGCGTGGAGGGCAATTCCATCGCCGTCGGGCCATGACCCCTGCCCCCAGTAGCTCCCGGGCCTGCGCCGGCGCTGCATGCAATGCCAGAACGACGACGATTGGCCCGCGGGCGCTGGGTTTCTGGCACCGTGACAGCTCTTTCGACGGCATTCCACCTCGCAGCAGGCAGGTGCGCCATTGGCCGCTGCGTCTGGCTGGCGGCCGAGCATGGGCAATTGATCGCCGACAAGGGTGGCTGGCCATCCTGGGCCGGCTGTGGGCAAGAGCGGACGGCATCCGGACAGCAGAGCAGCCGCTGGAGCAGTCGCGATGGCTCCGCGTCCCGATGGCTCCGCGTCCCGATGGCGGTGGTGCGATAAGAACACGGCACTACTGGCGGCTTTCTATTTTCGCCGGCTAGCAGTGGAGATGGGCTAGAGCTTATTCTGCACACCATCTATCGCGCCCTCCAGCCATGGCTCCGTCCGTGCGCCAACTAGCAATGCGCCTGAGCCTCCTCCCTTTCCTTAAATCCCTCCCTCCCGCCTCGTGCGTTTGATGGGCGTAGTGTGCCGTCCTCGATCAGCTCTCGCTTTCCGTTTCCGAACTCCACCTGCCCCTACATCCCACTGTCGCTATCCGCCGATCGTCCGAGTCCCTTGAGTCCTGGTAAGTGCGCCCCAGCCTATATTGCTGCTGCATTCCGCCCACATTCCTCTTGCCCATGCCCAAACTTTGCGAGCTCCCACTCCTCCCGCTGACTCTCGTTTTCTGTTCTCAGCGCAACTCCGGAACGCTTCAGCTTTAGAGATTTCGCCATGCGTTCCACCGCCTCCACCATCGCTGTCCTGTTTGCTGTTGTGGGCCTGTCGTCCACGCAGACCATTGACCCCGACTCGGTCTCGATCGAGAACCGAAGTAAGCAATTGCCGGTCCTAGCAGCCGCGGGCTCTTGTGCTGACCAGCTGCAGACCAGTGGTGTCTTGCCCAGAAGTCGCAATGCCCGCTCATCTGCCTTCAAACCAACACGGACGCCACCACCGAGTCCAACACGTGTGACACGGTATGTCCTAGCTCACACGGTCCTCAAACTCGCCCGCGCTAACATGGTTTCGACAGTCAACCCTCGCGTACTCGTGCGTTTGTGCGGACGGACTCTCGCCGAACATCTCGCAGTACAGCCAGACGATGCCCTACTTCATCTGCACTGAGAACAACAACCGTTGCGTGACTGCCTGCAGCAGCGGCGACAACCAGTGCGCGAGCGATTGCCGCACAAAGAACCTCTGCGGAGCCCAGAACCCGACTCGGGTCAATACCACGACTACCGCCAGCACCTCGACTGCTTCGGCCACGTCGAGCTCGACCAGCGGCGGGTCCGACTACAGCAGCTTTGGCGACGGCAATTCGGGGGATTCGTCGAGCTCTGGATCTGGGAGCAGCGGTGCTGGTGCCCTGGCTCTTGATCTGGGCGCCAAGTATGGGCTGGCCATGGTCGTCAGCGGCCTGGTCGGCGGCGCAGCCATTCTGCTGTGAGGCAGCGCAACTTCTCTTGTCCTCTCGTCTTTTACGTTTTTTACAGCACGGTGTTATGGGTAGCGTACGGGCAGCATCGCATCACGGTCCTTTGGGGAAAATCATGGCGGCTTATGGGCATTACGGGAGCTCTCAGCCGCGCCTTCTCTCCCTTCTCATGGCATAGGGGGTTGCACTAATTTGGCGAGTTGAAAACGAAGGAAGATGTACGGAAGCTTAATCTCCAATAATGTCGGCATGGATGCTGCGACACAGTCCTTCAGGCTAGAGTAGGGAGGCAGCACGAAGCGCCCAAAACAGACGCAATTCATGCGAACAGATGCAATTGTCGATGTGCATGTCATGTGGAAGACGAAGACGCTGACTCCAATTTTTTGCACGCACGATGCCTTGGGGGACCCAGTGCACAACGCTGGGGACGTCTGGGATGACGCTCCATGGGCAGCAGATGGCGCGCAGGGGTGGCTCTGATGATGAGAGATCGCCGGGGGCCCTGGGAGACTTTCCCTTTCGATGCCTGGCCCCCGCCAACCCGGCCACCGGCTCGATGCCTATCCGGGCATGGCGCGCCCGTTAACCTTATCAGTCGAGTGGAGGAGCAGGGGTCAGGCAGCGGAGCGGAGTGGATCGTTTCGCCTGAATCATGTCACGCCGTGACGCCGCACTTTCGGCCAGCCTCCCCGCCCTCGACTGCATCTGGCATCATCTGCTCGTCGGCAGAGGCTTGCGGCTCGGTTGCGCTGCCGACCAGGTGCACGGGAGGGGTGAGGCCGCCGCCAATAGCGATGCGTCTCCCCCAAGCCACCCTGGCCGCATCGCTGCTCCTTGATTAATTGCTCCACGACACCGCCTGTTTAGCTCCCCAGCCCAGAGCGGTTGCCACGATGCTGCGAGAACACGGATGCGAGGTGCGCTAGAATCGAAGCGAAGCGGCGATTCGTAAAAAGCGCATGCGCTCTCTCATCCAACCTCCACCAGCCAGCAAGCGCCGGCTCTGGTGTCTGCGCAAATGGGCCATGTCGCCCAAACACGGGGTGCGCTGGGCGCAACGCGCCACTCGACTATCGAATATCAGTCGACCCGAGTCCGAGCGTGCCAACCATGCTCCGGCCCATCGAAATTGCTGCGAACGGACCGCTTCCTTTGCTTCGCCGCCGGAGAAGAAGAAAGCGGGCACACACGGTCCCTCGGCGCACGGTGCCACGCTGCCAAAATCTCCACAGCCCGCACCATGACCACCTCCCGGCCTCGATCAACTTCGGCACCTCCAGCCCACACCGGCATCGGCACGCGAGAGAGCAACGCGCTTGCACAGGAAACACCCATGCACCTCACCGCCTACCACGCTCTCCGAACGTTGGATGAGCAGGCAGTGGCAACCACATAGCGGTCTTTCATTTAGGTGTGGGCTATCCTCCCGCGCCATGTATCTGCCGCGGCTCTTCCAAAAAGAACAATAGGGTGCTCGAGCGTCTGACCTTGATCCTCCTGCGACCCCTCCCTATCTATTGTCCTCCCCCCCCTTCCCCCTTCTCCACACTCGTCACGAGTGTACCGTCTACCTACCTACCATATCGCACAGTCGCCGCTCGGACGCGACGCTTTTCATGCCGTGAATGGGTCGCCCGCCCCCATCCTTGTTCTCCGTAGTAAGCCGAGCGTGCCGCTGATATACCCAAGCCGGCTGCCCGCTCGCGAGAGAGAAAGGGAAAGAAAGAGATACGGTCGGCCCCACAGAGTCGGTCGCCACCTGTGGGTTACATCCGCTCCGTGGTGGATCCCTGGAAAGGAAAAGAAAGAAAAAAGTGAGAGAGGGTCCGGAGTCTGACTGGTGGCGACACACATACAATATGCACGCAATACCTCTAGCGTAGCCCCGCCACGCTAGTGTGTTCAAACACCGGCTCGCCACGTTGAAAAGAGGGAGGGGAGGAAAGAAGAAGAAAAAAAAAAGGTCGATGCTTCTCACAGTAGGATGCAGGGCCGGCAACTCCCTAGGTCCGGCATCGTAGTAAGCGCGCGGGGTCGTGCGGAAAAGGGCCGGTGAGGCGATGCCCCGCTATCATTGTTCGGGAGAAGGTGGCGCGCTGGTGGGCGATGCGTGGTAACTGCGTATTGTAAGCGGAAACGTCGATGCGTTGTAGAGCGGGACGATGTTCGAAATAGTCACGGTGGTCCCTGTAGGAGCTTCATCTTCCAAACTAGTTCCTCTTCTTTCGTTGAGCCCTCTACCTTGACTTTCTCGTCGTTATATTTATCTTGCTGGAAAGGGTCAGTCGTCTTTACCTGGTGCTGCTGCTGTCTACTTGCTTCGGTTCAAGGAACATCTCGGACGGTGACGATATTCCTTGAACGTTCACTTGTGGAAGAATGCCGAAGTTTCCGGCAACTGCACACACAAAGCAGAGTGCAATAGTTCCTCATGAGCGTACAGTGCCTTCCGAGCGAAGATGCACTGGAAGTAATACTTATCAGCACCTTGAGAGTTACTGCGAACGCCCTTATAGCCACGGGTACACATTGCAAACCTGCAGAGGCCAAATGCTGTCTACAACCTTTTCGTGCTGCGGAAACGGCTCACAATCTCCCAGCTGAAGACGAACGAAGACGACTCTTCCATTGCTTTTCTCCATTACTAGATGCCAGACGTACACGAGAGCGGGGGTATCCTCACATCCAACCTTACACCAGACAAACAAAGCTCCGCAGAAGTATCGTACATCTTCCCCATATTCCCAACCTCCCATCCGACCTCGCATATTTTAGCCTCCACCCATGCCGACCCTCGCCGTCAGCCCTGATCTCGTCCTCGTAAACACGCCTCCAACTTTCCTACCCACCCCGTCAATCATTTTCTTCAAGCCATGACTGCCCTCGGCCGTGTGCTGCTCTTGACTCGAATCTTTCCTTTCCTTCTTCTGCGCCTTCGTCCCACCACCACCAGCCGCATTACCACCGCCACCATTCTTCTTCAACTCCCATTCCAACGCATCCATGTCCAGCCGCCACCCCTTGTGCTTCGCCCAATCCACCAACGCGCCATTCACCCACATCTCATGCACCTCGTGCAACAGCGCTCTCACGCGCTCTCTGCGCTCCTCCGCCGACCGCTCTTCGGTCTCGTCGAGCGCGTCGTCGGCGTTCAGCGCCAGCTGCGGCCGGGAATTGTCGGCGAGCCGCTCCAGCTTGTCTGAAGGGCCCGGGCAATCCACATAACTCTGGACTTCGGCCAGGTTGGCGAAGAGCAGAGGGTACTTTTGCCAGAGCAGGTCAAAAAACTCCTCTGGCGAGTCGATGGCGGCGCGTTGCGCGCGGCGCGTGTGCGGTTGCGCGAACCATTTTTGCAGACCCAAAGGGTAGGAGGCTCGTTGTTTGTTGTTGTTGCTGTTGTCGGCGGCGGCGTCTTCGGAGATGCAGGCTGAGGACGGCTTGGTGGAGCAGTCGATGGTACCTGGTACGGAGCTGCTGTCGTTGTCGTGGAGTTGGGTGACGAGTGGTGGGTGGACTGATCCTGCTGTTGTTGACGACTTTTCCGAGTTGTCACGGCGGTGGTGGTGGTGGTGCAGGAACGGGACTTTCTGGATGATGCTTTCCAGCGTGGATTGCCGTTTCAGTGGCCTGATGGCACTTTTTGCGGTGGTGGGGGTGGAGGCCTGGGGAGAAAGAGGAGCTGGTTGTTGGTCATGCTTTTTCTCGGCGACAACAACAGCGGCAGGGCCGGTGCATTGAGTTATATCAGCGGGATGATCCAACGACAGTGTGTCCTGCTGTTCGTAGTCGTAGTCGTCGTCTGCTTCAGAGCCAGAGGTCACGGCAGCTGAATCTCGTGACGGTCGTCTTCTCTCGTGCCACTCGATCACGCCGAAGGGAGATGGTGGGTTCATGTCATCATCATGGCCCGCCAACGACCCCTTTCGCGCTGCCGTCATTGCTGCCGGACCATCAACAACGATGCCCTCCTCGATCACACCGTTTCTCCTCCTCTTCTGGTCGTCCGCCACCGACGAAGACGTCGATGATGTCCGATTAACCCATGCCCGAACACGCTGCGAAATCGAGCCATGCACACCATCCACGGTGACGGGGATCATGGTGCCAGGCTTCTCTTCCTCCTCGCAGCACGCGCATCCCTCCGCCCTCCGCTTGCCGTGCCTGATGCGACGGGCCTCCTCCCTGGTGTAAGGAGGGCTGCTGTCATCGGCCGGGTCGGGTTTGATGACGACTGTTCTCCGCTCGAGACTGCGCTCCCGCCTCTCCCTTTCCTCTCCGTCCACTAGCTGCCAGGGCGCCAGGTCCTCCACGGATGCCATCCTCCCTCTCCTGACCACGGCGAATGCGGGCTTCTTCCCGGTCTCGGCCAGCACGTCCGTCGCTCGGCGGTTGACGCCGAACAATTGGAGTCCGCGCATCTTGTTGCTGATTGGGGGGCTCGAGGCGGCGACTGTGGATATGGTTGGTGATGACTGGGACCTGGAGAGGTGCTTCGGGCGGGCGCCGAAGGAGTGAAGAGTGTGCGGAGCAGGTCGTGGCTGTTGCGGAGATGAAGGGGATGACAACGGGGGAAAAGGATTGTTTTTGCATTCGTGGCCGGTGTCGGCAGCAGCAGCATTCGTGGCAGGAACAGCAGGAACAGCGGCAGTGGAAGCAGCAGCGGCGGCGGCGCGGCGCGGCAACGGCAGTGCCGGAGTCGCGCCTCCTACCAGGGCTGGCGGCGAGGAACTAGAGCATGCTGAGGGCGGGGCCACGGCATCAACTCGCACAAGCACCAGAGTTGCGTTCTCGGGCTTCCGGGTGGTGGCTGCCATGGGGGTGATGACGAAAGTCTCTCGCCAGGCGAGAACCGTGGTTTAGCGACAAGGGGCAAATGAAGTGGCCGGGGAACACGGTGTTGGATTCACTGGGGCATGGCTGGTGGACCGTCGGATGAGAAGGGAGGACATGGCAGGTTTTTGATGCAAGCCACAGCTCGGTGCGGAATGCGCTGTCCCCGGAGCCGTGTGGTGGGCTCTCGGGGCTGGTGGGGAGAAAATCTCGGGGGAGATTGTCTCATGTCGTACGACGAGCTGGTGACGCGCCCCATCTTCTGAGTTTTTCGCCCGTTGCCTGAGGTTTGTGTGGGCGTCCTGCCGTCCTGCCCCGTCGGTCGACGCGCCGCCCCTGCCGTCACTGGCTGCAGGACCAGCCAGCCTCACCCACGGCGCCTTTGCGGCTCGGCGCGGTGCGTGGATGGGCTTCCGTGGTTCAAGTCATGGTGCCGACCCGGTCCAGTTCCGTTCGTCAGGCCGCGCGTGTGCGGGGTCTGGGCAACCCGCATCTCCTCGAGGCCTGCCGCGTCGAGATTGGAAGGACGACATGGCAATGTTTCTGGAGCTGACGAGCATCCGTCCGGGTCACCCGACGGGACAGGAGACGGAAACGGCACGTGATCGTCTGGTGATCTGGGCCATGCGGCATCACTCCATCCGCCCTGGCTGCTGGGAGATCTTCGAGATCGCCCGAGGGCAAGGTTCGAGGAGGCGTCGGAGACAGCGGTCGTCCTTTCGGTACCAGGCTTTGCTTCATCGATCGGCCCTCGTTCCTGGTTACCGGTCACTCCCTGATAAGAAGGCCTTGGGAGTTTTGTGGGACCCAAGTGGATCCAGATCCAGCATGTGAGGCGTGAGGCGTTGTTCCTTGTCGAGGCTTTGCTGGGCGACGGGAGCTTGCCTGAGTGCGGAAGATTATTGAGCCGCGTCCTGGCCCTCGTCAGTCCTGCGCTACCTGCATCTGAATCACCCCGGAACCCGAGATCCCTGGAGCCCAGGAGGCGCATGTTGCATTTCGCTAAATCAATGTGCAACCAGGCAGCGGCGCTAGTCAGCCATGAGTATAGAAACAGGTGCTCGACAATCTCTGTGCTGCCATTACAACAATAACCACTGAGCCTTATGCTTGGTATCCTTTTCTTTTCGTGTGACGCAAAGATCCAGAACGCCCAACAAGCCCAACAAATAATGCACGGTGAAATGAAAGGACATGAGGGACCGGTGCTGATCCCTGGAGAAAAGAAGACATTGAAACCCAGAAGTACCCCAAACTTTCTCCGCGCACCTGAAAATGCAAAATGTCCCCGTGGGGAGAAAACATGACCGGCCACCATCCTCCTCGATCCTTCAACCAATCTCCTCTGATTCAAATAGTGCCAACAAGAGTGGTATGAAGGGGTATAGTATCGCACCGTAGACGGAAGCATTTGACCTTTCCTCGTGAATCTTGAAAAATCCTGCGTAAGCTCACGCAGGTTGCCAGACGGTTGAACGCAAAACGTCGCAAGAGGACCAAACAGAGAAGCGCTTTCGTGCGCGACATGCGTCTACATGACCACGCAATCTTTGTCGTCCTTGCCCTTTTTCCTTCCCTCGGGCTGGATGGCCCCTGTTTCTCCCGAGGCTGCCGCTCGGATGATGGCCAGGCGTTGTTTCGCGCGCGGCTCGCCTTTGTCGGCTGCGCGAACGTACCAGACGTTTGCCTCGAGAGGGTCACGTCTGCAGCCGATGCCCATCTCGGTGAAGTAGCCCACAGCATACTCAGCTTTAGGAAGCCCTGTTGTTGTCTCGTTAGAATCGGTGAAATCCAGGACAAGAAACTCTACTTACCCGTTTCGGCTGCGCGCTTGGCCCATTCGTACGATTCATTTTCATCTTTCTCCAGGACTGGCGGCGCACCAACCAAATACCAAGCGCAAAGACACATCATGGCATCTGGGATGTCTTGCATGGCAGCTCCAGTGTAAAAATGGACGCTAAGTGCGGGATCCTTGGGGCAGTTGAGAAAACCATGCTCGTAACATTCGCCCATCTTAAAGCAGGCCTCAGCGTTGCCCAACTCGGCAGCTTGAGTGTACAGCTGTGCGGCATAGGCCTCGTCTTTGAAACAGTCGTCACCATGGCCATGCTCATGGAGCTTTGCAAGGAGGAGCGGGCCTACGTTGTACTGCGGATCCGCGGATTCCGAGGCACGCTTTAGCCACTTTAAGCCTTCTCGGTCCCGCCGACCAAGTCCCAGCTCCCCGAAGATACAGGCCTGGCCAAGGCGGGATGCAGCACCTGGATGGCCCTTGGAGGCCGAAGCACGGTAGAACTGGGAAGCCTTGGCCAGATCCTTGCGGGAGCCCCACCCATGCTCGTACATAAGCGCGGCGCGGAATCCGGATTCGGCGTGTCCATGTTTGCTCGCCGCAACGAAGAGAGGGAACGCCTTCTCCTGGTCTGGTTTGCCTTTGTTGAAGAACCCGGAAGAATAACCGTCTGCAAGGAGATACTGAGCAAACGGATAGCTGCGATCCGCCAGCCGCTGCAAAATTTGCCGTGATTCCTTAACCATCACTGTCTCGGCATAAGCCTTTTTCGCCGGATCCTCGGAGTGGATATATTCTTTGGCAGCTTGAACAAGGTAAACGGCAAACTCGTACTGAACCGACGAATCCGGAGTCTTCTTGACATTCGCCATGTACATCTCCACCGTCTTTTGGGTATCCAGAAGCGACACGTCGTTCCCGACCAGGCCGCGCAGAGCACTCTGAGACAAGTCCTGCGCTGGTGCAATTTGCTGCGCGTAAGGAACATTGTTGAGCAGGTCCACGTACGAGTGAGGCCTGTTATCCGGAGACCGTCGACTGCCCGACAATGAACGAGCGTACGGAGCGGGAGATGATGTAGGAGACGGCGCAAGAAGGTCACCGGAGCCTGGAGAAGGATGGCGGTCGCGAGGGTTAAGAGTGAACGCGGACACGGGCCGAGTCACAGTTGAGCGAGGCTGAGATAGACCGACGCGAGGTCCAGAGCTCTGACCGCTGGAGGAGCCTTGAGAATCAGAGTAGGTTGACTTCACTCGATCCCGGCGCTCAGCCTTCCTCGGCTTTACAGGCTGGACCTGGTACGGTTGGTGGAAGTACTGCGGCTGTTCGAACTCGGGCTCCTCCTCGAGATCCTCGTAACGCATGTCGGAAGCTATGGTATGCCTCTTGAAGTCTTCGGTGAGGACGTCTCCGGCCATGGAGGCGGGCGGGCTGTTAGACATGACGCTGATGCGGGCTTGTCGGTAGGGTACGTCTCCGTGGATGGCATTCGACGCAACGGAGTCGCGGTACCGGTCGGGCTCAGGGGTCTCGACATCGCGGGAGCCGTTTGAAAAGCCGCCCAAGCTCTGCACGGATGTCCTATTTCCCTGGACGGCATTATTTGAGGGCCCCTGGAGCGTGATTGATGGTTGGTTGCGGTGGCCGTTCACGGGCCTGCGACTCGGCGAGACAGACGACGAGGGGGAGGGATATGCGTTTGCAGCATCGCTGCCCTGGGAGCCGGCGCCCTGGCTAGGCGGCTGCGCGGCGCGCTGAACGTGGACAGCATCTTGGTAACCCATGGCCGCTGCGGGGATGGCTCGTTATGAATGGATCCTAGCCGCCTTGCAACCTTATCTCAACCCTTACTCGTGGCGCAGGTGATAGCTGCAGCGGAGCGATAGGAAAGCGATAGGAACGCGATCGTGCGAGATCGGCGGCGATATGCGCGCGATTGGAGGCGGCGATCAATATGCGGCCGGGGCGAGTCGCAGGTAGAGAGGGTGCCTTTGCTGCTGGAAGTCAGCGCTGCTGCATGGAGTCGGGAGTTTGACAGGCGGCAGCGCGGGAGCCCTGGTGGTGCTGCGGCACCGGGTATGTATGCGCCGTTTGCTGCAGGGACCGCAGGCACACCCGAAGAATTGGATCGGCGGGGTCTTACGGTCTTACCGGAGGTGGGCGGAGGGCAGACGCCAGTGCCGGCTGCTGAGTGGCCGCGAGTCTGCGCTGTGGGGTTGGGACGCGCCGCCGAGTACGACGTACGACTCCCTTTGTGACCCCGCTGGTGGCCCGGCTGCTGTGCTCTCGCGGGGCGCAGGCAGGCAGCAGGCGGAGCGGAGCTTGCGGGCTGCCGGGGCGGCGATTGCTGCGCGGTGGCTTGCGGCCAATTCGTATTGAGCAGAGGCGTGCTCCTCCGCGCGTTGCGGTCGGGTCCGGTGAGGAATGAGTGGAAGGCACAGGCTTCTAGAAAGCGCGGCCGTGTCACAATAGCTCCTCGCTATAGTCGGGCGCTTGGGCGCGAGGGAGATTATGGTGAAGAAGCGGCTAGGCAGGCTGTATATGGCTGGGGCTGCCGCCGCCGAGCGGCGATATATGTCTCGTCGGCGCTGGCGCGAGGCTTCCAGAGCAGCCGCGGACGCGCACTCAGGCGCTGGCGTGCAGCGCCCACCGGCGGCGGCTTGCAACTCTTCCCGCAAGCGCGAGGCATTGCGATCGGCCGACGTCGTCATCCGGGCAGACGATTTCGACGCAGAAATTCACCCGCGCGGGCTGGACGCTGCACCATGCAGGCCCGCTCCGTTTCAGGCCGCAGGTGCACGTCTGGGGCGGCAGTAGAAAGGCGGTCGGTTGGGAGGAGCTTGCCGAGCGCTTTGGGAGCACGGCGATCTCTGACGCACGCACTGGACCCTGCCGTCGTGCCATCCAGCACGCGCTGCTGTCACGATCTGTCACCAGCACGTCGCGCCCCACAGCGCGATAGCTCGGCCGGCTGCCGTGGTCGCCCAGCCCGGCCGCGGCCCTGCCCCCCACCCGACCCCGTGCCCACGCTGCGACGTGAGAAATAGAGAGTGCCGCCGCGACTGCCGCTTGGGGCAGCAGCCAAGAGAGCCGCAGGCCCGCCGCCGCCGCCGCCGCCGCCGCCGCCGCCGTGCCTGGAGTCCCGGAGTCAGCAGCCAGCGCGCGCGGACCAGCGCCGGCGTCGCAAGCCTGCGAATCCTCTCGTCCCGCGCAATAATACGCGATGGGCCGCAGGGCGTGCCGGGTCTCGGGCGAGGTGACATTTTTTCTCGTGAAGAGTCAGGCGGCGCACGGCAGGCGCAAATCGCTCTAGCAGCGCGCCACCTGGTCCAAGAATAGGCGCGTCGCCGCCCTCCATGTCGCTAATCCCGCAGCCAGCAGCAGCATTCAGCCGGCGCCGTCGCCTTCGCAACCATTCGCTGCCGTCAGGGGAACCCTGCGGCCTCTGTTGACTACTTCCCCAGGCGCTCCCTGCGAGCGCGTCCGGCTCCAGTCGTGCTCCGGCCTTGCTGAGCTCCCCCAGTGCCCAGCCCAAAACAAACCGTCGTCACTCGTTTCTGCCGTGTAACTCCCGGTCGCTCCGCCGGAGACGCGCACGATACCCAACCCAACCTTCGTTCTGCATCCGCCTTGAAGTCTGCAACCTGCGTGTTCACCCAACGCTCGTTGTCCCGGCGCGCCTCGATCGCTGCCGTCCCTCGTTATACTCCGCAACCACCACCCATCAGCGGCGCTCTGTCAGGACGCCTCGGACGGGTGCCCGCAAGGCGACCAAAGCAAACTTGATCGCTTGGATGCCCTTGGCCCCGTGGTGCGTCATTGTACTCTGCAGGCAGAATTCCCGAGCACACCTTGTTTTCGCAGCCTCGCAGACCACCACCGCCGGGAATGTAGGCTAATCTGCAACAACAGCACCGCCCAACATGTCGCTCCCGCTCAGAACGCAGCCGCCGGCCTCGCCGCGGCGGCGCGAACAGGCTCACATTCGACACAGCTCCCACGGCCGCACTCGACGAGACTCGTCTTCCCGCCGCCGTAGGCCTTCCGACGTCGAGCCCCGGCCGTCGCACGACTCGCGCACATCGCGCGCGTCGAGAACCACGCCGAGAAAGGAACACTCGCGCCATCCGTCTTCACAAAACGCTCAGCCTTCCCCGCGGACACCAACCGCCCGCGAAGACGATCCGATGATGGCGGCCGGCCAAGAATTGACCCGCAAGCGCAGTCTAGTAAGGCCGGAGCGCAGCCGCATCGAGCCCGATCATCCCAACTACCACTACCGTCAACATGCCTCAGGCATGAACGTGCGGCCTTCGACCACTGGCAACGACCCGCTTGCCGAGAACCATTATGAGGCTGAGACTGCTAGCTCGGAAAGTACAGACATCAAAACCTTAGCTCCGAGGGTCCAGCAGCGGAGCTCGGGCAACAACTACTACAACGAAAAAAAAGAGGCCCACAATCGGCATGCTGGTGCCGATCGCAAGCTTCAGCGCAGATCCGCCCGGCAAGAACCGAGGAAGAAAGACAAGGACGCAAAGGCCCGAGAGCGCATCCGCAACGGCGAACGACCCCCGAGTTTGTGGAGCGTTTACTGTGCTATCCTGACTTTCTGGGCGCCAGGTTGCATCTTACGTTGTTTTGGAATGCCTCAGAAAGCTCAGCAGCAGGCTTGGCGCGAGAAGATTGGCCTGATCAGCATCATCATGTTGATTTGCGCTTTCGTTGGTTACTTGACATTCGGCTTCACTGAGACTGTTTGCCCTAACGGGGGCCCAATGCGGCTGCAAGTCAACAAAGTCGACACTGGTTACATGATCATTCACGGGAAAGCGTACGACCTATCCAAGTCTTCCCACCCATGGGTACGCGGAATCCCCGAGGGCGCAAATGTCCTTTTCGATCTCCCGGAAAAGCAGGGCGGCAAAGACGCCAGCTTTCTGTTCCAGAACGTCAACGGTCATTGTAAAGGCCTGATAAATGCCGCTGACGGCTCTGACGTGGTCTCTGAGGATAACGGGACTGAGTTGGCCTGGTATTTCCCCTGCAACACTTTCAACCAAGATGGTTCTTCGGAGCCGAACTTCACGATTCCGTACTACCTGGGATATGCATGCCACACGTCTTCCGCTGCCCGCGATGCGTATTACAGCCTCAAGAGTGATGGAGATGTCTTTTTCACCTGGGACGATGTGAAGAACTCAAGCCGAAACTTGATGGTCTACAACGGCGATGTTCTCGACCTGAACCTTCTAGAGTGGTTCAATACTACTCAAGTGTCATACCCCAGCCGCTTTGATGATATTCGGAAGAATTCAGCACTCCGTGGGGTTGACATTACCCGCTCGTTCACTTCGACAGAAGACAAGCAAATCGCCAAGTGTTTCTCGGAAATCATCAAAGTTGGCTCTATCGATACCGAAAGCATTGGCTGCATTGCTTCCAAGGTTGTTCTCTACGTGTCGTTGGCGTTCATTCTCTCTATTGTTGCTGCCAAATTCTTCCTCGCTCTAGCCTTCCAGTGGTGGATTTCTAAGAAGTACGCTGCCGACAAGTCCGGAATGGGTCTTAACTCCAAAAAGAGGCAGAAGGAGATCGAAGACTGGGCCGATGATATCTACCGCCCTCCGCCGAAAATTGCCGATCCTACTGGGCCCAGTTCAGTGGATCGCAACAACAAGCGCAGCAGCAAGTTCTTTCCGTCGACATCCAGATTCACCAGCCCCTACGCAATTGACTCGGGCAAGTCCCGCCCGCCGCCCACGACCATGGCCAGCCAGAATTCGACCGCTCGTCTCATGAACCCTGCCTTCAAACAGGGCAATCGAAGCGAAGGCACTCTTGGTTATGACATGAATAGCAGGTCCGGTGGAGGTGAAAGCCGCACTAGCTTGATGCTCCCACCTACTTCTGACCAGCGATACTCCAGCTACATGGGTGAATCCGAGGGCCCTGGCCCGGCAGGCTTCATCCACGAAGCTGTAGTTCCGCAACCTCCTGCCGAATGGCAGCCGTTTGGCTATCCTCTCGCACACTCCATCTGCCTGGTCACCACCTACTCTGAGGGTGAGGAAGGTATTCGGACCACTTTGGATTCCATCGCCACCACGGAGTATCCCAACAGCCACAAGCTGATCCTCGTTATTTGTGACGGTATCATCAAGGGCAAGGGCGAGGAGTTCTCGACTCCAGAGATCTGTCTTGGCATGATGAAAGATCACGCTGTTCTGCCCGACGAAGTGCAAGCCTTCTCGTATGTTGCGGTTGCCGGTGGATCGAAAAGACACAACATGGCCAAAATCTACTCTGGGTTCTATGACTACGGCGACGACTCGCGCATCCCGGGCGAGAAGCAGCAGCGCGTACCAATGATGCTTGTTGTCAAGTGCGGCACGCCTGAAGAAGCCAGCAAGTCCAAGCCAGGAAACCGCGGTAAGCGCGACAGCCAGATCATCCTGATGTCCTTCCTCCAGAAAGTCATGTTTGATGAACGCATGACGGAGCTGGAATTTGAAATGTTCAACGGCATATGGAAGATCACCGGGATATCGCCGGACTTCTACGAGATTGTGTTGATGGTCGATGCGGATACGAAGGTGTTCCCTGATTCTCTGACGCACATGATCTCCGCTATGGTCAAAGATCCCGAGATTATGGGCTTGTGCGGCGAGACTAAGATCGCCAACAAGCGCCAATCGTGGGTGTCAATGATTCAGGTCTTCGAGTAAGTTTTTCCATGTCTGTGCGTGCGATCGGCATCGGATTCCCTAACGGGCAGCAGGTACTTCATTTCTCACCATCAGGCCAAGTCGTTCGAATCCGTGTTTGGCGGTGTAACGTGTTTGCCAGGCTGCTTCTGCATGTACCGCATCAAGGCGCCCAAGGGTGGACAGAACTACTGGGTTCCGATTCTTGCCAACCCCGATGTGGTCGAGCACTACTCGGAGAACGTTGTCGACACGCTCCACAAGAAGAACTTGCTTCTTCTTGGCGAGGACCGTTACCTGTCAACGCTGATGCTGAAGACGTTCCCGAAGCGCAAGCAAGTGTTTGTTCCACAAGCCGTCTGCAAGACGACGGTTCCGGACGAGTTTAAGGTTCTGCTCTCGCAGCGTCGTCGGTGGATCAACAGTACCGTTCACAACCTGATGGAGCTCGTTCTTGTCAGGGACCTGTGCGGCACCTTCTGCTTTAGCATGCAGTTCGTCGTCTTCATCGAGCTGGTCGGCACGCTTGTGCTGCCGGCGGCGATTTCGTTCACCATCTACCTGAGTAAGCTGATCCTGAGGTGGTGAGCACCACGAGGCGGACGGGGTACTGACGCGAGAGAACACAGTTGCGATCGCCATCAAGGCAGCAATCGAGCACACGCCGGCGCCGACGATTCCTCTAGTGCTGCTCGCGCTCATTCTCGGTCTTCCGGCCATCCTGATCGTGCTCACCGCTCATCGGTGGTCGTACGTGGCATGGATGCTGATCTACCTCGTGTCCTTGCCCATCTGGAACTTCGTCCTCCCGACGTACGCGTTTTGGAAGTTTGATGACTTCTCGTGGGGTGACACGCGGAAGACGGCAGGCGAGACGAAGAAGGGCGGGCACGAGGACGACGGCGAGTTCGACAGCAGCAAGATCACGATGAAGCGCTGGCAAGACTTTGAGCACGGTATGTACATACAATCCTCGTCCCCAGGGCGGGCAGGCTCGGACGCGGACTGACTGGGAAACAACAGAACGGCGGCTCAGGGGCTCCAGCGTGGGTTGGTCGCAGCAGAGCGCGTCGGCCGGGGCATGGCCGGCTGGCTCGCATCAGCAGCAGCAGCAGCAGCAGCAAGGATACGAAACGTACTATGAGCATTAATCATGGTGCATGGTGGCGTTTTCCTGGGAGATGGCCAAGGGCAGATGGTTTCTCAACGCGTCTGAAAGCTGCATCTGGTGGCACCGGCACAGAGATGATCCGGAGCGGGCGTGGTTTCATTGGGCGGTTAGGGCCAGAGGCGACGCGCAGCTGGACAGATTCCGACACGGGCCTTTTTGCCAGCAGCATCTGCAAACGTGCGCTGCTCGCACTTGCATGACGGGCGGAGCCGAGCTGACGGCGGCGGGTAATGCGGGTTTTAACGATTAAAGAGCGGCGGGCGGCGGGCGGCGGGCGGCGGGCGAGCGCAGCAGCGGCGGGCGCGTCCATGTATGTAGCTCTGGCGCGGTAACGACGATATTAATTACGAGCAGCATCTGGCATCGGGCATCCGGCACCCGGCATCTGGCATCTGGCATCTGGCGAGGGTTCGTGTGTGCGTGCGTGGGTGCGTGGGTGCGTGGGTGCGGAGAGCTTGTGCAGGGGTGGGCTGTGGCTCACTCCCATATTCGATGCAGCATGCAGCGCCCGGGTCGGACAAGGCCCCGTTTGCAGCCCCAGCCGCCCCCGTCGGTTGCACCGTCATGTGCGTCGGGCTGGGCTGCTGCGCATGGCCCTGATGGGAGCGAGAGCGTTGGCTTCGGCGTGGACCCGTGGACCCGTGGACCCCAGGACCCCACCGTGTGTTCAACGTGTTAACGGCAGCGCGCGCACGCTGGCCACGGTGCAGCAGAGCAGCAGAGCCGCGGCTTCCAGCGACGGCAGCGCCCCACACCGCGCCCGGACCCCTCCCTGGGTCCCTTCACCCTTGGCCGCTGCCCGTGCGAGCCGCTCTTATCGCCTGCGCTTGCGCACTTGCGCACTTGCACTTGCGCGCTTGCAGATCGCGCCCCGCGCCCGCCGCAGCTGCCAGAGCTGGCAGAGCCGTGAGCCCGTCCATCGCCAGCCCAAAACCTGCGCTGCGCTGCCCTGCGCGGCGCTGCTGATGCTAGGTCGTTTCCTTCTCGCCGCTCGCCGCTCCCCGCCGCCTGTATCACCCGCCCGCCGTGCCCGCCGTGCCCGCCGTGCCGCCCGTCCAATCCGCCGCCCGAGACAGATCCCGCTCCCCAGCATCCTCCCAGACCTGCTCAAGCGCGCCGTCGCCCCAGTCCCAGAGCCCTGGCTCAAGCGCCGCCAGCTCTGTCATGCAGCGTGCCGCCCTGCCAGAGCCAACGTGAACGCCCCGGACCATTGTACATACTGCACGTCTCGTGGCTCCCTCGCGCAGCCCTGCACATACGCCGTTTTGCGACTTCTTCGCATATCCCACATATTCTTTAGCCCCGACCACCCCGGCGAACGTTGGATCCGTCACGTCCCATCTCACGCGCCGCCCGCCCGCGCGCTAATCCCCGACGCCGTCCTGGCGCCCCCGTCGCAGCATGGCCAGCGCTGGGCATGACATCGTCCGCCCGGCCCCAGCGCAGACCCATCCTGCTCCACCCAGCCAGCCCTTCCACTACCGCTCCGGTCACGCCTCCTCGCTCCCCTCCATGGACCCCTTCTCGCAGGACTCTGCATACCACGGCGACACCGAGCCAGACATGGACGGCCTGCCCGACGACGCTGACTCTGATATGGATGACACACAGCCCGGCGGCGTGCCCATCCCGTCTGGCGAACCCTATCTGGGCTTCCATCATGGACTACAGACGACGCCTTCCGCTCCGCCTCTCTCTCATCTACAGCCCCCAGCACCCCAGGCACCCGTGGAAGACACCTCGCCTCCAGCAAACGAGGAGGGTGATTTCTCATGGCCGGAGCCTTTCACATTCCAAGGAGCGGCGTGGCCGCTCACATCCCAAGCGGGCGCTGGCAGTGGCACAACACCCGCTTATGTTCCCATCAACAACCAGCCACCGTCTTTCAGTCTCGGGAACGCGCAGTTCGTCATTCCGCCCTACTGGGAAGACTATGAGGTCAATACACCTTCCGTGGACGACTACAACTTCAAGTCAGATATCTGCAAGTTCATGGAGACTTGGAGAGTCGCTGCTGGCATCCCAGAATATGGATTGAGCAAAATCGGATCTGAGGCTTCCAGGGTCAAGCACTGGGACCGCCCTCGGTCAATACTGAGGGAAGATCTGCAAGGAAACCGATACGACATCCAAGGCATCAACTGGGACAGGCTCGAGACGGTTCGAGAGGCCGCCCGAGACGCCCGCACCAAGCTCTATCAGGTTTCTGTGGGTCGAGTCGGCGTACTGCCGCCCAGAATGGCAAGGAGACTGCCCAACACTGAGAGTTATTTCCGTTTTCGGAGAATGAACACAAACCACCAGGCTCTGATAGCCCATTTCCAGCTGCGCAACCTCATTTCTGCCACCTCACGGGCTGATATTTTCTATGCGGGTCGGTCGAGAGTGATGCGCACCGACTCGTCGGGCGTCTCGACGAGCTGTGTCATGGATCTGACGAGGTCCCAATTCGACTCACTGCACTCTGCAACGTTCGACATTACGTCGATGACGGCCTCGGAGAACATTCTTATTGCAGGTGGCTTCCATGGGGAATACGCACTGGTCGACCTGCAGTCGGAATACGGCAGCAAGCCTACGCAGGGCTTCATCACGCACGAGCCAAACGGCATCACCAACCACGTGCACACGTTTGCGAACCGTAACACGGGCGGCAACATGGCCGTCTTCTCGTCGAACGACAAGCGCCTCCGCGTTTTGGACTGCACCACGAACCGCTTCGTCCACGACTTCGGATACGAAGATGCCATCAACTGCTCTGCCACTTCGCCCAACGGCCGCATGCGCATGGTGGTCGGCGACTTTTCAGAAACGCTGATTACAGATGCCGAAACCGGGCGTCCGTTCGAGCGCCTGGCCGGGCACGACGAACACACGTTTGCGTGCGCCTGGGCTGACGATGGCATCCACCTCGCCACGGGCGCTCAGGATTCCAAGGTTGTCGTGTACGACGCGCGTTGGTGGGGGCGGCCACTTTCAGTCATCGCATCAACCATGGCCTGCCCGCGCAGCCTGCATTTCAGCCCTGTCGGCGGTGGGCGGCGTGTGCTGCTGTCAGCCGAAGCAGACGACGTGGTCAGCGTGATCGACGGGCAGACGTTCGATCGCGCCCAGACGCTCGATTTCTTCGGGTCCGTCAGTGGGGTTAGCTTCGTCCCCGACGGGTCCAGTTTCTTCGTGGCCAACAGCGACGGCAAGTTCGGCGGGATCATGGAGTTCGAGCGGGCCAGCTGGGGCGAGAGGGCGGGCGTCCAAGCCGAGCCCGGGACGGAGCGCCGCGAGAGAGGTGGGTCGAATCTCAGCGGCAGGCGCGTGAGCCGCGCAGTTGACCACAGGCAGACCGAGTGGGCGAACGACGTCGACGTCGACGCCGATGCGAGGACGAAACTGGGCTCCGTGGCGCGGAGGAGAAGAGGCCTCGGCCTGGGTGAGCTTGTCGTGTAGACAGTGCACACTCCCGGCGCTACCCCTCGCCCTCGACCATGGTTCACCATGTACACTCGGCCAGGAGCAGCAGCACCGTATGACGGCGATACCTTGTATTTGACTTATCACTGCATTACCTACTCAACCGGAAGGTGGAATTTACTTGACGCAGCGACGACGACCAACGACCGAGACGTAGCGAACGCGGAGTGGCAAGCATCTGTTTTGTGGCTTGCAGTGCTGTGGACTGAAGCGAGCAACATGCTACCTTCTTTTTCTTGCTTTTTGGGCGGCTCTCCTTGTGTCGAAGAGCCACCACGTGTGGACAGCATGGTGGCGTTCTTGTGCGTTTCTTACTTGCTTGCGGCTGAAGGGCTCTGTCCTTCAGCGCGCCTTGAGACTGCTTGAGTCGGCTCCAAGCACTTCATTCTTAATTTCTTGTTGTCACAGTTGTGTGCTGCTTTGATCGTTACTTGTCAGATACCTTTGTGGAAGTTTGCTCCCAAGCTTCTTCTCGTTTCTTGTGATTAATTTCTACTTGTCCTCTCCTCATGTTTGATCAGTTTGATCGTCTACTTTCGGCCGGGTTTCTCAGTCGTTGTCTTTCGGTTGCAAGTCCCGTCTTCTGCCTCGTTCAAGCAGCTTGTCGGGAGCCGTCGTTGAGCGGGCCTTAATTATCCTCAGTCGTATACCCCACTACCCCGGGCGTGCGGACTTTGTCTCGCCTTTTCAGCCCCCCTCTGTGCGTTGCGGTAAGGCATGCTCAGGTTATCTGATAGCCCGCCACAGCGACATGAAAGGGACTGGCTGTATGTACATGTTCTGCTTCTCCCTCTTCACTTGAGCACAATACCACAGGTTTTGGAGCCAACGTCTTTCGATGGCATGCAGTGCAATGGTTTCGGTCGTCTCTCGTTGAGTCCGAGACATGGCCTACCCTCGCCCGTCCCGCAGCGGCGACGGAGGGGGTCGCATCACTACTGTCTTGGGACGGTCAATGGTAGTTGATGGTCTCCCTTGCCAATCCCGTTTTGTTGATTGTTTTGGACGGGCCGTGTACAAGGCTTACTTTCCGTTGGGGGGGAGGGAGGGGGCAGGATTGCGGTCATCTGATCTTCTGAGACAACGGTAAGAAAGAGAGACACAGGCGTAAGTATGAGAGGATGGGCGTTGCGGCTGAGGCGGCGGGATGGAGTCGCTGCCACTTCCGGCTCGGATCCTTCTGCCGAATGCAGACGCCCCCGGCCGCGAGAGTGTGCCATTGGCGAGCAGGAGAGAGCGAGCTACCTAAGCCGGAACGTGAGGGCATGACGGCATGACGGCATGACGGTCGTTGGTCCTGCGCTTGGCGCTTGCTTTTTTTCTTTTTCGCTCTTTATTTGCCCCCCTAATGCCGCCTGCCGTCGGTTTTTTTGATTGTGATTTGTTTTTCGATCGGCTGATCTGCACACGGATGGCTTCCTTCCCTTTCACACACATACACACGGCCGTTGCCGGGAACGGTGAGACTAGCGGGTTTTGGGAGAAGGCGGTGGTGGCGTGGCTGCCGCGTGGGTTGAGCGAGCTGGGCGCTGGTGTTAGCTGCAGGCCGTCAGCCGAGGCTGACCCTTCCTGTGTTGTGCCCCATCCATGCGCCGCCTGAATGGGAGAGCGGAACGATCCTTGTTCATGCGGCTGTCCGCCTGGGCCTGGAGTCGCATTGTTTCTGCATACAGCTGTTTTTATTTTATTTTTCCTTTTCCATTCTGGCGCCGTGAGCGTTGCATTGCGTGGGAGATCACACAGGCTTGAGCAGCAGCAGCAGCATTTCGCGCCGCCTGATCTCTCTTTTTTTTTTTTTTATCTTCCTTCTCCCGAACTTTGATTAAACGCCGGACGATCTGTGCGACTGTCGGCAGAGATGGCATCCTTCCCTGCATGGTTGCACGGGAGACGGGGGGGCCGAGAGAATAAGCGGTGGTGTAACGGGTGATCGGCGAAAAGCTTGTGCTCAGACCCGAAGTGGATCGATCATGCTTGTTGTTTGCTTTTTTTTGTACCTAGACGTATTCTCTCGCTTCGCTTGCATCTATGTACATATCGGTCTCTCTCCACTCCTCCTCTCTTGTCTCGTCTTGTGATACATACGAGCACGCTGCCTTCTGCCGCCCGGATACGAGGACTTTGACGGGTTCAATGTGAATCCTCGCTGTCAGTACAGTGCAGTGCAGTGCTTGAGCTGAGCCGAGCATCCGACTGATGATCCAAGAACACACTCACACACACATAGCGCGCAAGCCACAGCCTGCAGAAAGCCGTTGTCGGAGACGGAGTCGGGATACTTGAGGCGCTTTTTGTGCTCTTCGGAACGAGTCCAGATCTTCCCCGACACGTGCGGGCTGTCCGGAAGAGGCGCCACATGCCACGCGGGAGAGCAGCTCCTTGACGCTTGCTTTTGTGCCGTTGCGATTGGTTTTGGAAGGCTGCTGGTGGTCGTGGCGTCTTCCTTCCTTCCCAAAGTGGCCGGGTAGCCGCTTCCAGTTGTTACAGATGACGCAGAAAGGAGGAGCTCGGAAGAGAAAGAGAAACCCACTCAAGTCATCCTAGATTTCAACCTCGTTTCGTCATGTATCCTCCAGAACCCATTTACTGTCCCACCATGTCTTGCTCCAGCCGGAATAGCGTATGACTGAGCTGATATGGCTAACTTAATGCCCTCCGCCCTGGGATGGAGAGGCACGAAAGGGAGGCAATGTCAGCTCGCAAACAATGAATATACGTAGTGAAGAGAACTGCATCCCTTTTGCTTTATTTCCACTCGCCCCTGCACTGGTGTACACATTCTTCTTTGGGCTTCATTTCGATCTTTTATATTCCGGCTATACTTCCACATGTGTACCTTCGTTGACGGTCAGCTCGCCAGATAGGGGTGAGACAGTCGACGATTTAAGGACCCGATCATTATACCCTCACTGGATTGTGTCGCGTCACTTATTTTCTTTCTTTCTTCCTTCCTTCCTTCCTTCCTCAGTCAAACTGAGGTGTACGAATGATGCTGCCGTCAACCGATATTTATTCATTCAAATTTCTGCTTCGCTGAAGCGTGGAGCAACGAACTAACAGCCGTAAACAACCTGCGCAACGACGATCTACTTCAGTCTACATCCTGCGTCTTTCCGCTCGGATGCGCGCAACAAAATCTGCCCCAACCCTCACATGTACGCCTTCGTCTCCCTCTCGCACCACTCCCAAAACTTCTCGGCGATCCCTAGCCCTCCTTCCTCGTTCGTCCGCTTGATAGCCGCCTCGAGTTCGGCCCGGGGCTGCTGGATCTGGCCCCACGGCACGACGAGGCAGCCGCTGTTGTCGATACCAATGTCGGGCGACCAGCCCGCGTAAAGCTCCGTGTAGGCGCCTTTGATGGCAGGATAGAGCGTGGTCCGCTGGTTTTGCGTGGTTAACAACGGTCAGGAGAGGAGCTGGAGGGAGGGAAGAGGAAAGAAGAAAAGGGGGAAGGAATACTCACAGCCACCAATTGTTCGACAGGTCCAGTATGCCTGTACAGCTCCGTGTACAGGTTACCCGGGTTCCAAGACTGTGGTCCCGTCTCGTCAGCGGGGTCTCGTCCTTCTTTCTATCTACCCCAGTCCAACTGGGTCCAAGTTTTTCATTTCCTGCACCCTTCCTTCATATCGCAGCTGTAGCATCGTCACATCGCCTCCCTTTGGACCGGGGCCTGACAAGAAGAAAAGAGAAACGAAGAAACGAAAACTTACAGAGCTCACAATCCCACTATCCTTGCTATACCTCCTCGCAAACTCGGTCCCCAGGAACACGTTGCCCGACTTGCTCTGCCCGTAGTTCTGCTGGGGGGTCCCGAGCACCTTGGGCTCGCCCGTCTGCTCGTCGAGATCGACGCCGTGCGCCGGGGAGAGCAGGTCGATGGCGAGCGAGGCCGCCCAGGTGACGCGGACGGAGCCCGGAGGCGAGGACGCGGCGGTCTGGCGTAGGAGGGGGAGGAGAAGCTGCGTGAAGAGGTAGGGGCCGAGGCAGTTGGTGCCGAGTTGGAGATCATGGCCCTGTTTTTTTTTTTTTTTTCGTCGTCGTCAATCAAGAGAGGCGGGGGGAGGAGGAGGGGGGGGGAAAGCATAAGGGTTCAGCCTACCTCCTCCGTCTTGCTGCCCTTCGGCGGGAACATGACGCCGGCGTTGTTCGTCAGCACGTCCAGCCTCTGCTCCTTGGCCATGAACTCGTCGGCGCTCTTCTTGATGCTGCCGAGGTGCGCGAGGTCCAGCTGCAGGAACTCGACGCGCCCGCTGCTGTCGCTGACGGCTTCCTTGACCGCGGCGATGCCGGCGGCGGCCTTGTCCGCGCTGCGCCCGGCGACGTAGACGGCCGCGTTCTTGGCGTACAGGATCTTGACCAGCTCCAGGCCTACGCCCGAGTAGCCGCCTGTCACGATATGGACCTTTTTTTTTTTTCTCTCGGTCAATGAGAGCGCGGCAAAGCGTAGGTAGTCGGGGGAAATAAAAGTAAATGAAATATGAAACAGGAACGGAACCCAAGAGACGGTATAGGAGCGTGAGAAGGCCGTGATGGTGATGGTGGAGTGTCCGGAGCCACGTTACGTACCTTGCCCCGCTGGTCCGGCAGCTCCTTGTCGGTGAAGGGAGGGTTGGCGATCCAGGCCGACTGAGCGGCGACGTTCTTGATCCTCTGGAACATGTTGTTTGTGCGGGTTTCTGTGGTATTGGTTGTGTAGGGTGGAGTCTTCTTGTCGCTGGGAAGCGCACGGTTGTGGGGGAGCGGGATGATGGGCTGTAGCTATGATGCAATGGCAGCAGCTAGTTATCTATGTCCGAGCGCCATGGCCATCAGTCGCCATCCGACGTTTGAACACGGTGCAGAAGAGAGCATTTGCCGCAGCAGCTTTCAGAGTCCCGGGCTGATGGGCCAGGTGCATAGGGAGCGGCGCACTCTCATCGAACCTTCAAACCACTATGTAGCGATGCAAATGTGGTCAAGCTGAATCCCTGCATTCCGTTCCCTATCTGGGTTGGCGCTTGGGCTGCAGTCGAGGTACAACAACACCTTCACTTGAGCATTGTGACGTGAATGAGCGGAAACAATGCCGATCCCCAAACCACGTCTTTCCAAGTAGTCGATCCGAGTGGATGAAGATGCTTCTGTTCTGAGAATAACAATGTTCCGAAAGTGCCCCAGTGATATAGACAGTGTCCAGCCATGCGTATAGCCATCGTCCTACTTGTCCACCTGGGATCATCTTGAGGAGTACCCTCAATCGTATCTCATCATGTTGCCCATCTGCCCGAATGTCGGCAAGCTGGATTTTCCCTTCTGGAAGGTTGAAGCTTGGAAGGGCTTCTGCGACACATACACCCCATCTACTCAACACCAGAATACAGAGCCCGTCCCAATCCAGCTTTCTAATGCATCTAGTCTCTCGAACCCACACCGTTGCTCCAATATACACACGTCATATCTACTCAGAATTGTTAAAGTCGGGCTGGACTTATGCATCGGTTTGAAGCCTCGTGGTCAAGGCGCTCTCTCCTGCGGGGAGCATTGCCATTCCCAAGCCCCAGGCCTTTGTAGCGAAGGTGCGGGCCAAGTCATGGTGCGCGTTCAATGCCGACACCTCATCGCCCGAAAGGAGGTGGATATTCTTCCTGTGGTGGATGAATGGAATCTCGTAAGGCTCGCACATGGTGTCGGGCGCGGGCAGGCTGCCGTTGTTGAAATAATTGCGGATGTACCCGACCGTACATGGCGAATAAGCCGCAAGGGAGCAATGCTACGAGCGCAGAAATGTCAGTTCCCCATTGAATCCTTCTCGTTAGAATGTGCTTACCCCAGGCGAGTTCTGTGCCAACACTTCGGAGCCTGGAAACAGCGATTTCATCTTGTGCGCGCTGCATCTGGCATTAGTGAATGGCAGGTGCACAAGGGCCGAGTGCTTACTTGACAAGCGGAGTGACCGGGTCCGCAGTATTTCCAATCCAAAGGACGGGGTTGGCCGTGTCGCCACCAAACTCAGGCTTGTAGTCGGTGAATCTGTACAAGGGCCTGAATTTCCAGTTCGCACAATTCATCCTGTGCCCAGCCCACATGGCACCGACGGATGGAGAGATGGCATCGAGCTTGCGCCAGTGCGCTTCCATGCCCTCCATGTCCAGGTGATCTTGGGGGTCACCATCGCTGCACATGATAGCCATTGAAGCCTCGCCATCCACCTGTGCAATATCCGTGTCATTTCCCTTGGCGGCACAGGCGAAAAAATGCTTGCCTGTCAGGTAGCGTTCCATTTCCCCGTCTTCATCCCCGCGAGCCACGGCAGCAAGCATCTCGGCCATGAGCGGAAACGCATGCACTGGTTCATAGAGGGCCATGAACCTGAACAGCCTGACGTCGCTCCACGTGACGATTTCGGGAAATTCGCCTTTGACCTGCACCGGGTTGTGGTAGATCTTTTCGAGAACAGCCAGCGTCTTGGCTTCGATGTCGGCCGCCGTCGAATTGCGGTCCGCAAGTGGGCAAATGCGGGGGCCGACTTGGGCACAACGGTCGTAGAAGGCCTGCATCGCCTTCTCCGTGTCGTGGAGATTGTCCGACCACAGCGTCTTCATGTAGTTTGAGCCATGGACTACACCATCCAAAACGAGCCTCCCGACGCGGTCCGGAAACATGGACGCGAAGGTGCTTCCAAGCAGAGTGCCATATGAGAAGCCCCAATACTGAAGCTTCTCGGTGCCAGGCACGTAGATTTCCGGCAGCCGCAAAGACGCGCACACACCGTGGTTCTCGCACATGGCGAGTGCATCTTCGGTCAGGACGCGCCACGTTTCGGCCTCGCGATACTGGCCAAAGAGCTCGGCAAGTTCCAGCATGTCGCGCGCGACTGATGCGGTGGAGACATAGCGTTTCACGTCGCCCTCGTCGTCCTGTCCAGCGCACGACGCGCCCAGTGCATTGACCATGGACCAGCGCCGCCCGAGCACGGCATCAGAGCTGCCCAGGATGCCCTGCGAGTCCAATCGCAGATTCCACGATTCCCTGATGGCTGCAGAGCGGAAGCAGTGGGCGCCCGGAGTCGTCCTGCCGATGCCGCGAGGATCGAAGCCAACGACGTCAAAGTACTTGGAGGTCGAGTTCTCGGGCGCCTCGAAATCCGGATGCACGGGAGAATCAACGAGGGCCTGAATTGCCAGTCCTGCGGCCGTGACGAGGTCGACGCCAGAGCCTCCCGGTCCGCCTGGGTTCAGGAACACCGGACCGCCGTAGCGCGGGTCGGTGACGGGCACTTTGGCGGGCAGCACCGTCACGGCCAGGCTGACATGTCTGTCGGGAAAGGTGCCATTCCACCAGTCCAGCGGCAGCTCGACACGTGCGCACCGGAAAGCGTAGTAGCATGGCTGGAACGCGAGGTTTTTTGTGGACGGAACCTGTGCAGGACGTGAGCACGCGTCCAGATCGGCACATGGCTTGCGCGGCTTACAGCATCCCACGAGAAGCCCGCTGTCTGGGAGGCTTCGGCGTGCTGGCGTGCCCGCGCGTCCAGCTCGGTGCCCACGAAGGCCACCAGGCGATCAAAGGCGGCAGCGGCAAGGTACAAGACGCCCAGGAAGAGGAGAGCGGTGCGGGCGGCGACGACAGGCCGCTTGCGCGCAGGCTGCGCAGCGGGGTGCCGCTCGGCAGGCGCGGGCGCTTTCATCATGGAGGCAGCAGAGGGCGAGAAGGGCGGCGGGCAGAGCAGTGCTATGGAGACTGGAGAGCGCGTATCATAGCATCGCAGGCGATGCGCGATAAGGCGGCGGCGGGCTCGGCTGCTGCGCGGCTGGGATCATCTAGGCCTGCTGACTGTCACGGCTGCGGTTGGCTGGTTGGCTGGTTGGCTGGCTGGCCGTCGAGGGCGGCGGATGGATGCCCGCCGTAGTCCGTACCTAGGCTGCCGGCCGTAGGCTTGTGGGCTGCGGGCTGCCCGCATGGAAGCCGTCGGGGCGCGTGCAGTCACGTGCGCTCCGAGTCGTGTGCGGTTGATGAAATGATTTTCCGCCCGTCCTGACGCTCGCAGGGCCGGCTGACGGCTGGGCTGGGCGGCGTCTCTGTGTCTCTGATTAAGCCTGATCATGATCCCTCCCCTCGAGCTGGCCCAGCGTGGTGCGGTCCTCTGGTCGCCTGCGTCCGTTGCCGGCCCAGCCCTGTCGCCCTCTGCCCGCCCACAACCAGACTGCCGTGCGACGTGTTACATTTGCGACCTCCCGCCTCTCCCCGTAGCTCCTGCTAGACCTTTGCGTGTGCGGTCATGAGACCCGGCCGGCAAGCCCGTCGCCTCTGACTGGGCCGCCAGCCCACAAGCAGTCACTGGTGCGAAGCGTCGTCTCGATAGAGCCCAGACAGTATGCATAGTTCCATGGGTATCATCCCTAGGTACGAGCGGAGAAAAGCAAGTTCCAGTGTCTGTGTACCTTGTCCCGACCATGAAAAGCAAAGAGAAGAGCTGACCAATCCATGTCCTCAATCTTCTTGAAGTCCCGTCCTGCGCCAAGACCCCGTGTCTTGACGCCCTGCAAAGAGTGTGACTAAGGGTATCCCTTTCCTCCAGGCCAGAGTTTTAGTGAGCCGCAGCCCGAGCAAGAAGACAACGCGCAAAGAAAATAGAGCCCCAAGCGGGAACCCTCATCACCACTGGCCGCCGCCTTGCTGGCCTCCTTGGCCCTGGCTCGGATCCCAGCCGCCTGCAGGAGCGCCGCCGTAGGATTGCTGGCCGCCATAGCCGCCCTGGCTCTGGCCCCAGTTACCGCCGCCGCCGCCGCCGCCGTAACCTGCGAGCATGTGAGAAATACCCTTCGTATGCACATGGGCCGACGCTTCTACTCACCACCACGGCTTTGATAGCCTCCGCCTGCAACGAGCGCGTTAGCGAAGAGCAAGGAAACGAGCGAGTTGAGTGCGGAATGTGAAGTGTCGACGTTGAATCACGTGCCAAAACACGAGTCCGTCTCGGTGCTCGACGAGCAGATGGGAGCATCTGGGAGCAAACTAACCATAACCGCCACCACCACCACCGAAGCCTCCGCCGCGGGGGCCGTTGTAACCGCCGCGGAATCCGCCGCCGCCGCCGCCGCCGGCGGAGCGGTCAGACGCCTTGTCAACGCGAATGGTGCGGCCGTCGAAACTGTAGTGTGAAAGTAAGCGTCGGCGTCGATTCGAGCGACCGAGTCCGTCGCAGATGCAGTGGCGGCCCAAGCTGAGACGCTTCACCGCCTTCGGGGACGTCTTGCGACTTACTCGACGTTGTTCATGTTCTGGATGGCAGCTTCGGCGTCAGCCTCCTGGGTGAAGCGCACGAAGCCGAAGCCGCGGCTGCGGCCCGTGTCGCGATCCTTCACGACGACCTGCGAGGCTCAGAATCAGTGGATGCCAGTGGAGGCCAGTGGAGCTGCTAGCCGCGGGGAGCTCGTACCGCTTCTTCGACCTGGCCGAATTCCTCAAACTTCTGACGAAGGGTAGCATCGTCGGTGTGCCACGCAAGGCCGCTGAGATGCTGTCAGCGGGTGCGCCTGCCGTGGCAACACAGACAGGCGAGCTTACCCTATGAAGAGCTTCGACATTTCAACACGTCGCAATCCTGGATCTGTGCGGAATGTCTCAACAGAATGCCCTCAGACGGGTGGCAGGGTCGACGAGGAACAAGAGTGAGGGGAGGCAAGACGGTGTCGGGCGCTGCGCGCCAGACGATAAAGGAAAGAACAGCAGAGCAGGCGCAGAAGGCAAAAAATCAGGAAGGAGCGACGCGCGGCTGCGCGCCGCGAACGTCCATGAGAATGAGGGCTAGAGCAGGAGAGAGGAACGGACTTGCGGAACGGTGAGCTGGGCTGACGGTGCGAGCTGCGAGCTGCGAGGGTTGGGTTGCGCGCACGAGAGCTGGCGGCTGCGGGTCGCAGAAAAAAGATTGGTGTTCAGAGTTGGACGAACGCAAAGAGGTGGGATGGGGAGTCAGCACAGCGGCGCGGGGCAGCCTGGTGCAATTTGCGCTAGCCGACACGGAGATCGAATAATCGCCGCCCACACTCAGCGGCGAAAGGCCTGGAGGGAGAGTGGCAGGGAAAGGTGAGCAGCTGGAATGGGGCTTGTCCGTATTATGGATGGGCCCTGCGGTGGATCGGGGCCTTCGCGCGCGCCATTGGACACGCGTGCGAAGGCAGCCTGTGGCGGCCATCCCGAAAGCAGCGAGGGCTCTGGCATCGACATCCCGTGTTCAAAAGATCATGCGGCCCATCGCTAGCCTGGCCCTATAAGGCCCAATGGCAGGAGTCAAGCACCGGACACTGCCCCCGCAGCGTGCGCTTCGCCGCCTGCAATTGGCGGGCGCGGTGGGCAGCGCGTGGTGGTGAGGGCGCGCCCACGACCGTCATCCCTACGCGTCGCTGGCGCCCGGCGGCGCGGCGGCGGATGAGTGGCCCTCGCGCGGATTCAAGCTTATCGCGTTGCTGCACGCGTCGAGGCTCGTCCTGGCTCGTGCTCGTCGCCTGTGCAAGGTGAGCGCCCTGGGCCTGAGGCGCGCTGCGAGGGATCAGCTGCCGGGCGTGCGTAGTGCGCCATCCGAGAGCCTGGATTAACGGCCAGCCGGCATATGCATATACAGCGCCGTGCTCGCACATCACTCCCTACGCGAGCAACCGGCTGCGCGTTTCCTACGCCTTCTTTACATAATACCTGCCAGAGCGCTCCCCTGCCCGCGAGCCTCTGCCTTCCGCCTGCGATAACGGGCATCCCCCGCTGCTTGTGCAACGCGAGCCTCACGCCTGACTGGCCCTCCGTCGCCGCCAGGTGCCCCGCCGGGTGCTCCGCCAGGTGCCCCGCCAGGCGCTCCGCCAGGCGGACGTCCGCCGTGTGTCTTCAACGACGCTCCTCCACGGCCGCCGGGTGCTGTGCACGGCCGCGGGCCTCGTCCGCGTGGGAAGCCGCTGCTCGTCGTGGCCGCGGCAGCCCGCCGCCAGCGCGTCCGCAGCAGGCGCGGTGCCGGGCCTGCGGACGCCCTTAGAATGAGTGATTAATTGACATGGTTGATGCTGCAGCAGCGTTGAGATATGATCTGTTCTCTGCACCGCACCGCATGCGCCGGTAGGCCTCTCTGTCTTTCCATAGCACACACTACTTGGCCGCGCCTTCCAGGAAACACCAGCTCCTGCGTCCAACCCACTCTCTCCATCTGCGCCCTCCTGTGGCCAATCGCACCCGTCTCCTTCAGCCTCTTCCTGCGCCCTCAGTCCTCTGCCTGCCACCGACAGTCGCTGTCACATCGCCCCGGCGTGTTTGCTATACCCAACCTGAGCCGCTGTTACACGACGCATCGCTGCCAGTGGAGTCTCCGCCTGGCTCCCGCGTCATGTCCCTCCCAGCTACATGCTAGCCTCGACCATCGCGCTCCGCCCCATGCTGTACAACTTCTCCAGCACGGCCTTCAGATAGTCGGTGAACGGGTCCTGCCGGCTTGCAGCCCGCTGCTGGCTGGGCCGCGTCCATCAGCAGCTGCAGCAGCTGCCAGCCACCGCCGCACATGGATGTCCGCAGGTGGCTAGAAGAGACGAAGACCCCGGGCCCTCCTGCGTCGTTGGGCTCACCGGCAGGTCAGCACGCAAGGGAAGGCGCTCCTCGAGACGCGGCTAAACAGTCATCCCCCAAAAGACGCAAGTCCAAGCGGCCACAGAAGCACACCTCTTCGGACAGCTCGCTGCTCCGGCCCGATCGGCCCAATGGCCATCTCCAGCCGGTGACGCAGAAGCGAGGGGATGGAGATGGAGCCCGCGCGGGGCAGCACGTTGCATCGGATAAAGTGGCTAGTTGCTGTTCTTCTGAGCTTTTCGGGTCGGCTGATCGCAGCGAATCTGAGCTGTACGCTCGCAAGCCCCGCCGCAAGACGCGCCCAGAGATATATGAGCCAAAAGCAGGCAGGAAGCGCCGCAGATGGAACGGTGAGAGCAGGAAGGACCGACACGTACCAACGAGAGAGAAAGATCACCGACGAACCAGGGCCAGGCAGTCAGATATGGCGCATACATTTCATGCCAAGAATGTGGCTCAAGACAGACTGACGGTAAGACGGCTTGCATGCCCCGCAAATTGTTTGCGACTGACGCAGCCGGCTGTCGGCTATAGCTGAAGCCAAACGAGAGCCTTGGGTTGTTCAAGAAGGGACGCGCATCATCACCTGTCAAGGGACGTGGACGTGAGCCTACCTACCTCGTAGCCTTTTGTGTTCCACCTCGCCCTCCTAACCTCGAAAGCAGTGCCTGACCTGGTCTTCTCCGAGATGCGTTTTCTGCAGAAGCGGAGCGAGCCCGTGGATAGCCGGCCAGCAGCAGAAGCCTCGAGGAAGGGCAAGAGGAAAGGCATCATCAGTGTGGGACAAGAGGATGAGATATCGACATATTTTGCCGCCCAACCTGCTGCACTTGCGGAAAAGGACGTCGACACCCCAACTCTAAAGCCGTCGGAGCATCTTTCGGGGAACGAGCAACGCAAACCTCACGATGGTATTTCGCCATCCCTCGAACCAACTTCTTCTACTGAGGCGCCAGTCGACTTGCCAAATAAACCATACCTGGGCTTTGGGACACGGCATGGGGGGTCCACAAACGCTTCGAATGCGTCCTTCCACATACCTTGGTCGGATTCAGGTCGGCGTAACAGTACAGCGGCATCACAGAGATCCCCAAGACGCTCCCTGCCGTCGCAAGTGAGGTCTGAGGAGTTGAACGGCATCCAGGACTGCTCTTCAAACGCTGCAGCAAAGTCCAACCACGACGACGAGATGCATCTGGATACTTCTAGGCTCGTACCGCAGGAATTTGCACTACCGCGCGCGGCCCAGCCCAGAACCATCGTCGGCAGTCGTCATGGCGTCTTCCCGGAAGAAGCGCAAGCTCATCCAAGCTTACAAGCAAACAAGTTGCAGGCTGAGAGCCCAATGCCTCCGTCGTCTCACAAGCATAGGACAGAAAAGCACTGCCAAGAGATCACTAATGTATCACCTCGTCAGGTAGTGTTACAGCGAAAGGGACATACTACGGGAACTGACGTCAATGAACAACGAGGCAGGTATCCGATCCGTACACAGACGGGCAACCGAACTCGGCATGCAGCTCCGCGAGGGGCTGGCGCCCGTGATGCCCAAAGTACTGGGAATGCAGTGATGGCGCAAGATGCAATTGAGGTCACTTCTGATGCAACCAGAAGCCGAGCTCTCCCAAGATCATCGTCACCACTTGGCAAGCTGCTACGCCAGTGTGATGATGCCTGTTATGATTCGGCGGTGGCGTATGCCGTGCCTGTGAGGAGAAGATCTGATGATATTGATACGCGGTGCGTCGAAGGAAGTGTTGGGTTTGCACATTCCCCAAGCCAAGTAAAAGCGGACTGGACAGCGGTGCCACTCCGTCGAGCCGGAGGAATAGCGGAGCGAATCCCGATGCCGTGTCATATGCAAGCACAAGATGCTGCAGCTGCCTCGGATGACTACGATTCAGGCTGTGTTGTTTTTGAAGATGCCCGTATGCCGGAGATCTCAGCAGACGCGATGGAGAGCGAGGAGTATGGGTATATGGACGATGCTGCAGACTTCTATTTGTTCCGAAATCGGATCGCGGGAGGCTTGGACGGGGGATTCTGCCACGATGCAGATGGCGACTACGGCGGATCTGTGTGTGACCTTGGACGAAGCCGCGAACAGCACACGGGACAACACGGTGCTGAGGAGGAAGCAGGAGGGGCGCTGACAGGGTTTTGGCGTCCACATAAGCTGTATTAGCGTTGAAAACATTCCGTCCGCCCGCTGCACGACCCCCTCATCGAGGCGAAAACACGGCGGAGGCCAGCGGCGTCGGCGGGAGACGGCCTGCTGCCATTCTGCCATCGCCTTCCCGACGCAGAGCCTCGGTCGTCGACCAACGCAAGACTAGCATATCTGCCACTGGGCCCCTGACGTGACGTGCCGGTCTTATGCGCGGCGTGCAGCACTCGTGCAGGCGGACAGCGACCCTCGCGGGCAAATTATTCCTTGCGACCGACCTTGGCTGTTCGCGGGCTGTCTCGCGCAGACCGCCCGCCCAGACGTTCGTCACGCTGGCTCCTCCTAATAATCCACGCAAGTCGGCCGCCTCCCGCTACCCCACCACCCTCGACAAAATTCAATCTCGCACGCAGCAGGTAGCGGGACACTTCACCCCCTCAACCACCCCATCGTCAGCATCCATCATGGCTTCCGTCTCCGCCAACGCTCCCAAGGAGTTCACGGCCCGCAAGATCGGCGCCCCCAACACCCTCGAGCACCGCGTCTACATCGAGAAGGATGGCGTCCCCGTCTCGCCCTTCCACGACGTCCCTCTGTATGCCAATGAGCAGCAGACCGTCCTCAACATGATCGTTGAGGTCCCTCGCTGGACCAATGCGAAGATGGAGGTGAGCGTTCCCGCCGTCGACGCCGACGACCCCGCCGCCGAACTGGCCACGCTGACCCATTGCCCCTATCCAGATCTCCAAGGAGGAGACGCTCAACCCCATCAAGCAGGACACCAAGAAGGGCAAGCTCCGCTTTGTCCGCAACTGCTTCCCCCACAAGGGCTACCTCTGGAACTACGGTGCCTTCCCCCAGGTGAGCCCCGCATCGCCGTCGAGCGACCCCGCCATCGGGCCACAACACTGACACATGGCGCCAGACCTGGGAGGACCCCAATGTCATCCACCCCGAGACCAAGGCCAAGGGTGACAACGACCCGCTCGACGTCTGCGAGATCGGTGAGCTCGTCGCCAAGCCCGGTGAGATCAAGCAGGTCAAGGTCCTCGGTGTCATGGCCCTGCTTGATGAGGAGGAGACCGACTGGAAGATCATCGTCATCGACGTCAACGACCCGCTTGCCCCCAGGCTCAACGACATCGAGGACGTCGAGCGCCACCTGCCCGGTCTTCTGAGGGCTACCAACGAGTGGTTCCGCATCTACAAGATTCCCGACGGCAAGCCTGAGAACCAGTTCGCCTTCTCCGGCGAGTGCAAGAACAGGAAGTACGCCACCGACATTGTCCGTGAGTGCGCCGAGGCCTGGGAGCGCCTGATCACCGGCAAGACCCCCAGGGGCGAGGTTTCTCTGTAAGTTCTTTTCTAGTATGCTTTGCTCGCCGTATGCAGGGACTGACGGATGCCTATGCAGCACCAACACCACCCTTGGCTCGTCTCCCGACCGCGTCGACCCCTCGACCATCAACATCCCTGCGGGCGAGAACCAGTACCCCGCTCCCATTGACCCTAGCATTGACAAGTGGTTCTTCATCTCTGGCGCCCCCACCCAGTAGACGATCTGAGTCTAGGGCGCGTGACAACGCCCGAAGCACCGGTCCGGACAGTAGAAGTTGGAACACTTTACATAGCTGCCGTGGAGATGGTATAGACAAAAGAACAATGAAACTCAACGTGAAGAACATTCAAGTCCCTTGATACCCATGCTTTGTGTTCCAGTGATAACTCCGTGAAATGCAACGGCCCAAAATATTAAGCGTGAATCATTGACATGGCTATCCCGACAGTTCCTCCTGTCTTGCGAGCAAGCGCGAATGCCTGTTTACTTCCTCTTCAACCTCCCTGATCTTCATCTTCTCCAAGTCGAGCTTCATTTCCTTGCCATCCTCTGCAGAGAAGTATCATGTCAGTGCTTTGGTCTTGAATGTAGTCGGCGACAACCGGCGGCGGCACAATTCTTGGAGGCTTCCATGCAGCCACAGCCACAGCCATTACTCCGGCACGCCCCTGGGCTGGGTCACAACATACTGAACTTCAACTCTAGTGTTGTCGGCTCTTTGCTGAGTCTCGGCAGCATCTTTGCGTTGATCTTCATGCCGTCTGCCCGGGCATTGGGAGGCAGCAGCGCTAGGAAGTTCCGGGCGGTCTTCGCGTTGCGCACGAAGGGGTTGAATTTGGTGTTCACCTCGGTCAGGAAGCGGGTAATCATGGTGAATGACGGTCTGCGGCGGTCGCTGATGGATGGTGTGGGCCGGACGCGGGGGATGGGGGTGGTGAAGTACAGGCGGCGCCGCTGTTTCTACTTCGAACCAAGGCGGTTAGCAAGCAATTGGGTCTGTCGCAATGGATCACGTACGAGTAGAGGATGGTCTGGCTGCGGCAAGCGGGTCGGACGGCAAAGAGCTCACGGCAGGCGCGCGTTCACTACTATCGCCTTGCGCTCTGGAAATTGTCGGCGCGCCGGCGTCTTTCGGCGGGCGGGACTTGGCGCAGCGAGCAGGCACAAGCGGCCACGACATCGGGTAGCTCTGATGACATCGGCTCGCTGTAGCCCATGCTAGCAACTGGCATCTTTCCCTGATCGCCCATCGCGGCCTTGTCACAATGACACCTACGCCCTCTTCGCTCGCAACGCGCCTCGCGGGCCTATCCGACCAAAACAAGCAATCCGTTCAGCTCATCTACCGCCTCGCGAAACTCCAATTTCAGCCCGGTTCCACTCCCCTCGACGGCGACGAGGGCGACGTGCGCGTCGAGCTTAGCTCCGAAATCCACGACAGCTTAAAGCTCCAAGAAGAAGAGCTCGAGTTGCTCAGACAAGAGGTCGAGGATCTCACTACCGGTGGTGCGCTGGGCAGCAAGAAAAAAGACAACGAGAAGGAGCGTGAAAAGAGTAGATTGAGCATCCAGGTCGCACGGCTGGGCGAAGACCTGAAGCAGTGAGTAGTGAATAACTTTCGGGATATTGTTGGGACATATGCTGACTTTGGGCTTCTCAGAGCACGAAGCCAGTTCCGAAAGGCCCAGTTGCAAGCCAAACGCAACGCCGAAGCTGCAAAGCAGAAGGAGCGCCAGCTGCTCTTTGCCGGAATTCAAGAAGGCAACACCACACCCACTGCAGGAAAGCGTCGTGGAGGCACCGAGAAGCTCACGCAGGACGAAATCATCGCCAACGCCTCGGGCGACGTGACTGCTGCTCTGAGACGTACCCACCAGTTGATGACATCTGAGCTGTCACGCTCCCGATTCGCACAGGAAACACTCGATCAGTCCACGGCTGCACTCGCAGAGCTTGGTGAAAAATACACAGACCTCAGCACGCTTCTCGCAAACTCAAAGACTCTCGTCAACTCGTTACTCAGGTCGCAGAAGAGCGATACTTGGTACCTCGAGACAACCCTCTACATTCTCCTCACCACAATCTGCTGGCTTCTCTTCCGGAGACTTCTCTACGGACCTCTCTGGTGGTTCACCTGGCTCCCTCTCAAATTCGCGTACAAGTTTCTATTCTCGATCCTCACAACAGTTGGTCTAGCCGGCGGCGCAGCATCCACACAGGCCCTCTCGTCACAGGCAGTAACGGCATCTTCGTCTTCCCTTATCATTCAGCCTAGCGCGTCCAACAAGGCACATCCCAGAATGTCAGACCAGCCGAACCACAACATTCCCGCCGGGGCGGGTGGCGCGGGTGTCAAGCGGGGAGACCCGCAGCAGCAGCAGCAGCAGGACCCCAGCCAGGCGGGGAGCATGTCCGAGCAGATTGGGCAGATGGCAGAGCAGGCGGCGAAGCAGCAGGACGATGTGCCGAGGAGAGGGGACGGCGAGCCGTTGGTCGAGTCGGACAAACCGCGAAACCCGAAGAAGAGGATGTGGGATGAGAACGTGGAGAGGGCTAAGTATGAGGCGCAGCAGCAGGAGGAGCAGAGGCAGAGGGACGAGTTGTAACTGCTGTATAGAGGAATTGAGTGCATCTGATGACTCCGGGGTCGCTTACGGTGGCTTACATTCAAGCTCTCCTGTTTCGAATCGTGTTTTCCTCCTTGGTAAAGACCCAAGAGGCTAATCAGATAGCGGTATATGGTGTGGTTAAGTAATAAGACTATTTTAACATGTTGGGGGCGTGGCGCAATGGTAGCGGTAAGTTCCTTCAATGACGCGAAACCACAGATATCTTATACTAATTCCCCTTTGTAGCGTCAGATTCCAGGACCACATACTGGGATATCCTGAAGGCTGTGCGTTCAAATCGCACCGTCCTCATGTTCTTTTTTGGCTTTCCCATGGCTCGGTGGGGCGTGAGATGCGGCTGCCGCCATAGTCTTACCTTTCGGATGCGTGGGCTGCTTTGTCTGACAGACCACGAACCACCACTGGCTTCTTCTCTGATTTTTGGTCTCGTCGAGCAGGACGAGAACCAAACGCGAAGAAGATGCTAAGACATGGACAGCAGCTTACTGCAGAATCGTGGTATGCATGAAGAAGCCGAAGGTGCAAGTCATGCTCTTGGCCCACTCTGACCGAGGCCACGCAATTGCGTAACAGGACGGTGCGTCACTTGTAACGTTGGATGTCTTACGATTATCAGGCCTACGGCTGCACCTTTCCGAAGGTCTGCTTTCTCAACGAAGAAACCCTACTTGTCCAGCTCTCGACTCCGCACATGAAGCCTCGGGCCGACACGGGACGACCACTCCGGCTCACTTCTTTGTCACTGGTTTGGAGAGAGCACTCAGACGCCACAAACATTCGCGAATAGGGCATATCGCACGCTGTAGGGTGTGGCTTTGACGCTTGGGGTGTCCGGACATGTTTTGTCCCGGGACCATTCCCACCTCAGCTCCCTACAACAGTGAAGACTGTGCAGCTCAAGTGACACGGCGAAGCAGGGACGGGAGAAAGACGTATTTCGCAGGCCTCAGGTGCGTGGAAATTCGGAGATGCTGCCTTTCGAAGTCGACGGCGCACACTGTATCACTTGCTTTTTCTTTCGTATCCATGCACGATTCAGCCTCTGTCATACTCCAACCTCGTTTGTTTCCCGCCACGCGCACTCCAGACGGGCTTCAAATATCACGATCGCACCTCACCAAAGCGCTTCCTTTCCCCAACCTCAGACGCCATGGAGGAACACCAGGAAAAGGTCGCGGCCATCGCCGCCAAAGTCCGGAGTTTCGGCGAACAGGGAGTCAAGTATCGCATATCCCACGGCTCCACCAACAGCACCAGGCCTTCGGCCACGCGGCGTGACCACAACGTCCTCGATCTGAGCAGTCTGTGCCGGGTGCTCAAGGTCGACCGGGAGGCTCTCACGGCGTGGGTGGAACCGAACGTGGCCATGGACGGACTGGTCGAAGAGACGCTGAAGCACGGGCTCATTCCTCTGGTGGTCATGGAATTCCCAGGCATCACCGTGGGCGGCGGATACGCGGGCACGTGTGGCGAGAGCAGCTCGTTCAAGTAGGCAAGGCCCTTTTCTCTCTCTCCCTCCCTCTCTCCCTCCCCGAAGCAGCCAGCCAGCCAGCCAGCCAGCCAGCATTGCGTGCGTGCTAACGGCCGCGACACAAGACACGGCTTCTTCGACCGCACCCTCAACTGGGTGGAGATGATCCTCGCCAGCGGCGAGGTGGTCCGCTGCTCCCGGACGGAGCGCGCCGACCTCTTCCACGGCGCGGCGGGCGCGGCGGGCAGCCTGGGGACCACGACGCTGGTCGAGATCCGGCTGCGGGCCGCCAAGCGCTTCGTCGAGACGACGTACCACCCGGTGGCGAGCGCGGCCGAGGCCGTCGCAAAGTGCAAGGCCCTCATCCATGACGCCTCGCTCGAGTACGTCGACGGCATCCTCTTCTCGCCCACGCACGGCGCCGTCGTCGCCGGCCGCCCGACGGACACGCCGGCCGCGGGCGCGCCGACGCAGTGCTTCAGCGCCGCCGAGGACCCGTGGTTCTACCTGCACGTCGAGGAGCGCACGCGGCAGCACGCCGCCGGCGGCGAGGCCGTCACCGAGGCCATCCCCCTCGCCGAGTACCTGTTCCGGTACGACCGCGGCGGCTTCTGGGTCGGGCGCCAGGCCTTCGACTACTTCGGCTGCCCCTTCACCGCCGCCACGCGCCGCTGGTTCGACGACATCCTGCACACGCGCATGCTGTACCTGGCGCTGCACGCGAGCGGCCAGTCGCGGCGCTACATCGTGCAGGACGTGGCGCTGCCCTTTGCCGCGGCCGAGGCCTTCATCGCGCACGTCGGCGGCGGCGTTGACGACGACCACGACCACGACGACAAACACGACGACGACGAGCGCCCGCTGGGCATCTGGCCGCTGTGGCTGTGCCCGGTGAAGCAGAGCCCACCGCCGACGCTGCACCCGCACAACCACAGCGCGGCGGCGCTCGAAGCCGACGGGCAGACGCTGCAGCCTCTGCTCAACGTTGGCGTATGGGGCGTCGGCCCAGCCGAGCACGGCGCCTTCGTGCGGGCGAACCGGGCGCTGGAGCGCAAGGCGCGCGCGCTGGGCGGCATGAAGTGGCTGTACGCGCACGCCTACTACGCCGAGGACGAGTTCTGGGCCGACTTCGACGCGGCGTGGTACGAGGGGTTGCGCGACAGGTACGGCGCGAAGGGGCTGCTGCCGAGCCTGTACGAGAAGGTGAGGGTGGACGTGGCGGCGCCCGAGGAGCGCGCGTGGGCGGCGGCGTCGTGGTGGGTCGAGCGCGCGCGCGCGACGTGGCCGGTCGGCGGGGTTTGGGCGCTCGTGGCCGCGATTCACAGCGGGCAGCACCGGCGCGCGAGGGAGGCGACGTGGAAGTGGCCGAGGTAGTTGTTGTGGTTGTTGTTGTTTGTGTCATGGCGGTGGTGGCAGCGAGAGCGGGGAGGGGGGTATATATGTGTGCAATGTAGAGTCATCACGGCAGGACTTTTCAATTAAAGATGAATTGTATACATTACGATTTACAGGGTCTCATCACTCGTCTCTCTCTCTCTCTCTCTCTCTCTCTCCTCTTTAACCGCTCGCCTTGGCAAGACACTCGGGCTTGCTGGGGTTCCTCGGTCTGCCCACGGACAGGCCTCTCTGGCGGGCAACGGCCATGACGCGCTCGGGGTAGTTGCTGATGACGGCATCGACGCCGTCGTCGAGGAGCTTGCTGATGGTGACCTCGTGGTCGGCGGTCCACGGGATCACCTTCATGCCGAGCGCGTGGGCCTCGTCGACGACGTCCTTGGTGGTGAAGGGCGTGTAGCCGGGCGAGTTGACCGTCAGGTTCGAGGGGAAGCCGTGCACGGGGCTCAGCACGCTGGATCCGATGGCGGCGGCGGCGGCAACCCAGTCGCCGGCGTAGTCGGCCAGGTCGAGCCCGCCGAGCCAGGGGTAGGTGCCGTTGGCGTCCGGGACGACGGTGGTGTCGTCGAGCAGGGCGACGGTGGCGACGGACGGGTAGCGGTCGTGGATCTGGACGAGGGTGCGCCAGTCGAAGCTCTGGATGGTGGTGCGCTCGAGCAGGCGGTGCTTCTGGAGGATGGGCATCAGGTCGAGGTACTTGTCGACGGGCCAGGTCTGCTCGGGGGTGGTGGGGTCGAGCTTGGTTTCGAGGTTGATGGTGACTTTGTCGTCGCCGTAGCAGTTGACCAGGTCCAGGACCTCTTCCAGCGTGGCGATCTTGGTGCCGGGGTGGGTCTCCTGCTGGAGGTGCTCCTCCAGCTGCAGATGGCAGTCCAGGCTCTTCACTTGGGCCAGGGTCAGGTTGTTGATGAAGTCGCCAACGTAGTCGCCGGTGCACTTGGTGGGGTAGATGTAGTGCTGTCGCCGCCGTCAGCAGCCAGTCGGCCAGCAAAAGCACAAAAGCAAGGGCGGGGCACTCACGTCATGCCAGATTACCGGGACGCCGTCCTTGGTGAAGACGGTGTCCATTTCCAGCGTGTCAGCACCGATTTCCTGCAACTTGTTAGCACACGGGCGGGAGTGGAACGGCTGCCAGCCCTACCAGAGCGTAGGCGAATGCCTGCCGAATCGGGTTAGCGCGTCTCCCTCAGTCCCTTCCACAGCTACAGCAATTGCTCACCCAGAGAGACTCTTCGTTTCTCATCCCGATGCCGCCGCGATGCGCCTGGACTTCAATGTGTCCCTTCAGGTCACCGACCGGGATGGGGTACGCTGCGGCATTGGCGACGAGCGCCGCGATGCCGAGGGCGCGGGCGAGCTGGGTGAGGGAAGAAGCGGCCATCGTACGTCCAGACCGGAGAGCAGGGAAACAGGAGCGCTGGGTGCGGAGCAAGAGCAGAGTCAATTGCGGCCTGAATTGCTTTCTCCATTTATACCACCCACCCGCCGGGCGTACCATGACGGTTCTGCATAGGCTTATCCGTCAGCCCAGCGCATCATTCATCCCGCAGCGTGTGCGCATGTGCCCCTCGTCATGGCAGGCGCAGGCCGCTTACCCGGGTTATCTGCCTTGGGAAGCCAAGACACTTGGCGTGGGCTCTGCCGGCTGGCTATCTCGGACCAGCGAGTAAGGTGGCTCGCCTTGATCTCGTGCCTCGGTGTGCCCTGGCTGAGCCGCATCTTTCATCAGTCCCCACGACGACGTGGGCCCAGACGGGACGAAACGTTCCTGGCCGGCCGTCCATGATTGGTCGGCCTTGAATCATGCTTGTTCACGGCTCCAATGCGTTGACGGATCATAGAGGAAATTAGAGAAACGCTGGACAAAAAAACAATAAACAACAGCCGTTCGAACCCGAGCAGAACACCCATGATAATCGTCAATCTCCCTTTCCCAGCTCTTCATGCCATGAGTAACCCAATGCGAGTCCTCCTATCCCACCGGACCCTCTGGACTCCACCTCCACTTCTCGCATCTGGATATCATGAGAATCTCGAAACATGTCTAACAACCAATACCGCCCGTAGCTTTTTCGTATCATACAACCGCCTCGGCCTTCTTGTCGTCGGCAGCCGGACTCAAGAGGCCAACGGCGGCGAAGTCCTCGACCGAAGGACCCTGGGGTATGTCGACCAAGACTGCCGGATCGCTCTTGCGCGACTGCAGTAGGGCTGCGCGGTTCTGTGATGTGGCAAAGTATAAGAAACGGAGTGCGCAGCTTTTGGCCTCCAAGCCACAGTACTCAAATGTATGGTTTGAGGGGGGAACAAAGAAAGAGGAGAGAAGCAAAGAAGGAGGTGCGTTCTGTGCAATTGGTGCACGAGACATCACCAACATAAAGACCATTTTACATCTTGAGAAGCATCGCGCACGCGCGCGTAATTGATGAAGTAGAAGGGGAGGAGAAAAAAAATAAGGGACCAGAACGACGCAAACTTTCCTCCCGGAAGGGAGCATGATCCCAACCATCCAGCACTCCCCCCCCCCCCAAAAAAAAAACCACTCACCTCAAGCCTCCCGCCCAACCCAAACTCCTCCAACACCTCCTCCTCCCTCGCCAAATGATCCGGAGTACTGCCGCACCTCGACGGCCTCTCCGCCGTTTCATCATCACCATTCCCTTCTCCTCCTCTTTCCATCTCTCCCTCCCCGCGTCTCCTCGTCGCCCCCGCAACGACAACACCGACGGAACCGGCACCGGCACCGCGCGACGATCTGTTCTGGTGCAGCAGATCGGCCGGCGACGACGACGTGGGCGTGGGCGTGGCGTCCATCTCGACGGGCGCGCCGGCATTGATGGCCGGCGTCGACGTGTCGAGGTGCGGGACGACGGAGCCGCGGACGAAGCGCGCGGGTGCTGACGCGGGTGGCGCGGGCTCGGTGGACGACGACGAGGACGACGTCGACGTCGACGTCGACGTCGCCGGGGGATTGTCGGCGGGTGGGGGCGCTGCGGCGGTGGCGGCACTGGCCGGGGTGGGGGTGGTGTTGGAGGTCATGCCGGGTTAGTTGTATTGGAGGTGGGTGTGTGTGTGTGTGTGTGTGTGGGATGGATTGGCGATGACGATGGAGTGGTAGGTGGATGATGCAGTGGGTGAGTGAGAGAGTGAGTGAGTGAGTGAGTGAGTGAGTGAGTGAGCGGGCGGGAACAATGGGGAGCAGGATACGAGAGCCGCAAGGCTGCGTCGTTGCCTCAGGACTCAGGCCGGCCGAAGCCAAAACGTGGCCCGACGGGCGCCGGGCTGAGACGGGCAGCTGATACTGAAAGATTGTCGGATTTGAGACTGCAGATGGTGTACAACTGCAGGCGGAAGCGAGGATCGACAGACGTGGCGCTAGCTAGTATTGCTATTTATATCGTCATGCCCTCTGGCCCGCTTATAAGCATGCTACACTGGCCATGGAAGGTGCGTGGGACAAGGCTCAGCTTGTGTAATATATAGTCTAGACTATGAGCACGATAAATATACGTTGAAGATATAATGCCACCAAGTCCACGAGAGTGTTGATCACCAGAATATCATACACTCATCAAGTACGTTTGAGCCGAAGAAGTGGTGCTCATTGGGGGCCACATAGCCAACATAAAGAAGCGCCCTTCCCGCCCGCACGCATCAAGACAATGCTGTAGATTCTGCCACCACAATGGATCACATACCTGTTGCCGATGGATACGGCTTTACTTTCCCCCCCGTGCCCTACCTCTCTCGACTCGACTACGACTCCACCTGCCCGTTCTCTGAATATCCCTCTCGGCATGGCCTCAGCACCGAGGCTTTCTTGCGGCTGGAGTTTGGCCAAGAGGGCCGCTCGGCCGAGGAGATAGCTGCCTTCCTCCAGACATGGCTGTTCTTTGGCCTCCTCAGCTGTGCACTGGAAGTGCCCGTACAGTCATCCGATTTTGTTGACTATGGCCAGCATCCTCCGGTGCTGACAACGCGGGATGCTCTGCCTCGCTATCTAAAGAGACAGCGCCAGGGCGACTTCTCAAATGATAAAAGGACCGTGAGAATCCTAGACGAAGCACGCGTCTACGTCCGCTGTCTGCAGGACGCTCAGGAAGCTGGATCCGAGTTGGTTCCGCCATCGGTGCTGCTCTCCATCATGGTGCTGGGCGCGACGTTGGAGACGATCCTGCACGACGCCTACTGGGCAACCCATGACGAGTCGCGCACGAAGACGTATGATTGGGGAACCTCTGTGCTGCTCAAAGATCAGCTGCTCCAGCGGGGCTGGTGCATCAACGACATAAGCCGGCTGTATTCGACCATGTCGGTCCCAGCGGTCTTGTATGCGTCGACGATTCCAAGGCGAGAGGCCATCCCCAAGGAAGCACACGCGGCGTGCTCCGAAGACGGCTGCGTCGCGAGGACAATCGACGAGGAGACGTACCAGACCGCCCACGTCTGCCGCGACCCGCAGTCGTGCGAGATTCTCGAATCGCCGCTCGACATGGTCAAGCAAGTCCTGGACGATGGCGACATCCCCGTCCTAAACATATCACTTTCAAACGACAAGTACGAGCTCACTGCCTCGTCCAACAAAACCACAAAGTACATCGCCATCTCCCACGTCTGGTCCGACGGGCTGGGCTGCATCGGCAAGAACGAACTCCCAGTCTGCCAGATCGCACGGCTCTACCGCCTCTGCCGCGGCCTCCACGACTTCGTCTACAACAAGATCTTCACCGCCAACGTCTTCGACATCTACTCCGGCCTCAGCGAAACGCCTGCAAGCGACATCTTCTCCCTCTCCCGGTTCCGCGGCAGGAAGAAGCAGCAGCAACAACAACAACAAGAAGAAGCAGCCCCCCCAACCGTGAGCCTCTGGATCGACACCCTCTGCGTGCCGCGCCCCAAGGACTACCGCCGCCTGGCCATCGCCCGCATGAGCGCCACCTACGCCCTCGCCTCCAAAGTGCTCGTCCTCGACTCGGAGATGCTCGCGCTGCCGCAGTCGCGGCCGGCCGCCGAGCTGCTGATCCGCATGCTCGGCACCGGCTGGATGCGGCGCGTGTGGACGATGCAGGAGGGCGCCCTCGGCTCCAAGCACCTCTACGTCCAGCTCGCCGACGGCGGCGGCGTCCTGGACGTGCAGCGCGCGCTGGTGCGCATGCGGCGGGCGGCGGGCGACAACAAGACGACGACCAACGACCCGGGCGCCGCCGTCGTCGACCGCGACACGGTCGTCTTCTTCGGCGAGCTGGAGCGGGTGCGCGACGCGCACGCGACGCAGGGCTTCGCGCTGTCGGGCTACCAACGGCGCGTGGGCGACAAGCACAAGAACGAGCGGCACGAGGGCGCCATGGCGGGGGCGCTGGCGACGGCGCTGCGGGCGCTGGAGGGGCGCGCGACGACCAACGCGGGCGACGCGTACCTCTGCCTGGCGGGCATGGTCGGGCTGGGCGGCGACGCCGTGGGCGAGCTGTTCGGGACGCCCGTCGAGGGGCGGGCGCGCGCGCTGCTGGCCCGGCTGAAGTACGTGCCCAAGGGCATCGTCTTCTCGCCCGGGCGCAAGCTCGACGCGGCGGCCGATCAGCGCGGGTACCGCTGGGTGTGCGCCAGCTTCTGGGAGTCCAAGGTGTTGCTGCTGCCGGACCAGACGCGCGAGCGGGCGCGCTTCGAGCCCGCGGACGGCGGCCTGCGCGTCGAGTACCCGGGTTTCGTGCTCGAACCGCTCGCCGGGCCTCTGTCGCCGGCCTACTTCCTCTTCCAGCACCGCGAGACGTGGTTCAAGGCGACGTACGATGCTGCGTGCGGCAGCAGTCCGCAAGAGCTCGTCGACGCCGCCGACGACGACGAGCAGTCCCCCCCGCAGCTGGGCGTCGTTTGCTCCAGGAGCGAAGTCGTGCAGCATGGCCCCCGCGGGTCGCACACTCCAGCCGCGTTGGTGGCTCTGTTGGAGGGCAGGAAGAAGAGTCTCCTGGGCTACCTCGACCGCGAGGGAAACGAGCAGGTCTGGTGTCGGTATATATGTCAGCTGACTCTGTCGACTCCGCAGCCAGGGGATTTCGAGAGGGGTGCGGCCGTCGGGAAGGCGGGGAGGCCGAGTTGGGGAAGCGACGGGTGGAAGTTGAGGTCGGTGGTCATACCTCAGGTTTGGTATATTTCTTGAACACTTCCACTCCCTCATTGCAAAAATAGTGGCCGCATGAGCGCTCGATAACAACGGTGTTTTTCTCTATCAACCTGACTACAGCGTGACCATTGTCGAGCCTGAGCCGCCCGTTGCATCTCCGCCACCTCCTCCGCCTGGTCGCACCGCTGACCAGGCCCCACCACTCCATCCCCCCCTCCTACCACCAAGCTGCCCCCATGAAGAAAGATATTGCAGCGAAAAAGCAAAAAAAAGACTAGAAGCAACCAAATCGATGCCGATGCCTCGGGAAGAGAACTGGCCGTGAATGCAAAAGAAAAAAAAGAAAAATCCCAGCAAACTAAAGTACACATTAAATGTCGGCGGTTTGGTGGTATCATGAACAAGCCCAGGGGAGAGGTCCGCCAACAGGCCTCAATCCCGTGCCCCATCAACGCTAAGCGAAAACGACCAAAGGAGATTGTGAGTGAACTCGTTGACGAGAGTTGGAGAGGGCGAAAAGCAGGAAGCAGAAAAGAAAAGGGCGTGAGAACAGGCTGCGCCTGCATCGATGCAACTCGGTGAATCGTCTGCTGGCAGAAGGATCGACAAGAATGGAAAAGCACCAAGGAAAAGTAATACGAAATCCCAAAATACGCCGGATGCGCCGTGCCGAGGAGCCCGCTCGCTTTTGTACATTCGCTCGTGAAAAGTCCCAGAATCCCATCCCTTAGCCGCTAGCTCTCAGAGCCTTTCCGGCGCCCCCGGGTTTTCGAGGTTGCCGAGAATGTGCTCCGGCGGGATGCGATTTATGTTGGCATTCTTGTCTCCCATCTGCGTCGGCGCCGGCACGTAGCCTTCACGCGCTCTGCGGATGCGTTCGGCTGCGATACCCGCCACGACAAGCAGCATGATCAGCGCCAGTGAGATGGCGAGCGCGATGAGCACCACCAATCCGAGCGCAAGATTGCCACCTGGAAACACGTCAGTTACATATTCACCCACGTCACCCATCGTGTGAACTCACCACTTGTCCGGAAGACGTTTTGGGGCTTCTCAACGAAGACTTGCGAGAGACTACCTTGGCCGTTGCTGGCCGTAGTAGAGAGGATGAAGGGCTGGAAATCGGTGCCGTTGTAGGTAACCGCCGACGCGTTTCCGAATCCAGGAACGTTGAGCTCGCCCAGCACCATAAGGATCTTGTCCTTGTCTAGGTTCTCGTTCGAGTCGTGATCCTCCTTGATGGAGAAAACTTGGAGGCCGCGGACGACGGAACCTTCGCCGAGGCCCTCTCCAACCGACACCCAGTCGTCGGCACCAGTACCCGTGAGCATGACGAAAGCCGACCCATTCGAGGCTGTGCCTGCAACCCAAAACCGAGTTCCATCGCTGTCGGCTGCTGTGATTGCATCGACTGGTCCAGGAACCTGCTCAGACCCAGGAAGAGTCTTGAATGACGAATCCTTGACCGTGTAAGTGACGAGCGCCGTGGTGTTGTCATCGGCGGTAAGATTGCCGCCAAGGAGGAGCTCGTTCTGTGTGACCCAAAGCATGACCGAAACCGAGCCCGACAGCCCGTTGCCAGGGCTGACCCATTGGCCACGATCGGTGGCGTAGACGCAGAGAGCAGGGCAAGTGAAAGCACCAGCCGAGTCAAACTCTCCACCTACGAAGACATCGCCAGAGTCTGGCCGAGGCGCAATGGCGTTGACTGAGACTGCACCGCTGCTACGGTCGAGAGCCTGGGGCTGAGTGCTGGAGAAATCAGCATTGGCGAGACTGTAAGAGAAGAGCCCATTGAGCTCCGTGTCACTGGCATTGCCAGTGAATCTACCGCCGACCCATAGAGTCGAATCCGAATCCTGAGTAGCAAGGGCGACGATAGTAGCCGTAGCGTCCAATTGGTCGCTAAGGCCGGTGACCTGGTCAGAGTTGGAGGTGTTGACGAAGAGGAGGTTGTTGAACTCGGAACCGTCCGTGCCCATAACCGAGAAATGACCACCGATGACGGTGATGTTCAGGCTGTTCTGTTCGTAGACCAGCCCAGTGACCACGCCGGTAACGCTCTGAGAGCTTGTCGAGCGCTTGGTAAGATTTGACGAGGCAGACTCGGCCTCAGGCTGAATCTGGATGGGGTAGCGTTGCAAGCCAAGCTGTTCCGCGTTGATCAGGCCAACAGCGCCACTCGCTTCCAAAGCCTGAGACGCGACAGCTCCTGCAAACAGGGGATCGGAATCCGGGACATCCGTCCAAGCATTGAGCTGACCAGAAACCGCAATCGCCTGCACATCCAAGTTGCGAACCCAGTTTCCCCTCGAGGGAGACCAAAGCGCCATGCCTTCAACGGAGAAAGTCGCATTTTGCCCGAAAGCCTGAACAGCCGTAATGTCGCCGCTCAGTGCAAGGACGAACTCTGGAGTGTCGTTCGTCAAGTTGAGGCTGAGAGGGATGATCTGAGCAACACTGCCGTTGATACCAGCGCCCAGGGGGGTCCAGGTGTTGTCGGATGTCGAATACAGCGCGACGCCGTTCAAACCGTCCACGGTGTTTTTGGCTGTGTTGGAGAAGTTGCCACCAACAAAGAGGTCCGTGCCGTTGATGTACAGAGCGCGGACCTCGGAGTTGAGGCCGCCGTCTGCAAGGCTGACAGTTGTATTATCCTTGATGGCGAAAATGTGGCTGACATTACTGCTGCTGAAATTGCCGCCAATGTACATCGCATTGCCGTCGGTTACCATGACATTGATCCCCGCAGAGTCGCTGAGTTGGGAGCCAGCAGTGTCGACAACAGAGGCCGAGAAATCGTCACTGACGGTATCGAGGCCGGGGTCGTATTCGTAGAGGCCATTGAGGCCGCCAGAGGAGGAGCTCATGAGTTCGAAGCGCACACGCTGAGCGACAATGTTGAGAGGCCCTTGTTGGCCGTCGGCAGGCGTGAGCTCGACAAACGGGCGGAAGGAGTCGGAAATCGCGTCTATGTAACCATAATAGATTGTGTCGTACTTGTCGTAGTAGTTTGTCTGGAACAAGGTCATCGAGATGGGCGCACCTGCAGTCGTGGTACCATTGGTCATTGTTCCTGTGACGTTGACCTGCCCGCGGATCTCGCAAGTGTTGTCTTGTTTACATCCGGGAGTGTACAGGCGTACAGTGTAATTGCCAGACTGCTTAACGTTAGGCTTAAAAACCACGGAAGCCGAAGTGCTGTCGACGCTCTCTCCACTCGTGAAGTTCGCGCTGAGCCACTCTGAGCTGCTAGAGTGAGATGGTTCGATTTCCCAGGGGCCAGTTTGAGTAGCGGTGGCCGACGTGTTGGTGCTTTCGCAGGTAGGGTGGTTAAAGTCGTTGATAGCAAAAGCGTAAATGTCATCTTGGTACAACTCAATGCCAGCCAGGCCAGCACCGTCACCGTACCATTCTGAGATATCGATGCGGAAGGCATTCATGCCGACCTGGTTGACAAAGTGGAAGTCCTGGTGCGTGGTGTTACCTTGCGGAAGAGGGCAGCGAGCATCACACGTGATGTTATTTCCATCGGCATCAACATGGGTGAGGTTCATGATACCGCCATCGGGCAGGGCAGTGAAGCGCCATGTCCTTGTTCCACGGCCATCCTCGTTGGTGTTGTACAGGCGTAGCTTAGTAGGCTGGAATCCAAACTGGAACTCGGCCTTCCAGAATCCTGGTGAAGCGTCCTTCAACAAAAAAGCATTGCCAGATCCACCTTGCCCTGACTTGCAGAGGATGTTCCTGGGGTCACTGAATCCGCTCTTCGACGAGGCAGCTTGGGAGGTGATGTTTCCGGCCCCCAAGGGAATGATCTGCTGGTCCTTCTGCTTTGGAGTAGTAGTGTTTCCCAGTCCATCAAACGATCCTCCGAAAATGATGTGGCCATCAGAATTCTTTACAATGGAAGAAACGGGTCCGTTGAAACCGGCGAAAGGCAGGTTCGTCCAGCCGTCTGCCCATGCAAGGGCGTTGGTGGAGTTCGCCGCAGAGAAAGAGCCGCCGACGTACACGATTCCAGAATCCGAGTCGCAATACAAGCTCTTAACACTGCCGGTCAGTCCATCCCAAGGGGTGATGTCAGATGTGTTGGGGTTGAAAAGGGCTATGCCGGGCGTCTCGACGCCGCCTAAGCTGGTGAAGTTTCCTCCGATGACAATGCCGGTCAGGGATCCGTCCTTCACGAAAGGGCACATGGCCTGGATGTTGGCGTCACCCACGGCGATGTTGGCGAAGGCGCCGTTTGGGAAACGCGACAGGATTGCCTGGCTGCCATTTGTGAGGTACGTGTTTTGCTCTTGGCCGACCCACTCGTAGATGGAGAGGGCGTCGAAATTGCCGGCGAGGGCGACGCGGCCAAGCTCAGAAATGTCGATGTTCGGCGAATCGACGGCTTCGAAGGAGACGGCGCGGGTGGTGGGGGCGCCGATCAGGGCGGCTGAAAGAAGGGCGGCTGCAAGCCTACCGGCCGACATGACCGGCGATGAGGAAGGCGCCCTCATTGCCTGAGCCGGCGGCGACCGGGTGGAGCGGGCGAGAAGCAGTGCGGAGGGCGGCGGTGTCGTCGTTGTGGAGAAGTCGGAGAGGGAGTTTAGTGTTGACGAAAGCACGACATGCCTGGGCGGATAAGCTGGTTGTGAGGTACCCGGGTCGCAAACGGAGGTGATGAAGCAGACGGGGGCGGCGACGAATGGGAAGCGGCGCGCAGGGTCGGAAACAAGGCGGGTCCGGGACGGAGGCGCAGGGGAAGGGCTGGCGTGCGACGTGGCGCTGGTAACGAGTGACTGTGGGTGAGAAAGATCGAGACGCAGGAAAACCAAAGAGAGTGACAGCCGGCGACGGACGTGCGAGTCGGTCGTGGAGACGTGAAGGATGAAGATGGAGTTCAACGGGATCTCCTCTGCAGCGCGCAGAGTCAGCGGTGCGCTGGGGGCCTTCGCAAAACAGCCTGAGACGCTCGCGCCAAGCCCACGTTAGATGAGCTCCTGAGCGGCCTGAGCCACGGCCGACGCGACGCGGCCGGCTTGACGACCCACTTCGCGCCCGCACAGAGGCGCGCACGGTGCGCCCGGCCCTGACAGGCCCGCCAGCCGGTGATACGCTGCCTGCTTCTGCAGCCCGCAGCCCGCAGCCCGCAGCCCGCAGCCCGCATCATCGCGCGAGGAACACCCAGCGCCAGCGCCAGCGCCAACGCCAGCCCGGCGCCAGCGCCAGCGCCGCCGTTGGATCGCGCCGCAAGGGGCCGCACGCCGTGCTGCTCCACGCTCGACGCTCGACGCTACACCTAGGTACATGTGCCTGCACTCTATCCCGACCTCGCTGTGCGTCCACCCTATTCGTGCTGTAGGTACCAGGCGCGCGCGCCGCTCCTCAGCTCGTGTGCGCGGACCTTCCGGATGCGTTCATTGCGCCGTCAGGGCCTGGCCACCTATCCCTGGATGCGCCAATGACAGCCTCATCCCCGCTGGCGCCGCGGGCTGCGGCTGCTGGCATCTTCCTCAGTTCTGCCGCCGGCTTCCCACGAACCTCATTCAGGCCGCCGCTGCACGCAATTCGCACTTACCTACACGAGATCGCGCCTGCGACCGGCCATCCGCCGTTAGGGAACCGCTTCTGCCAGCTCGTGATTGGCGATCTGCGCTTTGGCCGATCTCGAAGCTTCGCACATGCCGACTCCACCATCTGCACTGTGGAGCCGCCTCCTCCCAAACCGCCTTTTTGTCCTTGGCTCAGATATTCCCAAGCGGTGAAGCGCCAAGGCCATGTCTCGACGACGCCGTGGTAACAGAGACACGTTGTGCGACGTGTGCAACTCCAGCCCGTCTTGGACTATTGCCATGGCAGAGCCGCCAGCCTCCCGCGCTGTACACCCGACGGGACGCTCACACACAGTCTCGGCGGCAAAGCAGTAGTAGTGTCAAAGGGGACTCAATTCGGACTATCTAATAACTCTGATGGCAGCTAGCTGTCCCGCATCCGCCGGATGCGAACCGATCCTTTGGAGAGGCTTATTTCTAGCAGCATGTCGATAAACACAGCATCCGCGTGCAGGGTACCACAGTCTCAGCGGCGCATGCACTGCGCAATCCAGCAAGGAGCGCCACGCTTTCCCGTCCAACCCATCCAAGCCGCTCTCGTGAAATCATAACCGTCGTTGCATCGTGGCAGCATGCTCGCCGCTTGGTCTAGATGTCGTTGTAGCCCAGGAACCTCTTCTGAAGATGCTTCTCCGCCACCGCCCATGTCCATGCGCGCCCTGCCTCCCCGCACCAGAGTGCAGATGGATCGTCCGACTTTTCCATCATGCCGTCCTTGTCCATCTGCTTGATTTCATGGCCTGTGGTGAAGGTGAGGAAATGCTCAAACTCAGGGTCCTCAAGCGTGAGCGCGTTGCCCGAGACACCGTGACACAAGCACGGCTCCTTCGTCAAGAGGCCGCGCTCGAGAATGCATTCCTGGCCACGCTTGATGGCCCTATCAATACGGTCCTGCATCTTGGGGAAATACGGTCTAATCGACTGAAGCGACGCAACCACGCCAGGAGCGCCGTGACAGAACTGTACGAGCCGGTCTCTGCCAGGTGGGATGGCGGACGGCCAGTTGCCGCTGTCATACTGATAGCTGAGAACAGCGCCCAGGTCAGCCTCCAGCTTTGGTGCCATGGCGGGGTCGCTAAGCACGATCTGCGTGATGATGCCAATAGTGCCATGGACCGCACCAAGATAGGCCTTCCCGTGCCACTTCCACGGCCGGGGAGAGTCCATGATGGCATCGATGACTTCATCCGTGGTGTCGTCGATGAGCTCTTTGGTATCAGCATCGTCCTCGAAAGAAGCCCTCACCAGGCGCAAGAGGTACAGGTACCCGGCCCGGCCGTAGAGCCATTCATTGCCGGCATCCTCATCGACAGTCACGGCAGCATAGTTGCAGAGCTCCTTGGCCATGTCTGCGTCCTTTGCAGAAGCGGCGCCTAGCGCGAGCAGAGCCATGATGTCGTCGGTGACCCCGCACTTTTTGACCGAAGGTCCGGGATAGGCCTTCATGTGCTTTTGGGCCAGCTCCAGGTAGGCGGCGGACCAGGAGCCTAGCGGGTAGTCGCCGATGAGCATTTCCGGATAGAGCTGCTGCAAGCGGAAGAAGAGGAAGGACACGCTAATTGGCCCATAGTAGAGGCCGCCGCCCGGCGGGATCTGGTCGGGCGGGTAATCGTTGACCAGCCGGACTAGCGACGCAGTGAGCTGCTTGTAAGGGTCTCTCCGGGAGAGAGGCTGGTCATTGCGGAAGTAGCGCGGAAGCGCCTTCGGCGGGGCGGCTGTGGCCATGGAGGCGGTGGAGTTGCGGCTGACGTGCGCGTCCAAATCAAGGGCTTGATTGCCGTTGTGAAGCTACAAGGGATGCCGATCGGAATATCTGGCGCAGAGACGTGGGCGGTACGTGTTCGGCCGGGCCAGCGTTGCCGTAAGGCGAGTGACGTAATGGGGCGGCTGCTGAGTGTCTGCGACAAGCGCTCCCTTGCTGGTGCTGGTAAACGTATGAGCCCGTGTCAGGGAGGGGTGGGAATGCTCGCAGAGTGAGGATCAGGACTGATGATGAGGGGGTGAGGGGTTCAAAGTGGACTCGGTTGTCTTCCGAGCGGGCTGGAGGTCGTCGTTGGGCTGCGGCGGCCCTGCGACGGGATTCTGATGATCCCGCCCCGTGACTTGTTTCGAGCCTGAAGGCTAACTGCCCAGCCACATCCAATCTCACCCTCCGTAATTTGCGGAACACCATTCCACCAGCATCGCACTGTCCGCCATTTCACAGCCCCTTTAGCTACACGTTGAAAGCATAATTGCACTGGGCAACGAGCCAGCTCATACAACACTGCTGGTGACACAAGCTCGCGTATCTATGTACATACATGCGGAGCATCTGCCGATGTATGCGATTTTACAGGACCCCATCGTCGGGTTTGAGAATGCTTAATCTCACCAGCATTCTGAGCGGCTGACAGATGCTCGCGGCTTTCCGCCATGCCACATGGACACCCGTGGCATCCATGTTCAGTACTCCCGTGAGCTTCTTGTCGTTCTTCTGACTCTCTTGGTTTCCTTCTCTTTCACCTCGAGAACCGAGTGCTCCTCTTCAGGCTCTCTCTTCACCCTTTTCTTGACCGCCTTCTTCTCTACCGTCGTTTCCTCGACGGTCGATCCTTCTGGGTCAGGTTTGATCACCGTCTTCTCGTCCTTCGTCTCAACCTTTGCCACAAGGCGTTCCGAGAAAGCTTTCAGATCAGCCGTGAACAGCACCGAGTGGGCCCAACCCGCTTCTTTACCCCAGAGGCTGCGGAATTTATTTGCAACTGCGTCATAGGTGGCCTTGGTCAGACTGCTGTGCTTCCCTTTCCCGAACCGGTAGTCACGCTGTGCGATCTGCCACACTAGATTATTCATGTCAGTCATGCACAATGGCCTGCAGCTTTGCATATGCGTGGCGTGAATCACTTACCGTGAGTATCGACCGGCACGGCCTCTCCCCACCCGAGGCCCATAAGACAAACGCAATCGGCCACCTTCGGTCCCACACCCTGAAGAGCAAGCAGCTGCTCGTGAGCAGACCTGTAGCCCTCGCGGCCGCTCTCCACAAATTCTCCGGCCGCTCTGGTCTCGGCGCCTAATACTGGACTCTCGGGGTTTCGGAGGTTGTCCAGCCAACTGTCCTCCTTTTCCGCTATCATGGCCGCTGTCTGATACAAGTACTTGGCCCGGTATCCGAATCCTAGCTGTCTGAGTTGTTGTTCGACTTTCGGGTCCGTCAACGCAGATGCTGGAGGGAAATCGTGGAAGGCTTGCGAGCCTACGTGTCCGATGAGTGGGCCGTAGTTTGTGCACAGCTTCTCCACCATCTGCGAGATCCTGGCGATATTATTGTTGCTGCTGCAAATGAATCCAACCAGCGCTTCCCACGCGTCTTGCTTCAAGATACGGACTCCGGTGAACTTTGGAGCCTTTTTTCTGAAATTGGCATCCGCTGCCGCCCACTCCTCGTATAACTGGCCTAGATTCGGCTTCAAATTGAAGTAGTGTTGAATAAGTTCAAGGGTGTCGTCTTCTTTGGGGACCGGAGACTCGGCTGTGGAGGGCACAGTGGAATGCGGAGGGGTCAAAAGGGCTTTGGATGGCTCAGGGAATATAGCGCGATAGTGTAGGTGCTCAGGGTCTTGCCGTAACGACAGGATTCGGCCATGGAGAGCGCAGGACCATTCGTCCTCGGCCGACTTCCGCCATCTACCAGCGTGAATTGTCAGCGCAATTTTGCAAATGGGCATAGAAAATACCACCGACCTGAAGGATTGACCGCAGCGCAAAGTGGTGTTGATACAGAGCTCAGTGAGACTTATTGGCAGGCGCTGCCACTCGGTGATGCGCAAATTGCCCATTTTTGCAGCGACGCAGGATGCACGCGAGGGGAAGAAGACGGCTGAGCACTTAAGACCGCAATCATTCAAGAGAGAATTCCGCTGGAATCGGGAGACCGTCTTCAAGAAATTAAGGTTGGGGAGCGCGCAATCGTCAGCAGCTGTGAGCTCAGTCGTGTGAGGTATGCGAAGAGGGCGATCTAGAGAAGACGCGACCGCAGGCGCCACTTGACGCGATCTCGGTGCCCGCGGAACTACGCGCACGCGTATGGGCAGTGACAGTGGCTTCCAGTAGAGACCGACATGGATACATCAAGCGATGGGTACTATGTGAGCCACCTTGGTATGGGACCAGGTACAGACAGACAGTGTTGTGAGGCCAGTGCAGACCATTGCGAAAAGGCTTGTCGCGGTGAGGTGGGCAGGCGCGTATGTAGCAGCAGTCACGGGTGCGGGCAGTGCGGCCAGGGCAGTAAAGTGGAGGCGGGATAGTTGGCTGCCCACGCGAGCAAGAGGTTAGCGTCGGTTAGTTTCTTGAGCCTCGCCCGGCCAGCATCTTCACTGCTGTCCAGCTCCACTACCGCGCGACCAACCTCACCCAACAACCGTCCGCTCGACTGTCGCACGCGCCTTTACAGCTCGGCGGCCCACCAATCGCGCTAGCAATCGCCGTCTACGCCTTCGCGCACCTTCGCCGAATATGAACGGCGACAGAGGTGTGTCCGATCCAGCTCCATTCTGCATCTGCTTCAAGTGCTAATACTCGACTTAATCAGATGGCGGCCGGTCGCGCGACCATTATGTAAGCTACCAAGAATCTCTTGATGCCGGCCGCAGTGTACTGACAACCTCACTGTCCAAGTCTTCGCGTGGAGACCGCGAGGACCGCCGTGACCGTGACCGCGACCGACGCCGCCGCTCCAGATCTCCCGGCCACCGAGGCTCCCGACGTGACTACGAGGTAGACACGTATTCCTCTAGCCGTGACTACAGAGAGCGCGAGCGTGAAGACCGTTACGCGGGGAGGGACAGGCACCGCGACGATCGCTGGGACAGAGACCGTGGATCACGCAGGGAGAGACGGGACGACGAGGAGAGGCCGTCGCGCCGGGACCGCGACCTGTTTGATGACCGTGGAGGACGTGGCAGGAGGGAAAGAGATGAGTTTGGCGGCCGCGGAGGCCGCGGTGGCGGCGGCGGCGGCGGCGGCGGTGGTGGTGAAGGCGGCCGAAGGAGGAGTGCCTCGCCGCCGCCCAAAAAGCGGGAACCCACACCGGACCTCACCGATATTATCCCCATCACGGAGCGGCAGAGGCGCATGACGCAGTGGGATATCAAGCCGCCGGGCTATGAGAACGTGACCGCAGAGCAGGCTAAGCTGTCGGGCATGTTCCCCCTGCCGGGTGCACCCCGCCAGCAGCCCATGGATCCCAGTCGCCTGCAGGCCTTCATGAACCAGCCTGCCGGTTCGGCAAATGCTTCTGCTCTCAAGCCGTCAAACTCGCGACAAGCAAAGCGCCTTTTCGTCTACAACTTTGCGAGCTCCGCCACCGATGACACCCTCCAAGATTTCTTCAACCTCCAGCTCAATCACCTCAACGTCATTTCCAGCTCTGACCCTTGCATCTCGGTGCAGATCTCCAAGGACCGCACTTTTGCCCTCTGCGAGTTCAAGACGCCGGAAGATACTACGATGGCGCTGGCTTTGGATGGCCAATCTATGGAACCGGAAGATGCGTCCAATGGGGCCAGCAACGGAGCTCAAACAGGTCTTCAGATCTCGCGCCCGAAGGACTACATTGTTCCCGCGCAGAGCGAGGATCCTGATTACCAGGAAGGCGTTGTATCGGACAAGGTCAAGGACGGCCCGCACAAGATTTCCATTTCGCAGATTCCGATCTACCTGACGGAAGAGCAGGTAACGGAGCTGCTTACATCCTTCGGCGAGCTCAAAGCTTTTGTGCTAGCCAAGGACACGGGCACCGAACAGTCAAAGGTGATAACCAAGCCAGCGGACGCGTCCTCAATCTACTCTGTGCTGACAATGTGAAACAGGGAATTGCGTTCTGTGAGTACGTTGACACGGCTGCGACCGACATTGCAGTGGAGGGCCTGAACGGCATGGAGATTGCTGCAGACAGCCTGAAGGTCAAGAAGGCATGTGTTGGTATTCAGCAGGCTTCCGGCCTGGAAATGGGCGTCAACGCGATGTCCATGCTCGCGGGCACATCTTCGAGCGATGCCGAGCAAGGCCGTGTGTTGATGCTCCTTAACATGGTAACGCCGGAAGAGTTGATGGATCCCCAGGAATATGAAGGCAAGTTTGTTTCTGCGCAGCTATTTCCGAGGAACGGCCATCTGTCTAACATGCAGCACAGAGATCCACGAAGACGTGCACGAAGAATGCAGCAAGTACGGCCATGTCGTGGACCTCAAGATCCCCAGGCCGCAGCCGCCCAAGGAAAACAAGGGTGTGGGAAAGATCTTCGTCAAGTACGACACGCCCGAGGCGGCGCAGAAGGCTTTGCGTGCTTTAGCCGGACGCAAATTCGCGGATCGCACCGTCGTGGTGACGTTTTTCGGCGAGGTAAGCTAGTCCACGGGCGATGTTCCGTAGGTGCAGATGCTAATTGGGGAAATAGGAGTACTTCGACGTCGATGCTTGGTAAAGCGGCAGCGCACGTCCGCTGGCGGAGCTAGCCTGAAGTGCGGGCGTTGTTGGTTGCGTCGTCGGCTTCTAGCAGATTGAGTCCATGGCATTCGAGGGGTTTGGGACATAGGTAGTTTCGTGGGAGCGATTTCGAATGTAATTCTAGCGGAGCTTGGGTAGCCGGTGACTAAAAAAGCATGAGGGCTCGGGGGCGTACTAGGTGGAGAGCCGGAAGCTGGAAATATACAAGCGGCGCCGCGCTTGCAACGCAGGCGGGCAATTTGAAACCGTGTCATATTGAGCACGCTCATGTAGATCGGTATACCCCGCGCGCCGCAAATAATATGGGGCCAGGCCGCGGCGGACAAGGCGGGCGATTTGATTGACGAAGAGTCGTCATTCGACCATCTCGCTTACACGACGCCTCAACGGCGTTGCTAACCCCAAACCTGCGGCTGTCTTGAGGCTCCCGGGTTCTCTTATTATGCGGGACTGTCGCGTGCTCCCCAGCATGATATCACCGAATGGTTCTCGGCTGGCCCACCTGCTCCGCCAGCCCGCACCGCTTGTATCATGTCGATGTCGTCGTTGGCCAGCAGCCCGCTCGAAGAGCTGAGCCCGATCAGCAGGCGATCCCGTAAGTCAAACACAGGCCGGCGCTCGTCGCGCAGGAGCGACGGTTGGCGAGCTCGTCGGTTGGCCACGCTGACATGACACAGGGCGCCGCAGCTCGACCGTCCTGAATCCGCGCTTCTACGTCGATAACTCGATATGGCAGGACGCGCCTGTCCTGATGGGCACGACCAAGTTCGAGCCGCTGCCCGATGCGCGCAACATCATGGTCACCGGGGGCGCGGGCTTCATGTACGCTGCCACCCCGCAGCGCGAGAGGGCGCGCGCCGCGCACCGACGAGGGTCCCGCCAGAGTTTTGCTGACAGGTTGACAGCGCGTGCTGGTTCGTCCGACATCTGACGTTGACGTACCCTGACAAGTACCGGGTCTACTCGTTTGACAAGCTGGACTACTGCGCGTCGCTCAACAACACGCGCATCCTCGACACTGCGCCCAACTTCACCTTCGTCCAGGGCGACATCACCTCGCCCGCCGACGTGCGCCGCTGTCTCCGCACGCACGACATCGACACAATCGTCCACTTCGCTGCGCAGTCGCACGTCGACCTGAGCTTCGGGAACTCGTACCAGTTCACCAACACCAACGTGTACGGCACGCACGTGCTGCTCGAGAGCGCAAAGGCGCACGGAGTCAAGAAGTTCATCCACATTTCGACCGACGAGGTCTATGGAGAGGTGGAGGACAACGGCGATGATCTGGGCGAAACCAGCCTGCTCGCGCCCACAAACCCATACTCGGCCAGCAAGGCGGCGGCGGAGATGATGGTGAATGCATACTGGAAAAGCTTCAAGCTGCCCGTCATCATCGTCCGCGCGAACAACGTGTACGGGCCGCATCAGTTCCCAGAAAGTAAGGACAGGGCAGCCTTCCACTCCACAAACGCACAGATCAGGCTGGGGAAGCGATGCTGATCACGACTCACACCACAGAGATCATTCCCAAGTTCGCGATGCTGCTGCACCGCGGCCGCAAGCTGCTGCTGCACGGTGACGGCACGCCCACGCGGCGATACCTGTACGCGGGTGACATCACCGACGCGCTCGACACCATCTTCCACAAGGGTGCGGTGGGGCAGATATACAACATTGCGTCCAAGGACGAGGTGTCGAACATGGAGCTCTGCCGCCGGCTCTTGAAACTGTACGGGCTCCCGGCCCGGACACCGGACGAGTTCAAGAAGTGGGTTGTGCACACCGAGGACCGGCCGTTCAACGATCACCGGTACGCCACCGACGGCACGAAGCTGGCGGAGCTCGGGTGGCGGCAGCGAACGAGCTTCGAAGAAGGACTCCGCATCACGGTGGACTGGTACCGGCGCTTCGGAGAGGTGTGGTGGGGAGACATCAGCCGCATCCTGACGCCTTTTCCCGTGGTCGAAGGAAACGAAATCTTCACGCAGGAGGAGCATGACGCTCTGGACGAGGGCACGCAAACGTCCGAGGAAGAGGAGTACGTGTGGAACGACCGGGCGCTATACCATCTGCAGGCGTCAGGAGGCACCGTGTGACTGGGCACTTTAGCACCTGGCATATGCATTCTAGAGGCCGGCACGCGAGAGTGGAGCAAGCATTGCGGAAGACGGCTCGTTAGATTGATTAGATACCAGACAATACATTTCGCTTTTTTTTTTCCTTTCGGCAGTTCGACATGCGGCCCCGTCGCCCACGCGGTCTTGCTCACGGGTGAAGACCAGGGCAGGGCCAGGGCAGGCGCCAAGGCCGCGTTTCGGTGGCGGGGAACGGATGCGGAGCGGCGGTCGGGCGGGCAAGAGCTGCGCACCTGCAGCTGGCGCGCGGCGGCGACCTTGGGCCGCGAGATACGGGGCCGGGGGGCGTTTCATGCACTGCCTCAGACAACGTACGAAGCCGCCGCAGTCAGCCCTCCACTCTCTTTCACAACCCTCCCCTTCCTCTGTCTTCTCGCCATCCAACCCGCTCTGCCGCTGCTGCCTAGCCCCGGAATTGCAGCGCCCAGAGACAATTCGCACGAGGCCTTCACGCGGAAATCCCTCGTTCCCCCCCTCCATTCGGTAGCCTAAGCAGCTACGCAGGACCCTTATTAGGCCATCTCCCCTATTGGAGCCATATTAACCCTCGTACCCCTCCAAACAACGCGACCGGGACAACAAGCACCCACGCAGCACAACAACCGGCCAGCCAATCCTCGAATCTCCAGCAAATAAATCCCATAAAAAAAAATCATGGGTCTCTTCAGCAAGAAAGACAAGTCCGGCTCCGACGTCGCTAGCGACACCGACCGCAAGGCCCTCTTCGGCAGCAAGAAGGGCTCGCCCGCGCCCTCGTCCGCCAACCCCTACGCCCAACCGCCTCCCGGCGGCGCGCCCCCTCCCCCCTACTCCGGCGGTGGCATGAGCGACCGCGCCCGCGCCGAGAAGACCCCCGTCCCGCAGGGCGGCTACGGCGGCGGCGGCGCTGCCTACGGCGGCAGCGGTGCCTACGGACAGGACAGATACGGCGGCGGCAGCGGCAACGGCGGCGGCGGCACTGCGAGCAGGTACGGTGCCGGCGGATACGGAGGCATGGGCGACTCGGATGCGGGCAGGCAGGAGCTGTTCGGCAACGCGGCGCAGAGGGCGCAGCAGCCCGGCGGCGCGCCGGCGCCTGGCGGTGGCACCATGGGCGGGGGCGCGGCCAGCGCCGCGTACGGCTCGTATGCGGACAGGCAGCTGACGCAGGAGGAAGAGGAGGAGGAGGACGTGCAGGCGGCGAAGCAGCAGATTAGGTTCAGTGAGTCGACACTCTTGCCTTCCTTCCTCCGCCGGCCTAAATGCGTTGGAAGGAGCTGAGGAGAGCGGAACTAGGTTCGAGTATGTTTTCGATACTAACGGATTGAATAGTGAAGCAGCAGGATGTTTCCTCGACGAGGAACGCGCTCCGCTTGGCAGCTCAGGCCGAGGAGACGGGCCGGGACACTTTGGGACGGTTGGGCGCGCAGGGAGAGAGTAAGTCTTTACCCTCGCATAGCACCCTTGAGTGCTGCACGATGGCGATTGGAGTGCATAGGAGCTCACGCGGCTGGCAACAGGAATCCACAACACGGAGAAGAACCTCGATCTCGCAGAGAACCAGAACAGGCTTGCCGAGGAGAAGGCGCGCGAGCTCAAGACGCTGAACAAGTCCATGTTCGCGTAAGTTCTTCCAACAAGCCTTTCGTGCATCACTTTAGCTGACCTATTCAACAGCATGCACGTCTCTAACCCCTTCACCGCATCCAAACGCCGCGAAGCCCGCGACCAGAACATCATCGACACGCACCGCAAGGAGAAGCAGCAGCGCGAGGACACGCGCACGGCGGCGTACGACTCGGCGCAACGCCAGCAGCAGGTGCAGAAGGACGTCAACCGTGCCGGTTTCGGCGGCAACAAGCAGGCCAGCTTGGCCGAGCGCTCCAAGTACCAGTTCGAGGCCGATTCGGAGGATGACGACATGGAAGACGAGATCGACTCCAACCTCGACGCCCTGCACGGCGCCGCCGGCCGCCTCAAGAACCTGGCCTCAGCCATGGGCACCGAGGTCGACACGCAGAACCAGCACATCTCCCGCATCACGAACAAGGTGAGTCAGGACTGTTCTTCCCCTTTTACATACCATGCGCTACGCGCTTTTTGCGTTGGGTCAGTTTCACCGCTGACACTACCTTCCAGACCGATCGTGTGGACGAGCAGATCGTCATGAACCGCGCCCGTCTGGACCGCATCAAATAAGCGCAGCCAGTACAAGACATCTCGCACACTGGGTCCGTTGCCTTTGTACATACATGCGTCTTGACTTGAAAAAAAAAAAGTCCCAAAGAACGAACACCAAAAAGATGGACAATGAATGCGGGAGGAGCCGGGTCGGGTTGCTCAAGAACTGGGAGGGATACAGACTTTCTCCCTCTCTCTGCTATTACCTCTTTATCTCTCTCACTCTCTCTCTCTCTCTTCCTACAGAGTTTTGGGAAACATGGCGTTTTGGGATATACTTTGTCTTTTCTTTGGGTGCTAAATGGCATGCATGAAACTCACCTTGCTTGATGCGTTACATACATGCATAATGCAACACCGTTATGGGCGTGGGGCCCTTTCGCCTTTTGTCTCAAGTCCGACTTCGCTGCTGCTTTATGATAGGTGGGGCGGCCGAAAAGTTTGGAGTCGAGAAGCTCGGCCTCTCTCTTTCACCTTCATCCTTCTGACGTTGTTCCATTTTCGAAGAGTCGCAAGTAAAGTCGAGCCGAAGGCAAAGAGATGCAAACCACTGACCGAAGTCCTTCGGATTTTTTTTTTCTCTCTTACTTGGCTAGGGAATAGTCAGCAATTGATGTGCCACCGTCCGGCCTGTTCTGCTAGTCTTCCAAGACGCATGTGTTGGAAGTAGAGTGTTGAAATGAGGCCCATAGAGCGAGGGGTTTGCTGCAGAAGGAGGCAGCACGCAAGCAGTAAGTGATCGTACTGCCGCGTCTAGAAGGCGAAGTGTTGACCATGTTAGCAACCCGATGTCTCCTCAGGGTGTCACTGACGGGGATAGAGCGAGAAAACTTCCCAATTGGAGTGGTATCAAGGACTTCACGAGCTAATAAAATGACTATTCTTTTTCATTGCCAGTAACCTGTATGGAAACTAAGAAATACAGAGTTGACAACAACACATGAGATATCTGATATCATCGCATAGACGCGGGAAACAACAATGTAGCATGCAAAATGCGGCGACCGTGCTTGGTCCCAAGAATCCCCGTGGAAGAATCAAAGCAAAGAAAACGCCGCTCTGTGCTCCCTCCCAATTCCCAATTCTCCTTCCCCCCATGCTTTGTGAAGGATATGTGAGGATACTGTGTGCAACCGGAACGAAAAGGATAGATGCCGCAGATAAGAATGGATGCAATATAGAAACGCCATCCCGCCAATGCCTTTTTAATTCTAAAGACCGGCCAACACCGCCTGCACTCCAACACTGCTAGCGTCCTCTCTGTTGCGCACGAAACTCCTGAGAGCCTCCCTCTCCGCGCCGTTGACGCCGCGGAGCCTCTCGCGCAGAGCCTCGGGCCCGATGACGAACAAGTTCGCCACCTCGACGAGGATATCCATGCCGTTCTTCTCAAACCCACCTCCGCTCGAGCCCGCGTTCCGCTTGTTGCTGTCCGTAGATCCGCGCTTGCCGGATGCATCGGATGAAGAGCTACCAGACGTCGGCCACCCGCGCACGAGCTCTGCGTACTTGGTCGCATCCTTGGATACGACCAGACCACCCGTAAGTGAGACGGTGAAGCGGCGGAAGTGGTCGAGCAGCTGGCTGCGCAACCCGAGGGCGCACTCGCTCAGGAAGAGGCCGAGGGCAGGCTGCGACAATGTGGCAGTGGCCTGAGTGGCAACCTTGTCAAGGAAGCGCGTCGTCGCCAGGCACGTTGGCGTCTCGGCACCCAACGACACCAGGTCCTCGTCACGGGGGCGGAAGTCTTGCTTTTTCTGACCCTGCAGGAGCTTGGCTGCCCAGGAGAGACACACGTCGATGGTCTTTTGGAGGATGGTGCTTATCTTATTTTCGAGATTTGTGATGGTGGCATTGGTGGTTTTCTCAATCTCGCGACGGGTTATTAGAGATGGGGCTGCAAGGGGAAGGAGGACTGTGTTGATGGACATCTGCAGGAGATGAAGAATGCCGATCGCAGTACGAAGAGAGTAAAGGTAAGAGATATCCGGAGGATTGTTCTTGACGTTCTCCTGAGAGGTAGCCAATTCGGCAGCCCTAACATGTCATTAGCGTCTGTGAGGAGGGAAACACTACGTCGACTTACGCGTCCAATGCCGTCTCCAAGTAGATCTCACCGACGTGAGAAAGAAGGAGCCCAAGCATCGCTTGAACGTCTTTGGGTGTCTCGTTACCGCCGCCCAACTCGAGACCTCTGCCTACCCCTTCAGCCAACCACTTCAGCATGCGCTTGGCATTTGGCAGGCTGAGCTGGCCGTCCTCTTCGGAAACCTCAATTTCCTTGTCGCTGTCTGCTTCCTTCAGACCAGCGAGCTGAAGCATCATGCTTCTTTGCGAGGTTGAAATATCGGAAGATCCTAACCGCTCCATGTAGGCATCCTTTGCAGATGCGAAGAGTTCGCGACCTCTCTGACTCAGTGAGCCCAGATAAGACGTCGCGATCTTGCGTCTCTTCGACTGGTAAACAGTGAACTTGAAAAGTAGCGAAGAGTATAGTTCTTCCAGATTTTTCTTCTCTCTTTCGATGTAAGAAGACCCGAGGAGGTATGGGATGAAGAGGTCCTCAAGCTGTTGGTCCAGCATTGCTGCAACGTGTGAAGTCACTGGTTCGGGGTGTTCAGTCAGGCCGTGTGATTTAAGGTCATCGACAAGAGAGCCGATGTAGCTTCTTGCAGCTTGCAAAGAGCGGAGGAAAGCCAGTGAAGAAATGGAATTTGCCTTATCAAGCACCATTTCTAACCGCGCTTGGATCTACATGGAAGGTCAGCTTCATTTGTAAGATCCAGCAGCGAGGAACGTACGGATTGCTGGAAGACACGCTGCAAAAATCTGATCAAAACCTCGTCGGCATAGGGAAATGCCTTCTTGATAATGAACGATTCTTCTTGGACGACAAGTCTGACTTCATCGACCAGGGATTGGAGACTTGGCTCAACACCTGGAGGCTCCGCATCTGGATCGGCAAGGCGATCCCAGCTGTAAGAAAGTCAGAAACGAACCACAGCCTTGGATGATGGAGTAATACGTTTCACCGTCGCCCGCCACCTCTTCGGTGACCAATTGACTTCTGTCGATGAAGAACTGATGCTGGTTGACAAACAGCCCCATTACGCTTGCACCGTCGTTGAAATCGCGTAGCGCAGCGGCGCATTCCTCCCAGATATATTAGTGCAAATTGTGGTAAAAGGAGATGGAGCGGTCTCACCCTCATGCCTTCAAAGTTTTGCCTCCGGTAAAAATCGTCGAACTGCTTCAACAGATCCTTCTCCAGCATCTCCAGGAACTTCTCAATGATCTCCCTCGTGTTGTGCTTCTTTGCTGGTGCGCCGTTCTGCCCGTTGGCACCGTCTACTCCGTTCGTCCTGGGAACGTTTACTTGGCCATAATCCGGATCCAACCTATGGCTGAGTCGGAGGAGCTGTCTAGCAATGTGTGCACATCGAACCTTTCCGTCTCCGCCTCCAAGCCGCCTGACGTCTTCCAGCGATGACAGGTCTCCCCGCTCGCTGACCTCCATCCAGCACTGAATCAGAAATTTGGCATCCTGCGCGCGTTGTCTCTGGCGGTCTAGCTCCTCCAGCCGTTCTCCTATACGGACTGCGACGTTGCCGCCGCTCTCGCTATCCACGCTATCACTGATGCCTCCATTGAGCGAGTTATCTAGCCTGTTGAACTGCTCAATGGATTCCTCCAGTTTTATGCCTAGCGATTCGTTCTTCTGGGCGTGCTGGGCCTCGGCACGGCGCACCGAACCGGCGAGTTCGTTCTCCTGGAGCTCAAGGTCCTCCGACAGCGTGCCCAGGCGAAGCAAGGCATGTTCGAAGGTCCGGATCAAAGGCTTGGGGTCAAAGGCCACCTGGCGGGCAGGGTTGCCCGAGCGACGGCTGACGGGGACGGCGGTGTCGGAGAGGGTCTCGATGAAGTCCTTGACGATGAAGTCCTGGCTCTTGAAAGTCTCGAGAGAGAACTCGGGGCCGCGATAGGAGACGGCGCGCGAGGTGCGGGTGGACACGACCGACTTCGCGTCGGAGGCGGGGCCGACCATGGCGATCACCAGCCGTTGCCCAGGGCGCGCTGGTAGGACAGGCCGGACGAGGCGCGGCGGCGGGCTTCTCGCAGTTCCTCAATGGCCTGCTGCTCGCGGATGGAGTAGCGGTGCTCCTCGGCGGCGCGCAGATCCTCGTAGGAGCGGAAGGGGAAGTACTGCTGGTAGGGCACGCCGGGGGGCGGATCGTCGTGCAGGCCCTCCTCGTGCTCGGAGGGGGTGACGCAGCGGATGCTCTGGTAGCCGGGCGGGGTCTGGCGGGGCGGTGGCAGCGGCGACTCGCGGTGGTGGTGGAGGGCGTAGCGGGCGTCGCGGGCGTCGGGCTCCGCGTCGGCAGGTGTGGCGGAGGCAGGCTTCTGGTCAGTGCTCGAGTCGTGGGTGGCGTGGGCGTGGACGAAGACGGCGTGCAGCAGGCCCTTGAGCTTGTGCACAAAGCGCACGAGCTCGTGGCGGGGGTGCAGGCCGCGCAGTTTCTGACGCAGACGCTGCACCGGGCGTTTCTTGCTGCGCGGAGGGGGCATGCGAAGGAGGGACGGGAGCTGGAGCGACGGAGGTCTGGACGGCCATCCATGTCGGCCAAGTTAAGCCCAGTGACGGGTACGGGTTGAGCCACAGGCCACATCATAGCCGTGCGTCGCGTAGGGCTGCCGCTGCCGCTTTGCCGCCGCTCTGCCGCCCTCCCGCCCCGAGCCTTCTGCGCCTGCTGCTCTGACGACGCCTCAACACTTTCACGCTGCCGATATTATACTGGCGTGACCCGCGCGCCCCCATGCACAGACACTGATCCTCCCGCCCCCCGTCTCCGCTCTCCTGTGCAGCAGCGCCGTGCCAACCTCCGCGACTCGCCCGTCTGTCTCCACGCCGCCACGCCGCCATGGTCGGCCTCCGCGAATCCGCTGCGCTTCGGAACAGCGCGCTGAGTGCCCGCGAACGCGAGGCTCTCCTCAAGCCCTACCTGCCCTCCAGTCCCGCGAGCGCGAACCCCTCGACCGAGTCCGCCCGCGCTCCGTCGCAAGACGACCGCCGCAAGAAGCCCGTCCGCCAGTTTCTCACCCACAAGCTCTACCTCAGCACCCACCTCGTCATCCTAGCCCTCTTTTCGCTCTACATACGCCTGCGAACTGCCTACCATGCCGTCGGCGACCGCATATGGGCCCTCATGTACTACCACCACCGCGCACCCGAGCTTATACAGAAGGACGTCAAGCACCTCGACAAGCTGCCCCAGCACCTGAGCATTGTCCTGGACTTCAACGACCACGAGCAACGCGGGGCAGGCCTGGAGGGATTGGTCGATGATATCAGCGAGGTCGCTTCGTGGTGCGCCAGTGCCGGCATTCCTGCGCTGAGCGTCTATGAGAAGACGGGTACGTACGCCGTCGAGCATTGCTGAGACTTCTCTGAACATCCCGCGACAGGCATCCTGAAGAACTACCTCCCGGCCACCCACCGTGCAATCTCCCAAAGGCTGGAGTCCTACTTTGGCGCTGAGAAGAAGCCCACTCTCTCCCTCCGCGCCCCGAACCTTCCGTCTTTCAGCCCTCCTGCCACACCTCCTGAACCCGCCGCCGCGTCGCCTCATGATGCCAATGACCGTGCTCCTCTCCCGCATTTGACCATCCTTCTTCTCAGCGCCGAGGACGGACGCAGCACCCTTGTTGATTTGACAAAGACACTCACCGAGATGTCGCAGCGTGACAAGCTCGCGCCGTCTGATATTTCCATGGAGCTGATTGATGCCGAGATCACCGAGAGTGTCATGGGTGAGCCGGATCTGCTGATAATGTTTGGTCCGAGAGTCGAGCTCAAGGGCTATCCACCGTGGCAGATCCGGTTGACGGAGATCTAGTAAGTCTGGCCAGAACCCGTCTGCTCTGGCAGCAGCTAACAGCAACCAGCCACACACCAGACACCTCAAGCGTCAGCTACCAGACGTTTCTACGTGGATTGCATAAATTCGCGAAGGCCCAGATGCGGCTTGGTCGGTAGAGTTCCAAGCAGGGCCACGGATTGGCTGTCCATACTTGGTCCTTTCAAGCAAAAACAAGAAGGGCTGCATTCTTATTTCGATAGAGGTGTTCCTGGTATTGGAGCTGGGGCACTTCGGCTCAAGCACCTGTCATACATCAGGTTTTCTTTCTAAGCATTGTATCTTCTGATAGATACCCTGAATCCCTCCTCTACGGGAGGATTCAAATAGAGCGAGACACTTTTCTAATTTCAAGCGTCTTATTCTTTCAAGAGAGCTTCCAATACCCTTAGTCTTCAAAACGACCCACATGATTGTCCGTCAATACTGCATGCATGATACGACCCGGAAACCGCCGCCCCACTCGCCCCCAACCAACAATTACGCCCTCTCCACCTGCTCCACAACAAGCTTGCCCGCCTTCCCCGACCCCGCGCCCACTTCCAACCCATCACCGTCCTCGCCCTCTCCTCGTCCACCACCACCACCACCACCAGCCACGCGCACGACCGCGCTCCCAAACGCCCTCGTGGCCGTCCCCAACTCAAACAGCGCGTCCAGCTCCTCCAGGCTGCGGCCCTTCATCTCGGGCACGAACAGCCAGCACAGGGCGGTGACGGCGACGGCGGTGCTGCCGTACAGGAAGCCGACGCGGGCGCCGAGGCCGGCGTAGTCGGCGTTGACGAGGTAGGGCACGGAGAAGCTGATGGCGAAGGCGCACGCGATGGACACGGAGTTGGCGAGCATGGCCGTCTTCTCCGCCACGCGCCGCGCCGGCGCCTCCGCCATGGTGATGTAGCTGAGCGGCGCCCACGTCAGCCCGAAGCTCACGCCGAACAGCATCAGCCCCGCCACGAGCGCGTCTTTTTCCGCCCGGTTCGGTCGTGAGATCGTGCCGAGCCCGCCGACGAGGTAGAGGAAGGTGGCTTGCGCGAGGCCACCGAGGAGGAGGAGCGGACGTCGGCCCACCCGGTCGACGATGAGCGAGGTGGTCAGCGCGGTGACGAATTGGAGCGTCGTGTAGCAGATGCCCAGCGCGAACGAGTTGGTGTAGCCTTGTTGTTGGTAGAAGAGCACGCCGTATTGCGAGGTGAAGATCTGGCCCGAGAGCTGCTGGGCGAGCATGCCGAGGATGGCGATGCCGGCGCGGCGCTGGTGAGAGGGGAGATGCGCGTTAGTGGTTGTGGGTGGTGAATGATGGTGGGCATGGTTGAGTGGATGCTTACCTTGTTCGTGCCTGTGAAGACTTCGGTCCAGCCGCCTTTGCCCTCGTTGGTTCGCGCGTAGAGCATGACGCTCAGTTCCTCGGCAAGGGTCTGCGGATCGGTGTTCTTGCGGAGCTTGCGCAGTGCGGCGGATGCGGCCTCCGTATTGCCACGGCTTATGAGCCTGTGAGAGGAGATTAGCCTTTCGGAATCGTTCTTCTTTATGCAGCCGGTATGTTTACCATCTTGGAGATTCGACCAGGAAGGGATACGCTGCTATGAGGATAGAAGGCATCACGAATTGGATGGCTGAACAATAATCAGTTCGAGAAGTGACGTGTTAAAATTGGGACGATATACCGAGGGGTATCATCCAGCAAGCATCAGTGTCCAACTGCTTGGTCCCATAGTTGATGAGATTAGCGATGACCTGGGAGAACATGATCTGGATTTGGACCTGGCCTCCAATGAGCCCGCGTAGCTCTTGTGGCGCAGTCTCAGCGAGGTATGATGGGATCATCAACATGCATATGCCTGGCAACATTAGCAGTCGGATGATGTGGTTGGATAGCGTCTATTACCGGTCATAAAGTAGCATGTTATGCGCCCAACTGTAAATTGCGCTGCAGTGGTGGCAGCAATCTGTAGTACCGTGCCACTTCATACCATAAGTATATTGAAAGGCGGGCGACATCGAGGAACTAACATGATTGAGCAAACGGCGATGAAGAGTAAACTCTTCTTTCTGCCGAACCGCTCAGCCAAAGGAGCGGCGACCCAAGTTCCCTATCGCAAAGACGTCAGGCGTAGGCCAATACGCGAGGGACTCGGGAGGGCTACAAGGAGCTTTCCAAGATACGGCGTCGAGTTCATGACCGAAGAGAGGTAGGACGGTATACTGCAAGTGCCATCTGCGTCGCACTTTCCGAATCTTTTCTTGAATGCTGTGGCTCGTCAGTTTCTGAGTGTCTTTCCATGGAAAACAGTTACTCACGGCCCATGGCCTGAAGACCACTGAAAACGCCAACCTGACATGTGTTAGGTATTACGTACGCGTCGAGGTCATGGCTGAGCGTACATCGTAGCCAAAATTGAACATGGCAGCGCTCGTGTATCTGCAAGCGGGGAAAGGCACGGTCAGGCATTATGGATCGGGTGGCTAGACACCCTCCCATCGAAGCTTACATGGTGACAAAAGCTACGGCAGGCGTGAACAGGGCCATACGCTGCCTGAATGACATGGCGCTGGCCTTGTCAGCCGCATTGCGCTCAAGGATGCGAGGAGCCATCACAGTGGGCCGAGAACTTCCAGGAGAAAGGACGAGGATGCAGAAGAGACAACAGCACTAGGGTTTCGCATGATGATCATCCATTATGTATAAAGACGGCAAGCCGACGGAAAAGTATCCGCCCTGGTTGTAAGTGATGTCGATCTCCTGCAAGCAGGCTGAGAGATCTAGTCTGGCATTTGCGGTGCTCGGCATTTGAGTATGAGCTTAGGCGACAGATGTCCCGAAGCAGGTGGCTAGGAAAAGTAACGTTTGGAGTAGGCCAGTCCACATCAAGCGCCAGCCCCGGAGCCTGCGGGGAAGCGTGACCGTGCTGCTGCAGTGGAACGCGGAGAACTGGGGCTGCGTGCAAGTCCGGGGGGCCGTTCGGGGAAATCCTCGGCGCTACGCAGCAAGGCAAGCAGGTGTCGGCATCGGGCACGGCTAGGAATCGTGCAGCAGATGGGCGGGCGGCAGTGCGGGCGTGAGGGGTGGCATCAGGCATCAGGCATGGGCGTGGTGCGGAGAGAGCTACGGACGCGCAGGCGGCCTCGACTTCGGCGCAGCTGCCGCGACGCGCATGCTCCTCCCGCTCCGCCGGCGTTTGGCCGGTCGTCGTCGTCGGCGGTCGGCATCTCGCTTAGCGTTAGCGCGCTTTGGGAGTGTATAAATTTTCGCCAGACCTGCGCACCTCTCCAATCTTCAGTCGACTTTGTAAGTGCCACCCGGCTACCAAGATTTCATGATGAGAACATCCCGCTAACGATTCCGCGAACAGACTCATAGAATCATTTCTATAGTGAACGTCTCCTTCTGAGCTCCTTACCAGAGCCACAGAATCTCCAACCTGGCTGATGATTTGTTACCCCGGCGCCCTAGAGTGAAGCCTTGTACTGCGGCTCCGGCTGCAGTGGTGATGATCTCGTCCCTTCCAGATGCCTGGCTTCGGTCGGTCTGGCTGGGTGGGTGCTGGTGGTCGTCTGACAGGCTCTGTTTTCTTTGATTTCTCATGTCCGAAATCAGATGCAGAAGGGATTTGGGTTTTGAAGGGTGCTTTTTGTAAGCTTGTAGAGTCTATACCCGTAGCTTTGGAATGCAAAATTTGACTGGACAAACTACATCTTCATGCCTTGTGACGCGCAAATTACACTCGGATGTGATCTCGCAGCGACGTGCCGCAGAATTTTCAACCTGAGATCAACACTGCTCGTGCGAGTAGATAGGCACCCGCCAGCCAGAGGAGGTGTGTGTCGACCGCAGGAGCCATCTGTTTGAAATCTTCAATAATTTTTTTCCCGCTTGAGCTGTCGGGGCGCGAGACTAGCGCACCGTTAACGCGGGAGTGCCACAGCTGCTGCGCGTTCTAGCTGCCGCAGTCATCAGAACGTCATGATAGCCACATGTGGCTTGACCACCCCGCCATGACGTCCCTGAGTCGTGTCGATAAAGCTGCTCTGTACGAAGGGACTCTTACACCACCACTTCCTCACCTTTGCCCACAACACTCGCAGCAATAGGCTGTCATTGATTCACTCCGACCTTACCCCACGTGCTGATTCGGATCGAGCCATCATCTCACCATGGCGAACGCATCAAGGAAGGAGATCCTCTCCAAGGTCTACAAGATGATCCCACCCATGCTTGAGAGCTTCCACAAGGGTAAGTCCCGACTGCAACCAATCCCGATCCCAATATTCTTGTTCTGACTCTGCATCTCAGGCCAATTGGGACGTGTGGCCGTCATTGGAGGCAGCGAAGACTACACCGGCGCACCTTACTTCTCCGCCATGGCTTCAGCAAAGCTAGGCGCCGACATGGTACATTTCACCCTGCCGTCTCCCCCTTCTCGCAGCCGTTGTACTAACTCCACCGCCAGTCCCACGTCATCTGCGAGCCCGGCGCCGGCGCCGTCATCAAGACGTACTCGCCCAACCTGATGGTGCACCCGTACATGCGGCAAACCAAGAACCTCGCCTCTGGCGAATCAGCCGAGGCCGTCCACGACGAAGTCACCGGCATGCTCTCGCGGCTGCACGTCATCGTCGTCGGGCCCGGCCTGGGCCGGGACCGGCTGATGCTGGACACGGCGGCGCGGGTGCTGCGCGAGGCGCGAAGGCAAAACATTCCCTTCGTGCTGGACGCCGACGGCCTGATGATCGCGCAGGAGCAGCCCGACATCGTCGACGGCTACAAGGAGTGCATCCTCACGCCCAACGTCGTCGAGTTCGGCCGGCTGGCCAAGAGCAAAGGGATCGACGTCGAGGGCGGCGATCCGACCACCCTCTGCGAGCGCCTCGCCAAGGCCTTCGGCGGCATCACCATCATCCAGAAGGGCTCCAAGGACTTCATCTCCAACGGCGAGCACACGCTCGTCAGCGACGGCGAGGGCGGCTACAAGCGCTCTGGCGGCCAGGGCGACACCTTGACCGGCAGCCTCGCCACCCTGCTCGCCTGGCGCAAGGCCTATCTCGACCGCTTGTGGGACCACGACAACGACCTCAGCCCGAGCGAGCTGCTGGCCCTGGCTGCGTATGGTGGCAGCGCCATCACCCGCGAGTGCTCGCGGCTGGCCTTCAAGGAAAAGGGCAGATCGCTGCAGGCGGGCGACCTGACCGAGCATGTGCACGAGGCCTTCGTGAATGTCGTCGGCGAGCCTGGATCGAAGCCTTCTAAGATGTAAGACGTGAGGTTAGAGCGACATGACGAAGAGGACAGCATAGCGCAGACGGTAATGAAATACACGAATATAATGATATGCATGTAGCCTAGCAAGAATATTTCGGCGATTCTCTCGCATCTGTCTTTTTGTCATCTGTTCCCGCAAACAAATGCAGACTGCCGATCCTGGCCACAGAACTACACGCTTCCTGCCCTTTTCGCTTTTCAAGATGTTTCCAGTCGTCGTGGGGGACGTGAACGTGTCCCTTACCCATAATACGCCAATCCCATGCCGTGCCGTGCCATGCAAAGAAAGAAGAATTAAAAATATTCCCGAACCAAAGCCCAAGTCCTTCCCGACAGCAAGTCCATTACTCTGTCATCCGCTCTTTCCAATTTTAATTTTTTTTTGCTTACTCCTCATCATCATCGTCGCCCAAGCTCGCCTTCTTCAGTTCCAGGTCGCTCTGCAAGCTCCTGAACTTGGCCGCCAGCCTCTGCTTCAGCAACGGATTGTTCTGGCGCTCCATCTGCTGGCGCGCGCTCTCGACCTCGCGCTGGAGGTCCGCCACCTCCTCGCGCAGCTGCGCCTTCATCTCCTGCGCCTGCTGCGCCGCCTCGTCGATGTCGTCGTCGTCGTCGTCATCCTCGTCGTCGTCCTCCTCGTCCTGCTCCGTCTCCGGCTCGGCCGAGGCCGACGCGCCGGGCGTGGCGCCGGGCGTCTCGGCGACGGGCGAGCCGACGACCATGGCGTTGCCGCCGCCGCCGCCGGATGCGATGGTGATGGCCGACAGCTCGCCGCCTCCCGCCGACGAGTTGAGCGCGTGCTGGGCGACGGCGTGGGCGTCGAAGGCGCTGCCGGGCGTGGGGCCCTCGATGCTGGTGATGGGCTGGTCCTCGTCCATGGACATGGCGAGCATGCGCTCCATCTCCTCGGCGTCGACCTCCTCCTCGCCCTCGGCGTCGAGGTAGCCCTCGGCGTCCATGGCGTCGGCCATGTCCTCGTCGCCGACCATCGACCCGGCCTCGTCGCGCTCCTGGCGGTTCGGGTCGATGAGGTCGTACGAGGCGCTGCCGCCCGCCTTGGACGCCTTGTCGTCCGCCTCGAGCAGGCGCTCGACCTCCTCCTCGACGGCTTCGATGGTGCGGGTGCTGACGCGCTTGCGGAAGCGGCGCTTGCGGACGTAGTGCATCGGCGGCGTCAGGCCGTGGGGGTACTGCCATGTCTTGTCGTCGACTTCTTTGGGCAGCGCGGCGTCCTTGGCCTGCTCCGGGGTGTCGACCTTGGTGTGGACGAGAAGCATCTGGCATATGTCCGCCGTCTTGTACCAGCCGCTCTTCTTCTCCCAGCTCTTCATGCCTTCGATGATGCACGGGAGGTCCACCATGCATGCCGCATAGTGGTGGCCTTGGATCGTGATGCAGGAGCGTCGGCCATCCCGGTCGAAGAAGCGGAAGTGAATGTCGGCGCCGCCCTCCTTTGGAGACAAGCCTACCCTCTTCTCGGCAATCGCCTTCTGCATGTAATCGCAATCGGGACCAGGCGCCATACGTAGAACGAACTGCGACTCGATTACTGGGTCGGGCTCCGCGTCGTCCGCCTCGCTGTCGTATCCCACACCATACTCGCGCTTCGGTATCTTGCCCACATGCTTCACCTTGATCCTCTGAACCGTGGGCGTCTTCGGGGCGGCTGACTTTAGTTTGAGGGAGATCGAATGAGTCCGCCCGTGGGCAGGTGGCGCGTGGGTTCCGGACGTCTTGAGGGACAGCGTAGGCTTCGATTTCTTCGACAGGGCTGCGCCTCCGCCGTCATCTTCGCGCGCGCGCTTTTTCGCCGGCTTGGAGGCGGCGGCAGGGCCCGCTGCGGAGGCGGCGCTGGGGCCCGCACCGGCCTTCTCCTTCTTGGGGTTCTTGCGCTTCTTCTGCTGCTCCGGCGAAGCCTGTCCAGCAGGGGCCGGCAGCTTCGGAGCGGTTTCCGAGACGGGTGTGTTCGCATTGGACTTGGGCTTGAAGCTGAGCTTGAGGCCACTGCCGCTGGGTGTGGCGGGCGAAGGAGTGGAAGCTTCGGGCTTGGGTGCGCCGAATTTGAGTTTCATAACGGGCGGTTTGGACGGCTTGGACGGGTTGGAGGACGACATGGTGGGCGAATCGCTGGTTTCTCGACAGATATGGGGGGCAGTGGCAGGCACCGCGACAGGCAGGCGCGCGGGCGGGTGGTGGAGGGCGCGCGGGCAATGAAAGTGCGGACGCGCGAGGTGACGTGCCCGGAGCAGGACGCGCCAAGGCGGGCGGGCGAGCAGCGCTTGGGAATGGACTGACTGACTGGAGCTTTCCACCACCTCCCCACGAGCAAACCGCATCCGCATACCACCGGCAATGGCCCAAGAGCTGCACGCCGCCCTCCTCCGTCCGGCGATCCTCCACATCCTGCGCGCCGCCGGCTACCACAGCGCGCGCCCGTCGGTCGTCGACGCCGTATCCGACATCGCCGCGCGGTATATGCTGCTGCTGGCCCAGCGCACCGCCTACCACGCCTGGTCCAACCACAACGATGCCGACCCCGCCATCTCCGACGTGCGCATGGCCCTGACCGATGCCGGCATGCTGGTTCCGTCCATGACGGGCGCCGAGGAGGCCTGGAAGGAGCTCCTGCGTCACCCGCTCGAGGACTTTCCCGAGCGCAACGGCTTGCGGTTGAAGGAGCAGCGCCGGCGGGACCTCGAAGATACGGCAGACGTGCGCGAGTTCATCGATTGGATCACCGGTCCTGCAAACAGGGAGATCATGCGAATTGCTGGCTTGGAGCGCGATGCCGCGCAGGGCGGAAAAGGCCTTGACGCCGCCGCAGACGCGAACGCCGTGAAAGAGGACTATTTGACCTGTAAGCTTATTTCGTCTATGCGGAGGGTCAATATCGGAGGCTCTCGGGGCTGACCAGACACCAATGCAGCACTCAAGAAGAAGCACAGCAAGACGGGCGAAGAGTCGAGATTTCAAGGCACCGTTTTGGGCATCCCTGCAGATGACCGGCCGATTCGAATCGAAGGCGGACCGCCGGAATCCATTCACGACTGGATCAAACACACGCAAGAGAAGGCTGTCGCTGCGGCGAAGCTGGAAAGCGAGAAGACGGCCGGCAATGGTCTCGAATCCGCGCCGAGATCACCACCCGACGAGAAGGAAGAAGGTGATCCAATGGACGTGGAGAGTTGAGGTTCTGTCGTTTGGGTTTTCTCACAAAACATCATATATGCATAGCGACCGGAGTTTGGAAGGCAACCATCACAGTCGGTGAACTTAACACCGCAACACAAAAGTCAATACCCTGCCCGGCATACCCAGTGGTCTGTTGAGGCCCTTTAACGCGTGCGTCACAAATTTTGCCGGAAACACATTCCTCCACCACGGAGGAATAGCCGGGACTGAATGCCCTATCCGAGACATCACAGAAGAGGTCAAACATGCCTTCTGGCATTTTAGATCAGGAAGGGAGGCAAAGGGAAGGTCGGTGAAAAGTGCGAGTAAAGGGAACGGAGTGCTAGAAATGGCCTACTCTGTAGTGGCCAGGACACGGACAGGTCAAGGGCAAATGTGAGACCATCGTACTACAACCTCTGCTGGCAGCTTGGCCGCCCATACAGGATAATCATGGAGCATCAAGGAAAGTGTCCTTTCTGCTTCAATACGGGTCAATAAAGACCGTCAAATATCATAAGCCATATTATCTTTACATGGAGAAAGTGATAGTGTTTGTTTTCCGTTCCCAACCATGCATTTCATAAGAGATCATTCCATCACTTCTCGGTTCTCGTCCTCCATTTAGCTTGAAGAGTTCGGGTAGTTGTCCTTGTCCACGGGGTTCGCCGGTCCTCCTGTTTGTCCCAGCACGCCTCCGACGTCGACATTGTGCTGCCTCTCCTCCTTGATGGCGTCCCTCAAAGGCGCCTGTTCTGCTTTCTTCCTGCACGTCACAACACAAATCAGCTGCCCATCATCACTTCCAAGTCGCAGCTAACAACGTAGACAAAAGAGACCCCACTCCAATCCTCATCCACGAGACAAAAAAGGGTCAAGGAAGAACAAGAAGAAGAAAAAAAGAGAAAAAGAAAACCAGTTAACTCACCTCTCCAAATCCGTCTCCAACCCGGGCTCCACGCCGCCCGACCCCGTCTTCATGCCGTCCTCGCCGCCCCGCACCGCCGCCGCCACGCGGCCCTCGCCCGGCGCCGCCATCTGCTGCGCGTCCAGCTCGCGGTGGCGGCCGACGTCCTCGTCGCGCAGGCCCTTGGCCTCCTCGCCCGCGGCGCCCGGCTTGCGCACGCCGCGGCCCAGCGACGACGCCGTCGCTTCGTCGTCGGCCGTCGTCTGCTTGGTCGGGACGCGGCGGTCGACGACTGCGGGGCCCGACGAGGAGGAGGAGGGGGAGGAGTCGGCGGCGGCGGCGCGCTCGGCGGGGTTGTGCGTGGCGGGGTTGCCTGGGGTGGTGTAGGCTTGGGCGGTGGTGGGCTGCGAGGGGCCCGTGGGGTTGAGGTCGTCGGTCATGGTTGGTTGTTTGTTTGTACTGGGGGAGTTGGTTTGGTGTTTGCAGTGCGGTGGTGGCGGGATTGGTGAGGCCAATTGGGATGTGTAGGTCGGAGGTGAGGTGTTCGGCGTGTATGGGGTTGTTCGGGCGAAGAGTTTGGAGGAAGAGAAAGCTGGGGCTGTTGTTGTGCTGTAGAACCAGAAGTTTTGCTTGGAAGTGAAGTGATGATGCAGCTGGTGGCTATGACGTAGGCGGGGCGTAGATAGCTCCTCCCCACCCCTCCGCTCCACAACCAAATCGGAATGGACGCTGGGTTGATTGGCCAGAACGCCAGAACCCGAAACAAGCCCCATTGCTTATCGCAGCCTCGTCTGACATGCGTATCTGTCGTTGGACGACCAGTTGGCTATAAGTTGGGTCTGGCTTCCCGTCGCTTGGTTCGCGTCTGCCAGTGACGATTTGCGGACTACTTCGACACTGCAAACGTATTCACGTGCACGGGTGTAAGGCAACCCGTACGTCTCAGCCTAAAGTCAGCTGTCTGTTGAACGTCTAAGGTAGGGATATTTCTTCAATACACAAAATCGCTGATAAGCTCCAAATAGCAACAAATGCCTCAGAGGACCGTTCGTATGTACAAATCTTCAAGCAAAAAACCCCTGTCTATTAAAGTATAAGGAAAGAAGTGCCCCTGAAAAACGTTCGCCGATGCCATGCTAATGCTCTGATCTATGCAACTGAAACTGAAAAATCTTTTTTTGGTCCCTCTATCCGTAGGAGACTCCGTGCCGCCATGCTCTTCATCCGAGTATCGAACCCTCCCTTCACTCCACCGCCCCTCATGCTCAGCCGAATCGAGGAGGAATGTCCGATAAGCTGGTATACGGCGGGTTGTGCTTGTGCGCGTTGACTTCGTCCACCAGTTTCTTGATATCCTCCCTCAGCGCATCGACGTTGCGATCCATGGCCTGCACGAGCCGCTCCAGCTCATCTCCCGGGATGGCCAGCATGCCGTCTTCGCGCAGGCGCGCATGGCTCGAAGAATGGCTCTTGACGTGGCCCCTCTTGCGACGAGCGTTGCCGCTGCTCCCCACGCCGGCGCCAGTACCACGATCGACACCGACGGGCTGGACGAGCTGCTCGTCGTCGGGCGGCAAGGGCGGCGTCGGGTGCGCATGGAAAGCGAGCATCTGCTGCTGCGGCTGCGCCGAATCATGCTTCGTCCTCACCTCCGGCCTCTCCTTGTCCTTCTCCTTCCCGTCCTTCTTGCCGCCCAACCCAATCTTCCGCATCAACGAATCCCTCCTCCGCCTCGCCGTCGTCTTCTGCTGCGGCTGCTGCGGCTGCTGCTGCTGCTCCTCCTCCTCCTCCTCCTCCCCCCCTCTCCCCATCCCTTCCACCTCCACCACAACAGCCGACTCCCTCACCCTCCTCACATCACGAGACAGATCCCACTCCCTCTGGTGCGCCCCCTCGAGCATGTCCAGCGTCAGCCTCGCCAAGCTCTTCAGCTCCTCGGCGCGGTCGCGGTATCGGTCCCGATCCTCGCGCATCCCGTCGACGTGCTCATGCAGGAACCGGATGACCGAGTTCGCCGTGCTGAGCTGGTCGCGCATGTGCCGGATGAGCTCTTCCCTGTCCCAACTGCCACCGCCACCGCCACCACCACCGAAAGACGAAGAGAGAGAAGACGAGTACGAGTCTCCTCCTACTTCGTGGATGCCATCCGATGTCGCCAGCGCCAACGCAGAGGCGAAGTGGCGCGGCGGCGCGTGCCTGGCGACGGGCGCGAGCGACGAGTGGGCCGCGGCGGTGTCGACGAGGTGGTGCGGAGGAAGCGGCGGCGGCAGTAGCGACGGCGTCGAGGTCGATGCGTTGGCGGTGGTGGCAGGTGCCGTCCGCGGCCGTGGAGGGTGTTGCTGTTCGGGAGAAGCGCCTGCCTTCCGTCTCTTGTATACGCTTCGCAGTCTCGTGAAGGCCATGGCTGGCGGCTGGCGGCTGGCGGCTGGCGCTGGCGGCTTCCTTTTTCTTTTCTTTTCTGATACCCGTTTCAACACTGAAATTCTTTCTTCTTCTTCGTCCGGGAGTAACAAGATAAGCTGGAGTCTGTACCGTTCTGTCCGCGAATCCAAGAGGGAATCAGATGTTGTTGATAGCGGGATCAGGTCAGACCCGTGGAGGGAGATGAGACTCTCGCGGCGGTGTCGGCGCGATCTTTTGCGGACAGGTAAGGCAGATGCTGCAAAGACGGTGTGTGTCTCTCCGCTTGCAGAGCAGGAAAGAGGACAGAGAAGAGCAAACAGATCGAATGTGGCAGAGGAAGGCAAGTGCCACACCAACACAAAGGTGGACGCCTTGAGAGAAGTCCAACCACCGCAGAGCCTCAGTTCCAGCCTTCTTTCTTCAGCGTGCCCAACAAACAAGGCGACGGTGAAGCGTCTCGCGCCCAGCGACGAACTGCTCCAGCAACTGCGCTCTCAGCAGACGCGGCCACGTGAACGTGCTATCGGCAAAGACCGGCAAAAGAGCGGCGAAGACGTGCTGGGCTGCCCGTTTTGTAGCTGCTTGGGATCGGGCCTTTTCGTCAGATTGGGCGCTGGAGGTGAAGGATGCTCTTAGCCTTGGAACGAGGCGAGAAGAAGAAGTAGTGCGCGAAAGCGGTGAAAGTGGTCCTAAGCGCGCGAGGCGCTGGGCGAAGGACCGACTGATTTAGAAATGCTCGCTTACACTGGTTGATCGTTTTTCTTTTCTAGCTTGCGGGCGCCTACAGCTGTGGATTATACGTTGCCCCAACTAGGAAATGCTCGCTGCTACCCCAGTCTCCTCCGGCGGCTGTTTGACTTTTGTCCGTGGCCCTTGCACAGCAGCATCAGCCAGCAGTCAAAGCGTCGGGAGTCACCGGGCAAACGGATAGGCTGCTTTTTGAACAACTGGTAATGAAATTGCGCTTAAATACATTGGCCCATCGCAGCCCCAAATCCGCCGCCACGAGACCCAGGAGCCGGTGTATCAACTGCGGTAACATAGGAAACAGGTCGCGCAGCGATGACGTGGTCTCGAGAATGCACTAGAGGGTTTCCCATTTGAAATCGCCGTTTTGGTCACGCATGCTCTATTATACATCTCTAAAAACGTCACCGTCATCAGCGACGCCCTAATCGATGGGGAAGATTAGAACGTACTCCCTCGGTCCCCCCGCTTACAAGAAGCTCTTGGTGAACGAGGTGACGACGTCCTTCAGCTTGCCCTCGAGCTCCTTGCTGAGAGCACCCTCGCGCTCAATCTGGCCGAGCAGCTCCGACTCGTTGGTCTTGAGGTGGGAAATGAAGTCCGCCTCCCACTGCAGGATCTTGCCGACCGGCACGTTGTCCAGGTGACCGTTGACACCAGCGAAGATGAGGGGAACCATCTCGTTGACAGCCATGGGCGAGTACTGCTTCTGCTTGAGGAGCTCCGTCAGACGCTCACCACGGTTGAGAGTCTGCTTGGTGGCGGCATCCAGGTCGGAACCGAACTGGGCGAAGGCAGCCACCTCACGGTACTGCGCCAAGAAGAGCTTCAGGGAACCGGCGACTTGCTTCATGGCCTTGAGCTGCGCAGCGGAACCGACACGGGAGACGGAAAGACCGACGTTGATGGCGGGGCGGACACCCTTGTAGAAGAGCTCGGACTCCAAGAAGATCTGGCCGTCGGTGATGGAAATGACGTTGGTGGGAATGTAAGCCGAGACATCACCACCCTGGGTCTCAATGATGGGCAGGGCAGTCAGGGAGCCACCGCCGTGCTTGTCGTTCATCTTGGCGGCACGCTCCAGGAGACGAGAGTGGAGGTAGAAGACACTGGCTTTGTTAGATATTCCCTTGCTTTTCACTTCGGATTCAGAAGTACTTACTCGCCGGGGTAGGCCTCACGACCGGGGGGACGACGGAGCAGCAGCGACATCTGACGGTAGGCAACGGCCTGCTTGGAAAGGTCGTCGTAGATGATGACAGCGTGCTTGCCGTTGTCACGGAACCACTCACCCATGGAGCAGCCAGTGAAGGGAGCGATGTACTGCAGGGGAGCGGCCTCGGAGGCGGTGGCGGCGACGATGATGGAGTACTTCATGGCGTCGTTCTCCTCGAGGGTCTTGACGAGCTGAGCGACGGTCGAACGCTTCTGACCAACGGCGACGTAGACGCAGTAGAGCTTCTTGGACTCGTCGTTGCTGTTGTTCCACCTCTTCTGGTTGAGAATGGCGTCGAGAGCGACGGCAGTCTTGCCGGTCTGACGGTCACCAATGATCAACTCACGCTGACCACGGCCAATGGGCACCATGGCGTCGACGGACTTGAGACCGGTCTGGACGGGCTGGTTGACAGAGCGACGGGGCAGGATACCAGGAGCCTTGACCTGAGAACGGCGCTTCTCGGTGGTCTTGAGGGGACCCTTGCCGTCGATGGGGTTGCCGAGGGCATCGACGACACGGCCGAGAAGGGCCTCGCCGACGGGGACGTCGACCTAGCATCATCCATTAGTGGCCGGGCAAAAAAGTGGCGTTGAGGCTCGCAATACGTACAATCTCGCCAGTACGCTTGACGGTCTCACCCTCCTTGACGAGACGGTCGGAACCGAAGAGCACAACACCGACCTGGCCGGCCTCGAGGTTCATGCACATGCCCTTGACGCCGGAGGCGAACCTTGGTGGATGTTAGGAAGCGGTTTTGAGAGGCGCCGATTCCGGAAAAGACTTACTCGACCAGCTCCTCGGCCTGGACATTGCTCATGCCGTGGACACGGGCAATACCGTCACTGCACACCCATTGTCAGATAAACCATTGCCCATTGCCGTCGCGTCGTGATGAATTGGTGGTTCGGAAGCGCGTACCCGACGGAGAGGACACGGCCGGTCTCGGCGAGGCTGGCCTCCTCCTGCACACCGCGGATCCTCTGCTCGAGGATGGACGAAACCTCGGTGGGAGCAGCCTTGGCGTCGGCAGCATAGCTGCGGAGCTGGTTGGAGGCGGCGTTGAAGACGGCCGGGGTCGTGCGGGCCTAGGGAAGCGCAAGCGGGAAAAATCAGCGATGGCTCGTTGCGGACAGCTTCAACGCGATGCGACGCGGAACCCAGCGCCGCAACCACATCGCTCAGGCCGAGGAATTGATCGAAAGCGATTGACGCCGCAGCCCGAGACGACGCAGGCGGCGATGGCGATGGGCGATGGCGGCAACGAGGTCGGTGGATGACTTACCGCGACCCTGCGGGCAGAGATCGCACCGCAAGTGCGGGTGGACTGTCTGAGGGCGTTCCTGAACATGGCTGCGGTGCTCAGAAAGCTTCTTTAGATAGCTCTGCTATCAATTGAGATTGAAGCAGGAGGAGAAGAGGGGAGAGGGTGATGCGGTTCGATGGAGCTGGGAGGAAAGAGCGAACTTGCAGCACGGCACCGGCACTCAATCGTTCTCGATGCGCTAAACCGCTTAAGTAATAGGAACGAAATGCCCTCCGCGCGCCCGCCCCCATAACCCACGACTTATCCACTGCCACCAGTGCTCGGACACTGCTGCAATGCTGCACTGCAAGCGCGAAGCCAGCGCGTGTGCCTGGTACGCTTTGTGACGCTCATCGAGCGGCGCCGGCATCGCCCAACGACACCCGGCCAGCTCTTCCTTGCGCCCGCACCTGCCTCCGAAGTTTCCCGGCTGAAATGCACTGCAGGCAGTCACGTCACCCCGGATCTGTAACGGGTGGGGAAGCGCTCTCAACACGTCCAGCCTCCGGCTTTGGAGCTTTGGCCTGGTGTTTTTGCTCACATACAGTTTGCACTGCAGGTCCACTGACCATTACGACATTACCATCATACGCATCTAGCTACTGCAGTTGGCAGATCAACCAATCTTCTAACATAGGTATACCGTACGCTACTTGGGTTTTCTCCTCCAAAGTTAAGCAGTATCAAATGAAGTAGACGACAAGCATCACCCAAGCACGGACGGTAGAAGCTATCTGTTTATAAGCAGTCTCCGGTCCAGACAAACTCTCAACGGTTTCATTCGTACTCCATGCATATGGTCAAGACAGTCACTTATTCCCAATCTCTCAAGTAATGCTGTCTACTATCCGTCGACACGGCTCTAGCCAACTCAGACAGGCCCTCCAACCTCATTTTCATCTACCACGACGTGCTCCGCCACGCATGCAGACTCTCCGCGAGATTTGCCCGGAATTGCTTCTCAACGGAGCATTTGTCTTGGTACTGCTGAAGAACGGCCACGCGTACGAGATGGCGGTCAATGAAGGCAAAGAGTATTGAAGTGGATGGAGATGATGAAGCGGACAGAGGAGTCGGGAGAAGTAGTCTCGGAAGGAAATAAGTAGCAAGGGGTGGGTATGGAGGGTATCGTAGAGATAGTGGTGGCGTAGCCTTTGGCGAAGGACCGTGAGGCACAACTTTTCAAACTCCGGTGGTACTGGTGCATGACTGGCTGAAATGTAGATAAATATGCAGGCGCGTGCATGTACCTCGCATTATTACCTGTGCGCGCAACGGCCCGCCTAGTGTCGCACTACAGCTGAGGTAGTAGTTCATATGTCTTGCTCATGATATTGAGCCAGGTACATCGTGCTCTAATTCGTACGCCACTGTGTACGTTATAGATCAACCCGATGTTCTGCTGCAGAATGTGTGTCAATCAACTTCATTGATATACAACTATGAATGCCTGCTGTAACGTTGTTCACAAAATCGATTTCGGGGCTACCTCACTTCTCACAAATTTGCAAGGGCTTGAGAACCATACCAAAAGACATCAACCAACGTACTTGCCCCATCCTATGCACTTATGAATTGCATAATGCGGTAGGTCTTCTTCTTATCGAGTTTCTGGGTGGGTGTGCGCATTGATCGGGCAATGCGCATTCCGCCATGACCTATTCAAGGGGCGGAACATTACAGACAAAAGTCGCCCTTAATGCGCCTTCCCGTTCGCATTTCCGTTTGCTGCTTTCTTCGCATTCTCGTCCTTGAACTTCTTGATGTTCTGCTCAACAGCCTTGTCGATCCGGCTCTTGAGCTCCGGACGGTAGCCGAAGTGGAACAGCACCTCGAGCCAGACAAAGAAAGGTGCCAGGAAAAGCGCCTGGACGATGTTGTCGAGCAGCGCGGGAGCACGACCCTCGAACTTCCCGTGGCCGACAAACTGCGCAATCCATGCGACGACATGGAGTCCGATGGCATAGTAGTTGGCGGTGGCGCCGTACGTTGCCAGGAGGTGCTGGGCAGCCGCAGTGCCGGCGAATATCAGGGGCGCGAGAAGGCCACCGGCGACTGGTTCCATGAGAACGTAGAGGATGGAATAGAGCGTCGCAAAGGCGGTCCCGGCGTTCAGCGGGAGGTTCGGAATCGACAGCGCATCGGGAAGAGCGACAGCGGGGGTGTTTGAGAGCTGGGCGCGGAGGTCAGAGGGGCCCAGAGCTGCGATAAGCTTGCGACTCTTACAAACAGGAATGCCGTCATCATAATCAGAGGCACGCAGGTGATGTGAACACCAATGTTCACCTAGGATGCGCCGTCAGCACCGAGTACCGACAGAGGAGAGTTGGGCCTGAGCCGCGGGGAAGAGAGTCTTACGGGATTGTGGTGGTAGCTCCCATACTGCAAGGGTCAGCACAAGCGTGTCGCGTGGGGTGACGGGTACGCACGAAGGTGAGCTGCTTCTCGAGGTTCAAGGCCATGTTGGAGATGTGGAGGTGGGCCGGTAAGGCGGGGGAGGAGGTGCACAAAGAGACAGACCCCGAAAGGCGGATACGGCTACATTAAGTAGAAGCAGAAGCGAGCGCACCGAGGCAGGAGGATTTGCGAGCGGGAAGAGTAGAGATGTCGCGAGAGGCAGGCGGAGCGGAGGGGTCGAGCAAGCGAGCGAGCGCCGTTCGTTTCCGGCCCGCGGGTGAACATGTGCTGTGGTCCGCGTTATGCAGCCCGCCAATACCGAACCACTACGAACCTGCCCGCCGCATCACCACACTCGCGGCGCGTCGCGACCGATCCCTGTCGCTCATTTTGGCGGATTTCGAGGGTCGAAGCTACGCCCTGCTCCTCGGCGCGCGCACCGGCGTTGGCGTAGTGGATAGGCGGAGCACGGCCTTGCGCGCAGCTCGACACCACCGCGTTCTGTAGACACCCTCTCCAACGGCCGCCCGCTCGCGCTCCCCGCCGCTCACTGCCCCGTTACCCTGACACGAGGCCGAGCGCGACGCCTTGCCATTGGCTTCACCGCCCAGCATTGCTCTTGCGCTGCCCAGCGTCAACCACAACACGCTTCCTTCGAGCCGTACCCCAACACGACCCATCAACACAGCTCGCGCGACCCGCAACCATGTTCTTCCTCCACGAGCTCGAGCGCACCATCACGCTGCACCCGTCGTTCTTGGGCCCCAACGTGCACGAGTACATCGAGGACCGCCTGAAGCAGGATGTCGAGGGAATCCAGATCGAGAACTATTACATCATCTGCGTGATGGACTCGCAGGACAAGTCGGAGGGCCGCGTGCTGCCCGGCACGGGGTACATTGAATACAACGTCCACTTCAAGGCCATCGTGTGGCGTCCGTTCAAGGGGGAGATTGTAAGTTGCGGGTCCGCCCGGGAGACGGTACAGCAATTGACTCGGAACTCTAGCTGGACGGCGTAGTGTCAGCGGTCGTCGACTCCGGGTTCTTCGTGGAGGTGGGCCCTTTGAACGTCTTCGTTGCTGCCAGTGTATGTGGACCGCGCCTTTGCACAGTCCGGGAGGGATACTGACAGGCTTCAGATGATCCCAAGCTCGATCAAGTACGACGGCAATGCCACGCCGCCGCAGTGGACAGACAATGCGGACCAAGTCATCGAGAAGGGCACGCACATCCGCGTCAAGGTCAAGGGTATCCGTACTGAGCTGGGCAACATGTACGCGATCGCAACGATCAAGGAGGATTATCTCGGGTATGTCCACCAGCCTTCTGGCAGCGCACCCGCCCTGATACTGACTGTGTTTAGACCTCTTGGCGGCTGAGTACGTGGAGCAAACAATGGGAAGATGTCGCACGGTTTGATGCAATCTATACCCAGCAAGGATGGCACGTGGGTTTTGCGCAGTAGTGCAAGATTGCGGGCGCCATTCCCTTCGCAGATGAATCCGGGTCATGTACAACATGCGGGCTCAGCAGCCTTGCGGAGCACTTGTCTTGTCCAGATTCGCACGAGCGGCCGCGATTTTTTGATAAACGTGGCAATCTGTAGGATACGAGTTGCACATGACTAGAAGGCCTGGGCCGCAGAATTTGTAGCGGTCCACAGCAAAAGTCGAAAAGGCCCAGCGGGGTCTTTGATGCCAGATGAAATAAGAAAGCGTAGTTGGCCGGATGGAGCGCTCAATAAGCCTGATCCAATAAAGCTTTTTCTTGGCGCCGCTCGCTGCGGGACCGGACAGCAATCATGCTTCGCCTCTCGCAGGCGCGTTTCCGCTCAGACTCATCTCTGCTGCGCCTCGTGTCTTGCTAGCACGAAACCCGCCCGGCTCCGCCAGCCTTGCCCAGGGGCCTCCCCGGAATGCCGCACGTCGCCGCCGACCCCGTCTGAGCAGCTCCACGTACTCCACACACCCCGCGCCGCCATGTCCAAGGAGCGCGCCATAAACGACGAGGAGACGCAGCCGCTGACCAAAGAGGCCGTCTCCTCCCGGCTGTCACAGGACGAGGGCCGCCCTTCTGCCGACACCGACTCGACCACCTCGCTCATCTTCGAGGGCATCAACGGCGCCTACGCGAAGGACCAGCTGCCCGAGCCCTACTCCGACTTCAACAGCACGTCGCGCCGCCATGAACAAGAGTTCGACGTCGAGGACGGGCCATACTATGGCGCGAGGCCTACGGATAAGAAGCTGCGGAAGTGGGTGTGGATTCTCGGCGTCGTCTGCATCGCCGGCTGGGTGCTGGCTCTGTTCGCATTCCTCTCCAAGGGCGCCTACAAGCATGCATCGACCAAGCCACACGACCCGCTCGCCACGTCGTCGAGAGGGTCGGGGAAGAAAGTCACGCTGGACCAGGTGATGAATGGAGCGTGGAGCCCGCAACGCCACGATCTGTCCTGGATTGCCGGCCCGGATGGTGAGGACGGCTTGCTGCTGGAAAAAGGTGCTTCGAAAGATGGGTACCTCATTGTAGAGGATGTGCGGAACCGCGATTCCAAGACGCCTTCGCAGAATGCGACGGTCTTGATGAAGCACGGAGGATTCTACGTCGGCGAACGCTGGGTTCAGCCGCATGATGTCTGGCCGAGCCCGGATTTCAAGAAGGTTCTGGTCATGTCGGAGAGGGAGCACAACTGGAGACATTCGTTCTATGGCCGTTACTGGATCTTTGACGTCGACACGCAGACTGCCCAGCCGTTGGACCCGAAGGAGCCTGAGAGCAGGATTCAGCTGGCCTCATGGTCGCCGAAGTCGGATGCCATTGTCTTCACACGCGAGAGCAACATGTTCTTGCGCAAGCTGGATACCGACTCGGTCACCGCCATCACCGAGGACGGAGGCGAAAACCTGTTTTACGGTGTGCCTGACTGGGTCTACGAAGAAGAAGTCTTTGGGGGCAACAGCGCTACATGGTGGTCCAAGGATGGCAAATACATTGCCTTCCTTCGGACCAACGAATCAATGGTTCCCACGTACCCTGTCCAGTACTTCATCTCCAGGCCCAGTGGCAAGGAGCCGCCGCCTGGTGAGGAGAACTATCCCGAAGTACGCGAGATCAAATATCCCAAGGCCGGAGCACCGAACCCTATTGTCCATCTGCAATTCTTCGACGTTGCTCAGAGCGAAGTTTTCTCTGTCAACATCACCGACGACTTTGCAGATGATGACCGCCTCATTACCGAAGTCATTTGGGCCGGTGGAAAGCAGGTCCTGATCCGCGAAACTAACCGCGAAAGCGACCTACTCTCCATAAGTTTGATTGACGTTGCAACGAGAACCGGCGCAAAGGTCCGGACCGACAACGTAAACGAGCTTGATGGAGGATGGATGGAGGTTTCAACCACCACCACGTTCATTCCTGCGGATCCTGAAAATGGCCGCCAGTTCGACGGGTACATCGATACAGTCATCCACGACGGATACGACCATCTTGGCTATTTCACTCCCTTGGACAACAAGGACCCCATTCTTCTCACTCAGGGCAACTGGGAAGTTGTTGATGCCCCGTCTGCCGTGGACCTCAAGAAAAACTATGTCTACTACATCTCAACCAAGGAGAGTTCTATCCAGCGGCACGTGTATCGTGTCAAGCTTGATGGCAGTGGCACCGAGGCTCTCACGGATACTGGCAAGGAAGGTTACTACAACGCAAAGTTCTCCACGGGTGGAAGCTTTATGCTGCTGTCGTATCAGGGACCTGATATTCCATGGCAGAAGGTGGTCAGCACACCCAGCGCTGCAGAGCCTTACGAGAGTTTGATCGAGGACAATCATCTCCTCTCGAAGATGGCACGGGAGCATGAGCTGCCCATCACGACTTACTCTACAATGACGGTCGACAACATGGAATTGAACATTGTCGAATACCGCCCCCCGCACTTCGACAAGCACAAGAAATACCCGGTCCTGTTCCACATGTACAACGGGCCCGGCAGCCAGCAAGTCACGAAGAAGTTCGGCGTCGATTTCTCGTCCTACATTGCTTCCTCGCTCGGCTACATTGTCGTTACGCTCGATGGTCGCGGCACTGGCTTCATCGGACGCGCGGCCCGCACCGTGGTACGCGGCAACCTCGGCCACTACGAAGCCACGGATCAGATCAACGCAGCCAAGCTCTGGGCGTCGAAGCCCTACGTGGATGAGAAGAAGATGGCGATATGGGGCTGGAGCTACGGCGGCTTCATGACGCTCAAGGCGCTCGAGCAGGATGCGGGCCAGACGTTCCGGTACGGCATGGCGGTGGCGCCCGTCACCGACTGGCGCTACTACGACTCGATCTACACGGAGCGCTACATGCATACGCCGCAGCACAATCCCGACGGCTACGCGTCGAGCACCATCACCAACGCGACTGCGCTGTCGCAGAACGTCAGGTTCCTGCTGATGCACGGCGTTGCGGACGACAATGTACACATGCAGAACAGCCTCTGGCTGTTGGATCGCCTGGACGTGGCGGGCGTGGAGAATTACGATGTCCATGTCTTCCCCGATTCAGATCACAGCATCTATTTCCACAACGCGAACAGGATTGTGTACGACAGTAAGTCTTGATTCCCAAATTACCCCCTTCTGTTGAAAGACGGCACAGATACTAAAGTATTCGCAGAGCTGAGCACCTGGCTCATCAATGCCTTCAATGGCGAGTGGCTGCGCACAGAAGACCCCGCTCCGATACAGTTAGGTTCGGTGGTTGAGAGAGATGGTGGCGAGAGTCTTTTGGATTATAAAGCTTAGGCTGTTCCTTTGCAACTGTATTTCTACTTGCGAATCTGGACGATGGTGCTGGGCTGTTTTGACTTTGTGCATGTCTGTGAGATCCATTGTAGAACATGTAGACTGGAACCTACCACGCTTGGAGGACATTATGAGGTGCACTACGCAAGAGTGATTGTACGTACGATTGGCGTGTCTGGCTCATGAGCACTGTATTTATGAAAAAAGTATTCAACTTGAATCTCAGCACATCACATCAATCACCGTCCAAAAGAGCACTCAAGAGTTCAGTCAAAACAGTTGCATTTGAAGGCTGTATAAGAGCTCGTCTTCGCTTCACCATCTCCCGATCAATTGATGAGATCGCAACGGCTACTGGTCACCAGCACTGCGCAGAAGTGCGAGCTCAGTGAATCGCTGGTGTCCCTCCTCTTGCCGTACGTCACGAGCGTACGCTTTCATTCCGATTTTCTCGCAGGACGACACGAGCGTCCGCTTCTTCTTTTTTCATATTTCCCGGCACGTCACGAGCGTGCTCTTGTTGTTGGAATTTTCTCTGCACGTCACGAGCGTGCGTTTCTTTGTTTGTTCCTCTCTGCACGTCACGAGCGTGCATTGTCTTTGCTTCTCGCAGCACGTCACGAGCGTGCGCTTGTTGTACTCCGTTCATCCAACTCTTGCCACACGTCACGAGCGTGTGCTTTCTTTGTGTTCTTTGGACCAACCGCTGTTTTCTCGCCTTGGAATACTTGAAAAAGCAAGAACGCCGGAGAGCCGATACGTACGATGCTGAATCCAGAAACCCAGAAAAGACAGCCGGACACCTGCGGGTACTATCCAGAAAAGACCAGCTATGGCAAGGAAACTCTCGTCGTCCCGGAACTCGCCAGAATGCAACGCTTTTGTAGGTTTTCTTTGAAGAACGAGATACAAGCAATCCAGGTGATGTAACTACTCTGACTAAAAGACTCGAATCCGCAAGAAGTTGTCGTAATATCCAGTAAAGGAACGGAAAAGTGCCTAAGTAAGTTCCCGAAGCTGTGCGTAAGCCGAAAAAGGCGCTTGCGAATGAGGAGTATATACGTCCAAGGGAAGATTCGTGCGAAAACCAACGCGTCGTGAAGCGGGGTAGGAGTGTCAAGAAAGAATTAAAAACTCCAAGAATGGCAAATGGGCCAGTGCGATGTTGCAAGATGAGGTTCAGAGCGAGGGCGCTGGGGCCAGCGGTGAAGAGTGGTTGCAGGGACGTCGCGGCTCGAAGTTGAAGATCCTCCAGGAGGGGTTCAAGGTCGATCGGACCTGCGCATGTGAGCAACGAAAGGGGGGCTTCGTGTCAGCAGCAGCAAGTCAGTGATCTCTAGGCATTAACGCGTCTCAATGGATGGCGGTGCGCTTGAAGGCGAGGCCGTAATACGTGGCGAAGCGAAGTATGGTTGGTGAAGGCCGTAGACTGAATCAAGGGCAGTGGAACAGAGGCGTGGGATCCTAACGCGATGCGGGAGGCGTGAAGGTGGAGGAGGAAGGGAAGGTGGAGAGCCGACGACGGTGTGTACGGTGCGAAGCGTTCAAGGCATTACAGTAAGGGTTTACTCCATGGTCAAGTCCCGACTCCAAGAGGAAGTATCAGCGAAACTGAAAGGAAAGAGAGATGCGGGCTGAGGAGGACGGCCATGAGGGGTCGAATATATACGCAACCCCGGCGGCCCGTGCGGTTGGGGGTGTGACTGGTCACAGGACTGTACGTATCGTGGCGCCACCTCCGCATGACGTAGACTGATCAAAACGCAGGTACAGGCAAGAGGCCTGGGAAGGCCACCAGCCCTCTGCTGTGCTCGCATTGTGCTTTGATGGAGAGATATGCTGCTTGAACCTGCCTCGCGTGACCGTTTTGCTGTGCAGTACGAGTGCACGCCACTGTCCTTTAATGGAATTTCAATTCTTTCGATGTCGTGAATGAAAATACATAGCTGGACGATGTTGCTTTCGCGGTGGTCGCCGAAGAGCGGCCAGGCCTCGCTTTTCCGGCTCGACGGGAGGGTCGAGTGACCACAATGCCCCGTCACCATTAGGTAGTCTCAGGTGCGAGCTTCATCATGGAAATGGCTCACTACGTGTCACAGCTTACGGTCTAGAGTGTTCTCTATCAGCTAACGTGACAATAATGCCTATCTTGCTGCCGTGATGGCTGTGTACCTACAGTGGTTGCCAACGGAGGGGTGTTGGAGCTGTGCACTCCCGCGGTCCGACGACCTGAAGTCACGATAGGAATGGGTGTTATGCCGCCCTCTTCTCCATCCACCAATAGCACCTCCCGGAGTGCTAGTGAGGTGATGTGGCGAGGTTGTCCACCAAGTAAGGGATTTCCCCGCACGCCAATTCCTTGGGATCGTCAGCCTTTCCTGCAGCCCGTCCCGCGTTCAGCTGCACTCACAGCCATCCAGTGGGAGTTGCAGGATTGCCCGTGCCACCCAAGATTACGTTTCACCATCAATCATGCTCGTAAACTGTCTGGCTTGACACTGATCCCCACTTTTCGACATTTGTTGCCTCCGCAACGACATTGCAAACCCTTCCACATCATTTTGATGCTTTACTACGGCAGAGCCAGCAGTGCGCCAGTATTCCGTTATTTTGTATTATATAACGAGACGTTGCAAATCCTCTTCCATCAACAACCGGCAAGATGCCTCCAGCGTCTTACAACAGCCGCCCGGCTAGCTCAATCGGTAGAGCGTGAGACTCTTAATCTCAAGGCTGCGGGTTCGATCCCCGCGTTGGGCTCAATTCCCACATCTTTTTGTTATGGTGTTGTTGCGGAGGGGGAGGGTGGTGATGCAGGTGGCCTTGAGGGATGACAGTTCAAATTTTTGCACCCCACATAAGGATTGGCGCGGCCCGAGCGTGTTCCTTGGCAAGAACCGAGCCAGAATATTGCTGCGAAACTGCCCGGAGCTCCGCGGCTCTTCTGATCTATTGGTTTGGTGTAAGTGATGGTTGCGTGCTGTTACTGAAACTCAACATTTCACACTCAACTTCTATGCGACAGTACTTCTGACGAACGCTGACCGCTGTGAATGCTGCTTGTTTTCACTATCAATTTCCACATGTTTTCCTTGTTGAGAGATGGGGGTTGCCGTCAGGACTGGCAGTTTTTTTTTTTTTTTTTTTTTTTGGTGTATGGCGCAAGGGTCCAAGCAACCCGAGCGCATGCCTCGCCAGGAAACACGCCAACACATTGGCTCGACCCTGCCGAGAGCTCCATAAGGCGGTTTTGTGCGAACTTTGACGCTTATTTATGGGACATATCGCGTATGATGCAACAACTGGCCCGCATTAAATGCTGTCAAAATTTGTTCAAGGCTGGCATCAAGCCAATAGCATTTCTTTGGTCAGCGACCTCGGCCACATACGAGCACGACGAAAGCACTGTACAAACATGTCATGTTTTATATATCCCACAGTAGGCAGTCCCAAGCAAAACTTCATGGCCACCGCCGCCGCCACCAGCAGCCTCGTTCACATCAATCATCAATCACCCTTCACCCCTCCCGCTTCTTCAAGCAGGCGTACCCAACGACCCCTTCTCCACAGCGCTACCTACAACCTTATCACCGTTGATGACGCTCGTCGTGGCGACGATCAACCTCCTGCCGCGCCCCTCCTCGGCCAGGGACTTGGCCACGAACCGCAGGGCCGACACCTCGGCCCGCGTCACGCCGCCGAGGAAGAAGACGACGACGGTCTTGCCCTCGCCGGGGTTGAAGCCGTTGGTGCCGTGGTGGTGGCCGTTGAGCAGCTGGCGAGCCCGGACGGCCTTTTCTTCACCGGCCTGCACCTCGTCGACGGTGGCGCCGCGGATGTAGCGGAGCGTGTCCTCGAACGGGCGCCAGCCCTGGGCGTTGGCGAGGGCCGAGCTCGTCAACTGCTGCTGCTGCTGCTGCTGCTGCTGCTGCTGGGCTGCCTGTGCGGCGTTGGCGCCGGGCGCGGGCCGGGCGGACGCCAGGGCGTTGATGTAGTCCTTTTGCAGAACGCACTGGACGAGGCGTACCGAGAGCGGCGCGTAGCCGGAGAAGACGTAGGCGACGTCGTCGGGCTCGGCCTCGTTGACCTCGTCGACGATCAGCGACAACGACCGCCGCACTGAGTTGTAGTTCGTCATCGCGTTGGCCCGACTGGCGGCGCTGCCGCCCCCCACGCCCACGCCCACGCCCACACCCACGCCGCCTAGGTTCGCGCCGACGCCGAGACCGCCGCTGCGAGGCACGAGCAGGCCTGCTTTTTCCAGGGAGGTGAGCGTCAGGAGGTGTTGGTGCCCGTAGCCTTGGAGGACGGCGCGCTTGAAATTCTCCAGATCGCGCGGTCTGATGCCGCCGTGCAGGCAGCTCTCGAGGCAGAGCAGGCGCAGGATGGTTTCGATCCTGACGCCGCGGCAGATTAGCTCGTCAATGTTGTCGTGTTGGCTGCTGGGGTCTGCGCCGGCCGCCAGATTTTGCTGGACCTCGAGAATGCGCGAGAAGATGTCCGAGCGGGTCTGCTTGATGATCTCCTCGGCGAGGTTGGTGTGAAGTTTGAGAGAAGCTTGTTCCTGTTGAAAGCCCGGGAGCTTCGAGACAAAGTCGCGGAGCTCGGCGGTCGACTTCTGTTGGATATTGCGGTTCTCGTATGAAGACTGGAGACGTCGCGCCACCTTGTTCAGCAGCGGACCAACGGTTGCGAAATTAGTATCTCGTAGAGTGCTGTAAAGGGTATCTGAAGGCTCAAGAGGGATTTTGCGCCTCAAAGGAGCAGCAGAAGACGAGGCACCGCCTTGCGACGTGCCTGCGCCTGCAGCTCCAATGACAGAGGAGTCGACCTCGATCTGATTGGACTGGATGTGGAACTCTTCATCCAGAAGACCTTCATAGGTCAATTGGGTCATGAGGGCTGTGGGAAAGTCGACTTCTCGATCGATGATAATCAAGCTGTCCAAGACGTTGCTGGGCGTCAGTCCCAACGGTGACTCTGTTGTTGAGCCCGAGCCAGCAACGACTTCGGTGCGCATACGGACGAGGAGATCGGATAATCGACGAGCATTATCGCCTTTTCCCACTATACGCGGGAAGAGGCCGTGCTGCTGTTGCAGCTGCATGAGAGCTCTCGCTGCCAGGAATGTGGGAGTGGGGTCCTTGCGCTATACTGCACCGTCAGCCAAAAAAAACCCGAGGGCTGCGATGCGCATGCTTACCACGTAGAGATCCGATATTGAATCCTCCAGCTCCAAGGAAAGTAGATCATCGGACAAAGGCACAAAGTTTAGCGGCCATTCCGCCACACTGACCTCGCCTAGAACACCAGCTTCCTCTAGGACCTGATCGGACACAAGAGTTCTTCGGGGTACCCAGAATACGGAGAATTCATGCTCGACCACACCATTGTGTCGAAGTTTTTTAATTTGCTCTGCAAGGGACATGTTAGCACTACAATTCGTGCCCTCCACCCGCCAATGCTATGAGAGGAGAGCTTGTTGGTATGCTGTTACAAGACCGCTTTGGCGAAGGGACTCAGACACAGACACATGTCTGCTTGGCTAATTGGTTCCCAAGCTCGGAAGAAGCGTGCGTGATCAATATGGGGAAACGACTGATTAAGACGAGTGGGCTCCCCCGTCGTAACCTCTTTTGTTCCCGTGCGAGATGGAAGACGGGATGAGGGTGAAGGTTACGAGAAGCATTCTTACTGCCCACAGATGCACACACACGTACCGGCTATGGCGAGAACGGTCTTTGTCCTGTCTCCTCGGGCGATGAAGACAACATTGCGCTGGGTGGAGTCAACGTTGCCGGTCTCCAGGAAGAAAGGCTTGTCGACGCCGTACTCCTGGAGGGTTGAGAATTTAAGAAGTAGATTGAGCGGACCAGACAAGGCCTTCTCGAAGACAATGTTCTTCTTGCCGCGGATCTGGAATTGGCAGCACCATCAGCACGTGCGCTGGGCTCGCGGAGGTCGGGAGTCTTACTTACGCCTTCAAGCAGCAGCAGCAAGCTCCTGCGGGCGGCATCGGAGATTTCAGCGGCCTGGATGGCAGCCTGCGGGGCCATGATGGCCGGACCACATGGACGGAGGGAGATTGATTGCGGTGGTTGGTTGGTGGTGAGCCCGGAGCGTGGACGCGGTGACTGACCGCCCGGGCCCGTGCCTGCCTGCGCCAAGAGAGAGGTCGGCTTGTCGGGCTGCGCGCGCCTGCCGTCATTAATTGTGACTCAAAATCCCCCGCCTCCATTGCCCCTCCTCCGACTGCAGCCCGTGCATGTCTTTTTCCTGCCGCGCCCTCGCGACCGCTGCGCCGTCACTCCGCCCCAGCCCTGCTCGCATCCGCCCGCTCGCCCTGCGCACCGCTTTCGCCCGCCCGTTTGCCTGCTCCCCGCGCAATCGCCTCTGCGACTCCACAATGGCCAAGGACAAGGAAGCGAAGAAGGGCGGCGGCTTCCAGCTGAAGGTCCCCAAGGGCACCAAGGACTGGGAGGGCAAGGACATGGTCATTCGCGACAAGATCTTCAACTCCATCACCCAGGTCTTCAAGCGCCACGGCGCCGTCACCATTGACACCCCCGTCTTCGAGCTGAAGGAGATCCTGTCCGGCAAGTATGGCGAGGACAGCAAGCTCATCTACGACCTGGCCGACCAGGGCGGCGAGCTGTGCTCCCTGCGCTACGACCTGACCGTGCCCTTCGCTCGCTGGCTGGCCATGAACACGAGTGTGCAGAGCATCAAGCGCTACCACATCGCCAAGGTCTACCGCCGCGACCAGCCCGCCATGACCAAGGGCCGCATGCGTGAGTTCTACCAGTGCGACTTCGACATTGCCGGCACCTACGACCCCATGCTCCCCGACGCCGAGATCCTGCGCATCACCACCGAGATTTTCGAGGACTTGGGCTGGAACGGCCGCTACACCATTAAGATCAACCACCGCAAGATTCTCGACGGCATCTTCGCCGTCTGCGGTGTGCCCACAGACAAGATCCGCACCATCTCGAGTGCCGTCGACAAGCTGGACAAGGTAGGCCAAGAAACGAGTGCAAGCGCTCCCAGTAGATTCTAACGCGCCGCAATAGCAACCCTGGTCCGAGGTGCATAGGGAAATGACCGAGGACAAGGGCCTCGACCCTGCCGTCGCAGACAAGATCGGCGAGTTCGTGAACCTGAAGGGCGGCGAGGACCTGCTGGCTAAGCTGCAGGCCAACGAGACGCTGACTGCCAACGAGTCGGCCAAGAAAGGTCTGGACGACATGGCTCTCCTCTTCAACTACCTCAACATCTTCAACGTGATGCCTAAAATCTCTTTTGACATGTCCCTGGCCCGTGGACTCGACTACTACACCGGCGTCATCTACGAAGTCATCACCGAGGGCTCCGCGCCCGCCTCGGCGCCCGGCGCCGAGGCAGAGAACGCTCAAAAGTCGAGCAGCAAGAAGAAGAAGGCCAGCAGCTCCGCCGACGACGACCGCTCCGATGACCCGTCTGTCGGCGTCGGCTCCGTGGCCGCGGGCGGCCGCTACGACGAGCTCGTGGCCATGTTCAGCGGCAAGACGCAGATCCCCTGCGTCGGCATCTCCTTCGGCGTCGAGCGCATCTTCAGCATCACCAAGGCGCGCATGGAGGCCGAGAAGACGGCCGCCGCCGTGCGCCTCACCGAAATCGACGTCTTCGTCATGGCCTTTGGCGGCAAGGGCTTCACCGGCCTGCTGCCCGAGCGCATGGAGGTGTCGCGCACCCTGTGGGAGGCCGGCGTCAAGGCCGAGTTCAGCTGGAAGGTCAAGCCCAAGCTGCCCCAGCAGTTCAAGCAGGCCGAGACGGGCGGCGTGCCCTTCGCCGTCATCCTCGGCGAGGACGAGCTCAAAGAGGGCAAGGTCAAGATCAAGCAGATGGGCCTGCCCGACGGCCACGCCGAGAAGGACGGCGTGCTCGTCGAGAAGAGCAACTTGGTCGAGGAGGTCAAGAGGAGGCTGGCGGACTTCAACGCCGCGAACGACATCGCGGAGAAGATTAGTGCAGCCAACGTTCACTAAAGGAGCGTGTTTGTGTGTTTGTCAAGCAGAAGGGGCTGGCTATAGCTTCAGGCTGTACGTGTAGCGTGGCACACGTGGAGTAAAAGCATCGAGCAAGGCGTAAAAGACATTGGGCGCATTTTGCTAGGAACATGGCAAAAATGGGGAAAGGGAAAAAAAAGAACGTGACGGATCTTACGAATGAAGAAGTGAAGAAGATATAGCTGCGGGGCTGGAAATTAAGTAGTAGAGCAGAAAGATTATGGGCAAGGAAAAGGCATCTTACATGCATAAGGAGAAGAATGTCCAGTCCGCAATAGATGCAATCACCAACTCTCCTGGCTGCACAGGAAATGGTATGTGGTGGAAGGCTCTCAGTCGAAACCATAGTGACAGAGAGCTGACGCTCTCAATATTGTCTTGTTAAGACAATATTCTCTTGAGATAGGTTGAGTAGCTTATGCGGGGGGTCCTAATGACCGTCTACCAAGTCACTTACTGAAGCGCTCACCGAGCAATCTTAACCAGCAACTACAGTGAGCATACTACATCACCTCCACTCACACTCTTACCATCTCGACCAAACAGCACCAAGCCAACACAGTTCCACGGTTTAGTCCATTCTAAACATCTAATGATACACGTGAATACAAATATCGCCTTTCATCGTCGTCATTACGACCTCTCGCGCACATGTCCTAGTGAATACACCAGAAAGAGAAAAAAGAAACCCCCCTTCTACGACGCCACCTTCCCATTCCCGGCCGCGGCCCTCATGAGCAGCCCCTTGACAGCGCCCAACCCATCCACCGCACTCAGCCCCAAGCTCCGCAGGCCGACGACGGGGCCGGAGCCGACGCTGTACAGCTTGTGCAGCTTGTCGCAGACGCCGAGCAGCGCGTTGTTGGCCTGGTAGCGGTCGGCGACGTACGGCTCGAGGGCGAGCGGGGCGCCGACGTCCATGCCGGCGCGGGCCGCGGCGGCGAGCGCGCGCGCGAGGCTGGCGGCGTCGCCCTGGCCCTGGTTGAGGCCCTGGCCGGCGAGCGGGTGGATGGTGTGGGCGGCGTCGCCGACGAGGGCGACGCGCTCGCCGACGTACGTGTCGGCGTGGCGGAGCTTGAGCGGGAAGCCGGCGACGCTGCGGTCCTGCACCGCCGTCGCGGTCGTGGGGACGAGGCGGCGCGCGGCGGACTGCGGCCTGCTGGCGGCGGCGTGCGGTAGGCGCCAGGCCACCTCGTCGGCTTGGCCGGCGGGGATGGAATGCAGGTAGTCGAGGTCGGCGGGGGTCAGGCGGAAGGCCGCGTTGACCATGGCGGTGAAGTCGGCGGGGGAGAGGGAGCGCAGGAGCGCGGCACGCTCGGGGGTGGTGGACCAGACGAGCGAGGCCATGTTGCCGGGCAGGGGGAGCATGGCCACGGGGCCAGTCGGGAGGAAGCGTTGATAGGCAATCTTGTGCTCCGGGCCGCCCCGGCCGGGACCATCCAGGTTTAGAGTTGCGACCACGCCGTGGCGCCCGTAGTCCCAGCCGCGGCTTTGGATTCCGGCGAACGCCCGGACGGGACTGTTGGCGCCATCGGCGCCGACGAGGAGTCGGGCGGCGAGGGTGCGGCCGTCACTGAGGGTCACGATGGGCCAGGAGCTCAGGTCTAGACCGTCGGGGGAGTCCGTGCCTAATTGGATGGATTCGACGCGTGTGGGCGAGAAAGTTCTGATGCCGCCTAACTCTGATAGACGGTTGAGAAGGCCAGTGGTCAGGTTGGCGTTCTCAATCATGTAGGCGATGGTCGTGGGCTGGTCGGGCTTCCGGCTGACCTCTGCCCAGTCGAAGGAGATGCGTGCATCGCTGACTCCGTCCCATACTTGCATCTCTTGGTATGGCTGGACACGGGATTGGTCGATGTGGGACCAGGCCCCCATTTCTGCGAGTGACATGAGCCATTGGCCACCAGAATCGACCTCTACACTTTCCAGAGTAGCACACCTATCAAGTTCTGCACCGACGCCGGCGTCAACGAGCTGCAGCGGTTTGCGAAATGCGTCGGCGAAGCATCCTTCAGCCTTCCCTTCTCAAGATCCAAGCCCTCGATCAATGCGATCTTCAGACCTGACGTGATCGGCGACGAGCCTGCGCGAACAGCATCAGCAATCAGCACGCCCAATCGCAGAAGCCATGAATGGCATCGTAGTCCTACGCAGTCCGTTGAGCAGGCTCAGGCCTGCTGGACCTCCACCTACACATACAACATCGTATATCTCCGGCTTGGGCCCCACCGTCGCGTACGTCCGTCGGCGGGTGAGATGGAGCGAGAGGCGGGAGGTTTGGCGGCAGGAGTTGCAGACCCAGCAGGCGGTGCGGGCGGTGCGGGCTTGCATGGTGGGCGGGACGGAGGCCAATGGGCAGGGCGCGAGGGTCGCGCTTTGCTTCGTGCGGGCGAGGGTGGAAAGCTCGTCGGATTCGGTTGTGGTGTAGCTCGTGCACGTCGCACGCGCCCGCCAAAGACGTCAGGTCAGGGCGGCGGCCAAAAAGCCGGGCCGTGGAGAAGTGCGTGTCGATCGCCGCTAAGCTCGAATAGGACTTGTGAGTGCGCCTCAACACCACCAGTCGATTTCCGAACGCAGATACGAGTCAAGTCTGTTACGCGGCGCCCCTGACGATCATCCTATTTCAGCCGCCGAGAAACGACAAGAAAAACTACTTGGCACTGCATTGACAAGCCCATTACTCCCTTTTCCGCGTCGATCTATGTACATGAAGCGTAGTGAAAAACCCCCCCAAAAGCAAGAATCCTTACCCTATTGCTGCCACGATGACCCTTAAACCCTCGTACCGTTTTGCCTCATGTTAAACCCAGCACTCCGTCCCATCCCGCCCCATCGCCATCTCATGTTCTCTGATACTCCGCTCCCTCATTCCTGCGCAGCACCCAAAATAATCCTTGGCCAGTGGTTGCGTGACGCGCAATCTTGCTTCAATTCGATTCTGTGAGCAACCTCGGTGCTCGCTACAGCGGGCTTGCCGTTTGGTTGCACCTCGTCGGGGCTGCAGAGGGTGGAGAGTGCTGAAGTGGGTATCTAGTTGCGAAGAACGGGAACCCCGCTTGAAATAAGATGAAAGCTGAACCCCATAAATCCATAACCTTCGCCGATGACTAAAGAGAGAATCCGGCCATGCAAGTGCAGATAGTCCGTAGAAAAGGAAATGCAAACCACACCATAACTAAATGCATCCGTTGTGGGCCTGTCGTGCCGAATATTGGAGAAGAACGCGCTAATCGAGTGGGGACTGATAAGCCCTTGAAACAGCTCGTGAGTAGTACAGAGAGAAAGGATGAGCCGTGAATGTCGTGAAGAAGTGATTTAGGGGGATGCGACGTCAAGCGCGCTTAAAGCAAGACATTGACATGCATAATGTCACAGAGGACCAGCTGAACTGCAAGATGCCCGGAACTTTTGCAATGAACCGCGTAAATCCATCAAGGGCGTTCAGCTAAATCACCTCGTACCAGCCTCCAGCTGGCCTGGTGACGGTCCGGTGGGGTTGCCGTCACTGCCGGTATTCTGCTGACCGCGAGCGAATGGGTTGCGAATGCTCGGCATCGTCGGTCTAAGGTTCCTTATTCTTGCGCCAATTCCAGTGGTGCCCTCCGTCGATGGCTGTTGGCTCTGCTGCTGAGACCGTTCTCGTGTTTGAGGAGCATCTGTGTGGCCAGCCCCACGTGTCCGACGGCTTCGGCGGGAATCGTCACCACCGGAGCGAGCGAAGACCATGGAGCGTCCGCCACGGCCCGGCAAAGCAGATCGAGTTCCAATCCAAACCGACTGAGGAGCCTGAGGCATTCTAAGACCTGGGGTGCGCCGACCGGTGGAATCCGTGTTTTGTTCGCCCTCAGGCTTGGGCTTGGGAACGTAGTAATCCGCCTTGCACAACGGACAACATGCGCGACGGCTCGTAAGCCACGGATCAAGGCATCCGGCATGGAATGCATGACCGCACTTGAGTCCACGGACATCATCATCGTCTTCGAGCTCCTCGAGGCAAATTGCGCAAGTGTCGCCGGGGCTCTGCAGAAGCTCTGGGGGTGTGGCGGTCCTGATAGGGTCGTCATCCTCCTCATCGTCTTCATCAGGGACCGATTCCCGGCGATCTTTATTGGGCTCTTCGACGGTGCTCGCAACAGTTTTGCATTTTTCCAATTCCAAATTTCTCTCGGCAGTGGTCAGCTGATTGGAGTCTGGCTGTTGTCCGTTGGATGTAGCGGATGCATCAGCGGAAGACGGCGTGGGCTGGTCAGTCGGCGGATGAGAAATTCTCTTCTCCATGTCCTCAGAAGCACGACTGCCGTCAGCAGCGGCAACAATCCCCTCGGCGTTCTTTACGCTCGTTGGCCGGCTAGGAGCTGCAGATATCCCACCGGCGGTGGAAAGGCCTTCGCGCTCCCGAGAGGCGCGCCACATCTTGTACTTTATCAATGGGAAGCGTTCGTTGACCTCGTCCATGGTCATCAGTTTCTTTTCCCTTCTGCGACGGCGGGGTGGCTGCTGCATCGCAGCAAGGTCGATTTCCGCATCGCCACCGGCTTGTCGTGCCAGACGGCTCCGCTGGTTGTAGCGAAAGCAGTACTTGACGCCGACAATGATCCTGTGATGAAATCAGCCTTGCCTCCAATGGGCCAGTCCGAGAACAAAGACTGCAACAAACAAGCCCGACATCGGACCGCGCTGGCGGCTCACCAGAGATTCGTAAAGACGACACCGAAGCCCAGGGCGACAAAGAAGAGGAGAGGCGAGTTGGTGGGACCGCCACCACCACCACTGCTACCACTTCCACTGCTGGTTGAAGTGGTGGTGGCGGCGAGAGCGGACGATGTTGTCGGCGAACTCATGATGGCCAACGGTCGCGACACATAGGGCAAGCGCCGTCGAGTAGCGAGGAAAAAGGCCCTATAGGGGAGTTGCTAGGTCTCGCGCGACCATATAGCAAAGAGTGCGAACGAGGGGTTGGTAGGAGTCGGTCCTTGCGCTGGCAATAGGGACGATGCCGGTCACAATGTCGCGGTACGGTGCAGATCACGGGTTGGCGATCGGATCAAGGCCCAGCAGGTTAAGCGGGGACTGGACAGCCGAGAGGCCAGACGGGGAGGTGGCGCGGAGTGGCAGGATCCGGACGGGCTAGCACGAGTGGTGACGGCTGGAACAGCGGCTGCTGTCGCGGGTGCAGGCGCAGGCGCAGGCAGGTGAGCGATAAGCGACAGCGACAGTGGCGACGCGGGAATGCGGCGCGATAGGCTGCGCTACGAGGAGCGTGGAGGTATAGCCAGGCCGAGGCCGGACGGAGAGACGGACGTGTCGCGGCAGGGTGATCGGCATGCGCGCCGTGGGTGAGAGGAGGAAGAGAGAGGGTGTGGGCGGGGGCCGGCGTAGTCAAGTAGTAGCTGGTGCAAGGCGGAGGCGCGGCTGCTGGGCCTTGGGGCCTTGGGGCACCAGGGCTGCGGCGATGGAGCCGGTGGGCGCGCTGCGAGCGGCGAAGATCAGCGCGCGGGCGGCCGCGTGAAAATTACACCTGTTGTGTCTGCCCTGGAGGCATGCGCGGGCACGCGCAGGGTATAAGCGGCTGCTGAAACCGCAGTGCTGCCGTCGTCAGGCAGCCCGCTCGCTCGTGTGCGCCGTCAACTTGCGACGATGCGGGCGCGCGCCGGGGGCCTTCAGCCGCGCCCGGGCCCTTTCGATGCTCTCGATGCGCATCTCTCCAGCGCAGGTGCCGCCGAAAAGCTACCAATCCACCGAACCACCCGCACACTACTATCAGCCTTCTCCGCGTGCATTGGCTGCCGGTCCAGGAACCGCCCGCCGCTCGAGACCTTCCGCTTTCTGCGCGCTCCTACACGACACAGCCACCACCACCGCCGCCGCCGCCAACATGGCCAGTCCCGTGCCGAAAAGGCATCCCGACAACCCCGTCGTGTTCTTCGACATCACCCTCGGAGGTAAGCGCCGCCCGCCGCTTCTGCTCTGCCTTGCGAGCATGCATGATTTCAATTCTCCAACACACCTGTCTCATCATGCCTTTGTGCCTTGCTCCGCCCCCAGTGCCCTTGCTTCGACACCACGCAGAGAGACGGCAGCCAGGCTGCCCAGACGGTCGAGACCATGCTGACACAAACGCGGCGCAGGCGAGCCGCTTGGCCGCGTGAAGATGGAGCTGTTCAAGGACACAGTCCCCCGCACCGCCGAGAACTTCCGCCAGTTCTGCACCGGCGAGACCAAGAACCAACATGGGCGGCCGCAAGGCTACAAGGGTTGCAAGTTCCACCGTGTGGTGAGCAGCCACCAGCCTCGCACGAGCGCGTGCGCGTGCGGTTTCCTGTTTTGCTGACCGCAACCGTGCAGATCAAGGAATTCATGATCCAGGGTGGTGATTTCCTCAACGGTGACGGCACTGGGTCGACCTGCATCTACGGCACCCGTGCCTTCGCCGACGAGAACTTCTCGCTGAAGCATGACCGCGAAGGCCTGCTGAGCATGGCGGTAAGTCACGATTGCATCACGGCACCGCTTCTGCCACGGAACTGACGCCTCCTCTTCTGCAGAACTCGGGTCCCGACACCAACGGGAGCCAGTTCTTCATCACCACGGTGCCCACGCCGTTCTTGAACAACAAGCACGTCGTCTTCGGGCAGGTGGTCGAGGGCATGGACGTGGTCAAGAAGGTTGAGAACACGCGCACGCAGCGGGAGAAGCCGACGCAGGACGTAGTGATTGCGCAATGCGGAGAGATGTAACGCCACCTCGGTCTGGTGAGTATGGAGGTACAGGACGGTTCTCATGCACGCGGCAAGCACCATGCTCGTTCTGGTCGGCGACCGGCATCGGACCCTCTCTCAGCCCTGCAGCCGGCACCATAGCCGTGACGATCATTGCACGATTGGCCCTAGGCGGGGGAGAGGCTGGGGGACCGCCCGGTCGAAGCAGGGCAGTCGACCAGCGTGCATGCCTAGTCGCTAGAGGAGCAGCAAAGGCGTAACCCAATTCGACCGAACAGCGAATACATGTCCCCAATTGTGATGCGACGGACGCGTCTGGGCAAGTCAGAGCATCGAGTGAAGGTATGCATAATAACAGCCTCCGGTGCGCGCGTCGTGGTACACGCCCAGCGCTGCAGCTGAGGCACCGCACTTGGCACGAGCCACGCGCGGCTGCGTCATGGCTCGACTGCGCGCGCCGCACACAGACAGCAGCCCCGCTACCTACCCACGCTGTCGATCAGGCAGCCCGTAACAACCGAACACATCATCCTCCGCGCGACGCCCAAACACCCTTCTTCTCTCGCTCTCTCTGTCTTTTCCCATTGAAAGTCCAGCCAAACTTCTGCACCACCAGCTCTGCACCATCTCCACCTTTGATCACCTGGTGAGCGCCCCTCACCCCGCCGCCTACTACCCCTCCAAACTTTTGCCGCCCGCACCTCCCAGCAGCCACGCGCAGAGCTACCCCGCAGCGGCCCCCTACTTCTATCTCCCTTCCATCGAACCTCCCATCCACAAGACTTGACCTGGCTAACAAAGTCCACCGGCGATAGACCACCATGTCCTACAACCAAGAGTCGGCCCGCGGCGGCGCCCGTGACGAATACTACAGCGGCCACCGCTACGATGACTCGGACGACGAAGACTACCGCCAGGCGGAGAAGCACGCGGCGACGCACGCCGAGGGCAGTGGCGACAGCTCGCTGTTCAGCACCGCCCTCGGCCTGCTGTCGGGCAAGAAGCAGAGCCTGAAGGAGGAGGACCTGGACGAGGACGACGCCGTCAACCAGCACCGCAAGTTCTACGGCGGCGAAAGCCACGAGAGCCAGGCCACCGAGGGCAACCTCGGCGCCGCCGCCGCCATGCAGGCCCTCAAGCTGTTCAACAGCAGCTCCGGCGGCGGTAGCAGCAGCAAGAGCGAGTTCCTCGGCCTGGCCATGGCCCAGGCGAGCAAGCTTTTCGACGAGCAGAGCGCCCAGGGCAAGACGGTGGGTGGATCCATGTCCCGGTCTATCCGGAGCCAGTGATTGCTGACAAAGCTTGCAGGATTCGAGCGCCAGCAAGCAGGGTGCCGTCCAGCAGGCCGCCCAGATGGCTCTGAAGATGTATCTGAAGTCCGACAACAGTGGCTCTGGTGGCAGCAAACCCAGCGGTTTGATGGGCCTGGCCAGCAAGTTCTTGTAAATTTGAACGTGGGTCTCCTTTCATGTATAAGGATTCTGGATAGCCGGCACTGTCGATGCCGCCAGCTTTTACGAGATTGAATGAAGGATGAAAGCATGATGCGAATAAAAAGAATTTCCTGTGGCACCCTGTTTCATGAACTAAAAGCGGTGGTATCTTTGAGCCCACTGCAGAGCTAATGTTCCGAGAGAAACATGGAATGAACCTCAGGCTGGGCCGTAAATGCTTATCTTGTCGAAGTCGAACACCTGTTCTCTTTACCAAGGCCATAAACAATGGCCTTGTGGGCCTGGGAGTAAAACTAAGGTCCTACTTACTTACATACTTGCTTGCAGACTGGAATCTTCTGGGGTCTTCATCTGCCCCGGCTTCCTAGTTTATCTAGTGATTTTACGCCTTTGATATAATCAGTCTATGCATGTGTTCGGCTTCTTACAGAGTGATGAGTCAACTGGCTCTCAGTCGTCAAAGCAGCGCACGATGGTAGAGTCTTAGAAAACATTCAGTATAAAATTGGTACGTGCGAAGCCATCTGAAATACTACCATTGCACTCAGCCCTCCAGAGCATCCACGAACAGGTCCTCATACTCGTCCTCGTCCTCACTGCCCGAGTCGTTTGAGCTATCGTCCTCTTCCTCCGTACAAGCTTCAGCCGTGCGCTCGTCATACTCTTCCTCCTGCTGCTCTTGCTTGACGAAATCTCCCCCATCACCCGGCGCATCAACCGGCCCAGCCACAAATCCAGCCCGGCTTGCGCCCCTCGCCCTGATGGATAGTTTGCCCCACAAGCGATAGAATGCTTTGATCTCCTCTCGTGTCAGGTCCGCTTTCCATGATTCGAAGATGTCGAGGGCTGTCTCCCCGCGGCGATTCTTGAGGCTGATATCGATTCCCCGAAGCCCATGCGCCGCCAAAACGTTCAGTGTTGCCACATCAGGTTGGTATGCGGCCAGGTGCAATATGCTGTCCCCATCATTTTCGCGGATTGTGTAGTTGGCGCCGCAGTCGAGCAAAAATTTGACAGCGTGGTGGTTGCTGTCGTAAGTTGCTTTTGCAATAGCAGTGGTGCCCAAGAAGTTTTGTGAGTCCAAGGGGCAGCCCAGACGTAGACAGTCTTTTGCGATCCGTAGCATGCCGTCGTGGTGTTCGTCGCTCCAGAGATACTTCGCGAACTTGTAACAAAGATAATAAAGGACTGTATCTTTCTGATTCGAAACAGCAGATACGTCTGTGCCATGTCGGATCAACAAGTGCAGTATGTCGAATGAGAAACCTTCCATAAATATTGCCGAGAGCAAAGCATTGAGACCAAAAACGGTATCCTTGATGTTGGGATCCGCACCGTTCTCAAGAAGCGTCTTGACCGCTTCGCTGTTGTCAAGGGATGCTGCCCACCACAGAGCAGTTCTCCCATGTGCGTCTGTCGCATTGATGTTTGAACCTCTCTCCAGTATACATTCCGATAGCGACTGAGAGCTTTTCGAGAGGATTGCCTTGTGAATTTCAGGAAGTTGCAATTCTTCCTCCGGAGATGCAGTGATTATGTAGAGTATGTTTCTTGTATTTGTGTGGGAAGGATTATTGAGATAAAAGATAAGTAGAATCTCCATGAAAGATCTATACGTATTAGAATAGACAGTCATCAAGACAAAAACGAACACTTACGTGCCGAATACGTCAGCATGGAACGGATCAATGCCAGCTTGCAACAACCACTCACAAACGCAGAACTGGTCTTTGACCAACGCCTTCTATACATCCGCAGATGTTAGCTCATTGTCAGAGTAGAGGCAGCGTCTAAGGCCCAATGGCATTTCCGCGCACCGATTCGAATGATCTTACAATTAGTGCTGTATTACCAAACTCATCCACATCTGTGAGCCGAGCCGAGCCTGACTCTAGAAGTGATTTGAGCCCCTCAATGTTTCCACCTCCCGCATATTGGAACCATAGGGAATCCCGTGGTATGGTGTTCCAGAGAGTCAAAGAGAAAGTGGGACCTGAGAACGAACTTGAAGCGATGGCGACATTCAAAACTTTGTTCATCACCGAGGCTGGGAAGTAATACGTCACTGAGGCTTCAGTCGACCAATTTTTGCACGTATCCTGGCAAACTCGTTCGGAGCACCGGGCAGATAGCAAAGGAATGTTGCTGTATCCAATGAAGAGAGAACCCAGGAACCGGTTGCTCAGCGAGAGTCTTTGAGGTTTTCTGTGGCATGTACATTTGCATGCTGTTTTCCGTGGCGGATCAACATGGCATTTCAAGGCCACAGCGCCGTGAGATGCTGAAGCTGTCGATGCCAAGGCTTGGGTCTGGTCCTGTCCGGACAAAGGTGCCAGCAGACTCGTGTTGGTGAGAACGGTTTCATGGGTGTGCTGAATCATTTGGGCCGAGGTAGATACTGTGACTTGGACAGACTGCACCAGACGTTCGACTCGTTGGAGTGCCGATCTGCAGCAGGAGTGTATCAGAAGGCGAGCCAAAAAGTATGTCTGAACACGATGAACATGATGAACAAGGGCACTGACAAGTTTTCCACGCCAAGCAAGGCGGTGATCTGCAGTCTTGCATCCCGGAGCTCAGACTGCAAGCGGCATATTTTGGGTCTGTAGCGAAGCCAGTTTATCCAGTCCACGAGCCTCGCATTCATAGCGTCAACCTTCTGGAGAAATGAATCAAGGTTTTTGATTCGGCGGTCAGCCTCGTCAAGCGTTCTCGAGAATCTGGCCTGAGAGGTCGGGTCCCTCCGAATCACCCTCTCGATATCGGTGAAGAGGAATCTCAGCTCGGCAAGCTCGTTCGAGAGGGCGAGAAGCTCGTCCGGCACATCGCGTAGCTTGCTGGCCAGCTTCTCAAGCTTGAGAGCAACCTCGACGAGCGTGGCCACGCTTGCGATGAGACCGACGACCTCGGCCATGCTGTGGTTTGGCAAAAATGCATAAAAGTACGGGAAACCAAATGATGGCAGTTCTGTCTTCCCATGAGGCTGTGGGTCTAGGGAGAGTGGTCTAAGGTGCAAGGCGGCCGGTATATAAGCGCAGCCAGGCTTACGTGGCTGAGCATGTGTAACATTCGCTCCATTGGACCATCGTCCGTATTTGGACCAGGCTGACTTCAAGGCAGGTTTTTGCTGGGACGACAGCAACTGACTTGCTGCGATCTATCGCGGACATGATTTTTGGTGATGCTGAAAGATAGCACCCAAAACACGTGGGTATTTATAGCCCATATCTGTGCGCAGATGGAACCATGCTTTGCAGGTTATATATGAAGTGGTCACTATTCACAATCTCCAGTCCATAGATCGGGTGCCAGCCAGCCCGTAGCTTCTGAAGACTCGGAAAGCATCCCGGCACCCGTTTTTGTGATTCACCCAACCTCTTTTCGAAGCACACGGTATTTATCAGCATTATTACCACACCAGCTCGACCTTCTCCAGCTGCAAGTCAAGACGTCCTCCATTCCCGTGCCTCAGGCCCGTGCGCACAGCTACCTACCTATCTACCGGCCCGCGCCCTCATCGACCCGAATCTCCGAATCTCCGTTCGCGGGGACCAACGCTACAGCTCCGAGCTCGTCCACCACTCTCTCTTTCTTTCTGTCTCCTCTCCCCCCTCCCTCGCCAATTCCTCTTCCCAATCCGCCAGGAGAGAAAAAGAAGACGGAAATCCCGAAGCTCCTCAACACCATGGCCACCCTCAACGCCATCAGAAACAACTGCCGCAAGGTACGTATCTACCCGCCCGGCCACAGTGCGCGTCGCGCCGCCGAGCTTCCCGCGCGCGCATGCAGTGACCCGCCAGCCCCGCCATTGAACCCTCTGCTAACCACCACGCGACCGCAACCAGGTCATGTGCATCGGCCGCAACTATGCGTAAAGCGCCCCCCTCCCCGCAACTGAACGTACGGACGATTGACCAACGCGCGCAACGCGATAGCGACCACATCAAAGAGCTCAACAACCAGCGGCCCAAGCAGCCCTTTTTCTTCCTGAAGCCGCCGTCGTCCATCCTCCTGCCCGGCGAGGGCCCCCTGCTGCGGCCCCGCGGCACCTCCATGCACTACGAGGTCGAGCTGGGCTTGGTCATGGGCAAGACGCTGCGGGACCTGCACCCGGAGGACGAAAAGGGCGCGCTGGACTCGATTGAAGGTATGTTTTTGCCAATTCGTGGAAACAACAGAGCAGCCGTCGTAGACTGCGTTACTCCCAACCATAAACCGAGCCGGCTCGTCCCCGATTGCTGTGTTTGTCGTGTGTCGATTGTAGAATGTTACCGAGTGCTAACCATGTGGGGGCGACGACGACCCCTTTAGCCTACCTCCTCGCCATCGACATGACCGCCCGCAACGTGCAAGAAGAAGCAAAGAAGAAGGGTCTCCCTTGGTCCATAGCAAAGGGCTTCGACACCTTCCTCCCCCTCGCCGGCCCCGTCCCCAAGTCCGCCATTCCCGACCCGCACCGGGCCCACCTGAGCCTCACCGTCAACGACAAGGTGCAACAGTCCGACAACACCGACCTGATGCTGTTCAGGATCCCGCGCATCCTGGCCGATATCAGCAGGGTCATGAAGCTTGAGAAGGGCGATATTGTTCTCACCGGGACCCCCAAGGGCGTGGGTCCAGTCACCACTGGCGACGTCATGAAGGCTGCTCTCAGCTATGGCGACAAGGAGCTGGCGCGTTTGGAGCTGGACGTCAAGGATCGCGAAGGCCTCTATGAGTTCAAGGAAACATAAATTCCAGAACGCCAGAAACGTAAAATATACTTGTAAACAACCTCATTCTTCGTACGGTGGTAAGGGCTTCATCGGAGGCAGCTCGCGCTTCTTTCTCTTACGAGGCTGAGGAACCAGGGCAGGCGGCTTGCGAGGGTAATTCTCATGCTGCGCTGAACGCTCTGCAGGCGCATCTTGATATTCCTGATCCTGTCTCCAGCCGCTGAGTCTCGACGCTGCACGCTGCTCTGTCTCTGATCTGGTGCCTATCGCATCACCGGATTCGGATGATCGTGGCAGCCCTTGAATGTGCGGGTATGAATGGTTCATGTGGACCATCAACGGCCTCTGGCTGGGCGGGCACCTTGGTCCTGCGTCCTCGTAGCCATCCAACGCTATTTCCACCTGAGGCTGAGAAGAAGCCTGCCTCTTGTTCTTCTCACTAATTCGTTGTGATCTTCGACTAGGGGCCTTAGAGACTGGTGATCGTTCTTTTGACACTCGCAACCTCCCAGGAATCGGAGTATCTGTGTGTCTTGATATCCGCGCCATTGGAAGGCCTCTGGAACCCGCATCCAACGCAAGAGAGGGCGTATGTGTTGGTTTCTCCGATCCCTTCGACGAGATGATGGTCTGTCTTTTCGATAGCCTTGTACTGTGTACTGGTTGCCTAATTGGGGGATGCCTCATTAGCTCTCGAAGAACAGTACACATCCCAGCCAACCACCCACCTTCGCTTGGCGGGCTTTTTCACATTGGCAGACGTTGGCGTCTGCGGCTGTGCGCTGCTCTGTGTCTCTGGCTCTGACCTTGGCCTCGGCTGTGTATTCGGCTCCCTTGTTTGTGCTCTTGCTTGTGCAATGCCTTCCCCACCCTGTTGAACCACTGCTTTCACTTCGTCAAAATCCTGCCTGAGCTTCTTTGCACTCGTGCCTTGCTCGTACAATAACCCTCGCAGTGACTCGACTTCTTTCGCCAGACGACCTATCTCCGAATGATCTGGATGTTTGGTCGCCTTGCCCTTTGACTTCGGCAACTCCTCCACCGTCTCCTCGAGTTGTGCGAGCTTGTATTGGATGTCGCGAAGTAAGATGCCGTTATTATGGACGCGATTACTATGCTCTTTCTCCAGTGTTTCAACCCGTAAGACTTTGCGTGAGAGATTCTGCACTTCCAAAGATGCTTTTTCGAATCGTCCGTGCTCATCCGAACCCATCTTCCTGAATAACTCTTTAATAGAATTGTTATCTTCAGTGAGTGCCGTGAGCCTCTGGTCCATATCGTTCATCCGCAGTTCGTGTTCCAGCATAGCTTCATACATGGTGTCGACCTTCCTCAAAGACTCTGTGAACTGCTCTGTCTTCTTCTTCAGGTACTGATGTTCTCTCTTGGTCTGCTGATAATAAAGGAGAATCCTCCCATCGTCAGAAGAAGAAGCCATGTTTATTTAACGGACCAAGGCACTGTGGGAGTCGCGGCAGAAATGAATGGCCGGTATGAAGCTGCGAGACAAACTCAGCAGAGCGCAGACGGAGAACCCCGGTCGTGTCGTCGTGATTCACAACTTGGAGGCAAAGAGCGTGCTTCTCTGACAGCCCGACGCCTTTGCATAGCCCTCTCGCGAGCTTCTGCCTCTTTGTTGTGCGCTCTTTCGAGCTTCCACTGAGCGCGACGGATGGAGAATTGACACCTCCAAATCTTCAAGCAGACCCACCCGATTTGGACTTGGATGATGATCCACTGGGCGACAAGAAAAAGCTGTTCGATGACAATGACGAGCCGCCAGGTGGCCAGGGTAAGAAGTAGCCTGAGGCAGACCCACAGAAGGCGTCCGAGCCAGACGAGAAGCCTGAGTGCGAGACGGAGTCGTTGCTGTGGGCGAGCTAGTAAACGACGCGCGCCCCGAAGGACTGGAATCCCGACCCACATAAACAGTTCGGTGAAGCTTGGGTCAGGCGGCGACTGTCAAACGAAATGTACGGCGACGAGTGAGCGCGGTGGGACTTGAGTGCGTAGCGGAGCCTCACAGTCAGAGACAGCAAGTGGAGTGAGGTGAGGCGTCAAGAAGGGAGGCTGGCGTCACCCGAGGTAAATCTGGTGTATTCGAAGGTGCGGCGATGAGCGACGAGCCGCTGCACGGGCAGGTGAAGACGCAGATGGAGCTTGATTGGCAGGAAAGGGAGCTGGATGAGGTCGGGAACATAAGTGGGAGGTGCAACAATGATTTCCCATCCTGGCAGTCACCACCCGCGCACGCCAACCAGCAGGCATGCAACCGTGACGTGTGAACGTGTACCGCCACTCCGTTTGAACAGAAGAACATCGCATGATGGGGTGAGGGCCTGATGGATTTCATATGATTGCACAACAGGTCATGTGCTCACGCTTTACACGCAGCGTGCACATCACTAAGTAGCCAGATTGAAATGGGAACCATCTATTAAGGAAATAGGAAAGCATTACCGTCATCTCAAGCACGCCCATGCGTGGACAGACATCCACAAACGCGCGAAGACGACCATACATAAGCACTCCCTACATACAAAGCAAGAGCCGATGTAAAGAAGGCTTAGGTCGTAGGGGAAAAATTCATCAGCTGACGACTCGCCTTTTCTAAACTGCAACCTTTTGAGAAAAGCATTTTGACACGAAGCAATAACGCCGAGATGCAAAGACTTCCGGCCCCAAGGTCTCAGCTTTTTTTGGGCAGCTCCCGAGCCGTCCCAGGAAAAGACCACCGTGCCCTTTGACGAGTGCCTCAATGAAAAAGGGGAATCACCAAAACCATCGTCATAAGGGATCGTAGTCTACATCGTGAAGAAATCGTTTAAATGAGATCTGTAGCGCAAAGTCAGCCGTCGTTCGCCTTGGGGGATGCACTCGTCGAAACATACCAGCAACGTTCATGGGCATCTCCTCGATCTGGGTGCTGTAGAACTGCTCAATCTCACGCATCATGCGGACATCGTCGGCGGTGACGAAGTTGATGGCAACACCCTTGCGGCCGAAACGACCACCACGACCGATACGGTGAATGTAGTTCTCGCGGTTGGCGGGCAGGTCGTAGTTGATGACCAGGGAGACCTGCTGCACGTCGATACCACGGGCCAAAAGGTCGGTGGCGATCAGGACACGGGAAGAACCAGAGCGGAACTCCTTCATAATGACGTCACGCTGGGTCTGGTCCATGTCGCCGTGCATGGCCGAGACGGTGAAGTCACGAGCAGTGAGCTTGTCGGTAAGCCAGTCGACCTTTCTGCGGGTGTTGCAGAAGATGACGGCCTGGGTGATGGTGACAGTCTCGTAGAGATCCGACAGCGTGTCGAGCTTCCAGTCCTCCTTCTCGACGGCAATGTAGAATTGCTTGATACCCTCGAGGGTGAGCTCGGCCTTCTTGACGAGAATGCGGACGGGGTCGCGCATGAACTTGGTCGTGACCTCAAGAACGTCCTGGGGCATGGTGGCGGACAGAAGGACGACCTGGGTGGACTGGGGCAGAAGCTGGAAGATGTCGTAGATCTGCTCGGTGAAACCGCGGGAAAGCATCTCGTCGGCCTCGTCGAGGACGAACATCTTCATGGCATCCGTCTTCAGGACACGGCGCTGGATCATGTCGTGGACACGGCCAGGAGTACCGACGACGACCTGGACACCGGACTGAAGGGCCTTCATGTCCTCACGAACGCTGGTACCGCCGATGCAGGCGTGGCACTCAATGTTCATGAAGTCACCGATGGCGACGACGACCTTCTGGATCTGCTGAGCCAGCTCACGGGTGGGGGCGAGGATCAGGGCCTGGCACTCCTTGATGTTCGCGTCGAGCTTCTGGAGGACGGAGATGGAGAAGGTGGCGGTCTTGCCAGTACCGGACTGGGCCTGCGCAATCACATCGTGGCCTGTTCAGCATCAGTTTTGCGCCCCGGAAGACTGCACTGCGGGGTACCTCACCCTTGATGACGGGCATGATGGCGCGCTGCTGGATGGCAGACGGGCGCTCGAAACCGTAGGCATAGACACCGCGGAGGAGCTCGGCCTTGAGGTTCATCGAGTCGAACGAGTCGGTCGTCTCATCGTAGTTGGACTCGATCTGACCTGCAGACGTGGCGACCGTAAGTATGCGTAACCGCGACAGCGTGGACGGGCGGCGGTGGCGCGCAGCCGTGAGCGCATGCTCATGGAGCGCCTGCCGTGATGGACGTACCCTCAGGAACCTCCTCAAGACCCTTGTCAGCCATGTTTGCGGTCGGTGGTGAAGGATCACAGGCGTTGCGCTGTGATCGAAAAGCGGTTTGGTGGGGCTACGCGAGCGAAGGGGCGGGCGCAAGGGGCCGCGGGCGTGCGAAACTCGTAGGACGTTGAAAGCTAGATACCGGACTCTCGAGAGGGAGAGTCGTGTGGATATCTAGTGGTTGGTCGTGTGTTTGGATGTGTGTTTGAGATGGAGGGTGGAGGAGGGCGGGCGGACAGTCGTTAAAAGTTTTTGTAGAGAGGCGGGCAGCCAATTAGCGAGGCGCTAGCGCGGAGGGCATGCGGCAGCGTTTGCGCGGGTGCACCAAGGTTCACACCTGGCCCTGCAAGCCCGAGCTTACTCAAGCGCTGTGCAGGCTTTTGCAGAGGCGCCCGACCCAGTCATAGCTATTGCCGCCAGCTGCGTCGCCCTCTCGCCACCCGCTCGGAGTCGGTGCCGCTGCAGCCTCGTGCGTTGCCAGGAGTGGTGGTGGCCACTTGGGTCTGCACACCGACGAAAAAAATATCCCGTTCCCGCTTTCAGCCTGCGCGCACCCCATTCACCTGACGAACAATGGCGCCTTCCGCCGTGCCCGTAGAGGGCTATGCAGCAACCGTCACAGACGATGCGTCACTGGCGCGGCCCGCGAAGAGGCTGCGACTCGATGCGGTAGGCCCTCGCAGCGACGCAGACGCCGAAGAGCCCGCTGTCATCCCCCCACACCCGCTTGGTATCAAGCCGGCGGGCAATGCTCTGACGGCAAATTTCAACCTGAAGGCCAACGCAGGGTCCTTTTCCGTCTTGCCAGACGAGCTCTTGGCCCAGTTTCTTGAGTGCTTGGATGCTTCCGCCCTCGTCCGTCTGGGAGGCACCTGCAAGTCCCTGTATGCCTTCACGAGATTTGACGAGCTGTGGAGGGCTCTGTTCACCGAGTAAGTCGCAGAGTATTGTCTCCTTCGTGCACCCCCGTTCTTTTGTTCCATGCATCTTTCCTTTTCAAGCCACAGGCAGCAAGTCAAGCCACGTCCCTTCCCTTCCCGTTACCATCAATACTCAACCAAAGACCGTTCTGCCCTCAACGGCACTAGTCAGCTGGCACGTTGGATTTGTTGGTAGCATTACGTCTTGCAACTACTTGTATGGAAGATGGACCGTGATTCATCCCAATAGCCCGAGCACGGAGTTGGAAGGAGACAATCTTTCAAGTCATAGTGGACAAGTCATTGCTGAGGGAGACCATCAAGACTGTGGCCACTCAGCATGCCATAATCTTTATGACTATCCCGTTGACCAAGGCTGTAGCGCGCTGTTCCCATACAGACATGCCCGACCCGTCCCTTGCATGGCATACTGTACCTCCTACCCTTTTTTTTTTTTTTTACTAAACAATGCGCAGGTCGAAGAAAGCCGACTTCCAATGGCGCGGCTCGTGGCGCTCTACTTACCTATCTATTCCCGAGTCCCATGAAGCTCACATTGACTGCTCCGGCTTGTATTCTGACGTCCTCTACCGCCCGTTTCAATGCACGTACACTTCGCTCAAGCCGTTCACATCAAGGATCCCGCCAGAAAATGCGATTCCCCGCATGACTGATCTGACATATGAGGAGTTCTCCACAGAATGGACAAGTAAACCGTTTATCCTTACTGCACCAGTCAAAGAATGGCCTGTCTTTGGGAAGTGGACGACGCAGTATTTGCTCGAGAACTACGCTAATGTGCCGTTCCGCGCGGAAGCGGTTGACTGGCCGCTTGAAACCTATGTTAATTACATGAACAACAGCAATGATGAGAGCCCCCTCTATCTCTTCGACCGCAGCTTCGCGGAGAAGATGGAGATGGCGGTTGGCAAGGATAAAGAGGGTGCTGCGTACTGGGCTCCCGCATGCTTTGGCGAGGATCTCTTCGCAGTGCTTGGAGATCAACGTCCGGATTGCCGGTGGATGATTATGGGTCCGGCAAGAAGTGGAAGCACATTCCATAAGGATCCGAATGCTACAAGGTAGGGAATCCTTCATGACTCACACGCCAGCTGTACACCCAAAGGACATGCTGATTCGGTAATAGTGCGTGGAATGCCATCTTGACTGGTTCCAAGTACTGGCTCATGTTCCCATCATCCGCCAACCTCCCTCCGCCTCCGGGAGTCATTCTATCAGAAGACTCATCAGAGATTACGGCACCGCTCAGCATCGCAGAATATCTCTTATCTTTCCACGAGATCGCTCGAGCCACCCCCGGCTGTCGAGAAGGAATCTGCTACGCCGGCGAGGTTCTCCACGTTCCATCAGGGTGGTTCCACCTTGTTTTGAACCTCGAGGAGAGCATTGCTTTGACGCAGAATTTCGTTCCGCAAGCAAAGCTGGCTGATGTCTTGGGGTTTCTGAGAGACCAGGCCGAGCAAACCAGCGGGTTCAAGGACGATGTCACGGATCCGTATGGGCTGTTTGTTCAGAAGCTGGGCGAGAGGTACCCGGCAGTACTGAGCGAGGGCATGGCGGCGTTGGAGAAGAAGGGGAGACCCAGGGGGCGGGGCAGGTGGGAGGAGCTAGTCAGGGGCGACGCAGCAGTGGAGAGCGAGAGCCAGGGTGGATTCACGTTTGGGTTTGGTGGTGGTGAGGACGAAGAGATTCCTTGACCGTGGAGCGTCGCGGTGCGCCGAGCAGCCTGGCGCCAGGCGCAGACTCCCGTCAGAGCGCAGCATTGCAGTGCCTGAGCCCTGGCGCGAGTCAGGACAGCTGCCTTCGGGCGTGAAACAATGGAGCAGTGGATCATAATAATTCTCCTCCCGGCTGAAACCAGCAAGGGCGTTGTGTGGCATTGACAAGCAGCTCGTGCGAACCGCCCAGGCAGCAGCGAGGCAGCAGGTGCGAGGGCAGCGCGGCAGAGTGCGCGGCGGCGAAGGGACGCGGCGGGCGGGCGGCGGGCGGCGGGCGAGGCCAGCGGACGAAGCGGACGAGATGCAGTCGCGCCGACCACGGGCCTCGGGGCTGGGCTGTGCGCCGACCCCCCCCCGTTCAAGGTTGGCCGTTGGCGGCGATGGGTGCGGTGCCACGGATGCCGGCGCTGCTGGCAGGCAGAGGGCAGAGCGACGAATGGTACGATTCGCCCTGATCTGTGTGCGGCCCTCTCCTTCACGCCGCCGCCGGTGAGCAGCTTTGGCCGGCCGGCCAGTCAGCGGCAGCAGCAGCAGCGGCACGGGCCCCTTCGACTTACCCCAGACTAATCCGTACCAGCAGTTGAAGTCTCCCGTAAGGCTGCTACGTACCCCCAAACCACTTCACCGACGGCGCCAGAGCCTCGCTTCGTTCACTACCGGCCTGCAGCGGCGCCACGGTCCTTCGCATCCCGCCCCAAGACGCTCCCTCATCCAGACCGCCTTCGCCTCAGCTCACGGCGGGGCCCGTTGCGCTTACGCCAGCCGCCGACTGACAGCACTCCACCCCCAAGCACCTCCTCTCAACACTCGACCATTCCCCTCCGCGCCCTCCGCGATCCCAGCGCACCCCTAACGCGCCCGATCCCACGCGCACCCGCGCCATGGTGTCCGACGAGATCTACGACCTCTGCCTGCCGGTCCTGCAGGACGACTCGCTCGAGGACGAGGACAAGACCGAGCAGCTCGAGGAGCTGGTGCGCGAGAAGACGACGCTGACCGGCAAGGCTCTCGAGGATGCCGTGCTGGACTCGCTCTGGCGCTTCCGCGGCGCCAGCAATTCGTCCGCCTCGCCGCCCCCCGTCCGCCATACAATCATCCGCCGGTCGTCGCCAGCTCCTTGGCAGGTCGCACGAGCTCCCACGCCCTCCAGCTCCTCGCCGCGCATAGCCCCGCCGCCCGGCTTTGGTGTTGCGCCCCCGGGCTTCTCGCGCGCCAAGTCCTCCACCGCGTCGCCCTTCACCTCGCCGCGCCCCTCGCCGCGCATGGCCTATGCAACTCCGCACATTCCCCACAGCCCGAACCTGAATGCCTACGAGTTCAGCGAGCCGAGCCACACTCCCGACATCTACGGCGACTATGGCAGCGACACGGTGGATTGGCTGGTCAACGACGACGTTGCGAGTGTGTCCTCGTCACTCCACGGAGATGGCTCCTTAAACGGCGCAGCCGCCGAGTGGGTCCAGCCTTACACTATGGACATGGATCCCTATGATATGCTCCGGTCCATTCTGCGTGACAACCGTTCGAATGACGAAATTGAGAGAGCGCTGGAAGAGAATGGCTATGATTTCACCGCAACCGTCCAGGCCCTCATGGACCAGTCCGCTGCGCTTCAGCAGCCAACGCCAGTCAACCAGCCGGAAAAGACATACCTGGTTGGCAAATCCATGAGCCCCTCGTTCAGGCCTGCAACTCCTGCTGGCCAAATCAAGACCAACGTGTTGTGCAAGTACTGGCTTACGACTGGCCATTGCGCTCGAGCCGATTGCCGCTTTAGCCACGACCCGAGCAAGACGGTCTGCAAGTAAGTGGAATATGCCAAGGTTTTGATATCGATTTAGAACAATGCTGACAATTTTTTCTAGGTACTGGGTGGCTGGAAACTGCCTTGCTGGTGACACCTGTCTGTTCTCACATGACCCCACGAGCCTGATGTCCAAGTTGATGCTCGAAGGAAGTTCGACGCCTCCACAGCCGCCGAATTTCCAAGTCCAGGATTACGAGGCTTTCCCATCTCTTCAACAGACGGCATCTCATCATTCCATGCACAGCCATTACGCTGAACAGTCTGCTCTTGAGCAACTTTATGGCGTTCGAAACGTTGCCACGCCTCCTCCTGGCTTGAGTCCTTTCCCAACGTTCACGCCCAGCTCGCACCGCACGCATTCTCGGCCATCGAGCAGCCGCCAGCTGTCACATTCACGCGCTTCAACCCCATCGGCTCCCGCAGCCGATGATCCCGAGGCATTCCCCAGTCTTGCATCTGCTGCAGCAGCAAAGGGTGGAAAGAAGCATCACGGAAAGCGCGGTGGTCATGGTCACGTCAACAAGGACGGCAGTGCCCCGAATACGCTCGCTGATGTCGTGAAGATGTCACCCTCTCCTGCGCCGGCCCAGCCTCGCAAGGGTCTTAGGCCTGCAAAAAGCTTCAATGGCAGCAGGGAGCACAGTGTAGCCGCGCAGAACATCCCTCAACCTGAGCACATTCCTTGGCTGGAGACGGGCGATGCTGCAAACAAGGCATATCTCAAGGCTCGTCAAGAGGCTTTCAAGCACGGTGGCCTACGCAACAAGTTCCTCCAGAGGTTTGTGGTCCCTTTGACCGTTTTAATGTGCGATTGAACTAATTTTACTAGTGCCGCACAAGCATGGAATCGAAATGACTCTCGCGCAGCCAAGGCCCTTAGTCTTCGAGGCCAAAGTGAAAACAACCTTATGCGGCAGGCTCACCGTGAAGCAGCCGAGCACCTCTACAACGAACGCAACAAGGACAACAGTCCCAATGCAAAGGAGCTCTATGTCGATTTACATGGTACGTTCAATGCCCCCGCTAGTCCCCATCAACCAAGATGCCAGTAAAGTGCTAAGGATTTACAGGCCTCCACCCTGAAGAGTCTGTGCAGTATCTCTCCAAGATTCTCATGCAACACCAGAACTCGACCCGTCCCATCTACGCTATCACCGGCACCGGCCACCACAGCAAGAACGGCAAGGACAAGGTCGGCAAGGCAGTGCGCGGTTTCCTCAACGAATGGCGTTACGTGTTCCGCGAGTTCAGCGTGCCGGGCGATCGCGGCAACGTCGGTGGCATACTCGGCATCGATCCCAACTCGTGGGACCGCAGCCTCGAGCGAGAACGCCTCGACAGCGGCGTGGGCAGCAGCAACGGCGAAGACGACAAATCGGGCGGTGACAAGCTCGGCGAGAGCACCAAGATCAGGGTCATCAAGGCCGAGCAGGCCAATGCTGGCGGCGTGCCTACGGGTCCGAGGGTTCGGTGACACGGTAGACAGATGTGAATTCAAATACAAATAGATTATCTCAACTCAGGGCGTCTGACACGTGGTGATGCTGATCCGTTTTGGCTCGAATTTAGCCTTTGATTTTTCTGAATGCTCTTCGACCTGGTGAACAGGATTGCCTGACTGGAATTGCCATCGGCCTTGCGTAGCCGCGATTGGGTATAAGATTCACCGCTAGGGTTATAGCTAAGGTAAGAAGTGCGGATTGCATGTGCTTATGATGCGGAATCGAACGCCAGGTTCTAGCACGCAACCCGTGCCCGATATTACAAAGGTGTCTTCGACGATGAAGAAGGCGGCTGTCCCCCGTAGCAATAAGCGACTATCAACGAAGAAAGGCAGTTGCCTAGCGAAAGATATTGAGGGTACACTGAGTATATAAAACAGCAAGTATGAACAAGGCAAAAGGACAAGTCACTAGTCGAGTCGCCAGTTCTGTCAATCGACCTACTCCTAAATTACCTTGACAAACCAATTGCGTTTGGTTACATTTCTTATGGGGCTCAATGAAAGATATCCTTTCTCGAACATAATGTCTTGGTAGGTAGCAAATCACAATCGTTTCACCCCCTTGGTAACTTGTCTTAAGCGCATGCATCCGTTGGGGTGAAGCAATGCCAAGCTGAGAAGAAGTGCGTATGCAACCATCCGTTCGAATCGATATATTTCATGACTTGCAAACTTCTAGGACCAAACCGGAACTCCATGCTGTGAATTTCGAATGAAGTAGCTCCGCCATTCTCCTGATGGCGTGAGATATAACAATAACGGCATCGCTTTTCCTTGTCCGGCATCTTTTCTCCACTTGGAAATGCAGACCATAATGGGTATCTCTTTTCCCCTCTTCCAACGAAACAATAGTGTTCCAAAAAATCAATACCTTCCTCCTCCCCCTCTCCTCCCGCCTCGTTTCTTCCTGCCTTGCCAACCACCTCTGAACTTCCCCGGCCCTCCCATGCCCGGATTCCTCTCCTCAAAGCGCTCCCGCTCGCGCTCCTCCTCCCTCCGCGCCTCCTCCTCCCGCTGCGCCCTCTCGCGCTCCAGCTCCTCGGGCGACTTCTCGGCGCGCACCTCGGGCTTCTTCAGGTCGTCCTGCCAGCGGGGGTGGGCGCCCTCGCGGCACTGCTTGCCGTTGGGGCAGAAGCCGGCGAGGTAGTAGCGGCAGAGGCGGTCGCGGCGGACGTGCTTCTTGGCGCAGCGCGGGCCGAGGGGGCAGAAGCCGCGGTCGTAGTGCGGGCAGGGCGGCCGCTTCGACTCCGGGTCGATGTGCAGGTAGAGGCAGTCGTCGCCGTTGGAGCACGTCAGGTGCCGCGAGTAGTGGTTGCATTCGGGCATGCGGCGCAGGTTGTACTCGTGCAGGAACTCGCAGGCCTCGCCCTTTTTGCAGAGGCCGCGGAGCCAGTGCTTGCACACGAGGCTGCCGTGGAAAGAGCTGTTTGGTGGCGCGCACGGGCGTGTCAGTGTTTGTGTCTGTGTGGGTGTTGGGACTGAGGGCTGATGACGACGGGGAAGCGGAGAGGACGTACTTGTTGAAGGCGGAGGAGGTAGGGTGCTTGTCCGGACAAGCGTTGCCGAGCGGGCAGTGCCCTTGCTTGAAGGCATTGCAGATGGGGCGGCTGGGATCGAGGCCGAAGCGATACTCGCGCTTGAGGAAGTCGCTGAAGTTGAAGTTGAACTGCTGCTGGGTGTCGGGCTGGAGGATGCGCTGGGCAAGCGGCAGGGTGGCGGCGGCGGTGGCCATGGGAGCTCCACCGCCGGGCTGTTGCTGGAGCTCGACGGCCATGGGGTGGCAGCGGGGCGGGACGGCGGGCGTGCTCGAAGGAGGCAGGGCGGGTGTGATGTTTGCCAGGCGTCTGCACGCTTGTGCTTTGTGGAGCTGGTGCTTATGTGGATGATGGTTGATGATCGGCACAGCTGCGAGCTCAGGCGGAAAGGCTAAACGCCGGCCGCGCGCTGCCACACAGGACGCCCGCGGCACGTGAGCCCGCTCGCCACCAACACAGGCGCCGACGCCATGGAGAGGTCAGACGCGCCGCCGCTAGGTATTCCTTCGCCTGCGCTGCGGGAATCCTTCTGCCGTCGCGTGCCGGACCAGCCACTGGGTCGAGATGGTCTGCGCGTAGCCGCGCGCGGCAGCTCCAGTGCTCCAGTAGTCCGGTAGTGCAGATGGTACCCATGCACGTCGCTTGCTCCTGGCATGTCCCTCGCATGTCCCTCGGTGCTTCTGCATATGAACCAAGGGTGCCCGGGCTATCTGTCCAGCCCCTTAGTATTGCGTCGACGGTATCTCAGCTGGCGCGTGTCTGCTGGCCATGCACCCACACCCATTTCCTGCTCAGCCCACACTAGCTGTCCATCAGCGTCGCCGACGCCACCGCAGTCACTCCACAGCCCACTCGCCCGTGAGCAAGCCATTGCGGCTAATAGTTCCGAGATTCGCCTAGGCAAATCATCTCGCGCGATCCAGGCATGCTCATTGGGAGGCTTGGGTCGATGATTGGGCAAGATGGGCGAGATCTTCGCACAGGCTCCTGAGATACGTGAGCATGCTGCTGGATGCGGGCACGTAGCTCCGTTCCGCTGATGCTGCTGAGGACCAGGACTCCACTCAGGCAGATCGCCGAGGCTCAAATCAGATCTGCCGGTGCCAGCTCCTCTGGCCTCCGTTCGCCGCCCCATTGGCTGCTTGCACGATTACGATATCGGGACGCTGGCACCTGGCTTCCCCGGCCGTGTGCAGGTCATCGCTGCGCTGAGCTCCCGCCGTGGCCCGCGTCCTGTGCGTGCCAACCCCAGCGCCACTTGCCCTGGTGGGTACGCCCAGGCGCCCCAGAAGCCATTGGCGACCACGGACCGGGGCTGAGGTGCTGGCGCTCTCGCGAGTCGACTGGTCATATCATACATGACGGCTGCTGCTCCTGGAGGCGAGCCGCGACGGTGTTCCGGTGGAGACTGGAGCCAGACCCTGCCTGCCTAGCTTCCAAAGGCCATGTCCAGAGGGCCCATGCTGCGCAGTCGGGAGGAGCGAATCCACCTCTCGGGGGCGGCAAACCTGCTTGCCCCTGCGTGAGAGCAGCGATTGACACTGGCAGTTGCGTAAGTAGTGCGTCTGGAGGTCGCTAGCCTGATGTCTCGCATAATGCCGCCAAAAATTCCTCCCGACCAGCAGCGCAAGGCCTGCGCCACGGCACCCGGAGCTAACGCGAGCGCCAACGTGCTGGATACTCGAGGCAGACGATCGCATCCGTCGCGCGCTTTGCCTCCCCACCGGCGCGCGTTCTTATGATGGCCCTGGGACCCGGGACCCAGAGTTGTCCGGCCTGCCTCTCCCGCCTCTCCCGCCTCTCTCGCCGTCGTCTGCCGTCCGCCGTCCGCCGTCCGCCGCCGCCAGATCGCACAGACAGCCGACCCATCCGTGAAAGCCTCCGCCCCGCGTGCCGTTCCGCCGAGCAAGCGCAGCCCGGAGCGCGGGCTAAACTGCTTCGAGCATGCTTAGCATCTCGACCTTCGGCCCCAGGCCTCCCGCCAACCGCCGCCTCCTGTCCGCCGAAGACCACGAGCGGAACGCCAGTCGGTTCAACGACTTCTCCAACTCCCTCTTCAGCTCGCCCTCGGTCAGCATGTACTTCAATGGCGTCTACTACCCCAATTGGCACATCTACAAGGGCCGCCCGCCGTCGTCGCTCAAGTTCGACGTCATCTCTCACGCCTTCTACGCCTTTGCTCACGTCAAGGAGGATGGCACCGTCTTCTTGAGCGACGAGTGGGCCGACGACCAGATGGAGGTCGACGGCGTCAAAGGCTGTCTGCGGGCATTCGCCGAGCTCAAGAAAAAGTATTCTGTTCTGAGGGTTGTGCTGTCCGTCGGTGGAGGCGGTGCCGCCAGTGCGCCCTTCCCCGCCGCCGCCAGCACCAACGAAACCCGCGAGCGTTTTGCTCAGACTTCAAAAGAGCTGGTCATGAACTACGGTCTTGACGGCATCGACAGTAAGTTGAGCCTTCCTCTCCCGCTCGCCCCGATGGAGTCATCGTACCGCCTCGTTCTTCTGCACCATTCCACGAATTGTCCTTTTGGCTTGTCTAACGTCACTGCTCAGTCGACTGGGAGCACCCGAGCAACAGCCAACAAGGTGCCGACTACATCCGCCTGCTTGCCACCCTCCGCGCCTACCTTCCGGCGCCGCAGTATACGCTGACGTCGGCCGTGGGGTGCGGAGAGTGGTGTTTGCAGCACATCAACTTGGCCCAGGCCGCCTACTACCTGGACCTGATCAACGTCATGACCTACGACTTCTCTGGGCCGTGGGTGCCCAGCACAGAGCACCACGCGCAGCTGTGGTCCCCGCACCGCCCGCACAACCAGCACTGCCAGCTCTCGTGCCACAGCGCCATCGGCTACATGACCTCCCGCGGCGTCCCGACGCACAAGATCCTCCTGGGCGTGCCGGCGTACGGCCGCTCTTTCACGGGCTCGCGCGGCGTGGGCCACTCGTACGATGGGCACGCGGGCGAGGAGGGCACGTTTGAGTATAGAGACTTGCCTCGCCCGGGCGCCAAGGAGTACGTCGATGACCAGACCGGCGCGGCGTTTTGCGTTGGCGGCGATGGGGGGTTCGTCACGTATGACAACGCGCAAACGGTGAGGATGAAGGCCGAGTACGTGAAGCAGAGTCGCCTGGCGGGCCTGTTCTACTGGACCGGGACAGGCGACAAGGAGGACAACCAGAGCAGTCTGGTGTGGAATGGGTATGTGGGGATGCACAACTAAAAATGGCCGTTTCTCGAACACGCGTCTCTTTCCGGGCAGATGCCCAGCCCACAAGCGGGCTTCTTAATTCTTGGTAACATATCTGGGAGATATCTCGGTACCTAGACGTGGTAACGGCGGCTTGTTTTCCGGTAGCACTCGGTACGGATGACGCCTGCGAACCTGTAAAGCATACAGTAGATAGGCAACAAATTTTCGGGCAGGCTCCCGACAACCCAAACTCGTACCAATTGTGAACTTTTGTCCGCGCATGAGTGTTGTAAGGAGAGGCGTGCTGCATTAACTGGGAGCTTGGACCTGGTGCGTGTGGCCAGCTAGCGCGCGCGTCCCCTGCTCCAGCTCCAAGCAACCCCGGAATCCGCTGCACTCCCGCAACGCCAGCCTCTAAGAAACCACCGTAGCACGCCGACGCAGGGCAAGCACCAGTCGCACGAGCCCCGAAGCCTCCGCCCCCTCCACATCATCGTCCGCCAAAAGGTCCGCGACTCTCTACGTTGGGTCAATGCGATCGTAGACTGACTTCATGTCGGCGACAGCAGCATCAGCGTCGCTGGACTCCGGTAGCCATCCGCCCCACGTCCTCCGCGAACTGAGCCCTTCTGATCCAGCTGCCAGCCGACTACAATCCCGTCGACCACCTGAACCAGATCTTCGCCCACCCCTCCACCCTCGCCTCCATCCACGACACCTCCCAGGCCCTACGCAACTACGAATATGACCTGGACGAAGACATCGCCGAGGTCGTCGGCGAGCAGAGCGTCTCCGACGCCGAGAGCGTGCGCAACATCCAGAACGCCAAACAAGAGCTAGACGAGCTGTTCAAGCGCATCGAGGATGTGCGCGATCGCGCCGTGCGCACCGAGCAGGCCATCACCGACATGACGGCCGACATCAAGCGCCTCGACAACACCAAGCGCAACCTGACCCTGTCCATGACGGCCCTGAAGCGTCTGCAGATGCTGACCACCGCCTACGAGCAGCTGCGCGGCCTCAGCAAGACCCGCCAGTATCGCGAGTGCGCCCAGCTGCTGCAGGCTGTCATCCAGCTCGTCGCCCACTTCAAGTCGTACCGCTCCATCGACCAGATCGCCACCCTCAGCCGCAACGTCGCCGACCTGCAGCGCGAGCTGCTGGAACAGATATGTGAGGACTTCGAGGTGACTTTTGCCAAGAGCGAGGTTGCCCAACGGCGCGGCATGCTGGCCGAGGGCTGCATGGTCATGGATGCGCTTGGGGAGCACGCCCGGACGCGCCTCGTCAACTGGTATTGCAACACGCAGCTGCGCGAGTACCGTCAGGTCTTCCGCAACAATGACGAGGCCGGCTCGCTGGACAACATCTCGAGGAGGTACTCGTGGTTCAACCGCATGTTGAAGACGTACGATGGCGAGCACGCGGTGCTCTTCCCGCCGCACTGGAGGGTCAATGAGATGCTGGCAAACGCCTTCTGTGAGGGTACAAGAGACGACTTCAAGGGCCTTCTGCAACGTACAATGAGGCAGAAGGGCCAATCTTTGGATGTGGATCTGCTGTTGTCTTGCCTTCAGGAGACACTCGATTTCGAGAATGGCCTTGAACGGAAATTCTCGAATGAGTCGCGGTCGTCTATGGATACCATCATTTCAAGAGAAGATAGCGGAATGTCTTTCCGCCAGGCCATCTCCGAAGCATTCGAGCCGTACATGAGCCTCTGGGTCGAGTCTCAGGATAAGCAGCTCGCCACACTAATACCACGGTACAGACAACAACCTCTAGGTAACGCCGAGGATGAGTTTTCGCCTCAGTCTGTCATACCGTCTTCTACCGAGCTCTTCCATTTTTACCGGACAGCGCTCGCGCAATGCGCCAAGTTGTCCACGGGTACGAGGCTGTTGGAGCTGTCCAGAACATTTTCCCGTTACCTGGATGCCTATGGGCAGCAAGTGCTGTTCTATTTCCTCGGCGAGAAGACATCGATTGAAGACATGATTCTCATTCTCAACACTGCGGACTACTGTTACTCGACTTGCGATCAACTAGAGCAGAAGATCAAGAGTAAGATTGATGAGGAGCACAAGGAAAAGGTCGATCTTCAAAGCCAGGCGGACGCTTTCATGGGCATCGCAAGTGCGACAGTTCGGGCACTCGTTCGCAAAGTGGAAATTGATTGTGAACAAGGATGGAGGGAGATGCGGAACACACCATGGAGCAAGCTGGATAGCGTGGGTGATCAGTCCAGCTACGTGGGGGAACTGCTTCGACATATCAAGGAGAGGGCGGCCGAAATTCTCAGGTACCTGCACAAGCAGCAATACGCGCGGGCCTTCTGCGACAATCTCGTCGATTCAATGGTCAATACCTACATACTCAGCATCTTCCAGTGTCGACCAGTTTCTGAAGTCGGCGCCGAACAAATGCTCCTGGACTCGTATGTGTTGAAAAAAGGCTTTACGGAGCTTTCGATAATCAACAGCGAGGATCCAGGAGCACAACCACCAGCGGCGTAAGTCTTGAGCATAACGCCTTCCGCTTAGCAGTGGATGCTGTCCGTTACTAACATGACTTCCAGCTTCGTCAAGCGTGTGAACCAGTCCATGGCCAAGCTCGACCCCCTCCTCAAGACGCTCCAAGTCCGGCCCTCGCCGCCGGAAGCCCTCGTCCAAGCCTACCTGATCCACATCGCCGACCGCTCCGACACCAATTTCCGCAAGATCCTCGACCTCAAGGGCATCCGAAAATCCGAACAGGCGGCCCTCGTCGACCTCTTCAACGCCCACCGGCAGTCGCCGTCGCACGCCCAGCTGCCGCTACAGGGCGCGCTGCTCACGCCGATGACCCTGGGCTCCGGCACGCCCTCCATCGGCTCGTCCGGCTCTGGCTCATCGTCCATGGGCGGCGGCGTAGGCATGGGACCGCTCGCCGGCATCGGTGGGCTGGGCGGCGGCGGGATGCAAGGAGTCGGCAGCCGCTTCCTCGTCGACCCGGCGACGTTTGCGTCCGGCATCATGAACGCGGCGAGGGACGGCGTCGATCGGTTCGGTGGCAACAGCGGGCCGGTGGGAGCGGGCAACGTCATACCCGCGATGGCGGCGGCCGAGGGACAGGGTCAAGGTGGTGTGGGCGGCGAGGGCGCGGGCGGACCGGCGGTGGCAAATCTGAATGAGAATTTGAAGAATATCGGCAAGTTTTTCAGGAGGGACGTGGGTAGTTTTGGTCGGTTTGGGCGGACGGGAACGGGGTTGGGTGATTAAGTGAGGAGGAGGTTGTGAGGGTGTAGGACGAGTGTCGGATACAGGACTCGTTGCATTGTTAGAATACATCCCCGGTGCACATACATGACTTCGCCTTTGGCCACCGGACGGATGGATGGATGAATGGTAGAGCAAACATTTCAGACGAATGCGATTACCTACCTACTTGGATGACGTTCTGCCTTGTCGGCAGGACATTCAGTGGCATCTCACTGGAAAAACGAACACATGAATCGTATTCCATTATACAGAGGGGCCAGTAAGGATAATGTGGGACGAATGGATAGCGTAACGAAACGTTCGGCTCATTTCGCGAATTTCGAAGTCGATCGATGACGCCACAAGCTTCAAAGAGGTAAAAGAGCTAAGGTAGGGACCAGCTCCCGCACGCGCCCCGCTGCCGATCACACATCATCACCTCCGCCAAACACCGACTACCGACCATCCGTCGCCCAACAATCCAACCCCACATCCTCTACCTCGACAACGCCCTCATAGCCACGGCCATTTCTGCCTCTTCTGAGCACTCGATCAAGCTCGCACAACCTTCGGCAACAAGCCGACGACGGGGGATAGACAGGTCGACGCGCCAATCTCCGCCGCCGCAGCAAGCGAAAGAAAATAAGAAACGCGGCAGACAACACGAGCACATACGTCCCATCCATCAAGCAGCACCACCGCCACCAGCCATGCAAATCGCCGAAGTCCTCTCCGACCTAAACTCGCTCCGCGTCTGCGTAAGCCAATCCCTCCTCCTACTCAACTTACTCTCTCTCTCTCCCCCTCTCTCTCCCCTCCCCCCGCGACCAACGATAACGACGACGATGACTGACAAGAGACCAAACCCCGATCGCGAACGCCACAGGACCCCGCCGCCGCTCTAGCCCTCGTGTCCGCTACCACTACTACCACCACCACTGGCGCCGACACGACGACAACAACAGCGCCATCGCAAAACACCACCACCACCACCACCACCAAAGACGCCAACGCGATCGACGCCAACGCGATCGATGCCAACGCGATCGACGCCGCCGCAAAAGACGACGACGACGACGCAGACCTCCAGCGCGCGCGCGACCTGCTGGCGCTGCGGGCGGTGTTCAAGCAAGAGAACGGCGGTGGCAGTGGCAGCAGTGGTGTCGGCGTGGTGGCCGAGTTGGCGTCGTGGAGGGAGGAGGTGAGGAGGCGGATGATGGCCGTGGCGGACGAGGGGGGGTTTGGTGGGGTGACGGCGAGGACGGAGGGGGGCCGAGGGGGAGAGGAAGGGGAAGACGACGAGGGGTTTGAGGATTGGGCTTGATTTTTTTTTTTGATTTTTTTTTTGGTTGGTTGGTCTGGTTGCTGATTGATGATGATGGTGATGAAGATGATGATGGTTGGACCGTTTGACGGTCAGACGGTCAGACGGTCAGACGCATTTGCGTTTGGATTGGTTCCTTTTTTATTTATCTTTTGGGCCTGGAAAAGAGGAAGAAGCGATGGAAGTTTTGAGATACCCCCCGCCCTCACCTCGCCTCCGGGAACGTGGAATAGATGAGGAATTGTTTCGTTCGAGCATGAGCTACGAGTTCGAAGAACCAAGCAAGCTCTGCTAAGAATAGGAGGAAAGACTCATCTTTCTTGGATTTTTCTCTATCCAACAAACACCCTTCCCTATCTAACAAGGGTCCGTTCCATTCCCATCATAAACGATCATACAAGAAACATAATTCTCCTTGAAAAGGACAGAGCCCGGGCCCGATTTCGCCAGGAACTGGTGCCTCGTGTCCTTCCCGATGGCCCCAGTGTTACCCCAAACGCCGCCCATGTGGATGAAGAGGAAATGCCCGGGAAAACAGGCCCAATGAGTAGCGAGAGAGATCTATTCCATCAAAATCATCATCATCATCACCTCCCCCACCGAATCCTGGAGTATCTTTTTCTCCTTTAAAGATCAACTTCATTTCCTGTCCCCTTCTGTCGACTCCCCGTCACCAACGTCAAACACGACGTCGGGCGCATCGTCATCAAAGCCATCCTCCTCGCTCTCCCCACTCGGGCTCTCGTCCCTGTAGTGGCCACCGCCCAGATCCGCGACATCGTTGTGCAGGCTGATGTCGTCCTCCTCCTCGCGCAGCACCTCGGCCGCCAAGCCCGCCTCCGGGTCGTCGGCGTACTCGCGCGCGATCTCGTCGGCGCTGCGGTGGCGGGCGGCGCCCTCGCGCTCCTGCTGCTCGAGCTCGGCGGCGCGGCGCTTCGTCTGCGAGTACATGACGTAGCCGGTGGCGGCGCCGGCGACGAGGCCGATGACGATGGACGCGTACGAGATCATCTTCGTCCGGACGTCCATCTGCTCGCCCTTCTCGGCCAGCTCGCCGATCTTGGCGCCGACGAAGACGTGCAGCAGCAGCTTGGGCGAGGCGATGGCGCCGGCGAGCATGAAGGCGGCCCAGTGCACGGTGGGGAAGGTGGCGATGGCGCCGTTGGAGAGCGAGTAGGGCAGCGGGCAGAGGCGGATCATGATGAGGAGCTTGATGCCGTCGTGCTTGAGGGTGAGGGCCAGCGCGGCGAAGCGCGAGTCGTTGGCGATCAGGCGCGAGACGAAGCGGTGCAGGACGGCGCGCGTGGCCAGGAAGGAGGCGGTGCTGCCGATGACGGTGGCGGAGGCGACGATGAACCAACTGGAGGCAGGTTATTAACTTTGTCTGGTGTTTTCTCGTGCTTGTTCTTCTGCAAGCGGGTTCCCTAGGAATACTGCGCACATGGCGTGAGTGTGAGGAAAGAGAAGACGCACCCATTAGGAAATCCGTAGACGAAGCCGGCCAGCGTCACGCAGGTCGAGTAGCCGATGAGCGGAGGGAAGCTGACAACGAATGTCATGGACCACAGGATCAGCCAGCCGGCGGGGATGTCGCGCCACTTCTTGGCGACGGGGGCCAACCAGTATTTGAAAATGTGTTCGTTGTAGACCAGGAAGAGGACACCCAGCACAAAGGAGATGATGCCAGCCAGCACCAGCAGGGCGCGCTGCAGCGGTGTCAAGCGCTTGTATATCTTCAAGCCGTGTCGCTGCAGCTTGGCGACATTGGTGCGCATACGGGCGAGGGCTCCTCCACCACGGCGGCGGCCTGCGCTCGATCCCAGTGAGCCGCGGGCAATGGAGGAGGAGCGGCGATGCCATGCAGGCTGGGGGTGGTTACTGGACGAGCCGCGTCTCTGTTCTTCGGGCGGTAGGTCGACGGGCAGCGCCAGCGCTCGCGCATCGTAGTCGCCGGAGGGTCTGCTCATGGCTGAAGGAAAGGTTGGAGGTGGTCGGGCTGCTGACGGCTGCAGGTGGTGGATAGGTCGGGAGGGTCAAGCTCAGACCAGTGCGGCTGCAGCGACTGCGGAGGGCGGTGGGATTGGCTCGGAGGGGTCGGTTAGGCGGCCATTGATGAGGGGAGATGCGGCGATGGTGTTTTGGGGCGGCCGAGGTGAGAGCGGGTTTGGTGGTGGAGTCTTGGAGTGTTGGGCATGTAAGCAGCCCGTGTCAAGCTCACCACGTCATACTAGCGGATCGCGCGTTCGGCGTCGCGCGCTAGCGTCAGGGTCGCCGGGTCCGATGCGGGCGCCGCGGGGTGCAGAAACCACCCACCACCCGCCACCCACCTCCCACTCCCCGCTGCCGTCGCCCTGACACCGCATCTGCAGTCTCCCTCGACGCCTGCAGCCGGCCGTGCGGCCCATGCCAGTCCAACCGAAGTCGACCCGCCCGAGCACGACCGGTGGTCTGGCCGCCCGCCGAGCTGTTTCATCCTGTGCCCAAGTCCATCCACGTGCGACCATGCATACAATCAAGTCCCGAGGCTGTATCACCACGTGTGCTCAACCGCAGAAATGCCTGGGCCGACAGCTGTCGATATACCATGGCTGAGATGCTGGCAGCTTGCTCTGGCCTGCCTCCAACATCCAATGCAAACCCTCTCTCCACGACGAGGCTGTCACGGACTCTCGTAGCTCTAGCTAGTGTCTTGCCATGCACAAACTTTCCAAGTGTGCTTCTTTACTTCAGAGCCGCGTGGTGCGGCCCATCTTCCACTTAACCTTGTTTTTGCTCTTAACGGCTAGCATCGCCCGGGCATCTTCCCTGCACTCTCGCCGATCTCTACACACCTCCCCATGCCTACCATTGCTTTTCTCGTCCTCCCTCCTGTTTGACTTCGGACTGCTGTCACAGGTTGAACAGTCTCTGCACCCAGCTAGCAGCACAACCTGAACGCCTGATCCGCATTCGGAACCAATCCCTCTTCTTGCGGCACCAGTGCCCTCATGCCTCCTGCGTGATCGCGTTTGAAAGACCCATCCACACCAATCACACAAACTTTGCTTGTGCTAGCATGTTTCCAACCGTCTCTGCCTCATTATCTCCGGGGTGCCATGCCAGTTCCTCATTTGATTTGAAACTTTGAAACCCCGAGGGAGAAAGTGAGATGCTGCGCAAACGTACATACATAGGCAGCTGGCAGACACTTCTCCTTTCCGACCCGCGTTGCGTCTTTCCTCTCCAGTAACCATATCAGTCTTCTCCCAAACCCAGCAGAATGCCGAAGACCTATCATTAAAACGCATTCCACACTTCATCCCTTCCTTCAATTGACCTCAAGCATCCCACCTCTCAGCCCTCTCCTGAGAACCACCAACCACCCAGAAAAACACACACAACATGCGCCACGCAACCCTCTACCACCTCCGCGCCTTCCTCCGCCCGCTCAAGCGCCGCGTCCGCAAAGGCAAGAGCAGAGCCATCCCCTGCGGCAACCACCGCCACCACCAAAGCCACTCCGGCTACAACCCCCTCCTCCCCTTCCACGACGACGACAACGACGACCGCGGACCCGAGGGCGAAGACGCCATCGAACTCCTCCCGCCCGCCCGCCCCGTCACCGACCCCTGTCTCCTCATCCGACCCACCTCCGCCCCCGGTCCGTCGCCGCCGTCGTTGTCGTCGTCGTCCCTGACGCTTGCTCCGGCGAGCGCGAGCACCTGCACCCTCGCGTCGTCGTCCCCATCCGCTTGCCATCCGTCGTTGTCGTTCTCCCCCTCCTGCACCACACCAACATGCACAGACCGTCCGGTCAGCGCCGGATGCCAAAAGAAGGAGAAGGAGAAGAAGAGCAGCAGGCGTGAGACGTGGACGAAGAGCTTGCTGGCTTTGGACTCGCTGTTCTTCGAAAACGGCGGTGACGTCGAGCGCACGACGGCGGCGGCGGTTGACGCCCATGCGGCGGCGGACGGCAAGAAGCGGCCGGGTGTGCGTGAGTCGAGGCGGGACTCGTTCATGTGGATGAAGTTTGACGGCCACACGGGCGGCGCGGTGGCGTGGGCGGATGGGGCGAGGTTGGCGGCGGGGGCGGGGTGGGGGGTGTGATGGGATATCGTGATGTGATGATGTGAGATGGGTGTGGGAAGGGAAGGGGAGGGGAGGGGAGGGAAGGTCTGGCTGTGCCCCTGTTGATTTTCCCTTCTTGTGTGGGTTTCGTTGTTGCCTGCCTTGTATATTATACGTCTTGTGGTGGGTTGGATGGACGCACCGCTAGAATAGCTATTCTTTCTTTTCTCTTTCTTTTGTTACCTTCTTACTCCTTGGAGATAGGGCTAAGCGTCCTCGTAAATACACGCCAGTGGTAAGTGTCTGCTCAAGACGTTAATTGCCCGCAACCTGCTGTCGAACAGTGAGACAGCAGGAGGAAGATCATGCCCATGACTGGTCCTTCCAGACGAGCGCCGATGCAGTGAAGATGGATCACCACGTCCTCTCTTGCGCCCTTTGCTCTCTCACGTAGAAATGAAAAGTGGATTCGAAGTGAGCAAAAGCAAAAGGGAAAACCCGCTTCCATGCCGTTCTGGTCCAGCCCGCAGGACACGCGGCGACCACCCATGTCTTTTCGACAGCTAGATAGTACTTGGTTCGCATACTGCACTTCACCTCTCACAAGCCATCCCTGTCCGGTTCCGTCAGCACGCTCACCTCGCCTCATCTCAACGAAGAACGAACTCCACATACAATGACTCCACAAATATCCAACAGAAGAGGGAAAAAAAAAAGAAAACTCCTCTACCAATCCAAATAGAATGCTTCTACGCGTGTCAAAGAAGGAGCTGCACGGACATCCACCCATGAACTTGCAACGGAGAACCACAAGTTCCATCTCGTACCGCGATCTACCTCCTTTTCTTCTTCCCATCCCATCCCATCCCATCCCCTCCAACCAATCCAAACCCAACCCAGCACCACCCCCAAACCTACTAATATCTAATACCCCCTCTCCCTATCCACCACATTCAACAACCTCTCCCCCGCCTCCTTCCGCCCCAGATTATCCTCCAAGATCTGCAGGCTCCGCGGCACATAGCTCGCGCCGTTCCCGCTGATGTGCGGCGTGATGGTGACGTTGGGCGCGCTCCACAGCGGGTCGTCCGCGGGCAGCGGCTCCGGGTCCGTCACGTCGAGCGCGGCGCCGCCGAGGACGCCGTCGCGCAGCGCGCGCACCAGGGCCGGCTGATCGACGATCTGGCCGCGCGAGATGTTGACGAGGACCGGTCCCTTGCCGCCCTTGGAGGGGTCGCGCCACGGCTTCGCGGAGGCGTCGTCGTCGTTCGAGTCGGACTTCTTCCCTCTCGACAGCACCGCGAACTCGTCCTCGCCGAGGAAGCCGCGCGTCTGGTCCGTCAGCGGCACCGACACGAGCAGGATGTCGACGTCCTGGGCGAGGAAGTCGTGGAGCGACGCGCGGTCGAGGCCCGAGTACCAGGCCTGCGGGATGGCGCCGTCGGCGTCGCCCGTGCCGGGCACGATGAAGCCGCGGTCGCGGCGCTGGGCGGGCGTGTCCTTGGGCGTCGCCGTGTAGGCGAGGACCGTCATGCCCATGGCCTGCGCGACGCGGGCGACCTGGCGGCCGATGCTGCCGTAGCCGAGGACGCCGAGGCGCTGGCCGACGAGGTCGTGGACCGTCTGCGAGGGCGCGTACTTGGCCCAGCGGTGCTCCTTTTGCGCGTCGTGCAGGTCGTTGTAGAAGTGGGTGCGGACGAGGGTGGTGAGGAGGACCCATTCGGCGATCTGGTGGGTTGGGGTTAGGATGGTTGGTTTTCCTGCTTGGGTGGGGGTCTGTGGTGGGTGGGCTCACCTGGGGCCCGTGGATGCCGCTGCTCGTGGTGATGATGATGTCGGAGTCGGTGTAGATGGGGTGGTTCTGGATGTGGTTGCTGCCGGCGCTGAGCAGGTGCATCCACTTCAGCTTGGGCGCTTCATCCAGCGTCTTGGGCAGCGCGTTGAACGTGACCAGGATCGTCTTGTCTGCGAAGACCTCTGCGGGAATAGAATGGAGAGAGCGTGTCAGCCGGGGTGAAGGCCCATGTTTGCAGAAGAGAGAAAAACAAAGGAAAGACGGGGGTGTCAAGAACAGGAGGGGGATGCTTGCGCTGCAGCCACACCTGACGGGCGCGCCCTGACTGACCGGCAGCCTACATGCAGTATCTGTATATATCTGCGCAACCTCGCACGACAGACAGAATGCGGCTGTAGACACGCGCGCACCCGGTGTGCATGCCGGAGCAGATGCAAGCCGAATATCTCCGCTCCGGATCTGCAACCCGGTTCGGACTCGCAGGGGATTGGACCAGGAAGAAGAAAACAAAGCAACGCTGTAAGAAAAGCAGGCGGCTCCGCCGAGCACTTCGGGAGGAGTGATTGATCCTTCCCGCACTGCTCGACGCAGATCGGGGGCATGTTCTCCACCAAACGTCCAAATGCGGACACTATACGAAAAGGAAGGACTGAGGAGACGAAAAAGACATACCCTTGGGCACCTCGGAACTGTGCGCATTGTCGAGCGGGTAGAACTCGACGTCGACGTGGGGGAACTTGTCCTTCAGGCGCTCCAGCAGCCCGGCCGGCAACTTGCCCGGCAGCGCCACCAGGATCTTCTCGTGCAGAGCCACCGGTCCGCCGCCCATGGTTGCGTTGGACACTATCTTGGCTTTGTAGAGGCCGTTGCGACACTCGGCAGCGGCAACAGCAAGGTGCAGTAGTGGGGGCGGTGGTGATGGGCCAATCAAGCGCCGCTGAGCGACGACGGCGACAACGGCAGAATGATCGGGACGAGACAGACGACCAATGTCCAGCCGGACGAAGGGAATCCAACGAGGAAGGCGACGAAGGAGGACGAGAAGGGGAGGGGGTTGTAGGAGCAAAGCTGGAGAAGGGCGAGTCTTAGAAATCAACGTTGGGTGGGATGGAACGCCGGAAGCCGCCCCACACGCACCCGCCGCCCATGACGTGCCAGCCTGTGCCTATGTCGACACGGCGCGCGGAAGCCAGCACTGGCTGCGACGACTCCCGGTACCTATCGTGCTGTGTTGTATAGAGCGTGAAGACGGCGCAGTATGGCGCAACGGCGCAATGGCCTGGAATGCACCTCCGCCGACGGCGAGCGAGCAAGCCAATGCCTGCGGGAGCCTCGGCACTTTCCTTTTTCGTGGGGTATAGTGTCTGCTAGGTCCCTCCTTCCCGTCCCGGACAGACGATTGCGCGCATCACACCCGTCACTCCTGCCCGACTGCCGAAAGAGATCGTGTCGCCGCACTGACTCAATCCTCTTCGATCGTCCCGGCCGGCTGGTTGATCCTCAGTATTCCAGCCCGAGTAGGGATTCTTGACGCAGGAATCGTCTCCGAGACCTATAACGCTCAGCAACTATTGGAACACGTTCATCGTGGAAACGATTGATTCTGTCTCTCGATTCTCTTCTTCTCGCCCATTACGTAGTCACTCAAGTTCAGCGAGAGTGTAGAAACGGAAGACCAGCTGCCCATCACACCCACCCCTCCTCATGATCCGACTGTAAACTAGAGAGCGAGAGAAGTAGGAAATCTGCCAGCTGCCAGGCAGAAAACGGGTATAAGAAAACATCATGGGCCAGACATAAAAAAAAGAAAGTCCATCCCTTGGCCATCGCCAGTGCGCCATTCCATCTGAAACCGCTCGCTATGAGTTGAAGGAGATGCGTTACGAGGGGGTCATCCTCTTTCTTATCCCTTTGTCCGGTTTCACCAAATCCCAACCATGTACTGCGCATTCCCTTCCCTTTTTGGAGGCCCTGGAAGACCCTTCCGTGATACCGTCGGTACTCCATCCCAAAAACTACAATAAACAATGCTCCGGGGCGTATGAATGCGAATACAGACTTTGCACTGAATCGACTTTTGTTTGAGCAAGACGCCATGCTCCCTCCCAGTCGCCTCGAGACGCTCCTCCTGCGTCATGTTCTCGCCTTCGCGTCGTCGTCATCCGAGTCGTCTTGGACAGGGTGAAGTCCTAGTCCACCCCTTGCGTGTGTGCTCGCCGGATCCCAGTCGTACCGGCTTCCTGTCGACGTTGGAGGCCGAGGTGTTGAGAAGCTTTGTGATGGGCTGCGATATTGCCGTTGCACCTCCTTGCCAAAGTAGTCCGGCGTGTGTTGCCCGCTGAGAGGGCTGCCGTACGCAGCTGACGGACTCGTTACACTCGATTCCGGTGTCTTCAGGGCTGCCATGCTGCTGACGTACGTCTCGCCGCTGGGCGTCTGCATGGTGCTCACGTAGCCAGGAGACTGGCCGCCCACCTTGAGCAGCTCAAATGTCCGTGCGTCCGACGAGAACCGGCGCGCATCGAGCGAGACGAACTCGCGGTTGCCCGTGAACTTCTCTTGGAGCCATCTCTTCCAACCAGTCAACATCGACCCTCGGAAAAGGAGAAGGAAGCATTGCACGCCAGCGAGCTGTGTCTGTCAGCGGGCGTTGAATTTGCCAACACAAAGGATTCCACACTTACCGCGAGCATGACCAGAACAGCCGTCACTGTAGCCTGGTTCACAAGCATGCCCTGCGCCATTTCGAAGCACTTATCCTTCTCAGTAGGGTTATGCACGAGGCAAAGCACCCAAGGCAGCGCCTGCACCGGATCATGCAGCGCATCGTGTTCCTGCGTGTCGAGATAGACGAACACTACCGAGAAGAAGATGACGTCGATCAGGATGAACACGACGATAAGTATGCCGCGCCATTGGAGCCAGACCACCTTTTTGACTCTTCGATACACGGCCTTGGCCGAGTTGGTGCGAGTGCGTAAGCTCGAAGTGTAGGATGGAAGGCCGGCACTGCTTTGCGTCTGCGTCTCGTCGTCGCTCCAGAGGCTCTTGAGGTACACGTTGATACAGTACGTGAAGGTCGAGAGTTGGACAACCGCTGACAGTCCGGCGATGCCGAGCAAGGGGCCCCAGAAGTCTGCCAACGAGTTCTGGGAGTTGACGTGGCAGGCATCCCCGAAGCGGAAGGATACCCCGGTTATGGTGATGGTAGTGGTGAACAGACCGGCGATGACTGCCCAACCTAGCGCTTGAGAGCCGTAGAAGAACTTTTGCCCTGGAGTGATGTCCCAGCAAATTTGGAGATGCATCGACAGTGCTCGAATGAAGACTGGCAAACCATGTCAGCGCGCTGTCAACTGTCAACCCACAGACGGGACAGGTGGCACCTACTCCAGACGACAATGGAAAGACCTCCTGCAATGATGAATGCACCAGACCAAGCGCACTCGAGACTCGTGTACATATCGTGCGGGGTGATCTCGTCATAGCATTGATCTGGCTGTGTGCCGAAGGGGATGATGAACCCGAGCTATCCGTTGATCAGTCACCACACACCAAAGGACATGCATGGCAAATCTCTTACCCCGAGACTCATAGCACCAAGAACCAGACCGACGCTCAGATAATGCCGCCGTGTCTCCTTGGGAGGCAGCACAGCCCAGCTGATCATCAAAAACAGGCATACCACAAAGCTGATGAGATTGAGTCCCTCGGCGACACGATAGGAGGTGGTAAATGCTGTCCGACGTGTGAGAAGAGCTCATTGGGCTTCGGATGGCTGACTTACTGTTCGAGTAAATCCAGTCAGTTGCAGGGCATGGCAGACAACACTTGAGGTCAGAGTCAATGTCAGAGAGGCTGGCGCAGAACCTGCCATCGACAACTGCAGGCCATCAGCATGGTAACAGTTCGAGGAATTCTGAGGGAGGCGTACACCCGCCATTGCCGAATCTGGCCTCGTTCAAGAAAGGTGGTGGACATGCTAGAGACGAAGTGTTCGCCATTTCCGCCGCGCTCGTTTTTACTTTGGCACGACCATCCAGTGGTGGGTCACAGATGTATGTCCGACGATATAACAACAAGAATTATCCGAGCACCCAAGCGAGGATGCAAAGAGAGTGATGCAAGCGGCGATATGGGAGGGTTGGCCGGGGATTGTGACACAGAGATGCCACACGATACGGAAGTGAAGAAGGCGCGGGCGGGACGAGGGGCGGATATGATACTATCTTATGCGGGTGATGAGACGACCGTGCGGATAGTCTTTTTTAGAGCCCGGGCACGGGGTCCCAAAAGGGTGTTTGAAACGTGTGACGCAGGGAGCTCAACAAGCCGAAAAGGGCTCGGGCCAGCAATGGTAGCGTTTTGGGCGGGCAGCAGGGCACACGATCGACGGGCTCGACGGCGGGCAAGGAACGGCGGGAAACAAAGCAGAGACGGAAGGGAGCAGCAGCCGGCGCGTGCAAACGAAGCGGGCGGCGTGACTTTCATGTAAAGTCGCAGAGGAAAGGCACAGCCGGAGCTGGGCGTCAGCTCTGGAAGACGGAGGACTAGCCGGCAGGGAAGAAAAGGCTCCCAATGGCACGGCAACCCCTGCAGCAGGCGATCCTGTCCCGAACCCCCCCTGCGCGCGAGGCCTGTCGGAGGCGCGGTGACGACCATGGGTGTCTCGGGCAGGATTTGCAGGCACGCGTCGCCAGGCAGGTAGGTCTCTGGGCGGCCGCCTTGGCTCGTGTGCGCCTGCGGCCACAGATCACCGGCGCGTGCACAAGCCGGTGCATCGTGGCGGCGCTCCGAGAGGCTAGACACCAGCGGCGGCCAGTGTTTTGCTAACTGCCTCGCCGCCGGCTGGGTCCACACTGCCGACAGCTGCAGGCCTGCAAGCGGCATAACGCCATGGGCGTGCGGGGGCCTCGAGGCGCGGCGCCGTGTCATGGGAGTGGGTGCGGCGGCGGCGGCCATGATTTGCGCTCAGCCGGGCCGGGCTGCTGCGCTGCTGCTGCGCTGCTGCTGCTGGCCATTGATGCCGCCGGGGAGCTGGCGGCGGCGCGGACGCGGCGGCCTGATCGTACGAGGAGAGGGTTGGTGGAGGTTGACGACGGACAAGACGGGCGTGCGGGCGTGCTCTGGTGCCTGGCACGCTACGGCACGGCTGTGAGTGGCCAATGCCGTGGGCCGGCCGCTCGTGTGCCACTGCCTGTGACCTCACAGGTACACACGGTCTTCTCCGGGTTGGGCTGGCTGTGGTATCTGCTTGGTCGAGGCCGGGCAGCGCGGGCGGCGGGCAAGCGCGCGGCGGGCCAATCGACGGGCGCTTCGCGGGTACCTGAGTGATCTCCACGCCTGTTCGCTGAAGCCCGCCATCCTCTTCTCCACACTTCACCTCCAAATCACACGCCGCTGCGCCGCTCAGCAGTCGCCGTCCGGCACGGCGCGGCTGCGCGACAAAGGTTCTTCATCCACCCGGCACCGGTCTCGCAAGCCCCGCCCGGCGCGCTGCTGCTTTTGTCGCGGCGCCATTCTGATGCGCCCGCCGGTGCTGGACCACGCCCGCTGAGTCGCGCGTCCAGGCACCGGCCCCCGCGCGCCTCTGCTCATTAATAAAATAGTGCCGCCCTCGTCCTCGCCCCCGTCACGCAGTCACGCCTCCTGCTCGCCGCCGGACACGGGGATTGCGTCAATAGTCCCGAGCCCTGCGTCGGGCGAGCCTCAGCCCCGAAAAGACGTTTCACGCGCCGCTGCCGTCAGCCTGGCCGGGGCCCTATCAAGAGGGAAGGTCGCTCTCCTGCCCGGTCGGAATCCGCGGCTGGCCGTGACGCAAGGCCAAGAGAGCTGCGCCGCCGGCCATGGCAAGCGCAGAGCCCACGTTTCCAGAGCTGTTCTGCCGGGTCTCGGCGGCTGGCTGGGCGCATCCATGGAACGTTTCGAAGGCGGCAAAGTAACGTTTCACGCGACCAAAAGTCCCGAGCGCCATCGCACCGCAGCGTGCACAACTAATAATCCGTACCTCAGCGCTCACGACTCGACTCCAGCCGGCGCGGCCAGACGGACGCGCCCGAAGCGGCCGTGGCATCCGTAGCATCATGCGAGCGACTCATCCTTCTGTGGGACCAAGCTGTGTCAAACTGGCCCCCTATGCGGTCGCCTCCGCCCCAACGTCTATCGCGCCTCTCCCTCTTGCCTATACCGGCCGGGTTGCTCATGCCCGCCCGCGCTGCTATCTGCCATCTTATCGTGGCTGGCCGGCCGGGAGCTGCGTGCCTGACGCGGTGATCGTCACCGGCCACGGCCTTGCTGTCTAGCCCTCTGCAAATTAACCCCACACTCTAAATCGGGCAGTCTTCGCGCTGGGCAGATGATGGATTCGTGCACGGCACCGGCGTCGCATCGACCGGTCTGCTCGGCATCAACACCAATACGGTGCTTGCTTCTGCTAGGCAGAAACACAGTCGAGGCAAGGCGTGAGGCAGCAAATTTCGGTACTGCTTCAGCCCGCTCGCTTCGACTACCTACGCCAGAAGACTACCGGCCTTTGGTGCCTGGAAATGGCACTCAGCGCCTAGTCCCCGCAGCCACAACCAGACTTGCGGTGCTGATATACCTACCATCTGACAGAATTCAGCAACACAGTAGTAGTGACATGACTCCCGTCCATCCCCTCCGTTTTTGGAACCGAAGGTGCCGAGTACCACGCCGCAGGAACCGCCCCACGTCGTGCCCCGCTACCGGTCTACTTACGCAAGCCCTCGTCGTCGACCTTTATCCCCCACGCAGCCGTCGGGGCATTGCTGAGACGGCCTCTCCTTTTTGTCACGGCAGGTAGACATGCGCATGCGCAGCACGACGGGCAGAGATGACGACCAGGGCGCGATTTTGCCGACCAGGCGATGATAAACCCCAATGGGGTGTTTCGTTCGCCGCCTCACATTTTGCGAAGCCGCGGCGCGGTCCGACCACTCAAGCAAACCATTGTTCTGAAGCCTGACGCCGGCAAGCCGTTTCCGTGCTAAGTGCAGCAGCACGGTGCACGATGACGCTGGTTTGTGAGGGGATTTCAAATGGCGGCGCGGTTGGGGTGAGGGTGGTGGATAAATCGGAATGAGGTAGGCAGCCTCATCATCAGCCAGCCGTGCCCAGGTGAGCAACTCCTCGCGACTGCCCAGCAAGGGCCAGTTCCTGCAGTGTGTGAGTGGCCCTCGACCAATCATGGCCGCGGCATGCACTGCAGGCAGGGGCGTGTATATGCATCAGGCGGCTAAGGCAAATCGAGCAGATGCATCCGCGCCGCGTCTTGCACATGCACGCTACTGTGCGGAGACCAGAACGACTTTCTCACAACCCCAATTGTGCCGTCGAGCATTGCACTATTCGCGGGCGTCGCGGGCGTCCGAGGCTTCATCAGTCGGCCGCGGCGGCAGGGCTAGGGCCGGGTGTGGCTCTCCCCTCCCCCCCACTTTGCGTGCGACAACAGCTGCCAGAAGCGACCTGGTCTCTCCCGCACCCCTGCAGCCACCCAGCCGTTGGCGCCGCCAGCCCGTTGGCCCGCCCATCGCTTCCATGCATGTGAAGGCTTCGCCGACATCAGCGCGCTTTGTCACGGAAAAAAAGCAACTCAGCCCGTCTTCCTGCCCAAGCGATCTTCATGAGTTGTTGGGGGCCGGATGTGGGAACTTGATCATCGACCTCCTAGCCAGTGCTCAACACCGACCAGCCGGTCCTGGCAACGGACCAACAACACTATCGACGGCTGTCCTTAGATCATCCCCACCGTCGGGGAACCACGTGGTCGATATTTGCTGTCGGGCCTCGCACGCGGTAAGTGCTCGTTGAATTATTACCGTTACCATGGATTGCCTGGCTTTCCATTGCCATGACCCAGCGAAGCTTGACTTTCGCATGCTGGCTTGTTGCACACCTTGCGAGTCAAGCCAACATCGTCGCGCCCAACGGTTCAGAAAGCCCTGTCTCACCCCCGGAAGTATAATCCACTTAAGCCCGGCGTACGAGCTCTTCCGCACCCTTTCTCGACTGCACTAAGAAGTATTGACAGACGCAGCGATGCGCATAACCTCTGGCACAGTGCAAGCCTGCTCACCAGCTGTCTGATGATACTGGCCTGCTATGACCACCAGGAAGGAGCGCCTGATTCTCTTGTCGTAGTCATGGCGTCGCAGCCTCTTCTAACGACACAGCAGTACATTCCTCACGACATATTGCTGCCGGCTGCCGGTTATGCATTCGCAATGTTTGAGCATTACACATTCACAGACCTGAAATCAAAAGGCTTACACTCGTCTCCATGGATGCCGACTCTCCTCTTGGCGCGACGAAACGAGGATTGATCACGCACTTCTCCACAAATCCCAGACGCGAGATGAGCCGTTGGTGGCCAGCTGAGGCATTCCATAACCACGGCGAAGGGTCACAAGGGACCCGTAGCGAGATACTGAGGCACGGATGCAGCCATGATGGCCTTCTGCTTCTCTAGAGCTTCCGTAAAGGCCATCATCAGCGAAGTCGATGTTGTTGCCCTCGCCGCCCTGAAAACCGCTTTCAGCCAGCCTTGCATGCAAGATGACCCTGATCAATGCATCTTCATGCAGCACCCCCTGCCCCGCCTCGCGCACCGAGCAGTACATACATCCAGGCCATCTTCTCGACAGGGAGCTACGCCGTCTTCCAACCCTAACACTACCCACTAACGGCAATGCTCCTAACGCTGCCTTGCCTACACTTCAATAATTTCACTCGGCGAGGGAAAGCAAAAGGACCCATGGACCAAAGCCCCAACGCTCAAGCAACCAATTTAGCCACGCTATCGAGCAATCAACACTCTCGAAATGCACGTCGACGCATTCTGACTATTTGTTTGGCTTCGTATACGCGTGGTCATTTTCGTGCAGTATTGCCCTACCTCTTTGCTTTTTCCTCTCTCCAGACCCTGGAAATCGCTCCAGGCATCAACTTTCTACCGGGTTTTCTAATCTGCAAGACCGGACCGTTGATCGCACCATCTAGATTTCCGTACACAATAGTTGGTGGGTAAGCGGGTCCAGCTTGACTCGCATCAACGTCGATTACAGCCTATCACGGAATCCAGACATATTCAATATTTGGATGGGGCATGCAAGAACTTGAGGGCTACAACTCAGGTGATCTCTACAATATCGTCTATTGCCACGTTTGACGCCGGCCTACCATACCGGGCAAGGAAAGGGTGATGGATCTCGGAATCACAGCTGCACCTACTTACGGTAAGCGAGAATACGAATAGAAAAGGAAAGAGAGCAAGCATACGGAGAACCACGTCGACGCAAGCCCTCTTCAGTGCCCCACCATACGCTACACGTCTCGGAATCGAGTGACAGTGGTGGTAGTAAGTCTGCATACGTTGCAAAATGATGGCTGAACGACAACAGGCGCGATGGGCCCTGGTACCTGTCGGCCGCCGATCCCGATTGTCGGAGCTACCTCAGCTCTGGTACGTAAGCTTTCACATTTCGAAGCCTCCTCCATTGCCCATTCGCCCACCCGCCCACCAATTGCCCCTCCTCTAATTCCCTTTTCCCTAGTATCACGGAAGACCGCACACCCGACTCGAAGCACTCTTTCCTATAGATTAGCCGACCACCCGACGACCCACGCATACGAAACTCTCTAAAGAAAAGTGCACGGTGGCACGTGCCGAGCAAACTTCTTCAACGTCTTCGACCGGTGGGTTTTGCGTTTTGACGGAAGCCAGGTTAAAATCTCTTGTAAATTTACTTTCAGTTTGGAAGCCCGAAGAAGACCCAAGACCGGCGATCGCAGAACCGTCGTTGGCCGACGCAAAACATCTGTCAAACGCAAAATCCGTAGGTAGGTATCCCGTCGAAGACGCTGAACAATCATGATGCGAGAGAGAAAATAAGGGGCCAGCCGACCGGCTGGTCTCGGAAATGGTGTGAGGCGAGGTGCGGCAAACGAGTCTCTCGAGTCAGGGCAAACGGGCGTTATTTTCAACGGTTGGTGGATCTTGTTTGATCGCGATCTCTCTCTCTGTGTGTCTCTCGCTCTCTTTTTTTTCCCTCTCGCTTCTTGTCTTGGTGAGCGACTCGTCACGTCGTCAATAATACGGCGGCCCGACGGCATTGCACAGCCGCACGCACCGATCAGGTTGTGTGGCGCAGTGAGGATGCGCCGAGCGGTCCGCGCGTTTAGGCGCGCGGCGACGACGACGACGTTCTCGACCGTCGCCATGGCGATGCCTATGCGAGGGGTGGCGATAACTTGTGGAGATCATTTTTTTCGGAGTCGGCGAGCCCGGGTTGATGGGCAGGAGAGGGGAGGGGATTTCGGTGCTTCCGGCGTGTGGCGCGTCGAGGAAGGATGCGAACCGGGTATCGTGGGTGATACGAGGGCAACGAAAATGAGTATACGGCATGGGGCCGCCACGCTGTCTATGGTAGCAGGGTTCGTTCGGAACAGCGGACGGTGGGTGTGTTTTCTCTCGGCGAGCTGTTGGAGAAGGATGGTTGGTTGGGTGGTGGGTGTTCCGCTTCCCCGTGGGACAGCTGCTGGCCTGGATTGACTTTTGTCTGGGAGCTCCCCGCTTTTGATGACGGCATGAGCGTTGAGGAGACTGCTGTGACGGTTGCTCTTGGTTGCTGTTACCTGGTCTTGGTGTCAAGGCAAGCAGCACTGGAGTGTGGCGTCTGCGGATGAAACGGTGGCTTCCGGGATCTGTCCGATCTGCTGTAGGATATTCATTGGACTAGTGATGGCCATCGAAAGTAGTAAGAGGAACGCGATCTAGCTGTCTATCACAATGAGTGGCATTGATTGAGTCTGCACATGCTTCTGCAACCGACCAAGGCCAGCTCCGTCGTGTTCGCAACCACCAGCATTGTGATGAAAGCGAAGGACTCGGCGGACATGCGCGTACACTGCGGCTTTGTCAATGCTATCATATTCGCAATCCCACAGGATTTCTACGAGGGCTGTAGCAAGGCTCTCACTGCATGTATAGAACTAGAGCATCCGCAACTCTGGGTTATGTCACACTTCCTGGACAAGGACTGAGAAGTGGACGACATTTATAGTTTATGCAACGTCGCGTATGTCCAAGATAGCATAGACTTGAGCTCCCTTCTTGAGACTCTCCAGAAGCGACTAGACGTCAGTTATCGTGACTTCGTAGGTATTTTCGGTACAAGGAGTTCAATAGGTTCGAGACTTCATGGTCATGCAGCAGGGGTGGTTGGAGGAGAAGGTAGGAAGTGACTTTGACGTGCGCATCTCGCTTTGCGGAGCTAGTATGGACTTTGCAAAGTCGTGGAAGTACACTACAATCCGCCAAAAAAAAAAAAAAATCACGGACACTTCCGCTCGTTGACGAGTTGTCACTGTACGATCATTATGCGGAGATACACAATGGTCACATGGTAAGTACGGCTAAAGTTCTCTATAAGCTGGATTGATTCTTGTCTATAGTATCCTCAAAAGTCAACGCAAATAAGTGCAGGCTCTCCTACACTGTTTAAGGGGCCTGAAGTATTAAGTGTTTCTGGATAGCATATATACTAGAACAATGCTCGGGATATATATGACTCCTCTCGAGACACCGTTCGGAAAAGCACATAGCTGGTACTTACTACAGAAGCCGGCTTGGATTTATACGTAAGCCGTAAGTTCAATCAATACGACTTTGATTAACTGTATATATAATGGCCGTTCACTTCTCGACTACGTACTCCGCTCGTATAATGCCTTCTTCGTGAACGTTTTTCGGTGTCACGAAATCAATCCATAACTGTTGCAGTGATCGATTACCAAGAAAAGATTATCCTATATACCAACTATGACTAGCGGAAGTGGCAGGGTGAGGACTTTTAGCCAATTTGTGCGACGCCATACAAGCTCTCCTGAGATCAGGGTGCCAAAAAAGAAATAAGACAGTCAAGTGCTCCTGTAACGAACTGGACCATTCGTTGTAAGTATAAGGGAATGGTCAGACAGAAGCCAGCAATGGTCCTGATAGTGGAAGAATTCTCTAGAAAAGTGACCGCTAAAGGCAAATTTGAAACTTCGTTCTCACTGCTGGTAGAGAATTGATGGATTTCTGAGACCTTCTGGATGGGATGCTGGTGCTTCTTCCCATCTGTATTTCTCACATTCGACCGAAGCATCTCGATCAGACTAGCATCCGGCATCGTTCATTCCTTCCGGACAGCGAGGTATTGCGGCGGCTAGCCTTAACGGGAAGCTCTTGCTGGATCTGCCCTAACCTGGTTACGGTCTGCACTCCCGGTGAGCCGTCGGTTAAATGTCGATACCACGGTTATGACATGCAGCCTGTCTCACCAGAGATACTGCACCCTACCTCCCTGCATGGGTAGCTGAAACCCACATCCGGATGTATCTGAATGAATTTGATACCCGCGTCTTTATCCGGGTGTTTGCTGCAACTACCCACACAAGAAGTGTATGATTTTTTTTTTTTTTGGAAAGTGTGTGTTAAGTGGTAGTCTTAAGCATCCCTTGCCATGGGTCTGGCATTAACAGTACTATTTTCGATCCAAGGGCTCAGTCACGCAATTGCAACATGCCCGGGACGGGGCTCGGTGAAGACATTGAATGGGTCCGAGGTCAACTCGGAAGGTGTCTGAATTCCATAGTCGTACATTTTCCGCCCTCCATTCTCTTCAGGCTCTTGCTAAAAGGCGGAAGGTGTTTGGCTTTTCGATTAACATTCTGCGCCCTGCAACAGACGCTGCCGCTGTTGCTCCGACCAACTAACGGAAAAGACGGCTGACCATGTTGCTCGCAATGCTCTTCGCAATTCCACCCGAGTACAGCGCGTTTCCAGCGAAGTTGGTGGCCTGGCTGAACTTGTCGCACCGCGAGAAGGCCAGAGTGTTCGTAATGGTGAGGACGAGGGCAATGACTGTCATGACACAAAAAGGTCAGCAACTCGGGATGCCAAATCATATACCAAGCCGGCTCCGGGGTTCCGACACTTACCAACCAGGGTCAACCAGATGAATTCAAACTTGATGATGGCAACGATGGCAAGTGCGATCCACAGCGCGGGCTGGACGTACAAGCTCAGCCAGAAGAAGCGCTTGTCGGTGGCGCTGATCTGGCGAGTCTCGGGGTCGGCACTTTCGAAGACCCAACGGCCATCGCCCGTGGTCGTGTCCACCTCGTTCCACCAGCGCAGCCCCACCAGTCGGCGCCCAGCAATATTCTTCAGGTAGTAGAAGTCGGCGGCAAGGAGGACGATTGTGACGATGAAGACAAGGACACTGAACCACAGTTGTCAGCCTTCAGGAAACGCGCACGGGCTCGGAGCGGTCGTGAGGGGATCAGCGCTGAGGCTTACAAGTTCTTGGTGAACCACATGCCCAGAATGTAGACGAGCGGGCTTGCTAGAAGGTGTCAGTTGCCGGTTGGCTGCCGGGGGGGAAATAGAGCTCACCAATGCGGAAAGCGAGGAAGGAGAGGAGAGTGATGGGGTGGCTGCTGAGGCGCCAGTTGAGTTCGCCCTGCTGCGGGGCGGGCTGGCTCTCCATCTTGAGGGTGGAAGCGCAGTAGTGTCTGTGGTGGTGGTGAGAGTGGTGAAGCTACCACCTTGCGCCTTCGCCGCGACTCGTTCCACAGGCCGCGTCGGCGTTTCAGAGCTCGGTGCCGCCGACTCCCGCGCGCACGGCCCCAAGACCTAACAGGGTGACGTACGCGGGGAAAGCTCCATGCCCGAGGGTAGCTTCTCTTTTCGCTTCTCCATCTTCGATTTGCAATTGAGTTGCACCACCTTCTTCACCACACTCGCCGAATCCCGGTGCTAAATCATGGCGGCACCAATCATCCGCCGCGCACTCTTATACGGTACATGGCCTCTCGCAGCTTTCTGCAGCTTGCCGACTCTGACAGCTGCGCCTTGACAGTGCCGGGCTCGTCCCAGAAGATGCTCGACAAGTCGCGCGGCATAGCTAGTCTTGACACTGTCGCCTACGACCTTGAAGACTCGGTGACGCCTGGCAAGAAAGCCGAGGCCCGCGCCAACCTCCGCCAGCTGCTTGAACAGCCCCGTGTGCCGGGAATCCGCGAGCAAGCCGTGCGCATCAACTCTGTCGACAGCGGTTATGCTTTGGATGATTTGACCGAAGTGGTACTGACTGACCCTGCCTTTCCTCCCCAAGAACACATTTTAACGGCTCCCTCTCCCCCGTAGCTCAAAGCCCCCAACCTCGACGCCCTAGTCATCCCCAAAGTCAACTCCGCCTCCGACCTCCACTTCGTCACCGACGTGATCCGCCACACGCTCCCACAACGCCACCCCTCCACCCCTCCCGCCCAACCACAACCCCACCAACCCCAACCGCTCCGCCTCATCGCCCTCATCGAATCCGCCAAAGCCCTCATGGACCTCCCCTCCATCTGCCGCTCGACCCCCTACCTCTCGGGCCTCATCTTCGCCGCCGAAGACTTCGCCCTCGACCTCTCCCTCACCCGCACGCCCTCCCTCCGCGAGTTCCTCTACGCCCGCTCCGCCATCGTCACCGCCGCCCGCGCCCACGCCCTCCCCTCCGCCATCGACCTCGTCTGCACCTCGTTCCGCGGCGACGCCGGCCGCCAGGCCCTGCGCGACGAGTGCGCCGACGGCAAGGCCCTCGGCTTCACCGGCAAGCAGCTCATCCACCCGGGCCAGGTCGACGTCGCCCACGCCGCCTTCGCCCCCGCCCCGGCCGAGGCCGAGTGGGCGGTGCGCGTCGTCGTCGCCGACGAAAAGGCCGACGCCGCCGGCCGCGGCGCGTGGACGCTCGACGGCAAGATGGTCGACAAGCCCGTCGTGGGCAAGGCGGCGGCGGTTGTGCGCATGGCGGAGCTGTGCGGGACCGATGTCGCCGCGTTGAGGGAGAAGTGGAAGGGCCAGGAGCCCGAGTAGTAGTGGCTTGTGATCGGCATGGAGAAATAAATCAATTTCTTACGAATACACCTACCTCAAAGGGAGTGGCGGTGGGATGTCTGGGGCTCTGAGTGCGCAACGGCGTCTTCAGTAGTAGATGGGGAAGTCAGAAAGGCAGACGCAAAGGTTGACAACAGCTGATCTTCTTGTGCAATGCCTGCAGGCTTTTTTTGTTTTGCCAGACTCTGAGTCAATATGCTTCTTTGAGGCAGACGCATCAACGCCTGTACCTTGTTGTATTTGCCCTGTCTGCGGTATCAAGTGCATTTTTTCACGGGAATGACAACGGCGAAACTTACATATAGTGCAATATAGTACCTAACACCTACCCGAAGCTGTGTGTAAAGGTCTGAACGAGGCAGGGCTCAAAGCTTCAGTCAACTAGACTTCAAGGAGAGAACCGTTAAGAACGAAAGTCCACAGCAGCAGAGAGCAACAGAGTCAGGTGGATGCAGCAGGAACCAAGGTTGGGTGATCGAAACGTGCTTTTTTTGTTTGACGTGTAGAGCGGTCGTCATTCTACCAACAAAAGAGAATAAACTCTTTAAGAAAGAGGCATACCTCTACACACATCAACACACTTTGTCCGTTGTTTCACCAGCAAAGAAAAAAAAAGAACAAAAAAAAACAGAGATGAGAAAGGAAAAGTGGGAGTACGCTCTACTCCACAATTTCTCTGGGCGCCTTGTCTGTCTATCTTGCAAGCCAGGCGTGCGCCTTTTCTCCAGGAGACAAAAAAAAAAAAATAGGAATAAAACATTACAAGTCGCCCGGCGTCCTGTACGTACGCTTTGCTCCCCTAAGAGTAAGTTTTTTGGGGGGTAACGAGTATGAGGTTGAAAGTAAAAGGAGGTCCAGTCTCGTCGTGATTCGGAATCAGGTTGGAAAAGAGGAAAAAGCAAAAACAGAACAGCTAGAAAAGAAAAAAGAACAGAATCAGAGATAGAGAGAGTGATATCAAACGAATGCCAAACGATGGAAGGAGTTCGCCCATGTAATTCCACCGCAAACCGACCACCATCACAACCAACCGAAGCATCACCGTATCCACAGGTGAAAAGCAAAGCCAAAAGCAAATCCAGAAAGCAGAAACAGAAAGACCCGGGAAGGACAAAGAGAAGAAGAAAAAAAAAAAGGAGCAAAACAGAGGATTGCAGGATATGCATGAGATGCAGGATGGTTCTGGTCTACCATTGCATAGGTGAAAAGCGAAATTGGTCCACCGACCTCGAGCGTGGCAAGATGCGGAGCCCATAGCAGCAGTGGTCCTAGTAGCATTCGGTGGTGGAAACCGTCGCTAGTAAGATGCGAAGAGCCGTGGATGGTCCTAGGATCAACAGTTCCTGCATCAACACGGAGAGCAAATGTCGATAAAAGCGAACGAGTACGTCATAGCGATGACCCATTGTCGCCTCCATCAAGATACCCTCATGCCGCTGTGGGCAGCACGCAACCTTACGGACGCGAGGACTGAGCCAAGGGGCAATCATTTGATGATTCGAATGCAAATGTACGAAATCGAATGAAGAGATGAAGGCCTGAGCGTCACATGACAAAACAAAAGACGAGGAACGCGTGGCTCTTTACGCAATAGACTTCTTGCGACTGAAGAGCGCACGCGTGCGCGACTTGTCACGCGCCTTTTTGTCGGCTTCTTTTCTGGTTGAGCGACCTCTGCGGTCGTCATCCACTTCGTCGTCCTTGTACTTGTCCTTGTGGATCCTGCAACTCCTGAGTCAGAACCATCCGAAAGCGCGCATTGGGCGATTGCTTAAACTTACCAGCTGTTTCCTGCGACGCTCACGCCCTTGGCCTCGGCCATCCGGTAGAACTTCGCCGACTTCTTCAAATCCTTCTTGCAGCCAACGCCCTCGTGGTAGCAGAAACCGGCTTCGGCGAGGGCATCGCCATCGCCCCAGTTACCGGCAATCTCGAAGCAGCGAAGCGCGAGACCCTTGTCTTGCTGAATACCCCAGCCGTTCATGTAGCTGACACCCAGCTCATACACACTGACGGCGAACTGAGCTTTGTGGGTTCTCCGCTCAATCACATCAGGGCCAGGCTTGCCCTTCGTGGCAAGATCCTCGTCGTCTGCGCATTCCAGTTGCGCAGCATCAACGGCCTTGCGCAACCACTTCACGCCCTCGGACGGATTGGGGCGCATGCCCCAGCCGTGACGGCAAGCAAGAGCGTACAGCAGCATGGCAGTCGGGATTTCTGCCTTCGCAGCCAGACGCCAGTGGTAAGTTGCTTTCTGCACCTCGCCCTTCTCGTGGAATTCAATGCCTTTCTCCAAGTGCATTGACGGCGTCATGTCGGCGATGCGAGAGCCAGCCGTCACACTCGTAGCTGCACCCGAGGATGACGGGCGCGAGTGATGAGGCCTAAGAGTGCTGTTGCTAGAAACAGCAGAGGGCGACGAATCGCGAGGGATGTCGAAAGACTTGGGCTTGTCGCAATATCTGTCCGAAATGGCTGATTTCGGAGGGGATGACGGAGACGGAGGACGCTGTCCAGCACGAGAAGATGACGGTGCGCCATCCTCCCACTTGATCTGCTGTTGCATGAAGTCCTGCGGGCAAAGAGACTCCCTGTCCAGAGTCCGTCCGCGCGGCAAGGCGTACTTGGCATAAATATAGGAAGGCGCGGGGCCATCGCCATTTGCGCTCATGTAATCGTCACTTGCCATGCTGATAGGGGTGTGGACCTGCTCATATGCGTAGGACGGCAGTTGATGGCCCTCGCCATATTCCTGGCGGGACGGAGCCCGTTGGGAACCATCTCCAGAAGCCTGTCTTGAGGGGGTCCTTGCTCTTTCAAATGAGGGTCTGTGGTTCAGAGACGGCCGCAGATCCGACAACGAGGGGCGCGAGTCCAGGGATGGCCTAGGCCTGGAGAAGTTGAAGGCTGGCTTCGGAAGTCTTTGGCTGTTGTAGGAGCACTCAGACGACACGGAAGGCGACCGAGGGAGAGACGGTGCATACGGAGATGCAGGAGAATGGGATCTGGAATAGCTCGTGTTCGAAGAGAGCTGGCGGGGAGGCAGAGAATCGAAAGATCCGCCCAGCGACATGCCCTCGACATCATCACCGCTGTCATTTCTGACTGAACGGATGGTCGGCGATACTAAACGCGGCGAGCGAGCAGGGCCTGGCGATCTGGGAGGCATCAAGCCTCTACCATCTGATCTTGCAGAAGCAGTCGATTCCAGAGTAGGGGTCCTTTGCGGACGCGCGCGGAAAGCCTGTGCGGGGCCATACTTGGTCTCTGGTGTGTTGGGAGTGGCCTCTTCAACGCGAGTCTCTACCGGAGGCTCTATCGGCTCCGGGGATGCAGCACGAGGAATTGTGAAGTAGTCTCCAGGGTCTTGGGCGTTGGGCGGAGTGCGCTCTTCCTCGCCAAGCGGCGAGAGTTTCGGGTCGTATTGCGACATGGGTCCGCCGAACTCGTCCGAGATTGTCGGGTACTGGGACATGGGTCGGTTGACGGGCGTGACCTCCTTCGCGCTCTGCGGCGTGGGGTGCTCATCCTCGGGCGAGCGTCCGTCGGAGCCTTCGCGCTCGGCGGAGTGCGAACGGTAGTAGCCCTGCGGCTGGCGCTGGCGTCCAAATTGATTCTGGATGGTCAGAGGGGGCAGTCTGCTGATGCGGCGGCCGTTTTTCTCCTCCTCAAACCTCTTGGCCAAGAGGCGCGACTGCATCGCAAAGGCATCGAGCGGCGACAGCGCGGGCGGCACCTCGCCGGTGCGCGGCGACGGCAGGTCACCGAGGAATTGCATTTGGCGCGACCTGTTGGACTCCTGCGAGCCGGGCCGGAGATCCAGGTCGTTGGGGCGGTTGGAAGGCATTGCGGCGCTGCGGAAATGCGGAGATGCGGGCGCAGCGAGGTACGGGCGGGTGGCGGCTCAGCGCGGCGAGAAGGCGACGGCAGCGACGGCGGCAGCGGTGGTGAGGATAAGCATGCGACTTATGCGAGAGGCGGGCGGGGAGCTCGCAGCGACGCTAGTCGTTACGTGGGCGCGGGCTCCGGAACCGTGAGGTACGAGGGCGCGTTGAGCATAGGTGTCTCGTGAAAGAGGCTGAGCAGCTGGTGGCGATGGAACGGCGCGGGTCGAGCTTCGTCTTGGGGGGTTTCAGGGATGCGTTGTGTTGGAGATGGCGCAACACATCAAGCTCACACCGATTGCAAGGAACGACAGAGGTGGGAGGCAATGGTGTGGTGAGACACGCGCGGCTAGGCCATCAGGACGGCGATCGCGCAACAGCAGCCGGAGTACGGGTGGGAGAAGGTGTGGAGGGCGGCGATGGAAATACGAGTTGCAATAGGAGGGGCTTGGCACGGCGAGGGCACGGCGAGGGCACGGCGAGGGCACGGCGAGGGCGCGGCGGGAGCGCAGGCCGTTGCTGCGTCGGCCGTTTCGGGTACGTGCGACTCCCTGCTGGACGGGGGCGCGGCTGCTCACGACTCAGCGCATGAAGCGAGTGGACGAGCGCTGGCAGAGCACAGCACACGGAGATGGTTTGGCGGAGCAAAGGCGCGCGGTGATCGGCGAAGGCAGAGTCGCTGGTCCCTGCAGGCGCGCACCTGCCGTGCGAGTGCCTGGCGCCCCTGCCAAATTGGTCTGCCCGATATAACACCACGCTAGCCCGCTTCCGGCATCGACCAACGGCCGGTCGCACATTCCTTCCCGTCAACACCTGCCCAGCGCCTTGCGGGGCGGACGCGCCATGGCAGCACGAGGGCGCCGGCCAGACGCAGCCACACGCCCGCCGCGCCCCGCCAGCCACCGCGCCCGCGCCGCATCGCCGCATCGCCGCATCGCCGCGCCCACGCCGTGACACACGATTTACAACCACCCGCCGGGAAGCGTCAACGAGCCGAGATTAAAGGCGTTTGCAGCGCACCTAGCCCGAGGCCTCAACCTTCTCCCACGCCTGCACGCTGTCCATTAGCTGCGGCTCTGCCGCCGCCTGTCCCCCTGGTCGGATCCCGAGCATCCACCTGACCAGCCCGCCCGGCACCCAGCTGCCAACTATATCGTACGCCACGCTGCCCCTACCGACTCTCCACACCTTCTGCGGCCGCTTGCGGGTCAGTGCATCGAACACGGCGTTGTGCAGCTCGCGCAGATGGCTGCCCTTGGCCGTGCTGCCATTCTCTGAGAACATGCCTCTGCTGTGCGCGATCCGGCTCTGTGTCACGTAGTTGTCCCCGTACAGCGCCCGCGCCCCCGCCGGCCATGCCTCTGTCTGCCGGTCGCAGATGCTCTGCAGGTACTGCTTGTTGCCGACGCTGCTGCAGTCGAATGTCCCGAGCTTGATGTGACACAGGTCGATACCGATCGTGCTCAGCTCACCGCTCAGCGACGTCGCGAAGCCCTCGAGCGCGCCCACGACGGTGCTCTCCACGCCGTGGAACGGCGGCCGCAGCGACGACACCACGTTTGGCGTCAGCAGCAGGACCCGCGCCTTGAACTGGCAGACGACCGGCAGGAACGCTTGGGTCGTCGCGACGGTATTGAGCACCTTGGCGTTCAGGGCGTCAGACCAATATTCCGGAGAAATTGTCTCCACAGGCCCTGAGGGGTAGATGAGGTCCGGTACGAGCACCAAACCTGCAAAGTTAAGATTATGCGCCGAAGCCCCTGGGAATGCTTGGTGAGGGCTCAGCAGCGTGTTGTTGAAGCGTTCAATAGTGTACTGGGCATTGAGTGGCTGCGTCGCGCTGGTTAATGTCCTGCACGTATTCTTGGGAAGGGGTTGTCTTACGTCAACGATGTCCAACAGGAGGGGTCGGATATCCACTCTCGACTCATTTTGCACAATCTGCTCCTCTTCTGGCGAGTTCACCACCACGTATACAATGAAGCCACGGCGCTCGAGATCCAGCGACAGCGACTTGGTAATCGGGGAGTTGGCCGGTCCGGCTATGACGATGACCTCTCTCCGCGCGCCGTTGCTGGCGCGCCTCGCCCGGCGCTTCCTCGTGTACGACTTCTTCTGCTGATACATCACGATAGCGCCCGTGCCCACAAAAGCAATTATAGCAGCAGTAACGGCACGGTTACGCGACACCCAGTCCTGCGTGCGTTGAATGAAACCCGCCGGCGTTCTCTGCATCATGCGAGCCGGTGGCGACGGGCGGGCGGATGCGGGGAGCCATGTTGTGGTAGCTAACGTCTCTCGGATTGAAGAGGCTACGGATTCAAAATGACGGTCAGTGGCATCGGCGACCTCGCCGGTAAACTTGCGAATGTCGCTCGAGATGCCCGCAAGCTGCGACAGCTGTGTCAGTGGACAGGTCGGGGGTGTCGGTCGGGGCGAAGCGTCATCCTACCACGTCGAGAAAGTGCTGGTCGTCGGCGGTCATGTCGAAATAAGCTCTGACAGATATGACTCGAGAAGGTGAGACGTCCGATGCCTTGCAGCGGGAGGGTGGTGCGCGAGGTGGTGCGTTGCGTTGGGTGCGGAGAGGCCTGGTCGGGACGATGTCATCCTCGCCAGAGCGGGCGGCGATAAGCTTACTTGCTTGCACCTATCAACACGTGAGCGCACAGTGCCGCACGCAAGTCGCGTCGCGCCGATCATATTTGGAGCCGGTCGCGCCGGCTAGTAATGGCTTTGTTCCGTAGCTCTTCGGCTGGCGGCTTGCACTGAGGACGACATCTACTACTACTGTGTAAGCCGAGTTCGATTCTTCCACCCCCTTCGCGGCGCTAGGTGCGGTGTGGCGAATGGCGGCCGGGCTGACGTGGAAGTGTCAGCTCGCGAACAGAAGCTGCATAACCAGCGTCTTTGCCGTCAAGCTACTCATCTACTACAAACGCCTCGCTTCTCTGACGCCAAACACAGTCACTCCGAGTACGGCCAGTCGCTCTCCGCCTCGCTTCTGCCAGCACCCCACCTGCCTGACACCGGCATTTGCTCGGTAGGATTGTTGGCACCGGAACAGCCTCAGAACACAGCACCATGAGCCGTCGCGCGATAGATCCGCACTTTGGATCCTACGTGCATCTCCGCGATGTTCCGCGGCAGACCACGGCTTTGCTCTTGTTGAAGAAGCTCGCCTCGGTCGTCACACCAATCATGCGGAAGCGGGATTGGAAAGTCGGAGAGCTTGCCGAGTTCTTGCCTCCGCAGTTGAACCTCTTGGGTTGGTGTATCTTGCGGGCTGTATTGCGTGTCCATCCGAACTGATGCACTTGGTTTCAGGCTTGAATGTCAACTGCGGGCAAAAAATATTCATCCGCCTCAGATATGGCCACGATCCAAAGCAATTCATTGCTTACGACACTGTAGTAGACACCTTACTGCATGAGTAAGTCGCTTTGTTTGGTGATGATTCTGTGCTCCATGTCATCCGGTTCGGACATCGGTGTGATATGTTGACTTTGCTGACAATGGTACTAAATGTTGATGCTAAAACTGCACAGGCTCGCTCACATCAGTTGTGGCCCGCATGACGCGCGCTTCTACAAGCTCGTACGCCACCTACACTGGGGACAGGACTAAGCTGGAGCTAATCGAGCTGTTTAGTGGGATGAGCTACGCGAAGAATATTACGCGCTGAAGCGACAAGGCTATACAGGGGACGGCTTCCTATCCGTTGGCCACAGAGTCGGTGGTAAAGCAGTCCCACTTTCCGAAGTTCGACGACAGGCCCGCGTCTCCGCCGAGAAGCGGAAGACTCTGTCTGCCGGCTCTGGCCAGAAACTCGGTGGTTCGAGGGTTCCGCGTGGTTCGGATATGCGCAGTGTCATGGCAGATGCGGCAGAACGCAGGAAAAAAATCACTCAGGGTTGTGGATCCGGGGACCACGCGATGGAGCAGAAGGTTGAGGAGGAAGCGCGAAGATTGGGGTTTAGGACAAAGGCTGAGATGGACGATGCTGACAGACTCGCCACTGCCATTGCCATGATGGAAGGCGACAGGGATGCACACCGGCAGGAGATGCAGGCTCTTGGTGCTTCTCAGGAAGGTCTCACTTGGTCACCGGAGAGAGGGCTCGAGATGGCTACGCCCCAGCAATCGACCGGGGTTCAAAACGGGAACGCGACCTCGGCGACGTCGATCAAGCCAGTTCCTACTCCCACACATCCTGCAGCATCTAGCTCCTCTGCCTCTGCTCCCCGTTCAGGCCGCCCGGCTTCGCGACTTGTGACCGAGGATGCTTCAAGGACACTGAACGGGAGCAGGCCCGAAGTTATCGATCTCACTGGAGATTCTGCTAAGCGAGACACGACCGCCCATGATTCTACATGGACTTGCGAAATCTGTACGCTCGTCAATGATGTGCAGCATCTTTGCTGCGACGCCTGTGCCGTCGAACGGCCGGCGTCAGTGAGCCAGAAGATCAGCACGAAGCAGCAGGAATCGCCGGTAGTGCCGCGGCCGCTCGGTTGGAGCTGCAGGCGTTGCGGCAGCTTCATGGAGGCTCAGTGGTGGACATGCTCCGCTTGTGGCTTGATGAAAGCATCCTCCTGAGTAGCCACTTCAGGGGCAGTGTTCTTCACCGTAATCGAGCCGGCTGACATCTGCTTAGCCGCATCCGATCACGCATCAGGGTCATCGTCACTGGAGGATCGGAAAGGGAGTCGTCTGTGGGAATGATTGGTGATAGCGGAGGCTGTCACGGTGCTCTGGCTTGGCCGTTTCCGGCTAGATGATGTGCTGCTTTTGGCTCGTCAAGTGCTGGCCTTAAAATAGGGAACGGGCACGCCCCTTAGCATACCGGAAAATGGCATGTTGGCTTCAGGGAACATAGCTGCAACGGAATTTAGCGGGTGCAGGGCATTACGTGGACTCTATAGCAAGCTATGGTACGCTAGCCGGGGAAATGAAGCCGGTTGATGCCAAGAATGGGGCGGTCGTCGTGGCTGGCCGCGGCTTTACTTGGACCCGCGGCGACGCTGTCGAAAAAAATGCTCGTGCCTCGAGACTTGTAGTGTAGTACATGGAGGCACAACACTCATGACCATAGTGGAAATTATATTTATGCCGAATGTCTTTCATGCTGCGAAAACGAAAAAACGAGAGAGAGGAAGGGCACATATGCTACTCACTGAGACAAATCACTTGAAATGAGAGTGGTTTCAGACAATTTCGACCGGGATACTTTCGGAATGAGTCCAAGGTCCAGACTGCGTCTGTGGGAAGGAACTAACGCGTTTTTGGACGCCTTAGCAATAGCAGGTGGCATTGATGGCGACTAATCACAGGGTTGATTGCGGCAACGACTTTTAGAAAGACCAAGGATGATGAGCGCACGTGACTGAGACCAAAGGCGGTGAGTATCGCCGATCACCGGCAGAATGCGATTTTACATGGAAATTGTTTCGGATCAGAGCGCGCGATCACTCTTTGCCTCTCGTCCCGGTCACGACACGCCATGCCGCCCTCCCAGCTAAAGCGCCTCAAGGCGTCCCTGCGCGAACAGGGTATCGTCGGCCCGCAGAAATCCAAGAAAGAGAAGAAAAGGGCTTCCGGCAAGGATGGCGCAGAACGCGCCGCTCGGCGCAACGCCGCGCTCACCAACATTCGCGACAGTTTCAATCCCTTCGAGTTCAAGGCCACGAAACCCGAAAAGTTCGAGTCTACGAGCCTGCAGAAGGCGAACGCCAAGAACGGGAAGAGTGCGGTGGGGAGGCCCGGCGTGACGAAGAGCATGGGCGAGGAGAATGTGAGTTCAGCCAACATGTTCTTACATCCCATTCTTCTTCTTTTAGAGGAAGAATTCTGGTTTGTGACTGACGATTGGATTTCAACAGCGCCGCAAAACTCTTTTGCCCGAACTAAACAAGCGCAACAAAGCCGGCGGAATCATCGACAGGCGCATTGGCGAGAATGACCCGAATATGTCCCTTGAGGACAAGATGATGGAGCGTTTCACGCGCGAGAAGTCGCGCAAGAAGGGTGGCGGTCTGTTCGATCTGGAGGACGACGAAGACCAGGAGGAGGTGCTGCTCACGCACGGAGGACGCGCTCTGGAACTCGACGCCGAGCACGACGACTTTGACGCCGGCAGCCTCTCGGGCGGTAGCGACGATGAGGGCAGGCCACGCCAGCTCAAGAGGAGAAGGGGCTCGGAGGAGGGCACCGACCTTACGGACGAAGAGGGCGAGGACGAGCCGGAGCGCAAGAAGAGCAAGGCCGAGGTCATGAAAGAGGTCATCGCCAAGTCGAAGTTCCACAAGTATGAGCGCCAGCAGGCGAAGGAAGATGATGACGACTTGCGGGAGAAGCTTGACGCGGATATGCACGACGTGCTGTCTCTCCTGCGAGGTGTCAAGAAACCCCACTCATTGCCGGTCGCCGACGGTACGGAGGGTGCACTCGGAACGATGAACCCGGAACGAGCGGCGCTCATGAGCAATGCAGACAAGGCCAGGGCTGAGAAGGAATACGACAAGAGACTGTTCGAAATGAAGCTGGACAAGCGCGCAGCTCCGACTACAAGGACCAAGACCGGCGAGGAGAGGGCAACAGAAGAGGCTGAAAAGCTGAAGAGGCTGGAGGAGAAACGAATGAAGAGAATGAGGGGTGAGGAGGATAGCAGTGACGAAGAAACCGAGCAACCAAAGGACAACGTGGTACCACAAGGCGACGAGGATATCTTCGATGACGCGGCCGAGTTTGGCTTCCAAGATGTTCAAGCCAACTTGCGGCCGCCAGGAATTGACGATGAGGACGATTTCGTCATCGATGATGACCTTGTCGCTAGTGGCTCGGAGATAGATGAAGGGGATGTTCCAAGTGGAAGCGAGGCCGAGAGTTCGGATGAGGATGGGGAGCCTCAGATCAACGAAGAGGAAGAGGAAGACGAATTTGTCCGCGGTATACTGGGAAAGAGCGACGAGCAAAAAGCGCAGGAGAAGGCCCAGAACGAGAGGAAGGCACTTGAAACACAAGCCTCCAAATTATCCTACACATATCCTTGTCCTCAGTCACATGAGGAGCTTGTGGATGTGCTGAAGGGTGTTTCCGTGGCAGACACCCCCATAGTAGTCCAGCGCATCCGAGCGTTGTACCATCCCCAACTAAGCGCGGAGAACAAGGAGAAGATGGCAAATTTCTGCGGAGCTTTGGTGGATCATATCTCTTATTTGGCCCTACAAAAGCCAGCCCCGTCATTGGCAACTGTCGAAACCCTGATCCGCCATCTCCACTCGCTTTCTAGGACTTTCCCACTTGACGTTGCGAAAGCTTTCCGGAGGCACCTCGAACAGATGCTCGGTGCTTCCACGATCAGCCCGGGGGACCTGGTTATTTTCACCGCCATTGGAACCATATATCCGACATCCGACCACTTCCACCAAGTCGTCACTCCCGCCATTACAATCATGGCACGTTGGCTCGGCCTGACGACCCCGCAAACACCCCAAGAGCTAGTTACAGGGGCATACGTCGGTACACTGTGCCTGAAGTACCAGGCACTCTCCAAGCGCTACATCCCCGAGCTCGTCCGCTTCACCACCCTCGCACTGAAGCACCGTTCCACGCCACCGGACATCATCAGCGTCCACCTCAACAACCTCACCACCATGGCCGACTCCTGGTCCACCACGCCGGCCTTCACCGAGATCTTCACGCCCACCGCCCTCGCCGCCGTCCAGTCCCTCGGCAAGCCCGGGCGCCGAGCAGCGCAGCACCTGTCGATCCAGCTGTCGAACGCGCGGCAGCGGCGGCGGCCGCAGGAGCTGCACCACTGGCGGCCGCAGCCGATCAAGTCGAGCGTGCCCAAGTTCGAGGACGGCTTCAACCCGGACAAGCACTACGACCCGGACATGGAGCGGCGCGAGGCGGCCAAGCTCAAGGCCGAGTACCGCCGCGAGAAGAAGGGCGCCATGCGCGAGCTGCGCAAGGACGCGAGCTTCATCGGCCGCGAGAAGCTGCGCGAGAAGAAGGAGCGCGACGCCGCGTACGAGGCCAAGTACAAGCGGCTCGTCGCCGAGATCCAGGGCGAGGAGGGCGCGGAGAAGAACGCGTACGAGAGGGAGAAGAGGGCGAGGAAGGGGGCGAGGAAGTAGAGGCCGGGGTGGGCGAGGGTGCAGTGGTGGTTTTGTGGTGTGTAGTGAGCATCGCACTATTGGCGTTTTTTTTTTATTTGGGAAGGCTTCGTGTGTCAGGCACGGAGGGAAAAATATTCAATGTCATACGCAGAGCGTGGCGCTCTTGCTTTTCTTCTTGGAAAAGACTTTTTTGTCGTTTGTGTTTCTGCAAGTGACGTTGTGTGGACATTGCTGTTGAGACCGTGGTGCACTACGTGAACGTAGACTCATCCTATCTTGGAAGAGTGAACACGTTAACGAGACTAGCATAGCTAGTTCTTTGAACCGACTATCTTTGTGCTTAGTGAAGGTGAGTCACGCAGTGGTGGTGTGGGTGGATAAGAGGGGGTGGAGGGTGGTGAAACGAAGTGTTGAGCAAAAGCAAATAAAACGGCAACGAAGAACGGCAATTGCTCATATCGACAGATTCGGCTATACGACAGCGGCTGCTATTCGAATCTAAGCGAAGACGTCCCGTTGGACAAGCAATCTTTGTATCATTGCTCCTTCGGCGGTTCGTGGTGACTTTTCCCATAAAACAATTGGTGACATGCAAGCCGATATCAAGTTACCAATACTTCACCTGAGCTTCTCGTTTCCATGAACTTTCAATATCACTATGGAGGAATCGAGCGTTGCTATTCCCTTGCAATCTACATCTTGCACTGTTTCGGTATGCTTGATGCTGTAGCAATGCAATGGCATGAAGGTCACGTAGAAACGACGAGTGCTCAGTTGCAAGAAAAGCGCAATTGGAGAAGCAGAAAAAGATCTCAATTTTAAAAACAATAAAACTAAAATCATTTTTTTTTTGCCCCCAGCAATTGCTTCTGCAATGCTGATAGCCCGCCCAACCCCGACCTTTGTAGGTAGTCGTCACCAGAGAGCCCGCTCAGAAGGCGACGCGCAAAGCTAATCGCCCTTCTGGCATCGTCCCCGTTTGCTCCTCAAATCTAAGCTCCGGCCGAAGCCAGAGCCCTGCCCGCGAAGGCAAAAAGAAGAGAGAGAGCGTGATGAAGAAGAAAGAAAAAAAGAGCCGGGAGCGGGGGGTCGGGGGGTTTATATAAGTTTTCGGACACAGCGACTCAAACCGGTGGCACACGACCAACCGCTGTGGCGCTAACCAGAAGTGGAGGGGGACCAGGGCACGGCAACATTTTGGGAAAGAGCGACGGGTCGGTACCTGCCCACCTAGGCTGAACTGCACCTCACCTGCATTACTGCCTATGACGTCGCTGCCTAAAGACCATGCGTGGGTTTCTTCCATGTTCTTTCACTCACCTTCGGTTGTGTTGAAATTCTATGAGTAACGCACCATCTTTTTCACTCACCTCCGTCTCAGCCTTGTGACTCTGTGGTGTTGGTGGGCCAAAAAAAACAAAGATATGGCAAACAACAACGGCAGCTGAGAATGATGGTCGGTGATTTTCAACGGCTTTCTAACAGCCAACGCCACTGAAGGCATGATTGACCGGTCATTATCATCAGAAAGTGGGTTTCGCCATCATGTTCACAGCATGGAGATAGAGCAGCAGCAGTGATATCAATTCAAGTCTTCTAGTCTACTTGTTCATGACCTCGTGGACGCTGACCACTTCAATCCGCTATGGAGCAACAGACTTGGCCAAGCAAGGCGGGCTTCTTACTTGCCGCGGTTGTAAGAAGAGTAGCCATTGCCGTCGTTGTAGTAGGTAGAGCCGTTGGGGTTGGAGTAGTAGTAGGAACCATTGCTGGAAGAGAGAAGCCGCGTCATCAGCTTACAGTCGACAGAGAGGAGACACTCGCGATACATGTTTCTCGAATATCAGGCATGCCGTCGAGTGTGACTTACGCGTTGGAGTAGTGGTACGAGTTCTGGTTCGACGCGGACGAGCCATAATCGCGAGAGCAGTAGTGGTTGCCCTGGCAACAGAGCAACATTAGCGAAATCGGCCTCTTCTAGGTTGCAGCGGCAGCCATGTTTTCTAACTTACCTGGCTGTTGGTACCGCTGCTCCTGTAAGAGTAGCCGCCCGAGCCGGAGCTGGAGCCGGAGCTGGAGCCAGAGTTGCTGTTGGAAGAAGGCATCTTGGTCTTGGTAGTTGTAATTGTTTAGCTTTGGATTGCTGTTCAGAAGTGTCGAAGCTGACGGTGATGGAGAAGAGAGAGTTGAGGAAGAGAGATTTGAGGAAGGGAGGGAAGCTCTTATCAAGCTGCGCGGATGGGGTGGTTGCGACCACGTGCCCCATTCCGATATTATGTTGGAGGAAGCAACCTATGCAGGGAGGGATGCAGCGGATTGCCTGGGACCTCCAAAGTGGGACCACCCTATCAGTGCCGCACACATGACGTAACACGAAATGTGCATACAATATGTATCCGACAAGGGTGATAGGCCAAAGTTGGCGCACTCCGCATTGCGCGACTCTGACTCGCCGGTGGAACTGAGCGTCTGTGCGGATGCGGATGCCGCCCATCACCCGCTGTCATAATCTCGACACAAGCAAGCTTGCACAGCTGCATCTTTTACACTACTGTAACATATACATATCTTCTTGCTCACACGCGTATATGCAGCATCGAAAGGCGGGGAAAACTATCCCAAAGAGCGAGACAATGATGCGTTACGGCGCTGACACTGGAAATGTTCTGGTCATGACTCCTCACTACAAGGGTCTTGCAGCACGACGGAAAAAGGCTGGGTAGCATAGAGCTAGCGCCGAAGCCTAATGATGCCATCGTACCCGAGACCGCCGCGGGGTCTAAGGTATTGATGTGTATGGCATCATGCTTGGCTGGCAGCTCACTGCTCGCATAGCCATTGCACGCTCGTCGTCGTACCGGAACAAGCATCTCCACTGCCGTCCCATCTACAGGAAGCTTCCGCCCGAAAACTTGCTCGAAAAGTCGCCCGCCTTCCTAATCATCTCCTTCCGCTTTGTCCCATCAATCCTCATCCCGCTCGCCATATCCTTCTGATAGTCGAACGCCCTCTTGCTCGGATCGTCATCTTCCTTCTCGCCCACCTTCTCCCTATGCTTCTCGTACAAACTCTCCCCCTTCCTCTTCTCCTCATGCTTTCTCAGCCTCCTCGCCGTCTCGTCGTCCCTCTTCCTCCTCGCATCCCTCTCACCACCAGCGCTCCCAGGGCCGCCACTCGAGCCACCCTTCCCCATGACCTCATTCTCCAACCGCTTCTTCTTCTGCTCCGGCGTCTCCAACCACATCCCAAGATCCCCACCGCCCCCACCGTGATTCGGCGCCCTCGCCCCCTTGCCCGTCTGGAACCCGCGCGCCCGCAGCTTCGTCGGATCCAAGCGCGCCGCGAGGTCGTCCTGCTTGGGCGGCACCATCATCCACTCGTCTCTCTGCGCCTTTTTCTCCTTGCCGTCCTCATCGCCCGGCCGTGGCCGCACGGCGCTCCACTCGTCGTCGTCTTTTTTTGCAGCGTTGACCTATGAACGAGTCAGAATCTAACTCCGCCTTCGCTGAAGTCCTGCTAGAAGTGATGATGAAAGAGAGAGTGAGAGAGAGAGAGAGAGAGAGAGAGAGAGAGAGAAAGAGAGGGGGGAGAGAGACAACCCATACGCACCCTCGACACATCCGCCGCCGTAGGCAACGCCGGCCCAAACCCATCGTCGCTGTCACTGTCGCTGCTCTCGTCGCTCTCCCCCCCGGGTGCAGTTGCGGGCATCTCGTCCAGTGGCGCCGGAGGCGGCGCCGGGCCGGCGACGACGCGTCGTCGCTTCTCCGCGTTGTTGTCGAGTGATGAGGCGGGCCGAGGTCCAGGCGATGAGGAGGCGGAGGAGGAGGAGGAGGAGCGATCATCGTCGTCGTCGTTGTCGTCGCGCTTGCGCTTCGCGAGGTGAGGCGGTAGTGATGGTCCGATGGACGACATTTGTGCGGGGAGGAAAAGTTCGTGGTCGTTGTGTAGGTCGCGTGTGCTGAGAAGAACGGGAATCGATTTATTTTTTCGGTCGAGGAGGCGGCTGTCGTCGCGATGTGGGTGCAAGGTCCGGGGCGGTGGATTGGATGCGCAGTGCAGGTGCAGCTGCGGGCGGGCGGCGGAGGATGGTTTGCCCTGCCCTGACTAGGCGTCGATCCCCATGCGGAGTCGGCAGTTGCGAAACACCGACCGCACCTCGTTCTTCCCTCAGCGTCACCATCCCCGCCAATTCAACGAGACACGCTTCTAGACAGGCTAGCTGTGCGCAGCCGAGCGTTCATTCTAACTGTCTGGCTATGGTACAGGATCTCTCGCTTTCACTCCGCCGCCCGCAAAATCAAACAACAAAAATAACTTCGGAGCCAAATACAGAATGCGGCCGCGCCGAATGCTCTTCGAATTCCACTATTCGCTTGGTATCATGCCTTTTCACAAAACTCCTTTCTTCAGTCCCAGGTTCTTCCCACCCAAGGACCAAGACGAAATGAAACCTTTGCTTTACCATCATATGGACTAAACCCCAGGCTGGTGCTGCTCGACCTTTGCTTTGCTCTTCCCCCCGTCTTTCCTCTCCTCGAAGCCCGGGATGCTGCCCATACGCCGCTGAACCGTCCTCAATTAGCAGATGCATTTCCTCACCACCAGTTGAACGAATATGAAATTTAATGCAACAAGTTGCGAAGGTTGGGGCTTGCGCTGGCCCCACTCGCCCCGTTCGGTAGCGAAGGCGGCGGTGGCGGCGGTGGCGGCGGAGCTTGTGCCTGTGGTGGCATCGTGCTGTCCCGAGGCGTTTCCGGCCTGGTGTGGAGCGGGCCGGGGCTGTTGTGCGACGCCCCATACAGCGTAAATGGACTTTCTGTCTGCCTGGGCGGCGGGATGTGGCCCGGCGCTGGGGAGCCATACGGCCCCGTGTGAGGGGAATGGATCCCGTTGGGCAATCCTGCGAGCATTGGAGAGTTTGCGTGATGCAGCGGAGTGGGAGCCGGAGGAGGATAGGGCGAGCGTATCGCACCGGCCTGCCCGGGAGGAAGCACACCAGCTGGCGCCGTATAAGGCGGGTACCCGTTGCTTGGGGGATGATGCGTCGTCACTGCAGGGTGGTACGGGTGATGGATTGGCCCGCCATGAGGAGGCGCACCGGGCTGTGGCGAGTGACCCACTCCGTTGCTGATCGGTGGTGGTGGTGGTGGCGGCGGGTGCCCTGCCCATCCAGGAAGAGGCGCGCTTGCATGTGGAGGAGCTGCAATTGGCGGCCAGTGGTGCATCGGCGCAGCTGGTGCCGGCGGCTGGTACTGTCGAGGCGGAGATCTGACCGGCTGTGGCGGCGGTGTGGGAGACTTTTTGGCCGGCTTGAGCAGCTCCGGCTTGTGTTTCCTCCGCCAATGACACTTGTTGCAGAGGTGAGTACCTGGCCGGGGAATCGGGACGCCATCTGACGTTATAACCTTTCCATTGGGCAATGTCTCCTTGGCGACTCCAGGCTGGTCGATATGAATGATACCGTTCGGAAACCTTGGGCCCTCAGATTGATACGAGCCTGCTGTACTCTCGATGGTGTTGATCGGCTGATCAGGATTCGCTCCGGGAACAGCAGCTGCATCCTGAGAGTCCTCGGCCTTCCACCACTTAGGGGACACCCCGATGTCGCAGATCTCACATTTGCATTCCTCCTTGACGTCGGCAATGGAGCCGTTCTGCATCTCATCAGGTTCTTCCGTTTTCGGTAGACCGGCCGAGGAGTTCCTTGCTGATCTCGTGCCACCTTGCACAATTGAGGTCCGACGGTTGACTGGCGTAGCTGCCGCTGGAGGCGCGATGCTCTTGGTAAACTGGTCCAGAAGATTGGCTTTGCGAGCAGTACCCGTCAACGTCTGGTCGGCTTGCTTGTAGTTCTGTACATAGAGCTGCAGAGCCGTCATCCCGTATTCGTCCACGGGCTCGTTGAGAGGGTGCACTATGCCCTTGGGAGTGTGGTCCTTGCACCAGATTGCGGCGGCTAATGACCCATGCTCTCCGCCCAGCGTGAACGTTGGAACCGCGTCCCGGCGGGTACTCTTGACCGGTGAAACATCGAATCCGAAAATGTATCCTGCTGAATGAGCACATCCCACGTGGAAGGATGCATGGCATTGATGACAAGCCACACAAGCACCCTTTGAAGTCTTGCATATCTTGCAGACTTGGTCGTACTTGATCGACGGGGTGCCTACGCCCTCTACTAGTTCATAGATCCTGGGATTGGTGAACTTCAGTTCGGCAGTCCAGACCGCACAGTACAGATGCACCCAGTTGTTCTCAGCCGTCTTTTTCAGTGGTTCGCGAGGGAGTTCCGGTCGTCCCTTATCTCGCTGATGTTGCTGATACTCCTTTAACTTCTGAATGCGCAGTTCCTTCTCAAGGCGCTCCTTCTCCCGCTCTTTATCGGACTTCTTCTTGTGAGACACTTTTGGGGGCTCGATCAACTCTTGCTCAGTCTCTTTCACAGGACAGAGGACGCATTCGTACGTCTGAGCACAAGGGAGTCAGTCTACCATTCAAGCAGAGTCTAGTCAGGAAACTTACGTAAGACACGACCTCTTTCTTGTCGTTCTTGCACTGATCGCAAACCCACTTTCCGGACCGCGACTCGGTCACTCCGTAGCATTGGCGATGGACAGTCAGTCGGCATTCTCTGCACACAAGGCGCTGGTCGCCCAGAGGCTCCATCTGCAGGCAAACGGCACAAGGAAGCTCCCGCATCTTTGGCATGACTGGCTGTGGTGGGGGCGTCGGAGGCTTAGGCGGAGCAGCAGTGGCCTTCTTTTTGGTCGGAGGCTCCGCTGATGTATGCTGACTAGAGTCCTTGTCGGCGACACCCTTCTGCTTCTTCCGAGGAGGCTCTGTTGTGGCATGCGCTTGAGGGTCGGCGGGTTCGATGCTGGGAATTGGCTCTGGAGGAGCATTTTGGGCGGCATTCAATTCGTTCATGAGCTCCTGATCGATCAATTTCCTCCATTTCTTCCCGCCCGCTGCAGACATCTTCTTGATCAGCTCCTCCGCATCCTCGTATTTGATAGCATATCTCCTCCAAAGGCGAGCGCATCGCTGACAAAGGGCGGGGATCATCTGTGTCCCCTTATCTTTGCTGCGACCGTCAGCGGGTACGGTCTGGCCTGGTGCGACCCCGGGAGCTCTGCGCCACTGCCGTGACATCTTCGTTGAGCAGAATTTGCACACGAAGTGTTTCTTGCGTAGCTCGGCTTTTCCGACGTCAAATGCTGAATCATCCACATCGTCGGCGATGTCGTCGGCGAGCTTCGACGTGGAGGACTCAGCAGCAACCTTCTGGTTCTTGCCCTTTCGACCATCGTAATGGCCCCAAATTTCCTTCCCTTTAGGCGTCTTTTTCCACAAATAGTAATAGCGGACGACGTCTGCGTGAGACATGGTCCTGACGTGGAGGCGAACATTCCGAAGCTCTGAGCCATATTTTGCCACACCTTCTTCGAAGCGCTTTTTCTCTTCCTTGTTCGGTTCCGGCTCCCTCAAATCCTTTCGTTTGTTGATCTTTTTAAGTTGCTCGAGCGCAGCAGCCGAGTCGTAGTTGTTGGCGTAGAGCAGTTCGATGGCTTTGGTGAGAAAGTTGGTGTTGTGTTCCGGGACACCAATAATTTTGGCAGCTTCCGCCCTGGCTTTCGACATGTAATCGTCGATGAGCTTCTCACGGTCCTCGGGCGCATCGTCTTCGCCACGCACAGACTCTGGAGGCATGGTGAATAACGTCTTAGCTGTGCACCTCGGGTCATCGTTCGGATAATCTTCGCCGCGCCGCACGTAGCCCACTGGCTCATCTTGGACCCACTTCGGTCTCTTGGCCTTCTCCGCCTTATCAGCTTCTAGGTCCTCCTTCGAAAGCTTCGGGTCCTTTTTGTGAGCCGGGCCCTTGTTGTAACGTTTCCTGATCTCTGCTGGTTTGACGAGCTCGACTGGCCTGCCATGCCACACATTGACGTTCGCTTGGTGCCTCGGGCCAAGACGTGAGCTTGCGCGGGGGTAAATAGCACGGTCGTCGTATTGCAGCGCGTCTTCCACACGGCAATGGATTCCAAGGTACCGCATAGGCCACATTTTTGCCAATGCGATCTCGGCTTGGGTTGCTGGATGGTCATCGACCGGAGCGTCAGAGCTATTGGGGCTCGGGGCGGTTGTGTTGATCAGCGCGCCAGGATCTTCTTCTTCCTCGTCGACCGGTTCCTCCTCTTCCTGCGAGGCTGCGGCCTCACCGACGAGCGGCGTTCGCCGCGCTTCCAGCTTCCGCTCCTGTGCTCTGCCGCAGGGACCACAAGCCCAGGCAAAGCCCCTCGATGGCTTCTTCAGAAGCGGTGGCCGAACGCAGTTCATGTGGTAAGTGTTGTGGCAAACGGCGCATTCAACAGAATCGTTGCTGCATCCTGTTAGCAAAGACGGACGCGCTTCTCCACTAGGGTCGTGGAACACCTACTTAGCGCAGTACTGGGAGCAGCGCTTGCAGGTTTTCACTGCGCTGGTCAACTCTTTGACGCGACTTGTCTCTACAACGACAAACTTCCATCTCTCGTCTAATGCCCTCTTGACTTTTTCGGGAACGTTGATGACCTGTGATACGGGAATGACCTCGTACCATCTGTGGATAAATCGATCGAAGACTTGGTTGTACCAGAACGAATCCTTGTTCTTGCGGAATTCATCGAGATCGGCGACCTCGCTGCGATGCCGGATGGTGCATTTGCCACGGAGAGAAGTAAGGGGGCAGATGTCTGAATGCATGGTTCCGTACACCAGGCGGGTATCGTTGTTGTAGCGCAGCACATCGCGCGGCCGATAGAACCAATTCACGCGTATAGAATCGACTGGAGATGCGGGGTTCTCGCTGTTTACATGCAGAAATTCCATGATCCGGCAGAGGTAGTACGGCTCCCCAGGGGGTTCACAAACGAGGTAGGCATGATCTAACCGGAAAAGAAAATGAAAATCAGCACGCCAAACTCTGAACAGAAACCACACGTTTGCACCGCCGAAAAGGGCGGACTTTGCTCGGAGAACAGAAAGCAACGGGGAGAGAGGGACTTACCATCAATTGCAAGTGCAGTGCCATCATCGGCTTCCAGCTTCCCACGCTTTAACCTCGAACCGGACTTCTCAAAGGTCATCATGTTCGTCTCGCGAATCATGTTGTATGCGATGGCCGTGTCCTTTCGCCGCGACGCGGCGGAAGTGGGAGCGGCCGGGGGAGTCGCGTTGGTGGATGCGGCTGCATGCGCGCCGCCCGCCTTCCTCTTCTTTCCCTGCGTAGTAGCCCCGGCATTCGCGTTTGGGTTCGCGGAAAAGGTCAAGGTGCCGGGAATTGAGGGGTCCTTGGTCGCAGCGGTTGCGGCAGGCGTCCCATTCGTGGTTGGAGCTGGCTTCTTGGCGTTCGGTGCAGGGGATTGGCCAGCATCTGTCCCGGCGGCCGGGCTGCGAGTGGTGCGCTCGGAGGAGGTTCCATTGCTGCCATTCACAGCAGCAGGTATTTCAAAATCCATCTCTATGTCCTCGGCGTAGTTGATCCGAGCGGCACTCGGGCGGTTGCGCGAGCGAGTGCCGTAGCCACCCGCATTGGTCGGAGTGTCGTCCTTGGCTGCCGTCTGCGCGGAGGCCGGCGCGGAAGCGGCTGGGGTCTGCGACTGCGCGGGTGGCAAGGAGCCGGACGGCGAAGCTCCTGAGGGCGTGGGCTGCGCGTCTCGGTCCGCGGCGAGCTGCGAATTGGCGGACTGGGGCGGACTCTGCTGCGCGGGCTCTGCGCTCGGAGCGGCCCCATTACTGGTGGGCGTTACGTCCTGCATGGGGTCCACGGGCGGCGCGGGAGGACGCGCTGCCTCGTCGCTGGTCGCGCCTCGGGTTGGGGACTTCACCGCGCCCACATCGACGACCATCGAGTGACACGTCGGGGATCACGGCGCGGCGACCGGGAATGCTGTGTCCACGACTGCGTGAGGGCCGGCGGCGAGGCGTTGGGGCGGATGATGGCCGATGGCGCGATATCAGGGCTGCATAGGTCTGGAGGCGGCTCACCACGAAGAAGGACACCGGTCTGCCGCCACAAAACGCAAATACCGCGGCGGAAGTCGCGTGCAGTGGGCGGGCGCGGGCAGGAGCTGAGGCAGTGGCGGGAATTCCGCGCCGAAACAGAGCGGGCTGGGGCTAGAGGGGTATGGGCTGCGGAGCGGGCATATGGGGATGTGGGAGAGGGCGGAGTGGGTGAGTTCGAGAGAGAGATGGCGGCCGGCAGTGGATGCACTTGCGAGTATGACGGCCGGGGCCTTGCGCGCTGCCTCGCGCTAGGCTCTCAGGGCATGCCTAAGCTTCCTCGCTTGGGTCAACACCATCAAATCGACCCCGGGGCTGCTGGTCCCGCAGCACTCCAACCTTACGCCGACCTCACGCCTTCGCCGCGACCCGCACCCCCCCGCCGGCGCCGCCCCAGGCCGCGGCGGCCGTCTGCGCCCACGCCGGCCGCCGAGCACGACGACGCCGTGGGCAGTCAGGAGGATGTGGAGGGATGGGCTCGACCAATGAAACGGCAGCCGTCCCCCTAGAGGCAGGGCGCGGCGACAGCAGGACGCCCAGTAGCGCCGACGACGCCAGATCTACGCTGCGCTGCCCCGTCCGCATCGATGGTGCCGGCTTTGTCTTCTTGCCCACGGCCCGCGGCGACGGGCTCGCCCACCGCATTCCTCACGCAGCCCGCGGCCAGGACGGTGCCTTGTGCCTCGCCGGGGCATGCGCCGCTCGGTTCTGGAGAGCAGCGGCGTGGCTAGGAGCGTCAGCCGTGCCCGTCTGCCACGTATTCATCTGACCTTCAAGCAACCCTGCGGTCCAGCAGCCCAGGCCGAGGCCGGGACCGGACCGGACCCTCGTGCTGGGCCGGCCATCAGACGCAGACCCGACCCTGGGCGCTGGAAGAGTTTGCTTTCAACGTTGCTGGCTCTGCGGAGGGCGACTGGTGAGAGCTTTCGTCGTCCGTTAGCGTGCCGCATGCGGCCTAGCGCCGACTGATCCCGACCCTCAGCGCCGATGAAGAGCACATCCACCCATCCCGGATAAGCTCTTGCACCCATCACGCCCGCTGCCCGTCCGCTGCCGGCTTCCCTCGCGCCACGCGCTGTTTTGCTGGGCCTGCCGCGGCGGATGGCCTGCTGCACTTCTTCAGAACAGCCGCTGGAGAGGCCGCTCATGATGAGGTTGCGTCTCGCTTGTGTCATGTCGGCCCTGCCCCCTTCGCTGGTACCAGGCGTGCAGGCCTCCATCGCATCCAATGGGCCCCCGCCCGCGCCGAGACCGAAGTTCCCTAGCTAGACATGCAAGTGTGGGCGCGGCCACCGCGTATTTGAACCTCCATGGAGGAACACGGCAGCATGTAAGTAAATGTTCGGGCACCACATGGCGTGTCGCACTGCTGGATTGAACATCTTGGGCCAGCGTCCGCTGCCAATGGGCTCCAGCACGCTCCGGTGGCGGATGGGACGCGACAGTTTCACTCGACATCGCACATGGAGGAGCCCGGCGTGAAGACATCCGCCCGACAAGCTGCGTCTGCTGCGTCTGCCATGGTTGCACTTCCACCTCTGCTGCAAATGCTCGGTTTGGGGGCTGCGCGTCCACATGGACACGTGCGTGGCGTTACTGTGCTGGCAGCGGCGTGGGCGTCTGCGTCTGCGAGGCAGGGGGCCCGATCGTCGCATTGGAGAAAACCCGTCGACGTAGAGCAGAGCCAATCAAAGGCCGGCTGGACAACCTGACATCTCGGCCTCCTGCTGGGACAAGAAATCGCACGCCGGCAGTGTCTCACCCGCACCAACGGATCTCATCAGACTCGGCCGGCGGTCCATCTCAACCCGTCCCATCAAGCCGATGCTGAGTCGCCTTGCTTTGATTGACTTTTATGACTACGAACCGAATTATGTTCTCGTCATTGCATCGGCGGCTGAACCCCCCTCCATCGAGCCGCTCGTGGAGTGCCTAGCGCTTGAACCAACGGCTAGTGGAGATTGCAACCTGACCTGGCATCGACGAAACAATTCACAGGGGGATTCCAGAAAAGCCATGCGGATGAAAATTTCAGCTCGTCGAGGTCGGGCATCGCCTTTGGCGCTAATAGTCGGTTGCTCGAGCGGCGCCGAGCTGGGTCATGGCGCTCGCTCTGGAACGAGACCCGGCCAACGCGACCGAAGATGCCGCGCCCCAGTCCAATCACCATCACGCTTTCAAGCCCCGCTGTTGTTGGCTCCGGGGCAGTTCCAGGGTTGCTACTTCAGTCATCAGCCTACTGCTTAGCTAGCTATTATTCAACGTCCACATGGACATGGAGGGTGTGGCAGTCAACCTGATGTAAGCATGCTGCATGGGGAGCAATGCAGACTCAAAAGCAGCTGCAGAGCAAGCTCCCACGGCTTGCTTCTGAAGAACCACATTTTCCAAAGTCAGCAGCGTTCAACCGGAAGCAGCATTCGTCACTCGAAATAATGGCTCCCTATCTTGACCCAGTAAATCAATCGTTTGTCCATGCTCTTGCCAAGGCGGGGGCACCCCCGCTTCAAGAGCTCCAATACGACGAGGCGAGAGCAGTACTCGAAGGATTGCAGCAACACGAGCCGTCTCAAGACGTGCTTCGTGAGAAGATCGATGCGCCTGTTGGAAGCAGCGGCACCGTGAAGACCGTCCTCTTCAAGCCCGCAAACGCCAGCACTCCACTTCCGCTCGCTTTCTATTTTCACGGGGGCGGATGGATTCTCGGAAGGTAGGCTTGTCAGGAGCGCGCGCTTGCAGCAGCTAACCGAGAACAGCCCAAACACCCATGACAGCCTCGTGAGCGACCTGGTACGCGAGGCTGGGTGTGCTGTTGCTTTTCCGTACTACTCGCCTGCGCCTGAGGCTCAGTTCCCGCAGCAATTCGACGAAGCTTACGCCGCGGTGGAGTATTATGTCAAAAACGGCGCCAAGCACGGCCTGAAAACCGACAAGATTGCCTTTGCTGGCGATAGCGCAGGGGGTCCGTAGAGCGAGATCACTATTTCGTCGATCATGCGAGCTCACGATTGCAACAGGGCACATGGCCGTTGCAATGTCAACCCTGGCGGCTCGAAAGAAGTTGCCTGCGGCTGTCAGCTATCAGGCGTGAGTGACACTCGAGCGCCGCCCTCGCTGATGGCAGTCCTGATGATAAGGATAGGCTCTTCTACCCCGTCGCAAACATACTCGAAGAAAGCGACACATACTCGACATTCCATGACGGGCCGTATCTTGGCGCCCCTCTCCTGCGATGGATGAAGGATGCTTTCATACCCAAGGACGATGATAGATTGAGCATTCTGGCCTCTCCCACTCTGATGACCAAGGAACAAGCCGCCACTCAGCCACCAACGCTCATCATCACTGCGGCCGTCGATCCGCTCCTCCGAGAGGGCAAAGAGCTTGGGCATCTGCTCCAGCAGGCTGGCGTGGAAGTGGCGATTCTCGAGGCAGACGGTCAGATCCATGATTTTGTGATGCTGGAGCCCGTCAGGAAGAGCGCGACGGCCGTGGCCTGTGTTGCTCTGGCGGCTTCGGGGATCAGGAAGGCGCTTTCTTAAGGAATTCTGTTGCAGCGCTCAGTAGTCGCGACCGCGCGTCCGCCCAGTGAAATCACAGTGGTACACTTGCGCAGAGCAGGCTGGCATGTCAAGGGGCTGCCCACTGCCGGTGCGCGCGCAGCTCGTTGTGCTAATTGAGTTTCGACGCACGATAGCGGCACGATTTTCGCCGCCGTGTACGCAATCCTTCGCTGTTTCGGGCAAGCTGATTGCCCCTGCTCTCCGCCAAAATTGCACCGTTGTGCAGCGGGCCAGGGCGCCGTCCAAGCCGACTTCCGGGCCACACGTGACAGTTCCGTTGCTTGGACAAGGCGTCAGCCGGGGGGCAGTGATCGCTAGGGCGTCGAACCTGTTGTTGGGTGCTTGTGCTTGTCCGGCACCCGGGCGCAGCTGGCAGGTTGCGACGGCTCTCCTGTCACTTTTTGCTCGCGCTCGAACCGATCATGCCGCAAATGGGCGGCCACGACGAGGAGAGGGCGGCATCAGGCCACGCAAGGCTGACGGCCCCAGACCCTGGAGATGCCAAGCAAGCGTGGGGCAGCGATGACCGCATCGCCGCGGGCCCGCCGCCTGCGTCGCATTCCACCGCCGCGCTCCACATCCCTTCCAAAGACGAGCTCGAAGCCATTGCCGGCCGTCAGGATGCAAAGCGCAAAGCCATGCAAGCAGCCAAGTTGCACACCCAACGCCATGAAGAGGAAGCCGCTGCCGCCGCTCTGATTCAACGCAACTACAGAGGTTACAAGCAGCGCCGCGAGCTCGCCGGCATGGGACTGGATGCGTCAACGCGCTGGGTTGAGGTACGTGAGACACTGCCGCTGAGACCGCACCACTGCCTTCCTCCTCCTCCTCCTCCTCCCCCTCCACGCCAGCTATCTCGCATTTCCCGCTCCGCCCTGTCTGCTGCAGTGCGACCGATTATTAGGAAATGCCGATCAGCTAACGGTGATCTACGTGCTCCACAGGCTATCAAAGAGGGTCAGTAGTACTCAGAACCACACAGCGCTTCCACGCTTTCCGCATACTCTTGATGCTGAACACGTGTAGCGCGATGGAGGAACGCAACGCGGCCCATGCCCCGCAACGACCGAACCTCAGGCGACCGTGACAAGCTCAGCCCTGCCGCGAGGTCCCGCGCCGCATCGGATGCTGCGAAAGAGAACTGGCGACGCATCGGCGAAGTAGCACGCCGTGCAGGCGGAGACGACGCGGTACCCGATGAATCCGATACCGATGAAACCCAATTGTCGCCGGAGGAGCACGAGCGCCGGCGGGCACGGAAGGCAGAGGCAAAGCGCGAGCGGGAAAAGACAGCGAAGGTGATGGGTATGTTTGGTGAAAGTACTGTGGATGTTGTCGCCATGGACTGACCCTGTCTCTGCCTTGAAGACCTGCAGTACTGGCTTGAAATGGTCGACCAGAAACACCGATACGGCTCCAACCTACGCGCTTACCATTCCGAATGGAAGAAATCTGGCACACACGAGAATTTCTTCTATTGGCTGGATTATGGAGAAGGCAGACGCTTCGAGGTACCAACATGCTCAAGGGAGCGGCTGGAGAGGGAACAGGTTCGATACTTGAACAGGGAAGAAAGACAGAACTACCTGGTGAAGCTTGATAGCGAGGGGAGGCTGTGCTGGGCGAAAAATGGTGAACGAATCACTACATCTACGGAGTTCAAGGACAGTGTCAAAGGCATCGTTCCCAACGCTGATGGAACCCCAGCATACAGCAGGGACAGCACATCATCCAACAGCAGCTCCTCCAATGCGAGTTCGATGTTGTCCACGGGCTCGACGGATCCAGAAGGAGATCACTACGTGAACCATGACCTGGAAAAAGCAAAAGGCATCAAGAAGATCAAGCACGTATCTGCGGCCGCAATACTGAACCATCTGCTACGCCGGAGTGTTAAGCCCAACAGCTGGATTTTTGTCAGTTGAACTCTAGTCTTTCATGCTCCAGCACTGACATCAAATGATCGCAGGTTGCCGACACTTCGTTCCGCCTTTATGTTGGCATCAAACAATCTGGGGCATTCCAGCACAGCTCGTTCCTCCATGGCGCTCGCATTTCGGCTGCCGGTCTCATCAAGATCAAGGATGGACAGCTACGCCGCCTTTCACCCCTTTCTGGTCATTATCGCCCGCCCACTTCCAATTTCCGCGCCTTCGTCCACTCGTTGCGAGATGCCGGGGTCGACATGAACCGCGTATCCATCTCCCGTAGCTACGCTATCTTAGTCGGGCTGGAGGCGTATGTCAAGACGCGTCGAAAGTTCAAGCACGGTGCCGAACACGCCAGCCACGGGAAGGAGAAGGTACTTCATCCCGAGGAATTGGCCAAGCGAAAAGAACAGGAGAAAGACAAGAGCAAGAGCGCGGAGAGGGAACGGCAGATTCTGGCGGAAGCAGCGGCAAAGCAGGAAGACCGCAAGAGGAGCAACAGCCTACGCTTGAGGATACTGAGGAAACTGGGGGTCGGAGGTGCGGCCAATGCGCCCAAAGGCGAGAGGACGAAGAGGAGCAGGGGAGAAACAAGCTCCAGAGACGTGGAAAGCGGTATTCCGCCGGACGGAAAGCGATAGCCGGTCGATGGGCGGCTATGATCTAATTCTCGGGGTCATCCGGACTCTGATGCTTAATTCCTTGCTCGCGGGAGTCCATGGCCGTGCGGGCGTGGAGCAGTGTAAGGTAATATTCCCACTTTTTAGTCGTAATGCTACACGTGCTGTGGCTGGGATCGCCCGTAACCCGCCGCTGCCACGACACTCCAATTTTATATTGCTTATACGAAGGGCGATGCAAGGCCAGGTTGCCTCCTTGTTGCTACTCAGTGGGAGCTATCAATTGACGTACCTAGATGACCAGCCACCCATGCTAGTGGAGTGCTCAACACAGAATGCAAACGTCGCTCAGTCAACAAGACCAAAAAAAAAAATTAAAGACTTGAATCTGTCTGTGGCGAGGTCTCGAGAAGTCCATTGACGGGATGACTCGGAAGCCCGGTAGCTGGAGCCCAAGCTTGTGTCCTAGTGAGACGGCCAAAGGTTCGGGTCAGACATTCCGATGCCGGTGAATGTGCTGGATTGCGCGACTGCATCACGCATCACGCACGTCAAGCAGCGCATCGAACGATAGACGTCGTACGAGGCGAGCAGGCGGGGCGGCAGTGACAGCGAATTGATCGTCTGGACAGCGTGGAAGATTTATGTGAGGGTGTTGTAGCACAAGTGGACGAATCGGCAGGGCTCCGTGGCACTGGCGGAGAGTTTTGGGTGCATGTGCGGCGGCGATATGCAGGCGAAGGGGCGGGGGGCAGCATGCTTAGGGTCGCACTTGCAACGGACGAGCGTTGCAGCGACGTTGGTAGCGGCGCAATCTTGCGGGCGCTAGCCAGAGGCTGGAAATGATGGATGATGATGAGAGCTCGCTAGGTGGCTAGTAGCTGGGCGGGCGCGAATCTGGGATGGCGTCATTGCGGCCGGGGTCCGGGGGGCCCGCCGCTTGCGGGAGCCACTGCGCACCGCCAATCCTCCTGCCCTACGACCATCGCAGACGCCCAATCCGCCGCGCGCTGCACCAATTCGCAAATGCACAGAGCAGCCCGTCCAAAAAAGTCCACAGGGTCTCCGGCCGTGGGCGGCTCGCACGGGGACTGCGTTGATCGCCCGCACCGCACTACGCGACCACTGGCGCGTCACGGCCGCCGCCCATCCTGTTTGCTGCAGCTACCGGGATGGCTTCCAGCACGACGCGCCACAATATGTCATCCGCACCGCCTTCCAAGATTTTCTGGCCAGACCTCCGCACCCTCGAGCAATCCTGTGCCGTCGCCAGCATGCCCAACCCTGCTGCGCCGTTAAGACCTTCCCGCATGCCGCTGGCCGCCGCTGGCCGCCGCCGGCCGCCGCCGCCCACTGGCCGCTCGCTCGCCGATCTGCCAGACGAGGCCCACGACGGCTATGGCTCCGATCCCCGTTCCACAGCCCGGCTGACGCTTGCGTCTCATCTCAGGCTTGAGATTTCGCTTCGAGAAGCCCGCCCCATCTCGATCGCCGCCGTGGCGGCATCCACCGTCGTAGCTGCATGTCTCCAGGCCAATCGTCGATTGGCATCTGCTCCATGCCGCCTCTCCAGCCACAGGCGTCCTTGAATCCGAGTCTCATTGGGCCTGCCCTCCTTACTGAAGCCGCAGGGCTCTGACGCAATGCTGGAGAACGCGTTCCCTCGCATCTCCCTGCGTAACGTGACGAAGCCACTCGCTGCTAGGAAAACAAGTTTCCCGCAGTAGTGTGCCTGCCAGACCTGAGGCGCGAGCTCCCCGTCTAGGCAATGAGCTCCCTTCGAGAGCTACTCATGGCGACGTCATCACACATTTGTCCCTACCGCCGTGATTCGAGACACACCATTTAACAAATGCTAGCCCGCTGCGAAGGCCTTTCTCCTCAATCCTCCCACACACTCGCACCTATACCCCTGTGCATGCAGTTTTATGCCCCCAAGGTCCCCTACAAACTACCAGTACTATTCTTTCCCTCCCACTCCGACTAGAACATCTCCCACCAGTACCCGATCCCGAAACTCTCCCACCAGAATGCCTTCCCCCGCTGCCGGAAAGGGCACCGACGCGCCCCGCACTCCCACCAAGCTCGGCCGCAAGCCCGCGCCCCCCAAGCTCGGCGAGGCAGCATCAGAGAAGGCCTCTGAAGTCACCTCGGGGAAGCCCCAGACGGAAAACCCGGACCTCCCACCCCGGCCGTCAGAGGGCGACATCTCCGAGAAGGTCGAAGGTGCAAAGAAGACTGCAGAGGACGCACCGCAGCAGGCGAGCGGCGCCGCCAGCGAGGCTGGCGAGGCTGGCGAGCAAGACCCCACCGGAAAGGTCTCCGAAGCCACCGGCGACCTGAAAGAGCAGGCACCCAAGCCCGTCGGCGACGACGATGACGACGAGGACGACGACGCCGCCCGCAGTGACGACGACAATGCCACGGAGAAGGCGGGCGACCTCGGCGAAGAGGCCGAGGACACCGCTGAGGACACGGCCGAGTCGGCGCAAGAGTCTACCGCCGACTTGCAAGAGCGCGGCGAGCAGGCTCCCAAGAAGGCCGGCAGCAACGTGCTCGGCAATGCGAGAAACCTCGCCGGCCGCGCCTCCAGCCTTGCCAGCAAGTCGTCGTCCCAGGACCCCAGCAAGGCTGTTGGCGCCGCGAAGGACACTGCCGAGGACACTGCCGACGACGTTCAAGACACCGCCGAGGACACTACTGGCGATGTCAAGGACACTGCTGACGACACTGCCAAGGGCCCTCTCGATGATGTCCAAGACACGGCCGGCGGCGCTGCTGAAGATGTGGACGAGACCGCACAGGGCGGTCCCGTCCAGGAGGCTCAGGAGACCGCTGAAGGCCTCGGCAAGGAGGCCGAGGGCGCTGTCGGCGGTGCCAAGGGCACAGCAGAAGGTGCTGTTGATGACGCCAAGGACACTGCTGAGGATACTACCGGCCAGGAAATCCCCGATGTTGGCGATCTCTCCGTCCTGAAGGGCCTCGAGGTCCAGCCGGACGGCGGCGTCGTCGACAGCGAAGGCAACCAGATTGGAAAGCTCGTCGAGGGTGACGCCGAAGACCTCGAGGGCTACGCCATTGGCGACAACGGAGAGATCCTCGACGACGACGGCGACCTGGTCGGCCGCTGCGAGCTTCTGCCCGAGAAGATCGACGCTCAGAAGCGGAAGGCTCAGCAGGCGGCCGAGGGCGCTGCCGGTGGCGATCTGCCCGACCTCTCAATCCTCAAGGGTCTCACTGTCAACCAGGTTGGTGAGATCTTCAACGACGATGGTGACGTTGTCGGCCAGATCGTCGAAGGAGATATCCAGCAACTCAAGGGCCGCCAGGTGAATGAGCGCGGTGAGATCCTTGACGATGATGGCAACGTCATTGGCCGCGCCCAGATCCATCCTGATTTCGAAGGGGCTGGCGAAGCTCTCGACGGTTATGATGACGAGGGTGTCGATGGCGCCGCTACGGACGTCGCGGGCGCTGCCAAGTCGGCCACCGGCAAGGTTGACGAGGCCGGCAACAAGGTCGACGAGGCCGGCAACAAGGTCGACGAGGCCGGTAACAAGGTTGAGGAAGCCGGCGAAGCCGTGTCTGGTGCCCCCAGCAAGTCTGGTCGGGCTGATTCGGCCCTCGGTGGTGCCAAGTCTCAGATCGAGAGCGAAGTTCCCGACCTCCCCGGCGTCGAGGCCCTCGAGGGTCGTGAGATCAACTCCGAAGGCGAGGTCGTCGATTCCGAGGGCAATGTCCTCGGCCAGCTCGCCGACGGCGTCGACATCGGCAAGGCCAAGGGCCTCACCGTCAACGAGAAGGGTGAAGTCGTCGATGAAGAGGGCAACGTCCTCGGCACGGTCGAGCTTGCCGACGGTGCTGCTGAGCACCTTCAGGAGAAGCTCCGCCCGCTCGCCCTGGACATCAGGATCTTGGAAGGCCTTAAGGTCAACAAGAAGGGCAAGGTCCTCAACGAGGAGGGCGACGAGATCGGCGAGCTCACCGAGGGCGACGTCAAGAAGGCCGCCGGCAAGACCATCAACGACAAGGGCGAGGTCCTCGACAAGGACGGCAAGCTCGTCGGCAAGGTTGAGATCATCCCTGGCGACGCCGCCGAAGAGGCGACCAAGGAGCTTCGTGAGCGCCTCACTGAGCTCGAAGGCCCGAAGGAGTTCATTCCCGGTCTCGACATCTTGGACGGCCTGAAGGTCAACAAGAAGGGCAAGGTGCTCAATGAGGATGGCGAGGAGATTGGCGAGCTTGTCCAGGGCGAACTTTCTGACTGCGCTGGCAAGAAGCTCAACGACAAGGGCGAGGTTCTCGACAAGGACGGCAACATCATCGGTCGCGTCCGCGTCCTGCCTCAGCAGGTCGAAGAGGGCGATGTGGAGGCCGAGGAGCTTGCCGATGCTCAGGCTGCCGAGGCTGCCCAGGAGGGTGCTGAGGACGCCGCCGAAGACGCCGAAGACGCCGCCGAAGACGCCGAAGACGCCGAAGACGCCGCCGAGGACGCCGCCGAGGGCACTGAAACTGCCGTTGACGAGGAGGGTGCCGAGGAAGACAACCTGCCTCCTCTCTCCGTCCTCGAGGGTCTTGGTGTCAACAAGGCTGGCAAGCTCATCAACTCGGATGGCGTCGTCGTCGGCGAACTGATTGAGGGCGATGCAAAGAAGCTCTCCAAGCTTGGCGCCACTGCCGATGCTGAAGGTCAATTCTGGGACAACAAGGGCAAGGTCATTGGCCGCGCCAAGACTGTCCCTGTTGAGGATGATCAGGAGGGCACCTTCGCCGGTCTCGAGGGTCTCATCGTCGTCAAGGACGGCAAGGTCGAGGACGAGAACGGCAACGTTGTTGGTGTCGTCGTCGAGGGCGACGCCAAGAAGCTCGTCGGCCGTGCTGTTGACGAGGACGGAGATATCATCGACAAGAAGGGCTCCGTCATTGGCCACGCCGAGCGCTACGAGGAGCCTGAGGAGGAAGTCGAAGAGGAGGAGCCGATCGACTACTCGATGCTCATTGGCAAGACACTCAACAAGCAGGGCAACGTCATCGGTGACGAAGGCGTTCCGATCGCTCGTCTTGTCGAGGGCAATGTGAAGGAGCTCGCCGGCAGGAAGGTCAGTGAGGAGGGTCAGATCTGGAACGATGCTGGTAAGGTCATCGGCCGCGTCGAAATCATCCCTGAGAACGAGCGCGAGTCCAAGCCTGAAGGTCCTTTCGCCGGCCTTGACGACCTCCGTGTCGTCGCTGACGGAAACGTTGCCGACGAAGATGGAAACATTGTCGGCCACATCACCGAAGGCAACCCCAAGCGCCTCATTGGTCTTTCCGTCGATGAGGATGGAGACATCATCGACAAGTACGGCAACGTGAAGGGTCACGCCGAGCCCCTCGAGGACGAGCCCGAAGAGGAGCCTGCTGATCTGTCTATCCTAAACAACAAGGTCCTCAACAAGCAGGGCTTTGTTGTTACCGAGGACGGAATCCCTCTTGGTAAGCTTGTCGAGGGCAACGTCTCCGAGCTGGCTGGCCGTCGCTGTGACGAGAACGGTCAGATCCACGGCGACACCGGCAAGGTTGTCGGTCGCTGCGAGCTCATTCCCGAGAACGAGCGCGTCGCCAAGCCCGAGGGTCCTTTCGCTGGCCTCGAGGGTCTGCGTGTTGTTGCTGAGGGTAAGGTCGAGGATATCGATGGCAATGTCGTCGGTGAGCTCGTCGAGGGTGACGCCAAGCGTCTGGTTGGCCTCAAGGTCGACGAGGATGGCGACATCATCGACAAGTTCGGAAACGTCAAGGGCCACGCGGAGCCGTGGCAAGAGGAGGAGGCTCAGCCCGAGGATCTCTCTGCTCTTGCTGGCTGCACCGTCAACAAGGCTGGCAACGTCGTCGACTCTGCCGGTGCCATTGTTGGCCGCGTTGCTGAAGGTGATCCTAAGGCGATGGTCGGCCGTAAGGTTGACGGCGAGGGCCAAATCTGGGACAATGCCGGCAACGTCATCGGCCGCGCTGAGCTCGTCAGGGGCGTCGACACCACCCCTGAGGGCCCCTTCTCTGGCTTCGACAACGTCACGGTTGCCAAGGACGGCACGGTCGTCACCGCTGATGGCAGCATCGTCGGCCGCGTCATTGAGGGCGATGTCCAGAAGCTCGTTGGCCACAAGGTTGACGAGGAGGGTGAGATTGTCGACAAGAACGGCAACCCGATTGGCAAGGCCGAGCGTTGGGAGCCTGAGGAGAAGGAACGCCGCATCAACCCCATGTCCGGCCGCCGCGTCAACAGAGAAGGCGAGGTTCGCGACGAGGACGGCAACGTCATGGGTCGCCTCACCGCTGGCGACCTCGGCCACTGTGCTGGCCTCGAAATCGACGACAACGGCTACGTCATCGACAACGACGGCAACAAGGTTGGTGAGGTCACCCTGCTCGAGAACATTGTCGAGGAGGAAGAGGAGGAAGAGGGACTCACCGAGGAGGAGCTCGAAGAGCTTCGCAAGAAGAAGGAGGATGCCGAGCTTGCGGACAAGATGGCAAACATCTGCCAGCAGACGCTCGAGCGCGTCCAGCCCGTGTGCAAGCAGATCACCGAGGTAAGTCACCAGCACCATACGCGCTACACCAGGTCTGATACTGACTGTTTCAACAGTACATCGAAGCTGCCGACCGCACGCCGCGCGAGGAACTGGACGAGGAGCAGCTCGTCGACAACGTCAAGCCTCTCATCGAGGAGGCCGGCCGCATCCTGCAGGAGTGCAACGGCTCGCTGCGCGGCCTGGATCCCGACGGCCGCATCGCCGCGCAGGCCAAGGGCCGCGCCGGCACGCGCGAGGCGACGCCCGAGGAGTACCGCCTGGCGGACTGCCTGAAGGAGCTCACGACGACGGTCGTGACCACCATCGACAACGCGAAGAAGAAGATTGCCGACATGCCCCACGCCAAGAAGAAGCTGAACCCCCTGTGGGCGCTGCTCACGGAGCCGCTCTTCCAGATCATCGCGGCCGTCGGCTTGCTGCTGTCGGGCGTGCTGGGTCTGGTGGGCCGTCTGCTCAACGGCTTGGGCCTGGGCGGCCTCGTCAACGGCCTCCTCGGCGGCTTGGGCATCAACAAGCTCCTCAACGGCCTCGGCCTCGGAAGCATCAGCGAGGCGCTCGGCGGCAAGAAGAAGGAGAAGAAGAAGGGCGATGGCGCCAAGGGTCTGCCGCTCGTCGGCGGCCTCTTCGGCAGCAAGTAAACAACGCTGCGCACCGCAAAGTCTGTGTGTGGAGAGGAAAGAGTGGGGATCACGTAATTGATGAACAGAAAAGAAAGCAAAACTGCATGCCAGCTCACTCGGTCAGGCGCCTGCCAGCCTGGTGGCTGATGGGGAGGGAAAGTTGGAAGAAGCTCGTGGCTTCTGTGGGAGGAGGCCGCGAAGATTCACCTTCTGGACTTCTCCTTTTCGGTATTGGGCAGCAGAGCACCGATTGATCGTGTGTGTGCTGGGAAACTGTATTCTGACCTTGGGCATGACTTTGGAAAAGTTTCAACATGAGACCATGAAGCCATGATTAGCATTCCTTTCACGACATTTTCTTTTGTTTTTGACTTCTTTTTTTCCAGTAGCGGATTTCATTTTTCTTTTTGCTTCTTCCTTTTGGGATGAGCATTTACTACTGTACTCTTGGTTCTCTGTTTCGAGGTTTAATAGGCGAGGAGGAAGGTATATGCTTGTAACGAAGGATGTGTGTTAGTATAGCATAATTTACGATGTGGAGTATATTATACATTCAACCCGAATGGCTTGGTCATGCAGAGAGGTGAGATGCGACGCAAAGGAGGAGGTCACGGTGTCGTGCTTATCGGCGGCAAAGGCGTCGGAGAACGGCGACCGAAGTGATGAACCGATCGCAAGAGTCCGTGTGATGTATCCACCAAAGCGCGTTAGCAGCCATATCGTCTCTGTGCTCGTCGGCCAGACGTGGTTGAGAGCGGGTGGGATATAAAAGGTGTCAGTCAGTAGTGCATCATGGTGCGCCGAGCATTCAATCCATCATTGCATTCTGCGGGCTAAACTCGAAGAGTAAGTCTCAGGCAATTCCTAAAGTCTACGGTATCATTTTGACCAGGACAGAAACCTACGGAGCGAACGAGCAAACGAGCGAACCAGCACCATGGCAGCCACTACTACTACTACATCGAAACGGACGATCGACTTCGAGCCGAAATACATCACCTTCGACTGCTACGGCACGCTCACCGACTTCAACATGTCGCGCATGGCGCGCGAGGTGTACGCGGACCGGCTCTCGGGCAGCGAGCTCGAGCGGTTCGTCAAGCTCTTCGCGGGCTACCGCGTCGACGAGGTCATGGGGCCCTACAAGCCATACCGCGACGTCATCCTCGGCGCGCTGGCGCGGGCGTGCGCGCGCACCGCGGGCGCCGTCGCCTTCGACGCCGCCGAGGCCGAGCGCTTCTACGCCGCCATCCCGTCGTGGGGCCCGCATCCGGACGTGCCGGCCGGGCTGGGCCGGCTGGCGGCCAAGTACAAGCTGGTGATCCTGTCCAACGCCGCCGACGACCAGATCGCGCACAACGTCGAGAAGCTGGGCGCGCCCTTTTGGCGCGTCTTCACCGCGCAGCAGGCCGGCAGCTACAAGCCGCGCATGCAAGGGTTCGAGTACATGTTCGAGCAGCTGGGCTGCGGGCCTGAGGACGTGCTGCACGTGTCGAGCAGCCTGAGGTACGACCTGATGACGGCGGAGGCCATGGGCGTGGGGTGCAAGGTGTTTGTGAAGCGCGGGCACGAGCCGTCGACGCCCGAGTACAACTACTACGAGGTGGACGACATTGGGCAGTTGGCGGACATGCTGGGCGTGTAGAGAGAGAGAGTAATGATGAGACGCGGGCACGCGGGTTGGAGGCTTGGAGGCTTGGAGCAATCTCGGGCGCAAAGGATCAATCGACGGCGTTGGTTTGTTGTGGGCCGGTGATCAGACACACCCTCAAGCTGAGGCAGCGGTCCTAAATTAAGCACATCACGAGACGGGCTGCTAGCGAGATTCATTCGAGGGTCCAGTCGGCTGGAGACGCCGGGGTGCTTAAAGCGAGCGCCGACTGCTGCAGCGAAACGCGTCCCTGGCGATCCCCGTGTTTTACATTGCGCGTCGCTCTGTGTCGCCGCCAACGGGGCCGCCTTACGTCACCTCCTCTCCTTGCGCCCTCGTACCGCCCTAGCGCCGTCAGCACAGCCGCCCGCCCGTCTCTTCAACACCACGCCGTCTGCGGCGCCACTCAGCCGCACTCCCATTTTCACCACCGTCGCTCGTTCCGCCCGTTGCCACCCGCCCGCCTCCCGCCCGCCCACTACGCCCGTCGCTTCCACATTTTAAGCCCCTGCCCGCACGCCACATTCCCTACTTACTTTTTTTTTCCTCTTTCGCAAAACTCACTCCAATATCCGACCGCAAGATAGCCAATTCCGGCATCTCCACAGAAACAAAAACAAAAAAGACGAGAAAGCTGCAACAATCCAATCCAGTCCAATCCAATCCAGTCCAGTCCAATCCAATCCAATCCAACCCAACCCAACCATGCGCGCCCTTCCCCTCCGCCTGGGCCTCCTGTCCCTGCTGGCCTCCGTCTCCGCCGCCCGCAACCTCCAACTCAACAACCTCCTCCCGCTCCACCGCCGCGGAAACGATGACTCCTCCTCCGCCACCTCCACCACCACCACCTCCTCCGCCCACGGCTCCATCACCGCCGTCCCCCCCAACGTCGTCACCCTAACCGGCCACTCGACCGCCAGCGCCACCGCCAACGACGACGACGACGACGACGACACCACCGTCCTCACCACCGTCGTCAACGGCCACACGACGCGCGTCACCATGCTCGTCGCGTCCAGCGGCGCCGCCGCCTCGTCCGACGGCATCGTCGTGCTCACCGGCACCGAAGACGTGCCTTCGTCCACGGCGACCGCGTCCGTCACCTCCTCGCGCGTCAACGGCACTTCGACCGTCCAGCAGTCGTCGGTGACGACGGCGACTACCAGCTTGAGCGATGACGATGATGCGGCGACGGCGACGGAGAGGGCGGCGGCGACGGGTGGGGAGGGCGCTGGCCAGACGCAAGGCGCTGCGGCGAGTACTACTAGTACGGGCGGTGCGGCGCCGGCGTGGGCGACGCCGGCGGGGGCGGTGGGGTGGTGGGTTGGGTTGGTGGCTGGTGGTGTTGGGGCGGGGGCGGTTGTGGGGTTGGTTTGAGAGGGAGAGGGGGAGGGAGAGTGAGAGTGAGGGAGGTGGATTTTGTGGTTTTTCTTTCTTTCTATTCTTTCTTTCGTTCGTTCGTTCGTTCGTTTGGCTTTCGCTACGAATGTTTCGTCGTCGATTGACGGCTTTTTTTCTTTCCCTTTTTTTTTTTCGGGATGACTGCTGCGAGATTTGGTCGGCTTCGGCATGCATGCATCCTATGATACACACACAAAAATCATGTGAGGGTTGTTTTTGTTATAGCTGGTTTATAATGGTACGACTGTGGGCGTTCGGGGCGGAGAGGTTTCTACGGAATGGGATTTGTTTTATGCTGACTGAAACATGGGATGTGATTATGGGAGAGGGTTGTTTATGCAACCCCGGCGCTCAAAGACATGATTGGTCGCACTTGGACCCCTCCAAAAAGACCGACGTTCCATGATCAAACCGATCATCCTTCGAGAAGAAGCCAATGATGATGCCACGCCATGGTACAAGACGATCTTCGGCGGGTTTCCGTAAGAGGCAACAGTCGCTTACTTGCTCACACTGTCAGGGATACTTCAGCCTGTATGCCCCGCAGCGGGGTCGCTGAACCAAAGCCGCTGTATATCAATTTCTGCCCTCGCTGATGTGCCTCTGCAGCTCCAATCCCGCGTAACTCCGGATCGTGTAACTACCATTCAACCACAATGACCGCCGAGGGAGCTTCATCGTCGTTCATGAAGACGCAGCTCTTCATCAACAATGAGGTAAACCACACACTACCTATGCCCCTCCCTCTCCATCTGGCCCCGCACGAAGACACAACGTCTAATCCTTCTGCACGAGAGAGCATCTTATTTCTAAACAATTCCCACACAGTACGTCGACGCCCAATCGGGGGAGTCCTTCCCCCTCTACAACCCCGCCGACGAGTCCCTCCTCCACCCGGCCATTCCCATCGCCGGTCCCGCGGACGTCGACGCCGCCGTCGCCGGCGCTCAAGCAGCGTGAGTTGCCCCTCCTCCCCCCAACCAAAATAAAAAAAAGCAAAACAACAACAACAACAAAAACCCAGTTTCGCACCCACATCCCCCTGGCGCGCCTCCTTCCCCGCCAAGCGGCGCGCCGCCGCCATGCACAAGCTGGCGGACCTGATGGAAGCGAACGCGGGGCAGCTGGCCCGACTGGAGACGCAGGCCATGGGCCAGCCGCCGGCGGTCAGCGGGCTGATGGTGCGGTGGGCCGCCGACGCGTTCCGCTACTACGCCGGCTGGGCCGACAAGGTCGCCGGCCAGGCGTTTCCCGGCGAGCGAGACGAAGACGGGGACGGTGATGGTGCGATGGGGTCGTACAAGATTGTCAGGTACGAGCCGCTGGGCGTATGTGCGGGGGTCGGGGCGTGGAATGCGGCGCAGAGGTTAGTTGGGACCCCTTTTTTTTTCTTGTTCTTTTGTCTTTTCTTTTTTTTAAAGAGAGAGAGAGAGAGAGAGAGAGAGAGAAGCAAAAGCGTGTTGGATAGGCAACATCTCGGGATTGAATCGAGCGAGAAAGCAGAACCACTTACCTACACTTATTACTCACCCATTAACCCGCGCCAAACCCAGCAACTTCGCCTGGAAAGCCGCCCCAGCCCTCGCCGCCGGCAACACCATCATCTACAAGCCGTCAGAAAAAGCGCCGCTCGGGATCCTCGCGCTGGGGACCCTCATCAAAGCCGCAGGCTTCCCCCCGGGCGTCGTCCAGCTGCTCTCCGGTCCGGGCAGCACCGGCGCCCTGCTGGCATCGCACCCACACGTGGCCAAGATCAGCTTCACCGGCTCCGCCGCGACGGGACGCCGGATCCAAGACGCGGCGACGCGCTCCAACATGAAGCGCGTCACGCTCGAGCTGGGCGGCAAGTCGCCCGCGCTCGTCTTCGCCGACGCCGACGTCGCCAACGCCGTGCGCCACTGCTCGCTCGGCTTCCTGCTCAACAGCGGCCAGGTGTGCGCCGCCGCCGGCCGCGTCCTCGTGCACGAGGACGTCGCCGCCGCCTTCGTCGACGGCCTCCGCGCCGCCTTTGAGCACACGGCCCGCGCCATGCGCGGCGAGCCCGGCCTGGATGATGCCGCCACCGTGCATCCGCTGCAGCTGCTGGGGCCCCTGGCCGACCGCGCCCAGTTCGAGCGCGTCACGGGCTTCATCGAGCGCGCCAGGGCGGAGGCGGAGACGGCGGAGGGACGAGGAGGGCTGCTGACGGGCGGCGGGCGCGTGGGCGACAAGGGCCTCTTCGTCGAGCCGACCATCTTCGTGGATCCCAAGCCCGGCAGCGAGATCTATACGGACGAGATCTTCGGCCCGGTGAGCACGGTGACGACGTTCAAGACGGAGGAGGAGGCCGTGGCGCTGGCCAACGACACTCCGTACGGCTTGTCTGGTATGTCGTCCTTTTTTTGCTTTCCTCTGGTGGTCGAAAGAGGGGGGGAGATGGGGGGCGAATTCCGCCCGTAGACTGACGTGGGTCGCATCGACAGCGACGCTATACACCAGCTCCATCTCGCGCGCCCTGCGCGTGTCGGGCTTGCTCGAGGCCGGCACCGTCGGCGTCAACACGTCCTTCATGCCCAGCCCGACCACGCCCTTCGGCGGCGTCAAGCAGAGCGGGTCCGGCAGGGAGCTGGGCTTCCAAGGCCTGCTGGCCTATCTGGACACCAAGACCATTCATATCAAGTGAGTCGTTCGCCATTTTCGATGCGAGAATCCCCGCCCGACCGACGAGAGGATGGGACCGCTGACCGTAAGCAACAGCATGAACGTCTAGACAAGGATGGGACCATGGGAAAACAGGAACAAAATATGATAGGGTAATGGAAGATTGAGACAGTAGGGACTTTACCTTGGTTGAAATGAAATGATTTTACACGAAGATGATGCAGTGTCCATTTCACTTTCCTTTCGTTCCTCAAACACTGCCACTTAGACACCACGTGCGGTTCGACGACAAGGGAAAGAGCACACCAATCGGCGCTCGTGTTTAATCTCTCTCAGCCACACTGTGCAAATGCTAATGCTGCGAAGAATGGTAATGCGAGCGAGGTGAGGAAAAGAGTATGGAGAGTCGCACTAGTAATACTTCAAGCCAATTAACCATTAAAAACCATCCAAGCCCTGCAATTCGTCACCCGACCCAGCCCATGCCCAGTCCATTTTTCCACCAATCGTCGTGACGGTCATCAATCATGAGTCCTTCATGCAGGAGATTAAAACGGGACAAGCGTACGCGATGCGAGTAATAGTACGCAGCACACTCGTCACAAGAGGGAAAAATTAATAGAGAGAAAAAGGGGGGACTCAGAAGGAGAAGAAATATGAGAGAGAGGGGGGAATCCAGGCAACAAGAATGAGAAGGAAACGAATAAAGAAAGAAAAAGTCAAACAAGAACGAAAACCCCATCGCCATCGTCGTCATCACCACCGCCCATCGCTTAGCTAGCCCCTTTACCGCCAAACCATCCATTTCTTCTTCTTCTTCCCACCCACGTCCTTCCCACCCGGCCTCTTCTCGCCGTAGCTCCTGAAGCTCCCCAAGGAATCCTCATCGCTCAACTCCTCGTCATCATCGTCATAGTACCTGCTATCCCTCCTCCCGCTCTCACGCCTCACGCCACCGCCGTCGCGAGCGCCGCTCATCTCCCTCGGGATGGCAGTGGGCGGCGTCTGCGGCAAGTCGCGAGGCGCGTACCGGCGATCTCCCATGCCGGCCGCCGTGTCGACCGGAGGAAGAGGCGGCGGCGGACCGCCACGTGGCTGGGGTAGCGGCCGCCTGCTGCTCGGGACGGGCTCGTTGCCGTATTGGACTATTGGTGACGGCGGCTGCTGCTGCTGCTGCTGCTGCTGCGCGTGCTGCTGTTGATGGCGCATGGAGTTGGTGCGAGGAGGGCTGTCGTACATTACGGGCGCGATGGTGCGTGGCTGCACCGGGTAATTCCCTTGCGACTGCGTCGCCACGGGCGGTGGCACGTACTGACCGCTACCGCCCCGCGGCTGGTATTGGGCGCCGTCGCCACCGTAGTCGTGGCCATTCCCACCGCGGCCGGAGCGACGATCTTGAGGAGGAGGAGGAGGAGGACCGCCGCCGCTGCCGCGACGACCACCGTAGCCTCCAACTTGGCTGAGTTCTTCGATGGCCGCCTCCTCGCTCGCCGTCGGCGATGGGCTGCGGCTATCGTAGTACTCGTCTTCTTCAAAGTCCTTCTTCTTCTTCCTACGGATGCTGAAGAAGCTCTTGAGGCCGCCACTGCTTGGCCTTCTCTCACTCAGGACGTTCTCGTCGGGTGGCCCTTCGTAATAGAGGGCAGGCACGAGGAGACGATAAGGCGTGGTGATGCCTGCGGGATCTTTTTGGCTGACCTCGAGATTCAAGACGACGTCGAGGCCATTTTCGAGGTTGATGGCGTTCAGGTCTGGATTGTCCGGATCGTCCTCGGCAAAAGCCCCGCCCTTACGAGCGGCCTTGATGCTTAGGCCCGTGGGGCGGCGGTGGAAGAGATTCGGCCGAGGAGCGTCGGTCATGGATGCCTGGCGCTGATCATACGACTCGGTAGACCGGTTCGCCATGCCCATGGTTGCGGCACGTTGCGGAGTGTGGTATCCACTTGGAGTTTGAGAGTCTGAGCTCTGACGCCGATGTCCGAAATCTTCAGCGCTAGACCCACGGCGTCCGCCGTGGGAATCGCGGTTGAAGAAGGCTACGGGCGGGCCCTTTTCACGCTTTGAGAGTCGTCTGACGAGATTACCGGGCCTGAAGTCACTTCGAGTAAGTGACAGTGAACGGGTCAGCTTAGGAGGCTGCATGACCGGGGATGGTGTCCTTGTTGGAGGCGTGGGCGGAGGCGTGGAGCCAGGTTGATATTCACGAATGGAGCACCAGTTCCGACGAGGAAGTAGATGATGGTTGTTACGTGGCTTGCCATCCACATCATGAGGGAACATGGGAATCATGTCCTCATCCGTATCTGCATCGAGATGATGGACCTTGTTGCGCTTGTTGAGAATGTCGCCCATGAGCTCCGGCGGAGGCGTATTGACAATGGCCGAGGAAATGACGTTCGGCATATAGCGGTGATCCCGGTCCTTTGGAATGCCCAGTTTCTTGTTGCTGTAGAACTGTCCGACCGCGGCAAGATGGACATCTCCACCAAGAATGGTGATCCGGACAGACTTATCGGCTGCAAGCTCCTGAAGCTCTTGAATGAACCAGTTGCGCTCTGCCTTGTGGTGCTTGGCTGTCCAATGGTCGTCCAGGTCATCCAGGATTTCAACGCCGCCGTCGAACTTGTTGACGAAACCCCCAAGCATGCCGGTCCTACCGAGGGCTTTGACGGGATCCATAATACGCGAGGTGAGAACATTCTCCAAGAAGTTCAATCTAGGGTAAGCAATCGGCACTCCGAGTAGTACTATCAAATGCTTCGTATCGCCCTCGATGATCTCCTTGCGGCATCTGTCAAAGACACGGTAGTACGTTTCCGCGCTGAGGATCTCGTCCCTCTGAACTTCGTTAGCGGGAGATTTCAACAGATTCGGCGAAATACACTCACCATCCGCTCTGTTCGGCAGTCCAGTCCGACAAAAGCTACATTCTTTCCGAGGAACATGAACACACTACGACTGAGTTGGTCGATGTAGGGGCCAGGTGCTGCCCCCAGGAGCCACGAAGGTTCGTCGATCTCGGTCTCATCAGGCAAGCTCTGGTGCTGGAAGAGCATGTAGTATTTGAACGCCACGGCGCCCAAGCCGCAGAACACGGCATTCCTCATGAAGTGGTGAGGATACGAGCCAAAGCCCTACAGAGTATTAGCGGTACGAAGTGAATGTGAGCCTCGATCGTCTTACATCAATGATGTCGTGGTCATCCCACATGTTGATCATTGGAATCTGAGAGTTTGCCATTCCAAAGAAGCCTTGAGAGAACCACATCGCATATCGGTTGAGGTAGAACTCCTCGAGCTCGTTCTGCATCTCATCGCTGAACTCGGCCGAATGCTTGTGCACTGCGTTCTTTGTGCCCAGCCAATCCCGGAAGTAGTTGGTCTGCCTCGTAGCAGCATCGTTGTAGATTTGATCTCCACCGCCGATCATGACGTGGAAAGGGCGGGTTTGGTGATTGTTCAGGACGTCTCGCCAGAGAGGGTCGGGGCCGCAGAACTCGTGCGGATTCACGCTCAAGCTGAATCCGTTGCAGCTGTGGAACATGATGTTCATGGTCTCCCCTCTCGCCGGAACCCAGAACCCAATGGCTGGTCCCTTGTTGATTCGGTAGGCCACGCGGGCTTGCGTATTACCGAGTTCCACCTCCAGATTGAAGCGCCAAAACGTTACGCCCCGTTCAGCGTACAGCCGGACACCTTTGACCTCTCGGTACTTGCCACACTTCTCTCCGTCCTTTTTCCTGATGCGCGATGTGTGGTTACTCGCACTCTTGGATTCCTCATACAGCCCACTGTCATCCTCTCGTCTGGAAAGATCGGCTTCTTCCTGCAGATCCTCCACAGGTTTGACGTATAAAGTCTTCCCTGTACGAGACATCTTGATCTCACCCGCGAGGGGATCCACATATTCCGACGCGAGCTTCTGGCCGGTCGATTCATCAAGCTGCGCCGGTGGAGGTGGCAGAAGGTCCTTGGGCTGGAGAAACAGTCTCAACGCCGGGCGTCTTTCATATGACGAATGCTGGTCGATGGTCACAATCATGACACTGCCCCGCCATGTCCACTTATCGCTGCGACCCATGCGAGTTTCACGTGTCATTCCACAATACCGGAGTAAGGGACCGCACTTGATGTACAATGGAGGAGTGAAGTGAGTTTGACCGGGAGGTTCCTCATACACACCATCGGCTTGTGCCATACCGGGTCCGCTACTTCTGCGGTGCTGAGCGTTGCGCTTTTCCCACCACGGCATTTTGGAGTCGCCGTCTTTCTCTGCGCCGTCGATGTTCAGATCCTCGGCTGCCAAGGTTGCAGCTTCGGCGGTCTTCCACTCCTCCAGCGGCTGGGATGACGCATAGCGGCGTTCCTCATGATGATGGCGATGAAACATGTCCGAAAAATGATGGTTGTGACTCTGCTCAGGCGCAGACGGAAGGTGAGAATCCTCTCTCTCGAATGCAAGCTGGTCATGTGCACGTTGCGCATTCACAGTCTGTGGGGGTACCTGGTACTTTGGTCCTGGACCGGGATTGCGGACCGCCTCTGCTGGCAAGGGATCCTGAGGCTGAGAGCGCGCAGCAGCCCGACTTCCTTGTGCATGTCCAGTCCGATCACTTTGAAGTTGTCTGTGTGAGTCTGGCATGGCGGCTGCATCTCGGTTGCCCTGCTGCTGATACACGTCCGGCTGAGCGCGCTTCTGGAGTTTCCTGCTGTTGCTCCGGCCAACAGCCGGTTGCTCTTGGCCTTGGTATCCACGATCGCCAGCGGCACCGACGCCAATGCCTGCTCCCGCGGCTGCTCCTATAGCGCCTGCAGACAGGGGAGCACCATTGCCCCGGGAGTAAGAGTTCTGCCGCGAATGCGTCGACTCTACCCTTGCAGAGCGGTCACGATAGCTGGTGGAGCGAGCAACATCCGGATCTACCTGAGAACTTCGCTTCATTTGAGTGTCGATTGGCCCCTCATATTGCGGGACACGAGCCCTGCGCTGTGAGCCCTGGTCCTGCCGCGGCACCTCCTGCCATGGTTCACTGAACTCGACCTTGGGTTTCTCGGCCTGACGGGGTTCCACAAGACCGCTGGTTGGCAAGGAGAAGTTGCGTTTCCCACTAGCCGTCCTCTGAGGGGCCGGAGCAGCCTGCGCTGGCCCAGACGCATGGCGAGGTTGAGCGACTGCTGCAGACGCCTTTTGTACGGAACCACGCTTGCCAGCCTTCCTCTCCTGAGCCGCGGCCTCGGCTTCCAGCATCCTGGCTCGGCGCTCTTCCTTACTTATATCGTCCAGAGCTCCCTCTAGCTTCTGCAGGGGAGAACGGTGTGATACAGAGCCGGATCTGCCCCGTTGTACACCGGCAGTGCCAGACGAGCTCCGTTCAGAGAAGTCGGTCGTGGGTGATATTGGAGTAGTCGCGGCCGGGGTCGTGGGAGACGGGTCGTATACCCTCGAGCTGGAGGATTGCTGTTGCACGCCCGGCGGTGCTGGTTGATTCCTCCGCACGGCAGCAGGGGCGGGCTCGTAGCGCTTATGACTTCGTGACCGTGCGGGAGCAGCGTAACTTCCGGTGTACTGCTCCTTGTAGGCCACAGGAGGGCCACGGGGCGCATCTTGAGCGGGCAACGGCTGGCCGTTTCTTACTGGCTGGTTGGAATGGCTCCTCCTGCGACGCTGCGAGTTGGACCCGTTCTGCGGCTGGGGAGGGTAGTCTCTTGCATATTCAATCTCTTCCGGATACGGCTCGGGCGGGTTTGTGGCAAGAGCGTATCCGGGCTGGGGCTGGGGCTGGGGCTGGGGCTGCTTCGCATGACGGCGGTAGGAAGAGGCCTGGTGAGGATCGTAGCCTGCGGGCGGATAGGAACCGCTGTTGCGCCTGGGCCGGGGATCCATTCTCTGCAGCATATATCAGTCGACCGTCGCACAAGTTCGCGACCAGGCTCACGCACAAACGCGCGACTGCCGGCGCACACGGCCGCTTCGGCGCGGGCAAGCGTGCGGCGGATTCAAGACCAAGAGGCGGCGGACGCAGGGAAAGCAGGTGAGCTGGGCGGGCTATCGGGAAGACATGGGCTCGTCGCGTGCGGAGCTGGAGAGTCAATGGGCGGCGTTCACGGCGGGCGACAGGTGCAGACACAGGGCCAATGGGCGGGTTGGGCGGCAACGCGACTGAGGCAGCGTGGGCGCAAGAGAGCAGCGCAGCAGGAGGATATGAACGCGAGTGCGGTAGCGCCAGCGCAGCCGATGTTGAGCAGGGAAACGCACAATGATGTGGCTGCTCCCAGCCACTCGCGCGGATTAGGGCGTAGTGCTGCTGACCGACGGCTGCCCACCACAGCGGCCACCAGCCCACCACCCCAGGTTGGCAGGCTCCCACCTCCCGCTCGGGAAAGCGCGAGATGCGCGGCAGGCAGTCCCAGCTGTGCTAGCCACGCGGATCCCGCGCGCTGGGCGCTGCTGCTGGTCCGTGCGGCGCTGCTGCTGCCCTGGGTCGCCTGGAGCGCTTGACTGCCTAACGCGGTAAGGTCCGGCCGCCGGGGCGCAAGCGGCTTTGATCTCCCGCGAGTCTGACCTTCTCCCTGGCCTCGTAATGCGCCGCCGCTCCAGGCCTCCGCAACCACCTGTCGTCTCGCACCAGCCCGTCCGCCCCAGACCGACACATGTCCTGACTGCGCGCCCGCTGCCCCAATTCACAGCCAGTCTGCGGCTCCATCCCACCCCGGAGCACCGCCTCCGATTCCACCTCCGCCCGCCCTCTTAGGACACCTTGTTTGTACGCCTCGACAACCCGACCCTGCCCAGTGCCACGCCCCCGCTGACGAGTCCTGCACCCCCAGAATCGCATTTGTACGCTGTATGCAATAGCCGTAATACTCAGCCTGCTTGCCCGCCATGCGCCGTTCCCTTCTCTGTTCGCTGCTGGCCGCCGCCTCTGCGCTCGCCGCCTGGGACCTCCCTCCGCGCAACTACGAGACCCACGACTATTACGCGTTACAAATAGACGGCTCCTCTTCCCCGTCCGAAGTGGCCGCGCGACTCGGACTCGAATATGAAGGCCAGCTAGGTGAGCTGGACGGCCACCACCTGTTCAGCGCTCCCAAGCACGACGACGACATCGTTGCCGACGCGGTCAAGGAATCGAAGCGTCGTAGACGGAAGAGAGACAGCCCATACGAATACACGCCCCTGGACGGCGTCCGCTTCCACCAGAAACAGGTTGCGAGGAAACGCCTGGTGAAGAGGGGGCCTGTTTCGCAGGATGCCATGGCGAGAGCAAGGCTGGCCCGGCGTGATGAGGGGGATAGTCCGGAGGATTCCGTTGCTGTCGCTGCTCGGAAGACTGTCATTGACACTCTAGAAATCAAAGACCCAATCTTCACCGATCAGTGGCATTTGTTCAATACTTTGGAAGTCGGGAACGACCTCAATGTCTCTGGACTCTGGCAGGATGGTATCACAGGCAAAGGCTCAACCGTATGCATTGTTGACGACGGCCTCGACATGGACAGTGAGGATCTCAAGGACAACTACTTCCGCGATGGCTCATATGACTACAACGACCACGTCAAAGATCCCAAGCCGAGACTCTCGGACGACAGACACGGCACCAGATGCGCCGGCGAGGTTGCGGCTGCTAAGAACAACGTGTGCGGTGTTGGCGTCGCCTGGAACTCGAGGATCTCTGGAGTGCGCATCCTCTCTGGAGGCATTACCGACGCTGACGAGGCACTCGCCATGAACTACGCCTACCAGGACAACGACATCTACTCGTGCTCCTGGGGACCCCCTGACGATGGAAAGTCTATGGATGCGCCGGGCATCTTGATTCGAAGAGCAATGGTCAAGGGTGTTCAGAAGGGCCGAAACGGCAAAGGTTCCATCTATGTTTTCGCTGCCGGGAACGGTGCCGCCAGCGATGACAACTGCAACTTCGACGGCTACACGAACAGCATTTACAGCGTGACGGTTGGCGCCATCGATAAGCTGAACGGGCATCCTTATTACTCGGAGAGGTGCTCTGCGCAGCTCGTGGTAACGTACAGCAGCGGCATGAGCGATTCCATCCATACTACCGACGTGGGCACGGACAAATGCAGCACGACCCACGGAGGAACCTCCGCTGCTGGGCCCCTTGTTGCTGGTATCTACGCGCTTGCACTCGAGGCTCGACCCGCCTTGACCTGGCGCGACATCCAGTGGATTACTGTCAACACGGCCGTCAAGTTTGAGTCGCAAAGCGATTGGCAGGAAACGCCCTATGGCAAGCAATACAGCCACCAGTTTGGCTTTGGCAAGGTCGATGCGTACGCTCTCGTTGAGGCAGCCAAGAAGTGGGAACTGGTCAAACCGCAGGCATGGTATTTCTCTCCGTGGATGCATGTGAAGCACGCAATCCCCCAAGGCGAGAAGGGGCTTGCCAGCACTTTCGAGGTTACCGAGGGCATGCTGAAGAAGGCAAATCTGGAGAGGCTCGAGCACATCACCGTCACCATGAACGTCGATCACACGAGGCGCGGCGATCTTAGTGTCGAACTCCGTAGCCCAACCGGCATCGTCAGCCATCTGTCGACTGCTCGCCGTCATGACAGCCATGCGGGAGGCTACGACGACTGGACCTTCATGTCCGTTGCGCACTGGGGCGAGAATGGCATCGGTAACTGGACTGTCATCGTCAAGGATACCAACGTGAACGATCACAGCGGTTCCTTCACGGACTGGAAGCTCCGCCTTTGGGGCGAGTGCATCGACGCCAACAAGCAGACGCTCCTGCCCATGCCCGAGGAGAGCGACGACGACGACCACGACATCATCATCGCGGACCCGCACACGACCGAGATCACAGTCCCCTCGACGGCAGCTCCCACGGCCACCCCCAGCGATCTCCCCGACCGCCCGACCAAGCCCAAGCCCACGGGCACCGACGCCGAAGTCACCCCCTCCAAGCCCGCCGCGACGGGCGCCTCTCCCTCGGTCACGGCACCGGCCGACAGCAGCAACGGCACGGCCACGCCCGGCGACAACTTCCTGCCCTCGCCCTTCCCCAGCTTCGGCGTCAGCAAGCGCACGCAGATCTGGATCTACGGCTCCCTCGGCCTCATCGCCGTCTTCTGCTGCAGCCTCAGCGCCTACCTCTGGTGGGCGCGCCGCAAGCGCCTCCGGGCCAACCCGCGCAGCGAGTACGAGTTCGAGCTCGTCGACGGCGCCGAGGACGACGGCGCCGCCGACGCGCTCAACGGCGGTGCCGGCGGCGGCCGCAAGGGCAAGAGGCGCGCGGGCGAGCTGTACGACGCGTTTGCGGGCGAGAGCGACGACGATTTGTTCAGCGACAGCGACGACGGGTATAGAGATCATCCCGAGGGTGATGACGAGGAGGAGGAGGAATTCGATGAGAAGACGGGACTCACGTCTGGTGGGAGTGGAGGCAGCTCGCATGACGGACGGTAGAAAAAGCGTTGTGTTCATGTAAGTCATTTGAGAGAGACCGTATGTGTGTGTTCGCTCATGGGATTTTGAGGGGCTCAAATCTTTTGCGCGGAACAGAGAGCCCTCTCGAATGATTTAATTGTTTTTTCTTCGGGGTTTATGATGTATGTATGGACTTTAGACCCTGTTCATGTGGATTGTTTGAGCCATTGACTGTATGCAAATTTTTTTTCCTTTCCTTTTCCCTTTCCTTTACAGCATTGTTGGGTGGCGCAATCGCCTTGTCTTTTCTTTCCTCTCCGTCTCTCTCGTCTCGCTGCTGTTTGAGGAAAGACACGAGGTGACGGGAACATGCTTGTTTTTGCTTGTTTAGACGCATCTGGGATGGTGTGGCTCCGAAGTTAGGTTACGTGTACCATGGAAATGGGAGTCGAAGTCAGAGCCTCGATCTGGGACTGACTAACCGTGTTCTGAGTCTTGCTGCTAAGGCGTGATGGTCAAAAGTTTGCTTGCGGCCGCTCCTGTTTCTGAAGCCATGGTTGACGGGCTAGATAGTTTGGATGTACAGCTGCGACAGGAGTCATCCTCCTTCATGTTCCTGGCTAATCAGAAGTGACGCCGGTATCTTCCGCAGTCCATCTGCCTCTCGGCTCTTTCCAGAGCACATCAAAAGAATGCAAAAAAGGCTAACCCTGACAAGCAAAAAGGAGAAGCCAATCATGGCCGACGCGCCAGCATCGCCGAGCTCGGGCCGACGAGATATAACACATCTCCATTTTCCCGTTTGTCCCACCAGCCAGCAAGCACGACCCAACATCCTCACAAAACAAGGCACCAAACAAAAAAAAGAAGCTTCTTCGGACTCTTGTTACGCGACATCTGTGAGATTCGAACTCACGCTCCCGAAGGAACTGGCTATACAGCTAAGGGCTCGATTTGCCTTGGGAAATCAGAGGTTTGAAGCTCTGAGGTCTGCAGCACGCCAATAGCAGGCCAGCGCGTTAACCACTCCGCCAAAATGCCTTGTGTCAAGGTCCAGAGGAGGTCTAGCTGATTATGTAATGGCCGCCGACCCGGATGCATTATATCATGATGCCTGCAACGCGAGGCGGAATATCAGAAGCCTTCGGTACATCTATCAGCGTAATTCCATGACTTGGGTGCAACACTCACCAAAAGACGCCGTGCGGCAGCCGGGACGGGTCCGGTCACGTCACTGCCCAAAAACTGGGTGTGCATTTCGAATCTTTGCTCCCGCCAACACCCAAGTCCATCAGGGCCTACGGCATTCTCATCCCCACTGGAGTGGTGGTATGCATCGGACTTGAGTGCTCGCCAGCTCAACAAGACACCAACATACTGGTCAGAGCAACACAGCAAGAAGCCAAAACAAAGCATGGACCATTCTTTCCGTCCATTGGATCAGTGTACATCTGTTGGTTTAGCTTCTCGCTTCAGATAGTCTTCGTTGATTCCCTTCTGGAATGGAACACCTAGATTCGAAGACCACGATGTAGACAGTGTACGGAATGCAATGCACCAAGCACTGCGGAAACACAACTCCAGGAGCAGCTTCCGTAATTGCCATGGTACTTCGCAGCACTGAAAGCACTACACCCTGAACCACAGCGACCCTGTTCCCTGTTGCGCATCTATTGGCCCCGATGGGGGCCGAAAGAACCTTGCACAATGACATCACCCTTCCGGACCAATTTGACGCAGTTATATTCAGCTGAAGACACCTTACTGAACCTAGTTTGATTTCCACAATCCGCGCTCCCTCGTTCGAAAATGGTGACCACGACGAGTCTTCTCATCCCCCTGCTAGCCCTCCTCAGCAACTTGGACGCGACCATCGCCTCCCCACCATTGTCAGAGTACGCTCCCACGTGCCCCCAGATCTCAGCCGATCCCATCCCGGTCCAACAAATCCCGTCCCATTTCCCGCCCCGAGCCGTCATCGACGTCTCCGCCACGGAAACGATCAAGCGCACCCTCGCCACGTACGCGCTCGCGGTCGACGGGAAGGACTGGGCGGCCCTCGGCGCCGTCTTCGCCGCCGACGCGGTGGCCAACTACTCGGCGCCTCTCGGCGTCCTGACGGGCCTCTCGGCCATCCGATCCACGCTGTCCGCCAGCCTCGCGCAGTTCGCCGGGACGCAGCATAGCTTGGGGACGCAGATTGTCGACGTCTGCGCCTCTGGCGTGGCTGTTTCGCTGACCTACTACACTGCTACGCACTACTTGCAGGGCGCTGCTCGGAACTCGACGTCAATCGTGAATGGTGGCCAGGTGCTGTATGCTCATGGGCAGTATCAGGATACGTGGAGCAAGCAGCAGGACGGCAGTTGGAAGATTGTGATTAGGAACTTGGTGTACATGGTGAGTGGCCTCGAGAACGGCCAGTGATTAGCGCAGATGAGGTGTGCTGATACGTGAACAGGGTCCGTTGATATCCGATGTAACTTCTTGAAAGCTCCACACGCTGGTCTTGAATAGATAGGTTTCCAATCCAGCCCTACGACAAAGCACATGGATGCTCACGGGGGTCAGTAACTGCCTCCTCAAGGAGGATAGATCAGACAACGTGCAACCCTCCTGTTTTGGTGATTGAGACGAGTAATTGAGGGGCAAGCCCATAACGACGCTGGGACGGAGCAGGCCAGACCTGCGCCGAAGAGTCACTGCGGCAACGGGAAGATTGGATCAAGCCGAAATCCTAGCGCGGTTGTCATCTGCACGCCCTGCAGCGGATTCAACGTGGTGGTGGTCCGTCATCGGCAAGCTGCGTGTCGTGATTGCTAAGCCATTGGCGAATGAAAAGCGGCAGTAGCCGAGCGAGCGAGTTGCTTGTACGAAAGAAGAACTACGGCGGCGGCAGAGCTCCCGTCCAAGAGGAGACAGGACGTCGTGCGGATGCGGGGTAGCAGGGGATAGCTTCAGGTCTGCGGCTCTGCCGTGGCCCTGAGCAGCGGCGTTGGACCAAGCACGGCGTCGCAGAGGTGGCAGGTATGCCGTCAGCAGCCGGTGGGCGATAGGTGGTCGGCAGAGCCCCGCAGGACGAGGGGTGAGGAGGGGTGAGGGAGCGGCTGTGCGGCCTTCACCCCTGCGTGCCACAAGGGCGCGCGCCATGCCGCGATAGGAAAAGCCGGCGCCGGTGATCGGTCAAGAGCCCTGGCTATCCGCCGATAAGCGCATATCTCCTCCACCGCCCAAACCCACGCGCCCTGCGACAAGCTGGCAGATGCACAAGACGCGCAGTCAATTGACTTTCTCTTACCAAATCTTTACCAGTCTGCCAATACCCCTCTCCCGTTGACTGCTGCCACCACCCTCTCTCCCAGCATTCACACCACTTACATTCTTAAACCACAACGCATCCCAACGAGTAAAGAAAAAAAAAGAAGCTCCAGAAGCTGTGACTCCCACCCTCGAGCCAGCTCATTCCCCGACAGAGCAACTGCCACGAACAACCTCACCGCCAGCAGCTCCCTAAACCATCATGTCGCCCCCTCCGGCCGCCATCGACGAAGTCCCCTCCACCGCCCCGCCCAGCAACGGCGGCGTGACCGACGGCCCCATGAAGCTCGAGGACATCTACTCGCGCCGCAAGAAGACGGACAAGTCGCAATGGGGCATCGCCGCCCCCTCGAACAGCGAGAACTTCAAGGTCTACTCGCACAGCCACAAGCCCAAGGCCAAGAAGTGGGACAGTAAGTGTGGGAAATCCTGAAGAGAAAGAGAAGGACAAGGAGAAGAAGGGGGGAGGGACAGGAACAAGAACAAGAACAAGAACAAAAGGCTGACCCGAGGTCCTCCTTCGCCGCCGCAGGTAAATTCAGCACCGAGTCCCTCTCGCGCGTGCCCGCGCGGCTCAAGGGCGCCGCCGTCTACCTGGGGCGTCCCGGCATGATCTCGCTGGGCGGCGGCCTGCCCTCGTCCGAGTACTTCCCCTTCGACGAGCTCAGCTTCAAGACGCCCGGCGCGGGCCACTTCGACGACGCCGACAGCTCCGCGTGGGCCACGGTGACGTCGGGCAAGAACGACATGGCGGCCGGCAGGTCCAACTACGACATCGCCACCGCCTTCAACTACCACCAGGGCTCGGGCTCGGCCCAGCTGCTGCGCTGGGTCACCGAGCACACCGAGCTCGTCCACAACCCGCCCTACGCCGACTGGGCCGTGACGCAGACCGTCGGCAGCACCTCCGCGCTCGACATGACGCTGCGCATGCTGTCGCGGCCCGGCGACTACGTCGTGTCGGACGAGTACGCCTTCAGCAGCGCCATGGACACGGCCGCGCCGCTGGGCGTCCGCTTCGCCGGCGTCAAGATGGACGCCGAGGGCATGCTGGCCGACGACCTCGACGCCGTCATGACGCGCTGGGACCCGGCCGCCCGCGGCGGCGCCCGCAAGCCGCACATCCTCTACCTCGTGCCCACCGGGCACAACCCGACGGGCGCGACGCAGAGCGCCCAGCGCCGCCGCGACGTCTACCGGGTCGCGCAGAAGCACGACATGCTCATCCTCGAGGACGAGCCCTACTACTTCCTGCAGATGGACCAGTACGTCTCGGGCGGCGAGGCCGTCGAACCGCCCAAGTCGCACGAGGAGTTCCTGGCCGCCATCGTGCCGTCGCTGCTGAGCATGGACACGGACGGGCGCGTCATCCGCTTCGACTCCTTCTCCAAGGTGGTCGCGCCGGGCAGCCGCGTGGGCTGGATCACGGCCTCGGAGCAGATTGTCGAGCGCTACTCCAAGCACGCCGACGTGTCGACGCAGGGCCCCAGCGGCATGAGCCAGCTGCTGCTGTTCAAGCTGCTCGAGGAGCACTGGGGCCACCCGGGCTACGTCGACTGGCTGATCCACATCCGCAAGGAGTACACGCAGCGCCGCGACATCATCGTCGGCGCCTGCGAGAAGTACCTCCCGACCGAAATCGTCAGCTGGAACCCGCCCATGGCCGGCATGTTTGTAAGTTTGGCGTCCCCCCTGAGCCCTGAGCTCCCCCCCGGTGGAACGATAGAACGGTGATTGCTGACTACACGGGTGTTCTCTCGCAGCACTGGATGGAAGTCGACTGGCGCAAGCACCCGCACGCCTCGACCAAGAGCATCACGGAGCTCGAGGAGGAAATCTTCCTCGGCGCCGTCGACAAGGGCGCCCTCGTCATCCGCGGCAGCTGGTTCTACGCCGAGCCCGACGCCGCCCACGACAAGATGTTCTTCCGCGCCTCCTTCGCCGCCGCGCCGTCGGACAAGATCCAGGAGGCCATCCGCCGCTTCGGCGAGGCGCTCCGGGAGAGTTTCCAGCTGTAATCCAAAGCTGGAGACAATCAATCACTATCGGAGCTGTTGCCTGGAAAGGTGTAAGTCAAAGAGATTAGGTGCTCTTGATCCAATGCCGTGCTGCACACGATTATTTTGGGTTTTAGGAAGGAACCATGTCGCAACGATCTTGAAATGACTGGAAAGGTTTTGCGATGGCGTTGGCTTGTATTTGAAACTTTCTCTTTTAGGCATTTTCAACATTTGCATATAGACCAGCGATATATCCATGAACGATGAGGTTCGAAAATACAGAATTCTTTTTGTTCTGGGATGATGATAGTTTTTGTTTTATACATTCGAACAGAGTAGTAGTGCTTTTTTGAGTCTTCGTGGCTTCGGTGTTGTTGCGTGAAAATGAGCATTGAGCAGAGTGGATATCTAGTTGATGAAGTTGACGCAGAAGAAATGCAGGATGAAGCTTCCGAAGACGTAGTCTGCAAACGCGCTGTGTTGTGACCCGAGTTAGCTCGATGTTGTAAGGGAGCCTGACGCGTTTGTGCAGTCATTTTTCACACGCAATGGGACGTGGTTGATAGGATGTAACGTACCGCTCGTGAGAAATGCTTCCGAACTCCTTCTTGTTCTCCGGGTTGGTCTGCATGCGCAAGCTCGCGGTGAGGACGAACTGGCCGACGGTGGCGCTGAAGCCGGAAAGGAAGGCGTTGAAGGGCTGCAGGATAGTAGTGGAAAGTCAGCCTTCTCATTCCAATGCATCTGCCACCAACCACGGGCATCGCGGAAGAACACACAAAGTTACCGCCGACGACGCAGTAGAGGAACTGCAGGGCGCCGACGACGACGAGGAAGACCATAAAGGTGTCGAGGATCTTGGTGCGCTGGTCCGTCTTGTTGACGTAGTTCCTCCACACGCTGTTGACGATGGCCTGGGCGTCGTTGGAATTGACCTTGGACGACGAGCCAACGGAGCCGGTGGCGCTGGTCGCGGTGCTGGATTTGGTCGTGTGCGAGGCGGCGCTGGAGACGGAGGCAGTCGGGTCGGCGGCGGATGCGGGCGCGGCGGCGGGCGACGAGGTGCCGCCCTGCTGGGTGCGGTTGCGTGGAGGCATTGTGTTGGTTGTATGTGTGGGAGGACGATTGGGCCGAGGGAGGAGGGGGTGGGCGCGGTTGTGGTGCGAGTGAGTTGTGGTTGTCAGCTAAGCTTCCCCCGTCGGACGTGTTGTAGAGGCCAGATGGATGTTCAGTCCACCATGCACCTCGCGGGAGCTCGGGCCACCCACCACCCGTCCGCCCAAGGGACGCGCAATTGGAAGGGTGCGCTGCGCTGTGGTTGCTTACGTACGCGGGCAATTGCCCTTGGCCTTAACTCCGACTGCTCCGACGCAAAAGGGAAGGTGCTCACCCGTGCGTCATCGAGCTCTGAGGTTCTGGTGAAGCTTACACCTAGCTTGCTCGTCGAGACGCTTCTTTCCCCACCTTCTTCCTGTCTTCCTCCACAACCCCTGCATCCACTCGCTCTGCTCTCCGCACACCAGCCTCACGATCAATTGACCAACATTCACACCACAATGGTACTGTCGCGCAACCCTCGTCCCCGCGACTTCCACACACAGCACCAAACTAACCACCAACACAGGGCCTCGAGACCATCGCCTTCATCCTCGGCGCCCTGACCGCCGGCGGCGGCATCACCGGCTACGTCCGCACCCGTTCCGTCCCCTCCATCGCCGCAGGCGTCACCGTCGGTGCACTTGTAAGCAACCCCAAACTCTCTCTCCCTCTCTCCCTCATCGCCAAAAAAAAAAAAAAAACACCCAGCTTAAATGAATGCGTGGTTCGTTATAGTACGGCCTCGGCGGCTACCGGATTTCGCAACGCCAGCCCTACGGCGTCGAGCTGGCACTGCTGGCAAGCATCGTGCTGGCCGGCTCGTCTATCCCGCGCGCCATCAAGACGCAGAAGCCGCTGCCGATCGGACTGAGCGTGCTCGCGGCGTATGGGTTGCTGAACTTTGGCATGGCGTGGAAGAACAAGACTGCTTGAGAGATGAGATGGTGAAGGGGAGGGAAGAGAAAGCAGATGTGCTGCGAGGAAGGGAGGATGTGCTGAAGAGATGGGGAGGGGGAGATGACGATGCTGGAATTTGCGGCTGGGCGCCGAAGTGGAAGTGGGGAGATGGTGAAGTAATAAGAGGGTGCGGGGCGCAGAAGGCATGTCTGTATGAGGCCGGTGCCCGGAGCATATTTTGCCATGAACTAGGTGAGAAGGTGGCCTAGGCTGTCACGGTGGACGAACGAGGGAGATGTCATGGAAGTAATAGACTCTCGGCTATGACGAGGAAGGTCCTCATGTGACGTGCTGTGATTCCTGGGCAAATACGCCTTCTTTATAAGCAACAAATCCATTCGCCGAACTTATTGTTAACTCCCATGGAGAATACAATTTCAAAATAGCCTGGTGGACAAAATCAACTCCACTGTGCTCGCCAGGTGGAGACGAGGTTACTCACCTCCCACGTTCTCTTTAGTTCTACGGATGAATCGTCAAGTGAGGTGATTGGTGATTGCATTCTTCATCAAGTTACGTTGCTGACTCTCTGATTTTTAGTTTAATAATGGCAACCTTCTTCAAGACTTCAGCACAAATCCCGCCCACCGTAAGCAGCGAAGCTCTATTATTGTTCTCATTGTTGTAGTACCCTTTCCTGACAAAGTTTCAAGAGCAAGGCTGCCGATACCGTTGGTTACCCGATTAAGCACTACCGCCCGAATTATTCGGTAAGTAAGAAGAGCAATCTTGATTTTCTAATATCATCACTTGACGGTCAAATTCCACATTCCATTCCAATAGGTGTTACGCACGGTGCCCAACAGATCTTCTTGCCTTGTTTGATAAACCCCACGTGTCATGTGGCATCACGGCTCTTCCGACACCAAGTTTCACTGACCAACATTGCGGCTCATAACATTCTTATAAGCACCCACGGACTATGACACGAGGGTCAGGGGTGAGACTTCCTAATGAATGCTCCCCGGTGGAAAATGATTCTCAAAAACTTGGGTCTGTTTGTCTTGCATCCAGCATGTTGGACGGTGATGCTTGACGTAGGGAAAAGGTGTCAGATATGGAAGCTGGAGATCGCCATCATCAACTCGCCCTGCCGATTCGTAGTTTCTGAAGAAATAGACGATGATGTTCTTGGAAGAAATCAAACCATGCTTTGGAACTGCTTCTTCATCGAGAGAGAAGTTTACAGAGAGTCACAGCTCGAAAGAAGACACAAGATCACTCTCCCACACAGTGTCAAAATTTGAGATGCGGAAGCGTGTGGAGAGTAATCTGAACGTAGAAGCATGAAATGACCCGGTAGGGAGAGGCGCAACAGCAAGAACTGAATGACATCACGTATTGTTTGAAGTGGCCAGCGGCCCGGCATCACACAAGGCCGTCGCATCTTCGATCTGGGCCCATTCCTGCAATGCACCACCAGATTTTGAGCTGAGCTGGAACCCGCCCGCTCTAGATCTGGCGCCTCGGGCTCTATCAGCACTGTAGCGCCTGCAATCGAAGATCGTATCTCAGCTGCACCAGGCACAGCACAGCATCTTTCTTCCCCTCCTCCACGCAGCCACCAATCGTTAGCCCATGGAAGTTGCCACCTCGCGCGCGAGCCATGTCACTTCCAGAATCAGTGTCATCTAGGCCTCAGCCTTGCCACAAAACCACGCCACACTGTGGCCTTGGGCATGCCTCTTCCCAGGGCTCGCCTTTGTTCGTCGACAGCTGCTCAAGCTTCCAAGCCACTAGAATCGACATGCCGCGCTAGATCCATTGGCTTGGCGTGGCCACGCACCTCTAGAAGCGTTCCGGTCTTTCTCCTACAAGGGTGTCGAGGCCATGGGGGAGGTCGGCTAGGTCTCTATCGGTAAGCGTCGCGGTGCTCGTTGCCCCTCGCACGTACGATGCCGGCGGCGGAGGTGTTGGATCGAGGCAAGCGCCTTGCATATGAAAGGAACAAGCCGGGCTGGGCATGGCAGCTGAAAGGTTGCCACATTGTTACGCGTCTCCGAGACAAAGGCACGTGGGAGAGACGCAAGAGGATTTGGGGCGAGAAGCGCAATTGGCGCCCAAGTCCAGAGCGGACCATCGATGGCGAATTAAAGCGTTGTGGCGGACGGTGGCTTGCTGCTTGCTTGTCGTGACGGCGCCCCCGCCTGGTTCCGGGCCCTTCCCGCCTTTGCTGCTTCTTTTGGTGCCCACTCTGGCTTTGGGTTTTCGTTGCCCGAGGGGGGGCGGTCGGGGTTGCATCCGCTGGCCGTGGCAGGGGCGGAGGGCGGAGCGGACGCCACTGCAGCACATCTTCGCAGGCGCGGGACATAGGACCCCGAACCTCCGCCGTGGCGAGCTACCGCATCAAGCAAAGTGAAGGAGCTGAGCAATGTCTTGCGTGCTTGGTGGCTGGAAGCTTGACAGCAGACGGCAGCTTAGCAAAACAGGGGTGGAGATTGCGAACCGTTCCGTTGCAAACATAGACCGGCTTTTGCTATCGTTTCTCGCCTCTCCCTACAGTCCATCATCTCGAAGGATTATTGCGAATGCGTGCGTTGAGTGATTCTGCTCTCACAGTCGAGGAAAACAGCCGAAGTATGTCACCATCCGAAGCCAAGATGTCGACATCGGCGCCGCAAAGATATTTCTCCGTCCCCGATGGACAAAATCCTTCCACGTGTTGGTCTTGTTGCTTAGACCAGTGTTTGATGCTCGTTTTTCATGCCGGCGTTGTCGTGGAAGGCAATGCTCCGAACGACGGACATATGTTATCAGTGCCGTCTCACATAAAACCGACCGTACCTTCGGGACGGGAGCTCCACACACGAAGCTTCCCACGGACCCGGGGCTACGGGCGGAGGGTCACACTCCGTGTCGGCGGGACCCTGTCGATGACAAGGGATTGGCACAGTTGCATGAATCCCGTGTCAACGCGTGCGTTTTTTTTTTTTTCTCTCTTTGGGTGTAGATGTATCTCCGAGTACACTTATGGGTACTTCGCTCATGGCATCAAAAATGCGAGCTATTATTCTGTCGGTGATAGCTCGAGATCAATTCCTTTCTCCGTTACACCCTTGATGCTCCTCGTGCAATACAAGGTCCTCGTACCCAGATATTCTTAGCAAAGTATGCAGTCGAGCAAGTTATCAGTGAAGTCGCATCTGCATGAAAAGTGAGGAAGGAAAAATGCAAAATGCCTTCCTAATCCGTACGGCATCGACGTTAATGTGGATCGCCTTCTTAGCGCCGACGGGATTCGGCATCGATCCGGACCCTTCCGCTCCCGTTTTCGTCCTACACTGACGTCTGCTGCGAACCGGCGCTTTGGAGTATCAGTCTGCCCTGACTGATGCAACAGTGGTGATGATGAGCGAGATGATTCCCTCCCCACGACAACTATGACCACATATCTCGCTCTGCTTACCCACAAAGCGCGACACACCGCTCCCACACGAGCCATCCCGCGGCACTCTGCTTTGCGCCGCATCGTCCGCGTCCAGTCAGGCCCAGCGCCATTACATAAAGGTACCCGTCGGCGAGGGAGTTTCACTTACCATCGCATAACACGCGAAGGGTTACGTAGATATTTTAGGCTCCATCACAATCCGGAAGCGGGTCTTGTTCTCGGTCAGAAGGAAACACTTATCCGTAGCGGCCCAGTGAAACGGAGCCTAAAGCTAAAAAAAAAAAAAAACATTGCCAAGCTCGTAAGGCAAAAGCCGAGCAGTTGTCTCATCCGATGCTGATCGAATGTCAAAAAAGTGGACAATATCCTAGGTGTCTCGAGAATGCTGGAACAAAGCGTCCAGTGACGGCCGAAGGCCCATTTTGCGTTGTCGGTATCTGCGAGGTTCCGATGCCAGTGTGGCATGGGCACACGTGGTATGTGAGATAGGCGATAGTGGGGCGCCTTGCACGGTCGAGAACGATCTGCCTCGAATGAAGTAGGTGTCCGGAATGAGCATGAACAAGATATTCGTACTCATCATCTGATGACTGACTGCGCTCCGTCGCAAAGGTGGTACCGCTAAAGAGAAAGGACCATTTGAGACGGGAGGCGCCAAAAGATGCCCGGCCATCGTCTTCCTCGAAGCTTATGAGATACTAGTTGATGAGTCCCGCAAAATACAGTGCCTAGGAATACACAACACTCATGCCATAGAAATACAAATGCCGTGACTGGGAAATCATGACCAACCCAATAAAACTCACCCAAAGCTGAGGACTGACAGCGAGGTAATCAAAAAAGAAAAAAAGCTTACCACTCGACTTGCCCATTATCTCTCTTCTCACAAAACCCTTCAAAACGCCAGGATGCATACTGCGCAGTGTTGCCCGTTATCAAGGTACAACAGCCGTATAAATTAACGCCAGCCCATAATCCCTATTCCCTATATCCATAATGCATAATCATTACTCAGTGTCGTTTCGTGTCGTTCATTTCGCGTGATCAATCATTTGCTGGTAGACATCCTCTGGAATCCGCTGTGCGTTGGCAACCACGAGGCCAATAATCGACTTGGCCTGCAGAGGCGGCAGCGAGCGCAGAATCTGATTGGGGCTGCTAAAAGCGTCAGCGGGTCGATTGGTACCACATGTCCCGCACACGACAACCATACCTCGGACTGGCCAGGATCTGGTCGCGGATCAAGACGAGTTGAGCCACGATGCACAGGATGTTCAGGTGGGGGCCGTAAGCAAAAAGAAAGTCCCAGAGCAGCAAGACCTCAGGCAAAGGCGGTGTGCAGGCGCACATGGTCAGGACGGATGCGAAAGCATAGATCTCGGCCTTCAAGCCCTTGGACGCAAGTTGCGAAAAGAGCTTGGGATCGACAATCTCCAGCACGGTGTCGACAAGAGCCAGGCCTTTGTGCACACCTTCCATGGATCCGCGCACGTATCCGGGGCACTCGTTGGTGATGAACTTGTCAAAGGCGACAAAAGCCTCGGCCTCGCTGCGCGCGACGTAGAGGAAGGGGGCGGCCAGCACGTTCATGCCTTGGACGTATCCCACCTGCTCGGCGTGGTCGCCATGCTGGGACTGGGAGCCTTCGGTGATGGTGGTGCCGGTGAGAGAGCTCCGAGCGAGGTCCGGGCTGCCAAAGTCAGACAGGGTCGGCGGTGACTGCCAGCCGTTGACACGGGCCTCATGGGCGTCATGCAGCTTCCAAGCAACGGCGTTCAGCACGCGGGTCAGGCTGTTCTCGGTGACGCGACGGCGGAAGAGCGGGTCTGTGGCGAGAGTGCGGAAGGTGTCGTTGCGGATCTTGGTGTAGGCGGGCGAGGCGCCTTGGCGCACGAGATCCAGGTAGACGTCGGTGCGGATGGGGGCAGCGTTGAGGAAGGTCAGCCAGATGTATATGCGCAGCTCGGACTGGAGTCGCAGCAGGCGTTAGCAGAGGGCCAGCGGCGGCAGCGGGGCGGGGGGCGGCACCATGCCATCGCTGTTCGCGGGAATGCCAGTCATGAGAATGTGGTGGCGCAGATCGTCGAGGCCCGCAGCGAGATCGCCTCCCGGCGGGCCCTTGAGCAGGAACAGGTCGAGGTTGGTCATGGGCACAGAAGGGGCACAGAAGGGGCCGCTGTGGCGGGGAGATGCAGGGCGGCGGGAGAAGGGGGAGAAGCGGCGAATGGGCGTCGTAAGGCAGTCGTCGTCGCCTGTCGCGGCCTCTGTTGTTGCAAATTGCGATGGCTGGCGCCGTTGTCTGAGCGGCGGAGGCTGGGCTTGGCGCCGTTTGTTTCACGCTGGAGCTGGAGCTGGAGCTGGAGCTTGGGGATCGCCCGAAACACAACGTCGGGAGCGCGCGACGGAAATCGTGCGCAGTGCGAGGTGATGCGCGACGGGGCAGAGTTTGCAAACAGCTCCATCCATCACACGCAGGACTGCGCCGCTCCACGTCGCGTGGCGACCGGGGGGCCCGACAATGCCGCGCGCAGCCCTCGTCTTCTGTCTGCGACACAAGCCGACGCGCGTGGTGTCCTCTGCGCACTCCAACCCTGCTGCCGCGTCGCTGGCGGCATGCCCCAATTTGATAGCTCCACAGAAGGGCGGGTGCTTTCGGTAGGTCTCCTGTCGATGGAGCGATCCCGGGAGAGGGCCCGCCGGCCTTGGCCAACTGGGTCCCGCCGCGCGTAACAGCCGGCTACTAGCGAGCTACGACGCCTCAGGCCGACGTCATCACCCATGGCCGCGTTGTAGGCGGACAGCGGCGCCAAGCCAGCGCCGGGCGGAACAGCGCATGGGAGTGGCGGGCAGCGGACGGCGGACGGCGGGCGGCGGACAGCGGGCGGCGGCGGCGGCAGATGCACAGCAGGCCAGATCGGAGCAGCAGCCACTGGGGCCCGCGGCGGCAGACCCGGTCGGCCTGCACGCTATTTGAATTTGCCGGCGCCGCGCCCGCGCTGGGGCGCTAGGGCCCGCACTTTCGCAGGCGGCGTAAAACGACATCGGCATCCGCGAGCACGCAAGACACGCGGCCCGCCATTGGCCACCGCTCCCAAAATCCGTCCACCACCGTCTCCGCCGCCATGCTCCGTAAGGCGACCACACGTCAGAGCCCGCGCACTCGCCCACGCGCTCGCCCATGCTCTCGCCCATGCACAGATCGTGGCCCCCGGGGCAAGGCCTCAGGTTCCACGCATTGCTCCGGCCGGCGCCCACGCCCCAGGCTGCGAGGCCCTCCGCCAGACTAATTTCCAACTCTAACTTAACGCCGATGTCGTGATGCCCTCGAGTGCTTGTGCTCTTCTTCTACTCGTCCTCAGCGCGTGCTCTCCCGTCCCGTCGACGCTCTCCCGCCCTCTCCTTGCCCAGCTTCCGCCTGATCGGGTCTGCGTGACCAAAGGCTCTCGCTCCTACCTATCGCAGGGCCCGTCGCGCACTGGTGGCTGTCCGCCCAGCATCACGCAATCCTCAGCCCGTTGACACAGGCATCGGACTCGCCTCTGCTTTCGTCTAGATTGCCCTGTCCACGCACCCGCCGCGCCCCCAGCGCCCAGGCTCCAAGCCTTCAACCGACTGGCGGCGCCCTAGCACCCGCTCCTCTGGGCTTACCAAGTCAGGTCCATCGGCGAAAGGCTTGCTCCGAGGAGATTTCTGCTCGCTGGCCTGAAAAGCAAACAATTCTGCCGCCGGCCAGACGCGTGCTGCAGAGCCCAGCAGTCACTATAAACTGCCCGCCCGAGCCGCCGGCCCATCCGTTCGTGCTCATCAGGGCCACGTTTGACTCTGCAGCCCCATCCTTGATCCCGGGCCCGCGACCGTCCACCAGCCCGGTCTTGTCTCTCCTCCCCAGAAATCTTATCTCAGGCCCAAGCTTTCCAAGCAAACCATGGCGTCTTCCAAGGTCACCTCTGGTTTGGCCAAGGTCCTCGGCATCAAGCTCGACGAAAGAGAGCACGCCGACAAGCTCACGCGCGGCGAGTCTGTCTTTTCCGTCTCTAGCGCCGACACCTATGTCGAGGAGGAGCCCACGGTCGGCGAGTGGTTCAAAGAAATCACTCCCTCGGGCGCCGATCTCGGGAGATATGTCAAGAGCCTCTTCCCCTTCCTGCACTGGATCGGAAACTACAACCTGCAATGGCTTTACGGCGACCTGGTTGCTGGTGAGCACCTTGCCTTTCGTCCCCTTTGCGCGCAGTGGCTGACCGTTGCACAGGTATTACCGTCGGCGCTGTCGTCATCCCTCAGGGAATGGCCTACGCCAAGCTGGCCCAGCTGCCGGTTGAGTACGGTCTCTACTCCTCTTTCATGGGTGTCTTGATCTACTGGTTCTTTGCTACTTCTAAGGATATCACGATCGGAGTAAGTCCCGAAACTCGAAAAGCCGACTGAAGAGATGGACTAATGCTTCTCAGCCCGTCGCCGTCATGTCTACCGTCACTGGAAACGTCGTCCTCAGAGCCATCGAGAAATTCCCGGAGTACGAGGGCCATCAGATTGCGTCCGCTCTTGGCATAATCTGTGGTGCAATTGTTTGTTTCCTGGGTCTCGTCCGCCTCGGATGGCTTGTGGACTTCATCTCTCTCACGGCCATTTCCGCTTTCATGACTGGCTCCGCCCTCAACATTGCAGCTGGCCAGGTTCCTGGAATGATGGGCATCACCGGCTTCTCCACTCGCGAATCCACCTACAAGGTCATCATCAACACCCTCAAGCACCTTCCTGACACCCAGCTGGATGCCGCCATGGGTCTTACGGCACTTGCCATGTTGTATCTGATCAGGAGCGGATGTACCCTCGCGGCCAAGAGGTACCCGACCAAGGCCAAGCTCTTGTTCTTCCTGTCCACTCTTCGCACCGTCTTCGTCATCCTCCTGTACACCTTGATCAGTTTCCTTGTCAACCGCCACCACCGTGGAACGAAGGAGCGCAAGTTCAAGATCCTTGGCAGTGTTCCCAGAGGTAAGGAGCCACCCCCATATCGTCAGCCTCTAGATGCTTACAAAAAGCAGGTTTCCAGCATGCCGCTGTTCCCATCGTCAACAGCAAAATTATCTCCTCGTTCGTTACCGACTTGCCTGCCTCTGTCATCGTCCTTCTCATCGAGCACATCTCTATCTCGAAGTCTTTCGGTCGCGTGAACAACTACACGATCGATCCCTCCCAGGAGATGGTTGCGATCGGTGTCAGCAACCTTCTCGGACCGTTCCTTGGCGGATACCCGACCACCGGGTCTTTCTCGAGAACTGCCATCAAGTCGAAGGCTGGTGTCAGGACTCCATTCGCTGGTGTCATAACCGCCGTTGTTGTCCTCCTCGCCATTTACGCCTTGCCCGCAGTCTTCTTCTACATCCCGAACGCCACCTTGTGTGGCGTCATCATCCATGCCGTTCTTGACCTCATCACCCCACCGAACACAGTGTACCGCTTCTGGAGGATTTCCCCGCTCGAAGTTCCGATTTTCTTCGCCGGTGTGCTCGTGACTGTTTTCAGCACGATTGAGAACGGTATCTACACGACCATCTGCGTGTCGGCAGCGCTTCTCCTCTTCCGCCTGTTCAAGGCGCGCGGTCGCTTCCTTGGTAGGGTCAAGGTTCGTTCGGTCGAGGGCGAGCATCTGCTGGGCGACGAGCCGAAGTCGAAGAGCATCGACGACGCTTTGAAGCCGAAGACCAGCAGCAGGGACAACGAGGACTCGACGAGGGAGGTGTTCCTGCCCATCGATCACCACGACGGCACCAACCCCGACGTGGGCCTTCAAACGCCGGCGCCTGGCATCTTCATCTATCGGTTTTCCGAGGGATACAACTACCCCAATGCCAACCACTACCTCGATTACATGGTTGCAACGGTGTTCCAGCAGACTCGGCGCACCAACCCGCACGCGTACGGCAAGTTGGGTGACCGTCCGTGGAACGACCCGGGCCCACGCCGCGGCAAGGCGGCTGAGGTTGACGACCACAAGCCCACGTTGAAGGCCATCATCCTGGATTTCTCGTCGGTCAACAACGTCGACATCACGTCGGTGCAGCACCTGATCGACGTGCGCAACCAGCTCGACCGTTACGCATCGCCCGAGACGGTGGAGTGGCACTTTGCTTGCATCAACAACCGATGGACCAAGCGTGCGCTCGCAGCAGCCGGATTCGGATTCCCCACCCCGGATCTCCAGACGGGCGAGTCTTACGCTCGCTGGAAGCCCATCTTCTCGGTGGCGGAGCTTGGCGGTGCCGACAGCGCAGCCAACGCGGCGGCGGTGGAAGAGGACGTCGAGTACCGGTCGACTCGCCAAGCGGACGAGGAGAACGAGATCCACGGCGAGCGCAGCAGCTCATCGGAGGACGGGGTCCGCAACAGCATCAACAAGACGGCCAGCCAAGTCAAGTACAACGAGAAGTCGAAGCAGGTTCTGGTGCACGGCGTCAACAGGCCGCTGTTCCACATTGATCTGACCAGCGCTCTGATCTCGGCGGTGCAGAACGTCGAGCGCCGGAGGATATACGGACAGAAGAACTACGGCGGCACCGAGGGAAGCGACATCAGCAACACCAAGGACGCGTGAGGGGAAGGATAATATTAATTTTCTGTTTGTTTCGCACTTTTCATGTCTATACGACGGGTTATTTCTGGAGATGGCTAGACCCATTTAGCGGAGAGAGGCCATGGTGCGGCGTTTCTTGGGCACGATGACGTGTAGCACGTTGGGTTAGCTAGAAGCTTTGAGCAGTCGGATTGGATGACAAAAACGGGGCTGGAGCATACGATACCACAGCTGGAGAGAAAGAGTATTGATATTTTTGTTCGTCGTACGGATTAGACGTTGACACTTGCACGTGAGCGGGGGAAATGGCAGCAGGGCGCGAATCACAGGAGCGATGAAACGCAGCGTCGGCGCCGTCGAGATGGAGATCAAACACACGGCGGGAGACCGCGACGGGACTAGCGTCAGGGCGCGGGCGGGAGAAGGGTCCTGGCACCTGGCGGGCATCCTTTGGCGGGCGGGACACGCGGTGCGAGTCGGGGCGGTCGGTCGTCGGTTGCGGCTGATTGCAGCATCCCCGGCCTCGTACGCAAGCTCCAGGTGGCCTTTACATTTTATCGCCGCGACAGCAATCCGCCCAATTGCCGCGCCCCAGACCTGCTCCTCCCCTCTCCAGAGCTGCTCCTTGTGCTTTGCCCGGTGCTGCTTTTGCGCGCGACCTCCTCGTTCTCTCCGTCCCTTCCTGTTCCTGGCAGCGTGCACGCGCAAGACAAGGATCGGGGATACGCGCACTGCATCCCGCGCATACATACTGTCCGTCGACAACCACCACCACCACCACCACCACCGACGCCGCGCTCGACGATCGACCTTCCTTTTCCCCTCCTCCCCACCCATCGCACACCTGCGACCGACCGCGCAAACCACCGCCGAACACCGCCGTCCTTAGCTCCACCGCCGCACCTCCGTCTAGCCTTATTCTCCACAGCTCCTTTGCAGACGTATTCGAGACGCCCCTGAGCACAGCTCTCTCCTCTGAACCTCTCATCGGATCGCACCCCTAGCCCAGCAGGAATCCCGGCTTCCGAACCGCAACCATGGCCAAATCACGCTTCATGCGGCTGGACGCCTTCACCAAGACGGTCGAGGATGCGCGCGTGCGCACGAGCACTGGCGGCATCGTCACAATCACGAGCATACTCATGATCATGTGGCTGATGTGGGGCGAGTGGGCGGATTACCGGCGAGTCGTCGTCAAGCCGGAGCTGATTGTGGATAAGAGTCGAGGTGGGTGAATTGCGCTCCCTTTTTTTTTGTTGCTCCTCCTCCGCTTCCTGAGTCCTGCATGTCTTTGGAGGGATTGAACCGGAGAATGCATGGATTGGGCAACAATGTGCACGGTGTGAGGGTTCGGAGAACGAGGGGAGCGGGGCTTGGGAGGAAGCGGTGCGCTGTAAACCACTACAGGCCGTGTCTTGCTGACTTGACTGCGTGTTCCAGGCGAGAAGATGGAGATTCATATGAACATCTCTTTCCCCAGGGTACCCTGCGAACTGCTCACTCTCGACGTGATGGATGTGTCTGGCGAGATCCAGACGGGTGTCATGCACGGTGTTAACAAGGTCCGCTTGACGCCTGAGACCGAGGGAAGCCGCCCCATTGAGGTGAATGCGTTGGACCTGTGAGTACCGCACAATCTGCAGCCCTGCTGGGGGACTGTCTTGGCTTTCAGAAGGATTTGACTGATATGGAGGACCATAGGCACGCCGACGAAGCTTCGCACATGGACCCTGAGTACTGCGGTGATTGTTACGGTGCCCCTGCCCCTACCACGGCCAAGAAGCCCGGCTGCTGCAACACTTGCGATGACGTCCGTGACGCCTACGCCGGTATTTCCTGGTCCTTCACTCGCGGCGACGGCGTCGAGCAGTGTGAGCGTGAGCACTACGGCGAGAAGCTCGATGCTCAAAGACGCGAGGGCTGCCGCATTGAGGGTGGCATTCGGGTGAACAAGGTCATTGGCAACTTCCACTTCGCGCCCGGCAAGTCCTTCAGCAACGGCAACATGCACGTGCACGACCTGGAGAACTACTTCAAGGACGAGGCCTCGCACTCCTTCTCGCACAGGATCCACAACCTGCGCTTCGGCCCTCAACTGCCCGACGACGTCATCGCTAAGCTCGAGGCGTCCGGCCTGAGCGCCAGCAGCCTGTGGACCAACCACCACGTCAACCCGCTCGACGACACTGCGCAGCACACGGACGAGAAGGCCTTCAACTACATGTACTTCGTCAAGGTCGTCAGCACCGCCTACCTGCCCCTCGGCTGGGAGAACAAGGGAACCTCTGCGCTGAACGGCATCATGCCCGACGCCGACGGCATCCCACTCGGCTCCTACGGCATGGGAACCGACGCGGGCAGCATCGAGACGCACCAGTACAGCGTCACCAGCCACAAGCGCAGCCTGGCGGGCGGCAACGACGAGAAGGAGGGCCACAAGGAGCGCCTGCACGCTCGTGGCGGCATCCCCGGCGTTTTCTTCTCCTACGTAAGTTTTTTTTTTTCCCCATGATTGAACAGGATTCAATCAGGGTGCAGCCGCTAACCTGCCTGCCTTTTTCCCCACAGGACATCTCCCCCATGAAGGTCATCAACCGCGAATCTCGTTCCAAGTCTTTCTCCGGCTTCCTCGTCGGCGTGTGCGCCGTCATCGGTGGAACCCTCACCGTCGCTGCTGCCGTCGACCGTGCGCTCTACGAGGGCTCGGCGAAGCTGAAGAAGCTGCACCAGGGCTAGATTGAGGCTTGGCGGTGGTGCTTGCTGCCGATTCGAGGCTAGATAGAAGTGTAGAAAAGGCGGTACCAGAAAGTTGATTGTTTGTGTCCGTGTGTTGGTTTGTACTCCATGTCCAGGCGTTTTCTCTGTCCCTGCTTCATTTGACCGGCGTCGAAGGCTTCGTTTTGCGGATTTTCTCCTTTCTTTTCCTATTATACTCGGGTGGCGAGGAGTCGATGTGGATCGGTTCAGTTGAAGGCGTGGGGGAAAGGGTGGTTGCGAGTGTGGTGTAGATATGTATGTTGGATGCCGGAAAATGGACAGATGTTGGGTCATGTGAGTGGTTGGGAGACCTGCTGAGGAAGCGGGAGAAAGTCAAAAAATCCATACCTATTGAACATCGACGCCTGCTCCTGGCTACATTCTGGTGGTCAGACCCAACCAGTCTGTGGGAGCGCCTTTCTTGCCTTTGAAGCCCGAATTCGGCTCGAATCGTCAGGGCTGATGAGTCCGCGCGCATCTTCCCCGAGCACCATGATGGCCTATCCATCGAAATCAAACCACGTTCCACCTTTCTTCCCTTCCCCCAAGACTTCACCCCGCGGAGGTTTCATTCGCGTCTTGCAGTGTCTCCGGCCGCCTGCTTTCCCCTATGACGCATTCCTCTATTCTTGTTTTTCTATCTTTCTCTATATTCGTTAATATATATGTCCCATTAACGATTCCCTTCCGACTCATTCAGTTTCCTTATACGGTTCCTATAAACTCTCTTACCATCTTCAATCTATTGGTTCATCGATAGGACAGATGTGACATGAATTCGAAAGATCAATAAGGAGAAGCTTACCGTTGCACATGACAGGCTACCACTCGAGTCGCAAGCAGTAAGGCAAGCCCACATCCCTACTGCCGCCGATGGCTGACGTTGAATATGATTTTCTGCACGTCAGAAGCCCGTCGACTGCCCAAGACAGCAGCCGCTAGTGGGGAGTTCGACCTATCACCAACATCCAGAGTGGCACCAATCACAAAGCCTTACCATTCTTCACGCTAGCCGCCCGGCTGCAGGAGAGGAAAGGGAGGGAGGGGACTGGGACATGCAGGTCGGCTTCTCACCAAACCTTCCTAATCCAACAAGGCGTTCCACCTTATGACTAACCCAAACGGCGCGGATAGGACAAACGAAAAAGGACAGTACCCGGATGGCTTCCCAGGCGAAGCTCCTGCTCGTGGCGCACCAACCGCGTGGCCCGAGACGACCCGGCGCTTCCTCCGGCGGCGGCGCGCGTGTGCCCCCCTCCTTCCTCAATGGAATGCCCTACCTTGGTCCTTGTCGTCGGATATAAACGGTTGATGAGAAGCAGGAGCATACACCTATATATTCCCACACGCCCGCACACGCATACACGCGCACGTACGCGCACGTACACGCACGTACACGCGTATACACGCATACACACACGCATCACGCATCACGCACTCTTCTCATTTGTCGTTGCCGCTAAGTACTTTATTTCTTTTCCTTTCGCCCTTGCATCATCGTCGCAGAACATGCGGGTGTCGTCACGTCCGTCTCATCAAATAACGCACTTGCCCGCACGAAGCAAAAACCGCTCCTTTATGATTCGCAAAGGCCAACCACTCACCACGATTGCCTTGACGTAAGTAGAAACCCCCCAACGCTTCTTTCCCAATTGCATTGCGCGGATGACGATGGCAACCCGGGTGATCCCGCCTTGGGCGAACGGGGCCAGGTGACGTGATTTCAGTTCTCTGCTTGCTCCATTTTGCAACATTAAGTCGTGCTTGCTCGTTATTCCATTTGTTCGGGCCCGGCGCCGCTCTGCTCTCTGCTCATTACTCGCAGCCACCTTCCTCGCATCTCACATCCCACAACATCCAGATCAGTCTTGGAGTTGGATCGAATCTTCTGTTCTCCCATTTCTACTGCTTACTACCGCTGCTACCACTATCAGAGAAGCTGCTACTGATGCTTGCTTGCTGCAGCCCAACCATACGACTACGTCCAACTTCCTCCCAAAGATCTCCTGCCTCGTCGGACTCATGCACTGATGATGACCGGAGCGGCGACCCGGTTGCAGCAGCCCACCGTCGTTCTTTTCTCCCTACGCCTTCCGCAAAGCCAAGCAGAACGGCGGCGGCCCGGTACCAGCTTCACTAAGTGGTCCTCCCTCTGCCGTTGAACAGTACCAAAGCAAAAACACTTTCATCCGCCTCCTTTTTCCCCCCAGCCCAACGACAACAGGAAAACAACAACCAAACGGCCCAGAAATTGTCGACAGCAGCCCGTAGGCTGATCCATGCGCAGGAAACCAAACAACCCAGTAAGGAAGAGAGAAATAGGACCAAAAAAAAAAAGCAGCACAGATGCATCCCAGAACATGTTCCCTCATTATCAAAAAAGACCAATCATGAGTGCGTCCCTTAATCAAAACAAGCCGGACGGTGGGCTTCCATCGCTAAACAAACGCGAGACGAGGATGAACTGAGAGGGAGAAAAAAAAAAAGGGAGGAGAAAAACAGACACCCACCTTGAGTACAAACCATCTAAGAGACCAAAAGGAAAAAGAAAAAAGAAAAAGAAAAAGAGCACCAAAACCGGCGGTAAGCCAGCCGCTGTCATTGTCATGCCGCACTGACCGGCGTCTTCAGGCCGCCCTTGTCGCTCACCTCGCTCATCTGCTCGTCAAAGTCCCCGTCGCCGATGCTGCCCTCGTAATCGTCGCCCATGTCGTCGTTGGGGTCGTAGCCGCCGAACGAGACGGTCGGCTCCGAGCCGTAGTGCTGATGGCTGCCGCCGCCATGCGGGAACTGGACGGAAAAGCCGTGGCGCAGGATGCTGCTGCCGCCGCCGCCGCCGCCGCCGCCGCCACCGGCGCCACCGCCGGGCTTCAATTGCGGCACGCCGCTGTCGCTGACGACGAGATGCTGCGGCTGGGCGGCTTGCTGTTGCTGTTGTTGCTGCTGATGCTGCTGCTGGGCGACGATGGTCTCGGCCAGCGTCGGCTTCTCCTTCATGCCGCGCAGCATCTCGCGGCTGGCGTCGAGCATCTGCACCGCGTACTCGAGCCAGCGCGCGCGCGTCGCGCTGACGCTCAGCGTCCACCGGTACTCGCGCAGGCGCGTCTTGTAGAAGTCGGCCTCCTCGCGGCCCGGCGCCGTGGCCCACAGCAGGCTGCCGAAGGTGCCGATGAGGGTGAAGTTGATCTTGGACGCGAAGTACCAGAAGGACTGCAGGTGGGCGGGCGTCAGGCGGTTGACAAAGTCCATGGCGCTGATCAGGCGCGTCTTGGCCGCCGACCGGCAGATGAAGAGGAGGTACGGGTCCGACGTTTCGGCGTCGAGCGATTGGACGATGCGCCGGTGGAGCGTGATCTCAGTGGCGAAATAGGCCAGATGCAGGGCACCGGTGGCTGCAGGGACCCTGGATTAATAGGGGTGACGTATTTGAAAGGAAGGGCGACTTAGGCTTACCGGTGTTGGACGAACGGCCCGAGTTGTGGCTGTCAATCCGCGTGGATGCGGGCAGTCTTGCAAACCATTCTTTGAGCTTGATCTGCACCGGCTTCGCCCGATCGAGGATCAGCCGTGTCGAGTTCTTCCCAGCATTCTGGAAATCTTGGATCGCGGTCTGAGTGTAGAACGTGTCCACCACTTCGGCCATGATTGCTGTCAGCGTAATCATCTGCGCAAAAACATATGCACCACGTTCCTCGTCCGCGGCTTCCTCCTCGCTACCTGCTCGGAGAACCTCGCCCGTCTGAGCGCCGTCCTCGAAGAAGTCCTCGTCAGCTATCGCCTTCACCGCCCAGTCGGCATTGTATATGTGCGACGGCCGGCCGTGGATCAACGAGCTCCATTTATCCTGCATGTACAACGCCCAGGCAATCCGCTTACGCAGTCCCTTCTCCCACAGTGGAATCGACCAGTTGGAGCAGTCGAGGTGCAGGCCAAGTTCTTGTGCAATGGCGACGAGCTGGGTCGTCAGACTCCATGAGTCTGAGTCTGGCCTTTGCAGCAGCAGCAGGCCGGCTTGGATCGTCGAAAGCTTGGGCCGCTCCATGGCTTTGGGCAGCCAGTGGGAAGCAATTGCCTCCAGCTTGCTGACGTCGGGCTTGGGCAGTGATGCCAGTCTGGGCTCGTACGACCACCATTGCAGGGCCAGCATGTAGATGCCCGCTAGGAGGGGCGGGGATATCTGACGGTCGGCATCGCGATGCCGTTGCATAAACAAGGTTTTCTGTATGATGGGAAAGTTAGGGTGCACGGAGCGGAAGTACACATCAATGAGCTGGGAGCCATGTGGTGCTACGACGGCCTCGACGGCATTGAGGGCCTCAGTTTCGCTGTCAAAGTCTTGGGTATTCTCGTCCGGCAGCATGATGAAATGTTCATTGTCATGGACCTTCCGCAGCACTCCCAGGTCGAATGTGCTCTCGTTGCGCGTATCGAACTGGGTCAGGCCAATCAGGACGGGGTCGAAGGGCGTGGTGGGCCCGATGTAGCGGCTGTGCTGGCGACGCTGCAAGCCGAGCGTCTCTTGGAGGGCCTGGCCGGTGGTGTCGGCGAGGTTGGGTGCCCGGCGGGAGAACTTGGTGGTGGGCGAGGGCTGTTGGAGCGGCTGGGCGCTCTGCGGCTGCTCACGCTCGACTGATCTGGACGGCGGGTGTCAGCAGCGAGCTACAAGAAGTAGTGTCAGGATGATGGGTGTGTAGGACACCTACCTCTTCTTGGCGCCTTCCTCTTTCTGGCCGTCGACGTTGATCTTCCTCTTCCGCGGCAGCGGGCTCTGCACAAAGGTGCACTCCTGCTTGTGGAACTCGCACAGCACGCACAGCAGGGCGCCCTCGTGGATGACGCAACGGCTCTTGCGGCGGCGGCAGGCGTCGCAGGGCCTCTCGCGGCGGGAGCGCTGGGCGGGGGTGAGCTGGCCGGGCTGGGCGTTCGGCTTGTGGGAGAAGAGATTCTCCTTGCCCGGCATGGGCTTGGCGGATTTGGGA